CAAATCCCACTTCCCACCCACACTCTCCAGCTTACATCCTGCAAACCAATAATCACCGCCTCAGAAACACTCATGAAAATCAAAACAGGGCAAACGAGATCAGAATGTATTTTCTGTCGAATAGCGGATAATGTGGCGTCATCTCGGCGTGTGTATGAGGATGATGCGTACATTGCTTTTCATGATATTAGTCCGAGTGCGATTGTGCATTTACTTGTTATACCCAAAATCCATGTGGGGACTGTTCGGAATTTGAGTGTAGAGGATCGGGGGATGGTGACTCGAATGAAAGAGATTGGGCACAACTTAATGGATGAGCGAGGGTTTGGAATGGGGGATCGGAGATTGGGGTTCCATGTCCCACCCTTCACGTCTGTAGGCCATTTACATTTACATGTGATTGGGTTACCCTTTCGGAATTGGTTTAGGAGTTTAAAGTATCCGTTGTGGGGGTGGGCTAGGTGGTATGTTGGTGTGGATCAGGTGGAAGCGAGTTTGGAGAGGGCTCAAGTAAGAGGTGAGATGGGGACGTGGAATTGGAGTTGGTTAAAGCGATGATATTTAAAAGAATGTTATAGAAACAGAATGATTTAGAATATGGTATAATACAAAGGATATGGGAGGGAAATGTTATGGAATTGTAGGTAATGCTGCCCCTATATTCGCCAACCGATCTGCTTGTTCATTGCCAAGAATCCCAGCATGCCCACGAACATATTTCTACCAAGTAAAAAAAAAAACACATGAGCACCCCAAGATCAAAAGACAATCAAAAAACCAAACTTACCAACGTAACCCTCCCCGGATATCCCTCCCGAACCTCCTCCAACCTCACCCACAAATCCTTATTCAACACATCGGTCCCCTTGAACGTCTTCCACCCCCTCTTTTTCCACCCACTCATCCAGTCTTCAATCCCCTGCTTCATATACATACTATCAGAATGCACCACAAGATGCATACCAGGAGGCGCAATCTCAATCGCACGGATAACGGCCAAGAGTTCTGCCCGGTTATTGGTTTGAATGGGACCTGGGAGGCGGGCAGAGGTGTTGAGGGGGTGTGAGGGGCCAAAGTAGATTCCGTAGCCGGCTCGTGCGCGGTTTTGGCCGTTGGAAAGGCAGGAGCCGTCTGTGTAGATGGGTAACATGGGGAGTGTATCGGGTGTATTACCGTCTCGAGTATGTTTGTGGCCGTCTGGGTAGATGGGTGACATGGGGAGTGTGTCGAGTGTATTGGAACTTGATTGAGAGGGTCTCCCTCCATCAATATCGAATGGTATTGTGGCAGTCGGTAATGTTCCAGTCCGTGCAGTAGATTCCCGCCGCGACTTGCGTCCATCTTGACCATCCAACCTTGCCTGAACCGCTTTGCAAGCACCATCCGTACTCGCCCCAATATGAACAATACCAACACCCAAAAACGCCTCCGCCTCCTGCCTAGTCTTGAACCCCTTGAATCGAGATTTAGGAAACCCATCAACCTGGGATCTACATTCCTCCCTATCAAAGTTTTGAGCAAACGATATAGGCGGAGGAGTACATTGAGACTTTTTACCATGTGGTGTATATACCGGGTACACGCCCGGATCGGACGGCATAAAAGCTTTTGCGAGCGGTTTTGGGCATGCGTTTTAATTGGAATCTGATGCGCATGCAACAAAAATGTGTGGATATGAATGTCAAAAACTTCTGAACGAACGAACTGACATTTGATGGACATGGCACACTGTGGATGGCACAGTCATATTCACGTTACGAAAGCATGCCTTTGAATAAACATGTAAGGCATTGGCGAAATAGTTCTTTGTATATGACAAACCAATAAACTTGATCCACCAACACTGCATATAAATATCTTTCAAAATCCAAAACGTATTGGAACACAATTCTACATGAATGGCATCATGTAAGACAACTTTACACATTCCCGTCACCCAAATCTTGAAAATCTGTGCAGAGGTATAAACACTCCCAATACACATATTTGCAACACTGGACCGCATCGGAAACCGAAAAAGTCCATTCTGTTTATAAACAAAGATTATGCTCAAGAAAAAGGATGGGCAATTCGTATCTGTACAATGACGGCAAAAGATACTCATCATATACAAATGGGAGGGGATTTCAAACTGTTTACCATAGACACAGCTTTGACAAGACTATACGTAAAGCGAGTGCAGTGAACAGAATTGAACGAGTGATTTTTCGTGCACGAGCTTTAACGAGATAGTAAACACAAACAAAAAAAAAGTGGATGTGCATACAGGTTTTGCAGTAAAATGGTTGGATGGGGGTTTAACGCAACAGTACCCATTCGTCATGTAAACGACTTGTACGGGTAATGAGTTCGATTGGCAGATGCGGGAAACCCAAAAATCCATTCCAAAACCAAAAAAAAAAAAAAAAAAAAAAAAAAAAAAAAACACAATATTATTCCACACCCTCTTTCGGTTCCACCCCTTCCCCACCATCACCACCACCATCACCACCACCAGCGGACGCCTCCTCATGCACAACATGAGACCGATGAAAATGCTCATGTGGCATCCCCATCGAAAGTGGATTCGACAATGTTTCATCAATATCCTAAAAAAAAACCCACACGCAAAAAAATCAATAAACAGTGATATATACAACTTTGCTTTTAAAAGGGACTTGCCATGGCAGTAACACCCAAACTCCCCGGTCCAAGCATCTCAATATCCTCATTCACAATCGCACGTGTACTAGAAGCTTGTTCCGCCTCATCTTGATCTTCATCATCATCATCTTCTTCTTCGTCTTCTTCATCTTCTTCATCTTCACCCTCCCCTTCTGCATCGGCGTCGGCATCTGCGTCGGCTTCTTCGTGTACTTGTTCTGGGACGTGGTGATCGTCTGTTTCGTTTTCGCCGGGTTGGTCAGTGTCATCGGCTATGGAAGCTGCTAGGGATGTGTGTTCATCTTTTGGGAATGAAGATCGTTTCTTTACTACATAAACAAAGAATTACGTTACAGTTTGTTTGAGCTGTTGCGGCTTTGTTTTTGGGTAGTTTTTCTTTTTTTTTTTTTACCTTTAACATATTTAACGATTTGGATATCGTGTACGGGTGGTTTGGGGAGTACGCCTGGACGTGGACCGAGTGTTGCGAGCATTGGACCCCATTTGGGTGTGACCCGTTGTTTTTCCCTAGAAAGACCAAGTTGAATCACGTAGTTTTGCCATTTGCAAATGTGAATTTGGGCTTTACCATTTGTGTACGGGGGCCCACCATGGGGTTTGTTCTTCGGATTTGAGGGGACGGGGTGTGAGGGTGGGTGTGTTTGTGAGGGGTGTGCCGGTTCGGCTTTGGCGGGTGGACATGGCGATGAGAGGTTTTAGCTTTTTTGATAACGCACCGAAGCGCGCACGCACACACAGGTGTTGGGAAGGGTGGTTGGGATATGAATTTGCCAGCCACTCACGCGACATGTTCTGAACACTCTTTGGCACAACTTGAAAACGCTAGTCTGCTGGTTGCGGACATGTTTTCAAGACCTGCTATACTTTTCCCAATACATTGCTTTTGGCGACAGTTCATCACATCGCACATCCCACCTCCTTTTGCAGACAATTAAGCACAGCTCGCACATCCCGCCTTGACATTGTTGTTGACAAATACACCACTAGAGACTGAGGCCACCACATCTTTTTTTCCAAAATCTTGCCCCATTTAACAATGCAGCTGAATCAATCGACTATTCACCATACTTTCCAAACCCTTCCTCGATACACAACACTCTAATACACATACAGCATGAGGTTTTACAGTATGAGGTTTTTCAGCGCTCAAAAAAGGAGCGAGAGTGGGTATAAACCAAACAAACACACACTAAAACCCATTATCCAAAGCTAGAAGATAACATGTACAATCATGTCCTACTACAACATGTCCTACAACAACAATTAAAAGTCCCAACCCCCAATACCTAAATCGGACAATTCCATGAGGGACATGCCATCATCTTTGCTATACATCGGGAATGGGAGGAAGTGGAACACCCGGCGGAGGCATCAAAGGCGGTAACACCCGATCGCCTTGATCCAACGGCTGCACGCGGGTATCATCCGTATTCCAATATGAATGGGGTTCTTGATAGGGCCGAGCGGGGGCGGGGCGGGAGGTAGAGCGTGGGGGGGTGGTTGTTGTTGTGTGCGGGTCGGCCGCGAGAGGGATCCCGACGTTGTCGGTGTTCATGGCGGTCAACAGAGCGCTCACGGGAGCGTTCAACAGAGCGGGAGGGTCGTTCCACACTCTGCTCAGCGTGATAATCAGCGTAACGCTCTGGATGCCCAACATTCCTCAACGCCTCCAACCACTTGACCATATCCTCCCGACCACTCAACATGACCCTCCACACCCGCTCCACTTTGGTCACTGGAACAAACACGCCATCTCCCAACGTCACTCGGCCCGAGACGTCTAATACCCAGACGCCCTTTTCGGATACCCTTGTTCCACCCGGCGTAACGTCCAAGACAATCGAGGGAAGTTCTGATGAGTGGGGGGTTTTAAAGAGGTAGAGTTTGGGAGGGACGAGGACGGCGTAGCGGGATTTCCAGGGTTTAAAGAGCGAAGACGATTGTTTTTGGACGGGGCCGTGATGGGCGTTGGGAAACGTGGAGAGCGTGCCGAGGGTTTTAGGGGGCGAAAAGGGCGAGGATGAGACGGTGCTGCTGTGGACACTGGAGCGAGAAGAAGAGTGAGCGGCTGACGAGGACGGGCGGGAGGAGGAAGACAGGGAGATGGAGGCCCGGGACGCGGAGCGGGGGGGACGGCTCAAATCAAAGGATTTGGAGAGGCGGGACGTGCGAGAAGAAGAGGAGGAGGAAGAGTGGGTTTGGTGAGAGGCTCTGACTGTGTCAAACGAGGGTGTGCGCATGTGTGTCCAGCCCGCATTGCTGACGCGAACGAGGGCATCCCGGGAGGATCGACGAGCGTGGGCGTCCTGTCCCGTCGAGTCTCTTGAAACAGAGTCTCTCGACACCGAGTCTCTTGCTGACCTGGGCTCGCCATTGTTCGAGTAGGCCGCTCTCCCATTACCCTCCTTTTCATCCTTGTCATCGTCACGGAGCTCGTCCATGCAATCTTCGAGCTCATTCAAGAGACGATCGACGGTCCTCAGGAGGGTAGAGTGCTTGCCCTTTTGCGGATACCCATCGACAAAACCCGAATCGGAGCGAGCATAGGCCTGTTGTTGTTGTTCAACAAGCGTATTGTCTTGTGCATGGTCACCCATTGTCAAGGGCATTCTTGTGTGTATGGCAGGACGATCAGGGCCGTGCGAATCAATGGCAAGCGTTGATGATGATGATGATGATGGGCGGGAGTAGCGGGCCTGTGATTTGCGGTATGGACGAGGATGATGGTGAGGCAGAGATCCTGTCAAGTGATAAAGATGAGGAGGATCGTGTGAGGAGGGTGTCGGGGATGGCAAGGTCCCTGTTGCGCTTGTGGTGGTGGTGGTGGGTGGGTGAGCCAAAGTCGTGGAGTGATAATAATGAGGATGAGGAGGAGGATAATGAGGGTGCAAGTGATGAGAATGCCAAGCAGTAGGAAGAGTGCGAGTGGACTCTGTGGGAGGGGGAGATGTTGTTGTTGGTAAATGTCCCGTTCTAGCAAACGAGCCTTGAAGTGTGTGAGACATTTGCCTGTGTGTGTGTGTAGTGCTGTGCAAAAAACTATATAAAAAAACCAAGAAAACCAAAAAGGTATACTTGCCAAGCAGCAAAGCCCAACAACAAACAACACGGAGGGAGGGAAGGGAGGCGGGAGGAGAGGAGGAGAGGGAGGAGGAATGGCAAGAAACACGGCAGAAACAACACACACACACACACACACACACACGAGTCCAAAAGCATTAAAGTAGAAAAGTGTGAAATTTTCCATAAACAAAAAGACTACTAGTTGGTAAGACAACCTAAAGAGAAAACAAAAGAGAATGGGCGCGAGAACAAACCGCGCGATGAAAATTCAAAACTAGAAATTCTCACTTTTCTCCCAATGGGGATCTCAATGGGAATGATAATAAAAAACATTGTTGTTGAGAATAAAAGGCATGGGAAAGAGTAAGAGAGAGAGATTCAAACATGAACTCGATCACTCTCATTCAAACACAAGAGAGAGTAGAGAGAGAGAGAGAGATTACATACAAGTGAGAGAGAAATAAAACAAGAGAGAAATTCACATAGAGATATCACATGATCTATATATACACTCTTGTAAGAGAAAGAGCATTTCATTCTCACACACACACACACACACACACTTGGCCATTTCATTCTCTCTCTCTCTCTCTCTCTCTCTCTTTCCCTACAAGCGATTGTCCCCAATAGTCAACACTCTCCCACACTCACTATATCTAATATAACCTAAATGGGATAAATAAAAGCCTCTCTTAATTCGCTTCATGATCATTTCATTTACTATATTAGGCAAGTTATATTTCACACTTGAACAAGAGAGAGATAGAGATGAGAGAGGCACACACTGATCACACACTTGTTACTGTACTCGCATTGCACACTTGCTGGAAGGAGAGGAGAGGAGGCGTTTCTCTCTCTGCGCTTTTTCTTTTTTTTCTTCTTCTTGTTTCTTATCTCTCGTGATTGCCGCGATATCGATTTTACATTATTTATTTCTTTTTTTTTATATTCATGTCTTTGTCTTTAGTAGAGGGATCGTCGTCTTTAGAACGCACATTGTCCTCCTCATCACCGTTGGCACGCACACGATCGCAATCGCATCCTACTACTATGCCTAGTACAATGTATCAACAGTATCCACACAACGACGACGACAATGATGACCTCGTAGACGACTATCAGGAGGACGATCCCGACGCCCACTTTGCGTATCTAAAGGATGTACTCGCTGGAACGATTGATCCCCCCGTCGATACGCACTGGATGGAAAAGAGCCATGCCATGCACTCGGTCGATGTCCTCTTGGAACAGATTGATTCTGCTATTCGCGATTTGAATACAGCCATGGACGATGGAGAGGAACAACAGGAAGATGACGACGACGAGTTGGAGAGGAGATTGACGGCCACTTCCACGCGCTCCGCTCCTCGCCCTTTTCCGCATCAGCGCTCTCGGCACGTTTCCGGAGAGGCCGCTGTGGAAGGAGCTGAGCGCACGGGATCCGTAACGATTTGGGACCACAAACGAGCTCACTCGGCCCCCGCTCCTGCTCCCGCTCCTCGTCTCGTCGCCGCCGAGCCAAACACTGTCGATTCCATTGCATCAACAACATCACCATTATCGTCCTTGTCGTCATTATCATCATCTGCCGATCCTCTCATCTTGCATGCAGGCTACCTCCGAAAACTCACCCACTCCCGGCCGCTAGGCTCAAAAACATACCGCCCCCGCTTCCTCGTCCTCACATCCTCCCATCTCTACCTCTTTCGCTCCTCCAACCCCCAAGAAGCCTCCATCACCGCTCTCCCCATCACTCCCACAACAGCCGCCTACGTCTCGGAATCGGGACTCTGGGTCCTCCATGTCCAGTCGCAGGGCATGGACGAGTCTGGGGCATTCGTTACCCGAAATTGGTCCTTGCAATGTGCAGACAAGGAGGAAATGGTTGGGTGGTTGGCAGCATTGCGGACGGCCATTGAACGGCGGCGCATGTCGCTCAAGGGCCGTAGTGACAAGCTACCGGGACTAAATGTCTTGTCGCAGCATGGCCGTGGCATCCTCTTGCAAGAATTGTCGCATCATACGTCGTCCTCGACGCGGCCCGTGGCTGCGTTTGGACAACCTGCCACCTTGTTTGGATCCGGGTACGGACAAACCGGGTACGGGGGACCGCCGACCACGCCCGGATCCAACCCAGACCTCTCTCCCGCCCTCGCCATCCTCGAGGGCCTCGAACGTCTCCACTCGCCCACCTCCCCAACCACCACCAACAGCACCGAACCACGCGACTACTTTACCATCCCCATCACCACCCAACCCTCCACATCCTCATCGCGCGACGATGCTTCCATCAACTCGAGCGACACACCCACCGAAACGAAAAAGGAGAGAAAGGCCCGAGAAAAGATGGAAAAGAAGGAAAAGCTCAAGCTCAAGAAAAAGGATCAAGGGCTATCCTTTGGTGCGGCCATGAGTATGGTGATTTGAGTGGTACCCTTGTTGCATGCCTGCCTGCCTGCCTGGATGCAATCAAAACCAACGTCTCCCTCCACGCCACACTGCCGACGCACACTGCACAAACCCCACGCACGCACGCACGCACGCACGCAAAACACACACACACACACACATACACATACATACATGCCACCCCTCGGTCCCCCTGTGCAGCGTGGACGGTCCGTACCGCCCAATACCGCACCGTACACACTCCCACCAAAATCACTCGTCCACACCGTGTGCGAAACAGGTCAAGACGGGTGGAACAAAGAAAAAAGTGGGATATCGTTGTATGTGTGTGTCAACTAGTTAGGACCTCGTAGAATATAAATGTAATGTCTATGATGGGTTTGTGCACAAGTAAAAAAAAAAAAAAAAAAAAAAAAAAAAACACATGCGTGTGTGTGTGTGCAAGCTATAGGATGGTGAAGAGGGGAAAACAATGTACAGTATGCAATGTATGTGTTTTGAATGGGTTTTATAGATTTTTTTTTTTTAATGTTGATCATTATTTGAATTGTAATTGTCGTTTTTTATTTGATGTTTCAATGTTTTTATAGAGTGTGTGTCGTCCAGTACATAGGCACACCAAAGAAAAAGAGAGACGATAGAATGACTAAAAGATGTTTATGAATGGACAAACGGATATATGGCACTACTAAATGCTAACATGTAAAAACAAAACCCCAATACAAGACGCTATATACATCTCCTCCCTATATCACACAAACATTCACTCTTTGGACGACGCCATAAAATGCTTCAAAAGCTCTTTCCCATACAACCTCCCAACCTCCCCAGCCGTCCTAGGACACTCTACAAACCCCTCCCCAAGCACCCTCCTAGAATTCTCCCCCAAAAACCTCGGCAAAACCACCCTCGTCTGTCTCACATGCCTCACATAGTGGGCAAGAGGCACCATTGGATTCCGGACATTGTTCTGAACTTGGCGCTCAAATTCCTTTTGCCATTCTTCCAAAGGTATGATTTTGCAAGGGGGTACACCGTCTGGGATCATGGATGGGAGATCCGCCCATGTGAACCTGTTCATGAAAGCTCAAGACAACGACACCCATAATGACAAATAAACAAGAACAAAAAAAAAAAAACTCACATTTCGGGATTCGTAATGTGAAAAACGGGGACATGCCATGCTTGTTGACAAGCCCCCAATGCAACAATCAATCCTGCACACCAATCCACGGGTGTCACCGAGAAATGAAAGGGGACATTGGGTGCCATGCCCATTTCGCAAACAGCCAAGACAAACCGCCAGACAAAACTATCCAAAGAAAGAACTAATAACCAAAATCAATACCACAAATAAAAGCCATTTCAACGGAATATGTTAAAACGTTTACCTCCAGTTTGACTACTCCCACCCAACGTCGCAGGTCGAATCACCATGACGGGTACACCCCTCCCCCTCGCCCTCTCACAAAGCACTTCGGCAATCCATTTGGATTGAGCGTACCCCGTAAATGTGCTTTGATCGAGGTCATGGATGTTGTGGGATTCCGAAATGGTTTCCAGGCCCGAAAAGGCAAAGAGCTAATAGTTATTAGTGTTTAGTTTAAAAAGTGTTTTTTTTTTTTATTGTGTTTTGAGAAGAGTGAGAGACAACGTACGTTTGTGGATGAAATGTATTGAACGGCTTTAAGGCGATATGTCGTCGCAAGACACAAAATTTCTTTGGTGCTGGTACTGTTGACAGAGAGACTTGCATACGGTTTCAAATGATCCGCCTGTTAAAACACAAAATGAATCAATGATTGTTATTTTCTCGGCAATTACGCATTTTCCAAAGAAACTTACCACACCCGCAGCATGCACGATCCATTCCACACTCTGAACAGCCCATTCCCAATCCTCAAAACTCATTCCAAGCCGTTCACGACAACACTCTCCCAAAATAATCTTTATCCGATCCTTCCACTCGGGTTTCCACACCAGAGCTTGTTCACAAGCGTTTTGGATTCGGTCTAGACCTTGTTGGGGTGTCGATGCACGAACGAGACATGCGATCGTGGCTTTTGGGAATCGATCAAAGAGGGCAGAGAGGATGGAACGACCCAGGAAGCCTGTTGCGCCTGTTAGGAAAATGGTGGGTTCCGTCGTGTGTATCCCCTTATAAATGAGATCTCCTGCGGAAATGGATGTATCGTCCAAAGCGTCGACTTGAGAAATGCAATTAAAGGTCGTATCAGTTATCAAAGCAAGTTTCCGTTCATCAGATCGTTGCGAATCGACACCGTTCAATGTGGTCGCTTTCTTGGCCGCAGCAACATTGGCTAAATCCCTCAACGCCCGAACCGATACCGGTCCCAATAACTGAAGCTGCGATACATGAACGCCCAACTCTGATTCCAAAACCCCACTCAACCGACTCGCAGATAAAGAATCCAACCCAAGTGAACTGAGATGAACCGTATCCTCCACAGTCGATACATCCACATTCAGGATTTTTGTAATGAGCTTTCCAACCGGATCCTCGGTTGTAGATTCTTTATCATGGTCCTTGTCATCTACATGCGTCACGAGATGTGCGATACTCGTTTGATTCGCTTGTGATATCCCATAACTAATCTTCCAATTCAACTCGGGGATCACATACGGGACATGTTGTGAACGTCCCGTTAGCGTTCTTGCCACTGCTTCCTCAATTTGTTGGCACAGTTCACTCGATGTACACGCCAACGCGTCCAGGACTTGAAGTGCCGCACTGTTTTTCGAGGCACGTAATGCGGCAAAGACGCCAATATCGGATATGGCGGGTACGGCAAAGGAAATGACGTTAGAGTAATCACGAGCGTATCGGTCAAAAAAGCTTTGAGCAGCGTTATAATTCGATTGACCGGGATTAAAAAACAAGGCAGCCGTTGACGAAAACAGGAATAGGAAATCCAATTGGTGGATTGGCACGACGTTTTCGAGCGTTGCGAGTGCCCCGATTTTGGATTTGTTGACTGTTTCGAACTTTTCCGGTGTCATGTTTACAAAGAGGTCGTCGGCCAATACCACCGACATGAGAAAAATCCCACCAAGAGGTCCCACTGCATTCGCGGCTTCCACGACTTTTTTCATGGCGTGTTCGTCGCATGCATCCGCAGCCATGAATCGAACGTTAGCACCCCTATAGTGCTCATCCCCAATAAAACTCTCAATCGTCAACCGATCGACTCGATCAACTACACCCCTCCGCCCCGTTAAAATCACATTCCGCGCCCCATTCGCAAACAGACTGACAGCAAGTCGCGGCCCAAGACCTCCACATCCACCCACCAGTATATACGATTTCCGAGGATCGAATAACGGACGTGGTCGATACATCCTCATCACACCTGGTTGCCCACTCAAATCCACGACAATTTTCCCGATATGTTTCCCGGATTCCATGAGTCGGTATGCCTCTTTCAACCCCTCAACCCCACTAAACCCGTGACAATAGAGCAATTTAAATGGCGTACGATTGTGTTGGGATAGAACGGTATCGAGAAGCTGACTCATGGATTCGGGTTGGAATTTACTAAGAGACCCGAGTTCAACCGCAATGTAGGATGTGGCTTTTGCGAAATGGGACATGGAGATGGGTGTACCGGATAATGCGTCGCGTTTGGAAATGTCAATAAAGCGGCCGAGAGGGGCGAGCATGGCTTTTTTTGAAAGAGGTTGAGGAGAGGTCAAGAAACGACTAAGCGAAACTGATGGAAAAAAACTTACCACACCCGGCTTGTAAAGCCGTCCCTTGCAACGAATTCAGCACAACATCAAACCCCATTCGCCCTCGTTTCGCCAACCACGCTTGCCCCTCCCTCACCCACGTCTCTGTAGACCTCGACGTACTCATGGCCTCAAACTCGACTCCCAACTCGTCATGAAGAAACTCTCGTTTCTCTTTTGACCCGACCGTACAAAACACTTGACAACCCACTCGCCTCGCTACTTGAATAGCAGATACCCCAACACCCCCCGCCGCCGAATGAATTAAAATCGTTTCACCGGGTCGTATACGAGCTTTTTCCATTAGGCAATACCAAACCGTTCCATACGCAATCGGGACCGCCGAAGCTTCCATCATGGTCATCGTATCTGGTATTTTCGAGACCAACCACTCTAAAGTAACGGCTACGGATCCTTCTCGGGATAGCCCCGTGGTACCCATGACACGATCCCCAACAACGACTCGCGAAACACTCGACCCAACACTGCTCACCACCCCCGCGAATTCGGATAACCGGTCGGTATCAGGTAACAACCCCGAAGCCGATAACACGTTTTTGAAATTCAATGCAACGGCTTGAACACGGATTTGAACGTCATGTTCATGTAAGGGTGGTGGGAAATACCGATGAGGAACCAACGCATTGATCCCCATTTCACCCGATTTTAAATCCAGTACCCACTCTCCACTCGTTTTTTCGTTCGTTAATGACGGAACACGCACAATTCTACGTGAATACACGTTTGATCCGCGTATATACGTAAAAGGCTCCACTCCACCCCGTTTCTCAACATCCATTAAACAGTCCAACCAGTCTTGCTTTATATTCGCAGGTGTGTTGGGTTCGAATATGATTGCGTAGCAAGTGAGGTTTGGGTACTCGTTTGTTAGTGTTGCTGAGAGGGCTGTTCCCATGGCTCCTGTCGGTGTATCCTCTGTTAGGATCCAGAGCGTGCCGGTTGGGTTTTGGCCGAGGTCTTTTATAGCGTGCACTAGGTCCATTTCGGTTCCGGGTGTATAGTGGTATACGAGTGTTGTTGGGGTGAGTAAATAGAGGGGTGGGTGTGGAGTTTCAATGTGTGGACGCTTTCTGGGTGCCATCCACAATTGTGCGTTTTCGTTTTCTTTTGATGTTGGCGTTCCGTTCATCTTTGTCAAGTCTCCTTGGCCGAAACCACCAAGCTCATGTCCTTTATCATCCAGAGTTGACCCGTTCGTTCCATTCATCTTGAACCCTTCCACAACACCATTCTCATGTGAAGACCCATCCGAAGAAAGTGTCTCAAAATCACTCCCATCCGACTCGGATTCCACATTGGGTACCTCTCTATACCCAAAACAAGAACTCGTCGGATCCCGTTGTGCGGAAACAAAGAGGTGTGGACCGACGGATTCGAGAATGTGGGGATGGATAAAGGGGGTTGTTGTGAGGGTTGTTTTGTAGTGGGTTGGAGTGTGGAGAGGGGTTGGTGTGTTGATGAACATTTCGGCTTAAGAAAGAAAGAGAGATTTAGGGGGTGAAATGTGATTAAAAGATATGAAAGAAGGAGAAACGGTACCGAGTAAGGGAAACCGAGTCTTGAGCGTCGTGGGATTCAAATCGGACGTAAAGATGTATCCACCGGGTACCTTTCCAAAATATTCAAGAAAACAGTTAGGAAAACAAGCACGAATATGAATTGAACAATAAACTTACCAATAACCCAAGAACAACACCAAACCCCTCACCATCCAAAAACTTTAACACATCCACCCCAACCACCACATCAAAACTCGCCACCCGACACCTCGACTCACCCTCCACACCCGCCCTCACATCAATCCTATCCATCCCATTGGACCGTCCGAGATTCACACCAACGATATCAAAATGCATGTGTGGATGCGCGGTGATCATGTCGGACCAGTTTAGACGGCGTTTATGGATGTAGAGGTCCAAAATGCGCAAAACGCGGCGGTTGTGGGTTTTTGAAATGAGGTTGTGAAGGGTTTTTTTGTAGTGGGTTTCGAGGGGGGTGATGAATACTGGGATTTGATCTTGAGAAAAGAAAATGTAAAGTATGTGAGTTAAGAATACGCCAGAAAAATAAAAGTAAAAAAAAAAAAAAAAAAAACTTACATATCCGATCCAAAAGCTTCTCCTTGCCCAACCCCTCCTTTTTAACTCTCTCCAAAACCTCCCTAACGGCCTCCTCCCCCTCTCTTCCATGTCCACGCACATCCATCCTCTTATCATCCCACGAACCATCCACTTTAGCACTCAAAAACCGTGGCTCCCACACAGCCGTATAAGCATCCTGAACTTTTCTTGCTTTACGAACCATATGCGAGATCTTGCCTTCAACGACCACAAGCATTTCCAAAGTATCCGCGTCGAATAGGTAGATATTTTGGATGGAGATCCGGTTCGTGTTACTGATATCCTTTGAGTGGATCAATATGCGTTTTGCGGATCGGATTTGGTCGTTGGTGGATGTTAGGGATATATAGTTGATTTCGGAGGGCATGTAGGTGTCGACGAGGGTTCGGGTGCCGGTAAATGGGAGCTACCATCATAAACAGGTGGAGTTGTCAGTTGCAAAACCCAAATATTTTGGACGTGGAAAAAGGAAACGTACCGACATGCCCCATCCCGTTTGACACGCACAATCAAGTATCGCCGGATGAAGTACCATCCCCTTTGCATGCGTATTCCAAAGCTCATCCGACACCTCCACAAAAGCAATAAAATCCTTCTCCCGGGTAGAGGACCCCCGAATCTCGGTAATCATGGCAAAAACTCCCGAATACTCTGCACCCGTCCCAGCAATAATGGAATAAAACCTCTGCCCATCCATAACGAGATCAAAATCGGTCATGAAATCTTGTCCGAGATGTTCGAGCGCGGTTTGAGGTGTATGCACTGATTCCATGACAAACTGTCCTGTTGCATGGACGGTATCCAACACCACACCCGAATCATTCACGACATTTTTGGACGAACTGCAGAATTCCCATTCGTTGTTGATACCCGTTTCACGGAACCCGACGTATTTGGGGGGATCATGCTCGGAAAGCATCAACGCGCGTTGAATACGGACGTTACGGAGTGTTCGGGCGCCGTGTTCGAGAGCGGCTTCAATGTACCCCGTCCCAGGGAAAATAACGGCTTTTGAAATGGTGTGGCCTGTTACCCATGGGTGGGTTTGGGGGCTCATGCGAAAGAGGGGGGCGCAGAGGGGTTTGGGAGGGGGTCGAGTGCGTCTGTAGGTGCTTATAGGACATTCTTTATGTTCGACAATCTTTAATGGATGAGTGTTTTGAGTGACTTTTAGAGTGTATGCGTTTTTTGGTTTACTTACTGTTTTTTGGAATGGGTAGCTGACGGGTTTCTTTAATAGCATGTCGTGGCCCATTGGGACGTCGTATCCAGCGAGTCCAGTCAGTACACGCAAATTAATATTGCGCACACCGGCGACGAGGAGTTTCCCAACTATTGTATGTGTGCATATATTCAATCAGAAAAAATAAAATCAACTCTTGGTTCGCAAAAACTTGAACTCACCTGTGTCCAAAAACTGCGTATCCTCCACAGGATCATTCACACCTTGTCCAGTTTTCGGATTCGGCCTCCGAGCACACGCAGCCACCACCGCAGGTTGCACGTTCACGGACGCAGCAATTTCCCCAATATACCCTTGCAAAACGGGATGCGGCGCCATTTCAATCACACACAATGATGAAGCGTTACCTTCCTCTTTGTGCTCTTCAAACAGGGCTTTGATCGCATTAGCAAATAAAACGGGTTTACGGATATTATCCCAGCAGTAGGCCGTGTCGAGGGGTTGGTTCTTTGGATGGAGCCTGCCGTGAACGGTGGAAATGAAACGTGTTGTAGGGACATTGCGTGAGCTGTTGAGGACCGGTAAGACGGCTTTTTGGAAGGCTGCAGAGCAAATGTCGACTAGCGGGGAGTGGTAGGCACCACCCACTCGGAGTTGTCGTGCGAAAATGCCTTGGGATTCGGCTTGTTGGACGAGCTGAGGTGGAGTAATAGACAATAACAAGATATGAGTGGGTTTTGGATACAAGGCATACGAAAAGCAAATAGATTCACTTGTTTTTGTTTATCTCTTACCTTGACAATCAAATCCTCATTCCCCGATACTGAAACAGCCTTGACAGAGTTCACAGCACTAATCCACAACCCTCGAACACCACCTCCATCCCGGTCCCCACTCAAAATTTTTTCAATCATCTCATTGGCTTGAACTTCATCACATCCCAAAGCCGCCATACCGCCTTGTGAATTCTCCACCATTTTCAACGCCTTGGCACGCGCTACTGCTAAATGCACCGCTTTGTGACGATTGATTGCACCGGACGCATACATGGCCGCGATTTCGCCGACACTGTGTCCCAATACCACGGAGGCTGCGACATTTAAGCTTTTCCAGAGGTCGTAGAGGGCGATTTGGAAGATGACGATCGAGAGAACTACGGCTTCAACAGGCCACGATGCGTCAGGCCCAGTGGGGAGGGTACACTCGTACGAATCAAACATGCCGTATTTTTTGATAAAGGAGCCAAAACCTATTGACTGCAGTACACCATCGGAAGCAAGAACCGAATCACGAAATGCTTTGAACCGGTAAAGGAATCTGCGGCCCATTTGGGGGTACTGAGGACCTTGCCCGGAGAACACAAACGCAATGAACGGGTCGCTCGTAAATAACGGTGCGGCGGGTTTTGAGAATGCTTGTTCAAGTTGACTAGTACCGGATGCAGGGATGACGGCGTACGAAAGGAACGGGTGCCCACGAGCTCGGTCTCCGAATACCCTAGAAATCACCACTCGCTCACGCGGGTCCGTTGCTTCCTCCAGAAACTCGCAAACATTTTCCACAACTCTTCCCACCGACCGCGCAGAAAGTGCACCCACTGCAATCAGGATAGAATCCTTATCATCGATATCCATAATCGGAAACCGATCACCACCATGCGGCATACGCTCCAAAACAGCATGCGCATTCGCACCACCAAACCCAAACGAACTAACACTCGCAACATACATCCCATCTTGAGTTGTTTTCCATTTCGGAATCGGCTCTGGGTCAGTTTGAACCCGGATGCGAAAATCGGACCAGTGGATCTGGGGATTCGGTGTGCTGAAATGGATCCCCGGGAGAATCACGCCCGAGTCGAGGATCAGTGCGGCTTTGATGAGACCTACGAGTCCTGAGGCGGTTTCCAAATGACCCACGTTGGTTTTTACAGAGCCGATACTGCGAGACTTGATCAACACATTGCGAACTTGGGGATATGTAGAAAAGGAAACTCACCTTAGGATATCCTCTTTGGGTCGATTTTGTGAAAACACTTGTCCGAGTGTGTTGACTTCAATCGGGTCACCAACGGGGGTACCCGTTCCATGGCACTCTACGAAAAAGGCATCGGTAGGATCACGGCCTGCATCCTTGTACCTATATCCATATCAAAAATAACTCGTATCAGATCAAAGAAACCAAACTCATCATGAATAAAAGTGCATTACATACGCTTGAAGTGTCGCATCCATCTGCATCTTGGCATCCGGCATCGTCAAACTCAATCCCCTCCCATTAGCATTAACAGCACTCCCAGTAAGAACCGCATAAACATGATCACCCTCCTTCATCGCCGCATCCAGTCGTTTGAGAATAACCACCACACAACCCTCACCACGTACATAACCATCCGCAGCTGCATCGAACGCATGACAACATCCAGTTGGGGAGAGGGTCCCGAGTTTACTGAATCCTTGCGATGCCTGTGGGGTGAGCATGATGCTGATACCGGCTACTACGGCTTGGTCACAGTCTCCAGCGAAAATGGCGTTCCGTGCAGTATGCATCGCTGAGAGACCACCTGAACACGCAGTGTCGACAAAGATGGAGGGTCCACGGAGGTCAAAGATGAAGGAAACGCGGTTCGGTTGCATAGACAGGGCGGTGCCGGTTGCTTTGTTCATAAAACGAAAAGAAGTGAGCAAGATAGTTTCGCCAGAGTACGAAAAAAAAGAATACATGTACTTACAAGTATAATGAGACAAATCATACTCGTCCGACTGGATACTACGCCCCTCAAAAGATCCAGCAACAAACACGCCAGTCTTTGTACCCCTGTACTTGACACCAGCGTCTTCAAATGCCTGAAGCGTCGTCTGAAGCAGCATATACTGTAGGAAACGTGAGAAAAGGAAGAATGGATTGTAAGCGGGTGACGAAGGCTTTTTGGAATTTCGCAATGGTTTGTATTGCACCTGGTGGACATCGAGTTCCCTGGCTTCGTTGGGCGAGACTCCAAAATCTAAAGCTGTGTAGCAACAGGGAAGAAAAAGTATTAGATTCCAAATACATAGTGTACATAAAAAGAGGAATTAGGATTCCGTACCATCAAATTCCCGATACTCATCAAGAAAGCCAGCCAAATCCGTGACAATCTTTGCCGGTTCTTTACCAGGACCAGTATACGTCTCCGCATTCCATCTATCAGCAGGCACACGCGAGATCCCAGACCGCTTCGAATGAAGGAGGTTGTAGAATTCCTGTTTGTTGTTGGCGCCGGGAAGACGGAGGCCGATGCCGATGATGGCGAGGTGTCGGTCGTTGGACGACATGTTTTGGGCGTTACTTTTGTTTGGATTTAAATGTGGAATAAGGTGTTGGAATTGTATATAGGTAGACTTGATGGGCTAGTGTAGACTTGATAGAAAAGCACTGAGCCAGAAGAGGACCTACCCAATAATGGAGGGGGGAAATGACCTACCTACGACCGACTTTAAATAAACCAGTCCATCAAGACTTGCTCTACAGAATGTCAGCAGACAAACTCTGTCAAGTCCTCCACATGGGCTGCAGAGCACACACCAGCACGCAAACTACCCTTTACCTATTAGGTTCATAATTCTCTATTTGCAGTAAATCGCGCATATCGTTCGTAGGGTAAACCGAGGCTTTTCCCGCACCTTAAACGTTTTCTATCAGCGGCTTGTCCCGTTCGCGCCAGCTCCCAAGATCGGGATACAGGCAAGGCGGTTATCGTTTCCTTTTCGCAGCCTGTCCTTTGCAGCGTGGGTGGCATGTTAGGACCGCTGAAGGGAATAATAATGGTCACTACAATGGAAACGTGCGCGACCACCAACTACAAGAGTGACGCATACATTGCTCTTGCGCAAAAGAGAGCTGTCTCTCGTCCAGGTTTTACGACTGGCCAGAGTTTTTTGGTGAATCGGCGATACGCGCAAAGCCCGGCACGAGGGAAGGGAGTACACGACTGTCAACCTGGGACTGTCAAGCATGGCTCCAACGGGAAGATAACCGCCATGAACAACCTCCGTTTCACATGAATCCTCCATTCTACTGAAAATCCCATGTTTGAAAAAAGAAAAAGAAAAAAAGATGGAAAATCAAAGGACACTGCGGTTGAAGTCTACCCCTCAACATGGAATGACAGCACCCCACGCGTCTCTCGTCCACCTGCGCGGATGCGCGGAGGGAAACGGCAGCCGAATGTGGGGGAAATGCACCAAGGTACCGTTTATGCGGGCGACATCGAATAAGGGACATGACCGAATAGCAGTCAAAAGTCTAAAATGTATTTTTCTACGTGTCAAGTTTTTGACCAGATATCAAGATACAGGAGAATATGAACGCATTTCTCACACAAAGTTCAAGAAATACGGGAACCAGATTGTTGTTTAACCCAGTCCTTTGATACAACTTGCTGTCGTCGCTTGTACGGATCTGCTATTAGGACATGCAACCGCAGATCATTTACGTAATCAGTCCAACGCGCGTCTGACAGCACATGGTTGCCCCAACCGTATGTCCCTCAACCGCGCATTGTCCATTCCATCCGCCAATCTGGCAGTGAAAGATTAGGGGCTTATGGTGCTTGTGGATCCTTTTTTGGTCCTTGTGTTTTTTTGTTTTTTTTTTGCTGATTGGTATCTAGGTGCTCAAGAGAACGGGGCCCTGACAAACAGAAAGAAATAAAGTGCAGGATAGATACAAGCCCCAGTTATCGATATGTCAATGTCTTTTTACATTTGTTATATGTGTGATGTGACATGAACTGTTGGTGTGGTCATTGAAGCTATTAGTTTCCCAAACACACTTTGTATTCAATTATCAAGGCAAATGTGTAGACTTGGAATACCAAGATCTGCACTCTAGATGTTGCTAATGCTAACATATGGCTGCTTGTGATCTTTCGCAAAGCATATGCGCAAGATCTTGCAATCAATACGACGCATGTCACTGTCTATTTGCAGTACGATATCTTTATGTTGGCGATGGCTTGCGGAAGGGTCGATTGGGATCCCGCAAATGCAGTACTCGCAAACCCCTAATATTCAACATATCCTCACGTTGGGAATGGCTTGCGTAAGGCCCAATTGGGATCTCGCAATATGCACTGCTCGCAAGCCCCTACTATAGCCACCTACAAGGATCATGCCAAATGCCAATGTCAAAGATGGCAAAACACTTTTTTGATTTACGGGATGGGGTATTCCTATTATGCACGATTATTTTACTCAATTTCATCCTGTACATATTTTACAATTTTTTCTACATCGCTCGCAAAGGCTTGTCGAGTTTGTGCAAGGAGGTTGTAAAGTGCGTTTGTTTCTTGGGTGTGTTGTGTACGTGTCGACTCGAGGGTTGCTGTGGTTTATAGAAGTTTCAGTTTAGAAGATGACTAAAGAGACGTCGTTTACGTACTCTTAAGTCCCTCGTTTTCATCACGAAGAAGATCGAGCTTGGAAGCCAAACGATCCATCTGGTAATGAGTGTGAGCAAACAAACCCGGACTGCGTGCTTTTTTCAATATACGTACGTCCGTCTCCTCAGTCTTTTTTTGTTCGCCATTCTTGCGGTTCGCTCGTTTCAATTGTGCTTCTAAATAACCCATTATTACCATCCACAAAGTCAACTCCATATATCGTCACGTACCCATTCGACACATTTTCTCTTCCACATGCGCCAATCGGGCCTTTGTATCCTCTTGTAAGGTTTTTAATTGTTTATTTTCAGCAGAGAGGTTTTTGAGGGTTGCTTGGAGGCTTGTGATGGTGATATCGTGGACTGCGTGTATATGTCAGTCCGCATTTCTCGCGGTTATGGGGCATATATACCTACCGACTGGGGATGCCGCGCTGTGTTGGGATGTTGGTATGGGGGTGGTGAGAATGGCAGATGAAGCGTCCCGTAGGTTATTGATCTGTTCAGCTTGTTCTCGAATGCGTTTGTCCTATTCTACGCGTAAATAGAGGAATTTAGGCTGATTGCAATGGGACTAGAGCCACCTTGGCTTCAATAACAGATAAAAGTTCTTGATCTGGCTGTTGGTCTCGTTTGGCCTAAGTGCGTTCAAAGCGATTGAGTAAAAGCGGAAAAGTGATTAAAACCAACCAACGTACCTGGAGACTCGCTACTTTGGTTTGAAGCACTGAGACGAGTTTGGAGGATGATGATGTTTTCTGTAGGAGGGTGGATAGCGTAGTCTTGAGGGTTTGGTTTGCTTTTTCGAGTGTTCTACAAGGTACTTCATATTGAATACGCCTTCTTCCAAAATACTTTTGAAAAAAAAACACAAACCGGTTCCTAGCTAGTAATGCCTCCACTTTTTTGACAAGGCTCGCATGCTCTCCTCGGAGGGTTTCCAATTCCTTTTGAACTTTGTCCTGGGCTGCACGGCGGGATGTTTCGAGTTTGCGAATGTTGTTGGTAGTGGGTTGGGGTGGCGGTGTTGTATGGGATGTTTCCGAAAGTTTGGCCTAGGAGTTTTTGTATTGCTCCGTCATTTTGCATGTTACTGTGCGGGTGTAAATAAGTTTTTCGCGTACCTTCAGAACCAGAATCTGCTGTGCACGTCCCTTCCATCCACTCCCCTCCTCAAGAACCTAATGTACGCCAAAGTCTCAGCTCATCGGGTCATTGCAATCGTACAGAAATGCTTTGCTTGTATACCTTGTTCAACGGCACACTGTCGCCAACCTCCTGCTTCAATGCCTTGGTGAGCAGACGATTCTCAGATCGGAGGTTTTGATTTTGGGTTCGTTCTTCTTCGAGCTTACGGGTTGTCTACCAAAAAAAGTGGTAAGGTCATGTAGCGATATGTTCCTTAAAGGCACTAACGGCTCACCTGTGACAATTTATCTTTCAATGCCTTGATTTGCATATTTGACCTCTCTGTGTCGTCGTTTACTGGTTTGACAACGTTCGGCGTGGCATCTTCTTCTAGTTGCTGTTATGATCTTAGCTCTTGGATACAGTTGCAAGTGTGAGAATAAACGTACCTTGATTCTAGCATTGAGAGCAGAAGTGCGGGAACGTTCCCTTTCGAGTGCAAGGTTCAATCCCCGTACCTTATGGCATAATTGAGCATGAAGATCCTTTAACCAATCTAATCTGGCCAACCTACTTTTTTGGCCAGGGCAATGATCCGTGTTTCACGGGTTGTGGATCGAGCTGTATCGAGGAGTGTGTCGTCGTGATCTAGTTTAAGAGGGGTTGGTTTGTCTGTTGTGATATCTATGACAGGAACAGCGTACCCTACCGACACTTTCACCAAGCACTTTGACTCTCTCGCTTGCAGAGTCATTGTGCATAAAATGGTGGAGGTTGAGGATCTGATATGTTCATGTGGGTAAGCGTTCGGGTTCACGATGACCGTGATGGAACTCACATCGTGATGTGCTTTAGGAGGACAAACGCTGCGTGCAAGATGTCGCTCTAAGAATCCTTATGCATTAAACCATAGACCAAAAATAATTGTACCTCCTGCCACCTCGTGTTGGCTTCAGTCACATCCAAAAACCCGAGAATCAGCACCTCATGATTCGTTGTTGGTTTAACGATAGCACCTCACCTTGCCATTCTTGAAGGATGCTAACTGGGAAGAAACTACCTACACGCATAATCACTTCACCAGTCAGTATTCCAGTCACAAATCCAATGAAGTCACAGAAATACTCTTACCCATCGTTCATCCACATCTTCACCCGCCTATCTCAAACAATCAGCCTATATCCACAGTGTAAGAAACCCAAAGCACACAACCTCAATGCCCTCAGCAGCTACCGCAAATCCCTCTACATCGGTATCAGTGTCGGAAGATACGGCAGATGGAATAGACGATGGGAGGTGGGAAACAGAGCGTTGGGCAATCATGGTGAGTAAAATATCGCAGCAGCATCAGAGCTGCTTAACGCGTCTGATCGTGATTACGTAATATGGATATGCGGGGTAGATTCCATTATCGAATATTTACTTCTTGCCCTTTTATGCTATTTCGAAGTCGGCATCCGTGTCGCGCTGTTACCCAAGTATGTAGGACGTCAAATGTATGGAGCTACACAGCATCTCAAACAGAATTTGTACGGTGGCTGGCAGAGAATATTGAAAATGCGTCGGTCGTGCGCTACATGCAAAAATAATTCAATCGTTCAGTAATAGGTATTTGTCCACTATATCACTGATAGCTTTCGTCACATTCGAGAGAGTCTCAAAATGTAGTTATATTTCAAGAAGGCTTAGCTGAACGAATAATGAAAACTAAATCTGCTATTTTAGGTTGATATCGAAAATTCAGGGAAGAACAAAACAAGTTAGCGATAAGAGCAGCGACAGAATGACAGCTCGCACACGAGTAATATCTCTATATCCTCATTTCAGCAAATATGGAATCGAAATTTGTGAGTTCAACTGAAGGATGGCGAAACTCTTATTAGTCGGTCACTCTCCGCGTCGCGGAGATCGCTTGGGTAAGCCAGTTTGATCACTTGTCCACCCCATAATTCTTGGTGAGCGAGATCGTGCTCAACGTACAAATAGTTCCCCCAACTTAAGATTGTTTGCAGGCATGGGACACAATCACGGGCAAAAAACGAGCTTCCTCTCTACCAATTTTGCAGACCCCCACTTGGATTCAGCGGCCGTATTGCTTGGACTGAAAATCGCCAAATTTTTGAAGCGTACTTGGAAAGCTTTGAGTGGTCATAGTGACAATCGACTCAGATTTTGGTCTTGGATAACGGACAACCGGTTCACCAGCCGGATACCCCAATAATCACGCAGGTCAGAATCAAAACGCAACAAGCATTAACCGATATTGCAGCACGAGGTAGGTCATTTTGATCGTGGCCGTCCGGACTCTGTAGTGTTATCTATATTCTATAGACTTGAGCGACATTGACTCACGTATTCTCCATACCCTACTAATTTGTACATCAGGATCGCATTTCCTATCCTATATCAATGCCTGCACATAACAAATAATAAAGATTCACATCGCTCGCATATCTATTATCCTACAACCTGTTCATCTTGATAAACATATTATTAATAGCGTTTGTTCATTCCCTGGTGTAGTAGCTAGTGCCAGTTTCTGTCACCTCTACACTATTATTAATATCGTTTGAGAAACTCTCCCCAGATGTAAATCTTTAGATGAACGCGTGCAAAAATTAAAAGATGACTAATTAGAAATTTTGAACTATCCTCACTATTCAAAAAGCCCAAGGACACTCGAACATCCATAGTGCAGGCCGCGTTGTTTCATTGCAGCTGTTGACATGTCCAACGCATCGTGGTGCGATCCTGAATATGGCTGGCCTGCGGATGGGTTGGAGAGGTTACCCCCCTGCCAGGAAGAAACGTATGTGTATCCCGACGAGTCACTATTGGTATTTTGTTTTACTCAATCTGCGAATAGTCTTCGACAGATTCCTTGGGCATTATTGTTTTTATTTGGAGTTCCGAGACTTGTCACGCTTTTGAGAGGTCCGTCTCCAGCTGTTCCACGCGGGACATTGTATTGGGGGAAATTGGTATGAAGAAAACCGCTGAGACTCTTGCAAGAAGGCCTTGCTCAAAAAAGAACGTTATTTAGACCCTGGCGTTCGTGCTACTAGTACTCCACGTTGGAGAATACCTCAACGCATACCTACAGGGATCGCTCTGCGATGGTCCGGAATATCTGTGCGCCCGCGTATCGTTTTGGTTGGGTGCTGCGGCTTTGTTGTTTGCAATTGTCTTGCACCATGAAGAACATTTGCGGTCGAGAGTGCCTTCGACAGTTTTGCTATTTTTCTGGCTCTTTACGTGAGGATTCGGTGTTCATTGTAGTGGCCGTGGATGCAGTTGCGGTAGACTTATTACTCTTACAGCGTCGTGGCAGGGATCGTCAAATTGAGAACCTTGGTGTTGGTTGGAGCATACGCACGAGATCAGGTCGGATTTGCCCTCTATGTGAGCTTTCTGGGATTAGCGATCTTTCTGTTTGGATTGGAGAACGTGCCCAAACCGGGGACGTATTATAGCAGTCTTGATGAGGACGTGGTATGCCTGTACATTTCCTGCTCATGAGGCGCTTTCAACTATTAACGTTTTTAAAGTCTGCCAGTCCGGAAGAAACCGCCAATATCTTTTCGCGGTTGACGTTCTTCTGGATGGATCCCCTGATGAAGCTTGGGTACCGAAAGAATCTGGACATGAATGATCTTTGGTCTGTTTCTCTTGAGCACGAACAACATTCTCCTTCATCGCTCATGTATATTGCAGGAATCTGAAGCGAAGTGATCGTTCAGCCGTCACCGGTGGCATGTTTCAAGCAGCCTGGGAGGAAGAATTGATGAAAAAGAGGTATGCGGCGCACATTGTGAAGAAGGGTCAACCGTTTGCTGATGTTCGTTTCAGGCCGTCTTTACTGAGAGCGTGCGTCAAGACATATGGACTTCCATTTGGATCCGCCGCGATTTTCAAAGCTGCACAGGACATCATGGCGTTTATTCAGCCGGTAGGGTTTATCTGTTGAGGTTTCTTTAAATGCGTAATGATCCTGATGGACGTCCGATGTACAGATTTTTTTAAAGCAGCTGGTATGGACAAGATTGTTCGATGTGTTGTTGCTGGCGTCACTGACTGTGCGGAATAGATGGATTTTGCTAGGAGTTGGTCCGATGGCGATTCTACCCAGGAACGACAACCAATCAACCGTGGTTTCATGATTGCCGGTAGGCCCGTTGCACACGCTTCGAACGCACGAGTACGGTGCTAATGCACTCTCCGTTAGGATTGATGCTTCTGACGGCTGTTACGCAAACCATTATGCTGCACCAGTATTTTCACATTTGTTTAGTGACTGGGATGCGAGTGCGTTGCGCTGGCTTGTGCTTTGCTGGACATACAATTGAGGCTCATGTTTTTTTCGTAGATGCGCTCAGCCATGGTTACCGCCGTTTACCGCAAATCCCTTGTTCTGTCAAGTGTTGCAAGACAAAGTTCCACCGTGGGTGAGATTGTGAATCTGCAGAGTGTTGATGCGTCTGTGAGTCTTCGGTTGTGCACTTTAAAATGTTCTGGGCACCAACTCACTTCGGGATATGATTTGATTTGTCGGTTAGCGCTTGAGCGATCTTTGGTAGGTTACTGACCGAATGCAGCTTTATGAGTGCTATTTTGGCTGATTCCGGGGTTGATTGTGGAAGCTCGTATTTGCACATCATGGTTGGTACCAGTTGCGTTCATTCTTGTGTCGTGTAGCTGCGTTTGCTGACTTCCTCCTGTTTCCTTGCCTCTCAGTGGTCAGGTAACGAATTTGTTCACTATACCGTGCCAAAGATGAGGCGGACTCATCGTGCTTGTAGGTCCTTTCCAAATTGCCATGGCGATCTTTTTCCTGTACCAGACACTCGGGCCATCTATCTTCGCCGGGGTAGCTGTGATGGTACGTCGTGTTACCGTCGTTTACATGGCTTGTGTGGTGTTGCTCAGTTACGTCTTTGCAGATTCTCATGGTCCCCGTTAACGCCTACTTGGCCACGAGATCGCGCACGTTAAACAAAGCTCAAATGGCGAACAAAGACACGAGGACAAAAATGATGGTAGGGCACGGTATATCGTCTCTATCCGAGTGACGCCTTCTCATGTTGATTTTCAGGATGAGTTACTCAATGGAATCAAAGTGATAAAACTTTACGCATGGGAGCGCCCCTTTCTGAAAAAAATCTACAAAGCGCGTGAAGCAGAGTTGGATACGTTGAAGAAGCTGGGATATCTATCTGCATTCCAGAGGTTCGCACCGCACCCAGTACCCTGATTCTTCAACTTTAAAACTGATTGTATTCATATAGTTTCACATGGGCGTGCACACCCTTCCTCGTCTCCTTTGTTTCCTTCGCGGTCTATACGTTAATATCCGATGAACCCCTGACATCGGGCAAAGTATTTGTATGCATTTCACTCTTCAATCTTCTCCAGTTCCCTTTGGCCGTTTTCCCGAGTGTCATATCAGCTGTGATTGAGGCTTCAGTGTCATTCAACAGGCTGTACAAGTTTTTGAGGAATGAGGTGAGATTGTGATCGGCTTCGTCTGCTGGATATGGACATTGGAGTCACACAGTTTTCTTTTGATAGGAGCTCGACAGGAACGCAGTAATTTACGAAACAGTGGTTTTTCAGCCCACATCTGGAAAGGCACAGCGGGTGGTGGTAGAGAATGCTACATTCCAGTGGAGTAAACAGGGAACACCTGTTCTCGAAGACATCTCATTCCGGGTTAGCGATGGACAATTGTTTGCTATCGTGGGCAGCGTTGGTGCAGGAAAGTCAAGTGTTATTGCGGCACTCCTCGGTGAGATGTATAAAATTAAAGGCGACGTCCGGCTGCGTGGGTCGGTCGCCTATGTGCCGCAGAATGCGTGGATCATGAATGCGACTTTGAAGGAAAACATCCTCTTTGGACGGCCTTTTGATGCTCACTTCTATGATGAGGTCATCAAAGCTTGTGGCCTTAAGGCGGATTTGGAGATTCTACCTGGAGGGGACGAAGTTGAGATTGGAGAACGGGGCATCAACTTATCAGGTGGACAGAAGCAGCGGGTGTCATTGGCTCGTGCGGTATATTCTCGGGCAGATATCTACTTGTTTGATGATCCACTCTCCGCAGTTGACGCGCATGTTGGGCGCCACATTTTCAACAATGTCGTTGGACCCAACGGATTGCTACAAACCAAGGCGCGAATTTTTGTCACGCACGGTATACATTTCCTTCCAGAAACCAACGAAGTCATGATGCTTCAAGAAGGTCGAATTTGCGAACTTGGTGCGTTTACTGATGTAATGGCTCGTGAAGGACCCTTGTACACCTTGATGAAGGAGTATGGCAAGCGTCGTGATGAAGATGAAGGTGTCGAGGACGACGAAGCGGACGATGTTGTCCCTCCCGTCGGGTCCGTTGGAAGTCTGGCGGAGAAACCTCGTTCCCGGCGCACCTCGAACGTGAAAGGCTCTCACACGCAACTGGATAATGCTGCCGCGTTGAAAAAGTTACCGACACCCATAAATTCTCTCATGACCAAAGAAGAAAGCGCAGTCGGCTCCGTTTCATGGGACGTTTACTCAGCCTACGCAAAAGCGTGTTCAGTCCGCATGGTTGTCGCCTACCTCATCATTGCAGTTCTTTCGCAAGTTCTAAGTGTTGCACAAAATGTATATCTGGCGGATTGGGCCGCGGAAAACGATAGAATGGAATCGCACGTTTTAGGAGGAGCTCGGAATGACCATGTCTTGAAGAGATTGGCTGTGTATGGTGGTCTAGGATTCACGTACTCTTTTACAATTATTGGGCAAGTCATTTTTGTGTGGGTTGCTTGTGGAATTCGGTATGTATCTTGATGTGTCGGCTGGTTTACGCCATTGAAGCTAATTTATTTGATAGATCTGCTCGATTACTCCACACGCAAATGCTGGAGAACATTGTTCGGTATGCACTTCAAATAACGTATTGCCGCTGAGATACGCACTGCTTACATGTATACCTTGTAGACTGCCCCAATCCTTTTATGACACAACCCCTCTTGGACGCGTCATGAACCGATTCTCAAAAGACCAGTACACGGTGGACGAAGTTCTCCCGAGAGTCTTTCAAGGATATTTCAGAACCCTATTTGCAGTGCTCTCGGTTATTGCTGTGAATCTGATGGGATCTCCCATGTTCTTGCTGTTTGCGATACCGCTAAGTGAGTCGCCACATACCCTTGGCGTGTTGCAATTGGCGGCCGGATGTTGATCTTTCTGTTCTTTCTAGGTATCTTGTATGCGTACTTCCAACGGTTTTACCTCTCCACCTCTCGGGAACTGAAGCGGCTTGTATGTGGAAAATTGTTAACGCCTTCCTTGCAATGGGTACTCATAAAGTCTTGTATAGGACTCAACGTCTCGATCCCCTATATACGCCCACTTTTCGGAAACTCTAGGCGGCGTATCCACTATCCGTGCTTATAAGCAGGAACCACGCTTTATGCACACTAACGAATCGAAAGTGGATGACAATATGAGGGCTTATTATCCTAGTATTGGCTCTAATCGCTGGTGTGTATCGCGTTTACTCGCGGCTTGTGGATGGGATTGGACGCCTGATCTCGTTGTTGCGTGCTTGTTGTTGTACAGGTTGGCGGTCCGACTCGAGTTTATTGGATCGTTGATTGTCTTTGGATCGGCGCTGTTTAGTGTGCTTACTATTATGATTCAGGGACACATTTCGGCTAGGTAAGAGTTGGTCGTCCTTTGGGCTTGTTGTGGGTCAGTGGCTAATGTCCAATATATTTTAGTATTGTCGGGCTGATGATTACCTACTCGCTAAAGTGAGTGAACGTGGAGTCGCTTTTTTCTTACCACCAGTGTGCTAATCCATTTATTCCTACTAGTGTTACGCAGACACTGAATTGGATGGTAATTCCTAGCACTACTATTGGTTCTACATGTTTCAATTTTAACATTTGCACTTCAGGTACGGCAATCATGTGAGATTGAAACCAACATAGTCTCCGTGGAACGTATGAAAGAGTACATTGAGCTCCCCCAAGAGGCCCCATATGAAATCCCTGAGCACCACCCACCGGCTAATTGGCCAGAGCGCGGTAGAATCGATTTTGAGCACTACAGTGCGCGGTACAGGCCTGGGCTGGATCTTGTGCTAAAGGTATGAGAGGACCATGCTTCCTTTACGCTCTTTATGGCGTAACTGAATTATGTCGAACAGGATGTTACATTCTCTGTCCACGAACGCGAAAAGATTGGTATTGTTGGACGCACGGGCGCCGGCAAGTCCTCTTTGACCTTGGCCTTATTCCGCCTCATTGAAGCGGCCACCGGTCGAATTATGATTGATGATATCGACATTTCCCATCTTGGCTTATTCGATCTCCGCTCCCGTCTGACCATCATCCCACAGGATCCTGTCCTCTTTTCTGGTACCATTCGAGATAACCTAGACCCATTTAACGTTCACGATGACGCAGCCATTTGGCAGGCCTTGGAGAGCGCGAGCCTCAAAAGCCATATAGGGCGGCTAGACAAAAAATTGGGGGCCATGGTTTTGCAAGGTGGTGAAAATTTCAGTGTTGGACAACGGCAATTAATTTGTTTGGCGAGGGCGTTACTCCGCAAGACGCATATTTTGGTGTTGGATGAGGCGACGGCTGCGATTGATGTAGAGACAGGTTTGTTCTTTGTCAATTCTCAGCGCTTTTTGGCGTCGGTTGTAACGTTTGCTCGTCTAGATACAATTATACAAAAGACGATTCGAGAGGAGTTCAAGGACTGCACGATTATCACCATTGCTCACCGTATCAACACGGTTATGGATAACGATCGGTGAGTACTTTTTGACAATTGCTTTCCGGTGATGACGATCTCACAGTCGGTCGTCCTATTTCATAGCATCCTCGTCCTAGACCGTGGTCAAATTGCAGAGTTTGACACACCGAACAATCTGCTCGCAAATAAAAAGTCTATGTTTTATAGTCTAGCGAAAGAGGCTGGTCAAGTAGCATAAATTTATTCTGTTTTGGATTGTGTAGAATGAGATAAAAATATGGAACATTCTTATTGGACACTGGGAGGAGTCTCAATCTAATATAATATTGGGGGAACAATCGATATGGGGTATGACTTTATCGAAGTCTAAAATGATCGCCACCCGGTACATCAGTGCCAGCCGAGCGATAAATTAAGCCAGCGACTTGTATTTAAGTCGTATTTAAACAATATGCTTCTATTTCTTGCTGAAAGGTCCCAGCTGATTGAGCCGTCGAAGAAGCGAATGATCCATCTGCGCATCAGCTGCAGGAGGGGGCGTCATGGAACCCACTGTGACGCTTGACAAGGAAGGGGTGAACGGTGGAGGTCTCGCACTCGTCACAGTGTCCTCGGAACCTTTTCGCGATTGCTTCGAACTTGCTCCCCCTGGTTCGGGCTCCCACATGTAACTTAACCCCTCCACATGTCTGTCATTCATCCAACACCTCGTCACAAGCCAATGCATCGGACCAACGTCCACAACCGGATTCGCAACTGTTCCCACATCTTTATCCCATTCTGCTTCATCCTCCTTGCACACATCCATGATCCGTTTGGCTTCCGCTGCATCATGGCTCAAAAGCCTGTCCAGGATGGGGACACACGGCTTTTCGACTCGATCCAGTTGCTGCCGGAACCATCTTGGATCCTTCATATCCGCCGACACCCTTAGGAGATCGTCGTAGAGGCCCCGATACTTTTTGCTAACAGTTTTCCAGGTACCGCTTAACCGCGCAACCAAGACAGAGGATAAAGCTGAGAGAATAGCCTGCAACCCGTGAAAATCCCGATTAATGAACAAGACTTGAGCGACGGTGATCCATCGCACGATGCAGGACGCTCGAGAGATGGGTTGGTCGTGCTCGAGGATGGTGGATTGAACGGTTCGGTAAAGGAAGTGCGCGAAATCTTGGGCACGACGGATGGCGTCCGATGCGGAACCACCCGATGTGGCGTATCCGAGCAAATCCACTGCTTTGATACCGCGGAACATGTCCACATCAAAGCAGAGAATAGCTTTCCCGAGATCGTCGGCGCTCACATCGACCAGCTTTCGGTTGCCCCATTCACTGATTATGGCGTTCAAGGAAACTAGTCTATTTTTTGCTACGCTGGACGTTTCGACAAGCCGGCGGATCTGGGATAATGTTCCAGCTGTCTGAGAGTAAGGTCTGCCTGTATGTTGGGTGTTTTCGAGGACCTGCAGCTGTGAGCATGCGGTGTTGTATTGGTCTGATAGTATCCTATGTTGATAGATGAGTGGGGAGGTAGGGATCATTGGAAGGTACGAATTTGCAGGGGATTGAGATGTAACCGAAGCTGCAGAAGAAGAGTGAGATAGCGGCGCAGGTGGTGGTGGCATGGGGGATTGGGGTGTGCTTGGCGACGTCGGAAGGTTCGCGTTGTTTGGGGAACCCAATGGTGAGGACTTTGCTTTGGCTTGCTCCCGAGGAACAGATGGGAAGTGCCATATCAGCGATTCGCGAGGTGGGGGTGCGCTAGGGGAGGATGGGGCATACGGTGTGATGTCATTTTGAACTGAGGCATTAAAACCATGAGGTACTTGTTGCGTATCGTTTGCTTTCCCTTGGGATGGGACAGAAGGGAATTGCCAGATCAACGATTCCCGGGGTGGTGAGGTCGCTCCGGGAGCAGATGGTTGCTGCTGGGGTATAGATGATGCGCTTTGTTTGAGGGCATGTATGCTGTCGGCGTCAAAGGGTGGCGGTGGAGACGTTGCGCGGTTGGTATCTCCGAGAAGCCAGGAAGACGCATCTGGTGTTGCATTCCTCTGCGCCTATGGAGATTAGATCCAAAATTCAATATGTGTATCTTTTCATACGGCAAATAAGAAGGTCCTCACCAGCCTTTCTTCGCTTGGGTTGCTAGATCCCAGCGCCCTAGCCAACGAGCTGCGATACGAGTTCCAAGTACTGCTCCGTTTGATGGAGCTTTCAACAGATCGGATAGATCGCGGACGTGACAACCGGTGCTCACGAAAGTCTTTTGGCGGTGAAGCCCTTTCCGATTCATCCCCCTCTGGTTGATGGATCGATGCGTCATCATGCTCGTCATACGGTTCTAGATCGTCCACGGAAACGGTGCCAAACATGATGTCCTCTGCTTCAGTGAAGCTATTTGATGCCAACGAATTATCAACAAATAGTAGTGTGTGTTCATGATTTAGTTCTCCAATACGTACCATAAATGGGCCAATCCAAAAAGTCGCTCAGCATCGTCTGGAAGAGTAGTCGCAACGTTCTTAAACTTTCTGTCACCATTTTCAGTAGTTTCACCATTGGCAGAGAACACCGTCTCTTTGGCTAGGTGCGCTATTATTAGAGAAACGGCTTGTAGATAAGAGTGGAAGGCCGCTTGCAGGTCGAGTTGCGCCAGATGCCTGTCCGCATCGGCAATTGTAAAGTCAATGTTCGACATGATGCAGTTTGCGGAACGCTGCAACAAAAAGTATGTCGATATCGCTGCTTGATTATGGCAGAGCGAAGAGGACTTACCAGCAGGATGGTCTAGTGATGAAAAATGGCGTCCAAGGACGGGCGACCAGAACGAAAACATGCCAAGAACCCCGTTCATTACGAGGGTGTCATTTACCCCAAATTGGATTGTGACTCACCCCGCACCTTCACGCGTTGGTTCATCAAATTACATCCTTTGACTGTTCTGCCGGGAAGCGATGCAATCTCGAATAACCCCATCCAACCTTCAGTCTTTCAATAACGACTTGGTAAAGAGTGCGTGAAGTATTGTATGTGGCCTTTGGTGTGTTCAGCGCGTACTAAATCATCAACCCGTACCTCGCTAGATCTTGAGCATTTGCGAGATCAACGAGAAGCAATAGGTACGGTTGTGTGGCAAAAATAGCAGCCTATGACAGTGAAAACAGACAACGGGCGTATCGCAAATCCTGAAACTGATTATTGCTCTGAACAGAAGTTGAAATAAACAAAGAAGAATGTCGCAAGGATGATCTTCAGCAGCAAATCCATGAGCTTACCGATCAGTTGGAGCGAGTGAAACAGTCCTTAACTAAAGTAAGTGGATCAGCTTCCTATGATTGACATAACAATCCGCTCAATAGTATCTAACAATCTAGAAATATACTGTACGAAATGAATATGATCGGCTGATACAGGTAAGGGAGAACCCTCTGTGGCCATTTGCACTTAGTCAGCCATTTATTCAAAGAATTATCTCATCAGGATACAGAGACCGCATATCAGAAGGTAATGTGCTCTGGCGGGCGTGTCATCAAGAGATTCGTACAGACCATCCAACATAGATCGTGGAGTCATCCCAAACGCTCCTGGAGCTCTTACAACGGGAAAGTCAGGCCATTGCATCACATAGTGGACGCGGGATCTGTCCCAGTACGGACTTTGGATCTCATGTCTAAAGGTATGTTCAACAGGCTGTCGGGGGACACTGGTTGAGTGTTCATCAGAACTTGTAAAATACAGACCCAGCGAAGGTCAAGTGAACGCTCCCCAGAGAAAGCTCATCGAGACTGCTTTTCAAATCTTCCTTATCATTCTTCCGCAAACCTTGATTGGATGTACATTACTTAACTATTTTAATCGTCAGTAAATATCTTGCTCCTGGATGAAAAAGATCTCGCTACTATTCATCTGCGTAATCCAGAAAAATGATGTCTTTGTGGCATATCGCAATGTGGAGACCCAGAAGCAATTGGACTTTGTACTGCACTGATTTGAAAATCGATTCTCAGGGATGAGCAATTCGACAGGCTTGATCGAAGTCCTGAGAAACGCGGAAACGTGATCGTTGTCACCATCCCTACTCGTATTGGCAAGAACATGTGGGATATCCTTAAACGCAGCTGACGAACATGTCCGACATGGGCAAGTGCTTAAATCCGAGCGTGGGAATCGTTAAGCTCCACACTTCGCAGCTTGGGGTTATGGAGTCAGGAGTATCCAGTGCCGCTGTTGACAATGGGATGAGCACTTTTCTCTATCAGAAAGTTGCCCCTCTTGCATCGCTGGGATTTCGAACAAGAGCTGTTCCACTTTTCCGCTGAGCAACTGCAAACGAGCGTCGCTCATTGGCTTCATGTTCATCAGTATCGCTCGGTGGTTGACAAATCCTCTTGATACGAAAAGGTTTAGGGCACATTGTTCTTCGCTGATAATGTTTAGTCACCGATCTCCAGTTCAGGCCCAGCGCGTCGCGCGACGATGGTAAGGATGATCGACGCTACTGCGCCACATGATCAATCATCACCTACTCCTTCTCATAGCCTTCCAATGTTAGCTAGTCTTTCCCACGTAGATGATGACGACAAAACGGGCGGGTGACTTTGAAGTAGAATACGCTAAAGTAGAGCTACCCGTGGGCGTACTTTTGACTATTTGGAATCTCTCTAACTCGTTGGACATAGTCTGGACGTGCCGCATGCAAAGGATGTCGTTCAAACATTGCCCAAGGTTCAATAAGGATAGCAACACTCACACAGTCACCTTTCTTTGATGGGCTCCAGCCAAACTGGCATCATTTAGCATGCCGTAAGTTTATGGCTACGGAATGGGGCGTGTACCAATGAAAACGTTCATAACTTAATTACCTTTTAAATTTGACTAGTTGTTAAAAAGCCGGTCGCCAAAAAGCTTCGTGCAGCCGAAAATATACATGGGTTTCTCAACTTGGTGTGTGGTGTAAGATATGTCCTCGCTCTGTGCTGTCCTAACTAGCTTGAAACAGCGTTGGGATGATCAAGAAAAACTGAGATCAAAGTTTGGATCCGTCATGGAAGACCCAGCGGGCTCACAGGACACCAACAGTAACCCTCATGGTCTCCAATGTGAATATGCAAAGAGTAGCCGAAGCACATGTCGTGGTATGTACCAATTACTACGCAATGGAATCTTGACTATCCTGCATGCTGATGCAATGCGAATGAGCAGTTTGCGATGAAGCTATTCCAAAGGGTGAACTCCGATTAGCTATTTTGGTCGAGAGAGACCAGGCGCCGGGCATGTTGATTCCTGCATGGCATCATGTGAGTCCACACAAGTCCTCTTTCCTGGTAAGGCTGAAATAGTTTGACATCTTTCAGCCTGCTTGCTTCTTTGAGCATCACCGCGAAAAGGTCAAGTCGTCAGACGAGTTTGATGGTAATATCATAAGACTTCACATGATGTAATTGACTGACTGACCAACATGACTCAAGGTATTGAAAAGATGCGGACGCATGACCGAGCTGTTATTGCCGCACTCATTAACGGCGAACGTAAGCTGTCCACTGAGCCAAATTATACATGATTGACAATTAAGCTATCTACTCAATTTAGCATTACCCGATCCACCAGAAGAAGAGCCGGAAGAAGAGGTGACGGCTGGGCAAAAATCCTATAAGAAAGGAACGGTATCCGGGTCAGAGTCGCCTCTGAAGAAGGGAAAAGAAGTGCTGGGTAGGTAAAATGAAACGGGACGTAGCTTGCGAAGTACGCGGTCCAAGAACAAGAGATCTCTTGAAGAAGAGGAGCCTGCAAAAGAGAATGGGTCTGCTAAGAGGAGACATTGCGAAGACGATTCAATAAGGGTGGAGGCCATAGACGCAAGCCATTCAACTTTGAACGGCCCAGACGAATCATCGGCCGCGGCTATGAGCGAGGCGCATGCGAAGCTGCGAGATCAAAGCAATGCAATATGGGCTGTCAAAGACAACATTGCTAAAAACAGTGACCGCAAAAACAAGCAACTGTATAAGCACATTCTTCACATGAATGGCATCAATGTGTCTAATCGCTATAGCGAAAGCGACATGATTGCGATATTAGCCGATGCAATGGTTTTTGGGGTTACTGAAATGTGTCCAGAGTGCAAGAGTAGCCGTTTAATTCCAGAGGAATATCACTACCGTTGTCCTACATATTTGGATTGGGGTCAATGCGCGTATCACACTTCTGAGCCGAAATTCATGAAGGTAAACCAACGGATTATCAATGTTCCCTTCGCAGTGGAGCTGTTTTCTCCTCAGCTTCCCTATCGCCTATTAGTTCTCTGTCCCTGTCGATGTAGACGTTGAGTGGCTTCGCGACTATGAATATACTCCTCGTACCAGAGTTTTTTTGCAGAAGGTAGGTTACTGTAAAGTTCGCTTTAGTTTCTGATCTCACACAGCGCATGGGCACGTTACAGGCAGTAGAAGCACCACCAATTTCTGCCGCAAAATTGAAGTCGGATATTGCTGTAAGACGGGCAGAGGCGGAAGCCGAAGTCATCGACACGGACAAGCCTTTTGAAGGAAGAACTGTTGCTTGTGCTGGAAAGCTCGCACACAATCAGTCGCATTACCAGCGACTAATAGAAAGCGGCGGAGGTGCTCTCTCCAAGACTGTCACCAGTAGCCTCTGGTTCGTGGTTTCTACAAAGACAGAGGTCGACAAGAATAGCAACAAGATAAAGCAAGCAGCCGAAGCTGGAGTGGATGTGGTAGATGCATCGTACATCACGGATTGTATCGAGCAGAAACGGCGTTTCAACTTTCGAGATGCGAAATATCTTCTAGTGTCGAACAGCAATACCCGCGCTCCTGCCAGACCGGAAGAAAGGAAGCGAAAGGGAGAATTCTTGGAAACGGAGCAAAGGCCTAAGACTGCGAGGCTAACATTGAAGGGCGGTGCTGTGGTGGACCCAGAATCTATGCTTGAGGATACCCATCACGTCCTTCATGATGGCAAACTGCTGTGGTCTGTTGTTCTCTCACGAACCGACGTGGAGAAGAATCTGAACATGTACTACAAATTGCAGGTATGTATTTTCCCCGTTTAGGACAGTGTGGTGCATAACATTATAATGCACCTGTGTAGGTGTTGGAGCCAGATAATGGTTCTTCGGATTATTATTTGTTTCGCTCCTGGGGTCGTGTTGGAACATCCAGAGGCGGCACAAAGCTGGAGGACTTTGATAAACAGACAGCGAAGGAGGAATTTCAAAGATTATATGAAGAAAAGTGTGGGAATGAGTTTGGCAAGCCACCAATCAAGGTAAATGCAGGACTTTGAAGTGACATGAGCAGACGCTAATTCAATGTCTTGTATCTAGCATCCTGGGATGTTATTTCCGCTCGAGGTTGATTTCGGTCAAGATGACGACTTCGCGTTAAAGTCCTCTGTCACACCTGGGTCCAAAACTCAGTTAGCAAAGCCCATCCAGGAAATCATCAAACTAATATTTGATGTGCAAGCCATGAAACAAACTTTAAGGGCGATGGAAATTGACCTTTCGAAAATGCCTCTTGGAAAGCTTTCGACGAATATGATTATGGCCGCGTATAAGGTCCTTGCGGATGCTTTAAACTTGGTGAACAGCCATGCGGATGGGGTTGGTTCGAGAACTAGGGTCCTAACACTCTCGAATCAGTTTTTCACATTGTAAGGCCAAGATTGTTAGTTACAAATAACCGGTGACTGCCTGTGCAAACACTTATGCTGTTGATTATAAAGGATACCTCACGACTTCGGCGGCAACAGTGCCCCCTTACTTGATAACGAAGAGGTGCGATTTGCGGTTGACGCATGCAGCATGGGGTAGCAACTATCGTCTCATAGAGCATGCTATCTGCAGATCATCCGTTCGAAATTGGAAATGCTGGATGCCATTAAGGACATTGAAATTGCAACAAGTCTCCTCAAGGACGAGAAAACAGAGGAAGGTACCGAAGACGAGGATCCGGTTGATGTCCACTATCGGAAGTTGCGGACGCATATTGAAGTGCTAGAACGTAATTCGGTGAGGATGTTCTGTATTCTTTGATGCCGGGTGGTACTACTTCTAACAGGGTGCACGTGCCGTGCAGGAGGAGTTTAAAATTGTTGAACAGTGTACGAAGACTACACATGCACCAACCCATACGGACTATTCGCTTGTCATTGAGGATGTGCTCAAGGTCAATAGAGAGGGAGAAGAGGAGCGTTTCAAGGCGTTTGAAGATCTGCACAATAAGAAGCTTTTGTGGCATGGATCCCGCTTGACAAACTTTGCGGGTATATTGAGGTAAAGTCGAAACAGTCAATGGGATCATACCGAGGAATGTCCATGACCAATTGTCATTCGACAGTCAAGGACTACGAATAGCCCCTCCCGAAGCACCCGTTACTGGATATATGTTTGGAAAGGGTATCTACTTTGCGGACATGGTGTCAAAGGTGGGACCGGTCTTTTGCGCTTTTTTCTTGAATTGTCCACAAGACTCATGTGTATGGTGTAGAGTGCAAACTACTGTTGCGCAGACCCGAAGCAACGTACCGGTCTGTTGCTACTCTCTGAGGTTGCATTGGGTACGCATCATGCGAATGTTGATCAGTTTATTTTGTCACTGAGTGATGCCTCTAATTGTCCCACAGGCGACATGTATGAGATAACTAAAGCCGAATTTATTGAAGAGTTACCAAAGGGCAAGACGAGCACCAAAGGTAACGTAAACGCTGACAATGCCTGCCAACATCATTGCTAAGCAAAGGTTTTGCTCAGGCTGTGGCCAAACTGGTCCAAAAGAATTCATTTCCTTGCCAGGGACAGATGATGTCCAGGTTCCCATGGGACCGCCTACACAACAAAAGCTTGGTGGCAAGTCACGCAAGAGCGATCTACTTTATAATGAGTACATTGTCTACAATGTGGAGCAAGTGCGCATACGCTACTTGGTCAAGGTCAAGTTTGACTTTGGAAGGCGGAGGCGGTAATCTAATGGTAACTGGTATATGTGCAATGTCGTTACACGTGGCCCGTTCACTCGCCTTGCCATTCTCTGCCGTTGTTTGCGCTCACACAGACGATAAGTGCACTGAGTAAGATTTTTTGTTTAAGCATGTGAAATGGGTCTAGTGTGTTCTGCGATTTTCCTTTGTTTGTAAACAAAGACAGATGCAAATTGATCAGCGCAGGTTCGGACAAAACATTCTGGTCATTTTATGTCAGTGATGAGAAAAGGAAAGCGGCCGTTGACATGACCATATTGGCGTCATTGTTAAAGTGGGAAAACTCAAAAAAAAAATGCAGCCATAAGTCAGTGAGATGCGTGGGAAAAAAAACTCAAAATTGCATTCAGATGGGGAACGCAAAATTGACATGTGCTAATACCTTTTTTGAAAACGGAATTTTGGGACGCGCCATCCAAGAAGTCACCGCCGCCCGTTTTCCCCCATCACACATTTTATATATCGCACCTGTTTCCATCGTTCTCCCCTCTCGATCCCCATTGTTATTTTTGTTTTTTATCCAAGAGCTCACCTCCCTTCAACACATTTCACAACAACAACACATCATCATGTCTGGCATCGTTAACCGCGCAACTGAGACCGTGAGCACCACTGCCAATGCGGTTGCTGCTCGTGTGGATCCTTACGTTCCTCAGGTGGCAAAGGTGGGCATTCTAGGAGAGGACTGAGTACCTCGGGTTCAACCCCTCGTGCACAGCTTTGGTGTCGCGCCCCAGAGTTGGGCACCCCCTGGGCAGTTGGATTGCAGCATACTGGTGTGATCTTGAACAATTTCACTCATCTGGCAATTTTGAATTGCTTTCTTTTAGAATGCGGCCAACTTTGCCATTGGTACTGCCAGTGCTACAGCCAACTTTGCCGTTGGTACTGCTAGTGCGACAGCCAACTTCGCCGTCGGCACCGCAAACGCTGCAAAGGACCGCGCTGTCAACACTGTCACGGGCACCGTCAACTTTGCCAGCAACACTGTCAACGCAGCCACCGGCTTCGCCTCCGACAAGGTCCACGGAGCCATCGACTTTGGAAAGGTAGTCGTCACAGGAGCCACGACCACCATCACCTCCTACACCCCCAACCCGATCCTCAACCTCGTCACCTCCACCGTTGATGGAGCCAAAGCCCTTGGCACAGATCCAGTTGGCACCGTAAAGGGGTACATCCCCACCTTCGTCATTCACGCTGGCGAAAAGACTTACGAGGTTTGTAATGGAGAATAGCATCCGGTTAAACCGCCTATTTGACTAATAATGAATCCTGCCCCTCGATAGATTGTACACAACACAAAGGACCGTACAGTAAACGGTGTCAATGCAACCACAGGCTTCATTGTGACCAAAGTCAACGGCGCTGTTCATGCCGTCACTTCCGTACCCCAGATTCACAACCTCATCGAGCAGCTCAACAAGCTCACCGCCCCTGTTCTGAACAAGTTGGGTGTGAGCCGACCTGCACCCGAGGCTGCTGCAGCCAACGGTACAACGGCGCATTAATGATGACGAGTTATGGTGTTTTAATATTATTAATTAGGAGCCTTTAGTGTTAGTGGTATACCGCGGTTGAGGTAGTTGGCAGCGGCTAACTTAGACTAGTCACTTGTCGTTGTGTATTTGTGTGTTTCTCATTTATTTTATTTTTATTGTATTCTGTGCTAGTTTATTGAACTTATTGCAAGTAGTATATCGACCGAAAATAGTCGGTCTATGTTTCTATTATCTTTCCACCTAATTCAGCACGAAAAAGGGGCACATGGTATGTTCTGATCAAACCAGCTTACGCAGCAAATGTACTGTACTGTAGTTTGTGGCTGACTCCTTCCATACAAATCGCACTGTGAAGTAATCCGTGCTTTGCATGTTACTTTTCAGCAGACAGTTTAGAAAAGCCGAAATATCAGCAACATAAGACATTCTGAGACGTCTGCATTTAGGTTCTTCAGTTGTCTGTCCTCCTAGGCGAAGCACTGCATTCCTTCTCGTGTCAACTTCCAACTGAAGGACACTGCAAAACAGATCCTCGAAACGCAACTACAACGAGAATGAACAACCATCCCGGAAAAAAGTTGTTCACGCGATGATGGATGATGATGCAGAGCCCTTTGAAATCTGTATCCGACTTCAACAGGTAGTGAGCGGAATGGAGGACTGGAAAGAAGATTCGGAAGTTCGTTTCGAGTCTAAATATGACCATTCTTATCTCCGCGCCAATAGTTTTGTACCCCTTCCATCGCCAGACGACGTTCTCCTCTTATTAAATGGAAACCGTATGGAATCCTTATGTTGGGATATTGGCTGGAAAGCGATACTCTACATTGATGTAGTGACAAGTTGAAACTGGACTCGAAGCGTATCTAAGGGGTGGAAGAGAGGCAAGGAATCACCTTCTACGTCGTGTCGATAAACAAACTGTCAAATTCTGGATGATAGGCATGGACTAGGCGGTGAAACTCTTGGGACAATCGTTGAGATCGCAAGAACTCGGATGCCATCTATCAGCGAATCTTGGCACATAGTCAGAATATCATCAACAATAGCCCGTTGATTTCGACGCAGGTTAAAACAATCGCCTGCGAGAACCTTGGACGTCAACTACAAAAAATCCCCAATTTTGAATATTTTGTTGTATTCGAATTGTTCTTCTTTACTCTGGGTATGTATGTCTTGATCACTCTCGCACGAATTAAACAATTTAATACTATCTCCTTACTAGAATAGTCCAAATAATGGCAGCGAGTGCCAATGTTTGTTCAGATGTGGTGCTTCGGCCAGGGCAGGGGCTAAGCAAAATACCGCGAGATGTACCATTCGCTGCAGCAAACCGAACCATCGAAGAAGATTAGGCTGGATATGTGGAGATCGCCGGCAACGCCTTGATTTATGCCAATTGTTTAGTGTATTAGGTGACAGAAACCGGAACTAGCTACTACACCAGGGAATGAACCAGCGTAAACTGGCTCGGAAAAGCCGAGTAATTCCCTCCTTACAACCAACTAACTACCACTAGGCCCAATGACATATGCAATACATTACGGTTGTTCTAACCGGGTAACTAAGCCCACCACACGAGAGAAATCCTACTAAGCCCTTGATTCCGAAATTCTTTAGTCAGAGGATGTTTTCAGATACTTAAGGTAATGGGAATTAGACTGGGAATACGCGCGTGGGAAAAAATCATAAAGATATACCTGCGATCGTAGCAATATAGTAGTAGCAGTGTTTGCAAGGGCCGAGTAATTCCCTCCTTACAACCAACTAACTACCACTAGGCCCAATGACATATGCAATACATTACGGTTGTTCTAACCGGGTAACTAAGCCCACCACACGAGAGAATCCTACTAAGCCCTTGATTCCGAAATTCTTTAGTCAGAGGATGTTCAGATACTAATTAAACCAGAATTAGACTCGGAATACGCGTGGGAAAATACAAAGATAATGCATACCTGCGATTGTTGCAGCATAGTAGTAGCAGCGTTTGCAAGGGGTTATGTTGTTTTTGTCAGGAGGGCGAGGTCCTCGGCACCAGAGCGGCATTCTCATGATGGACTTGAGAGTTGCTTGTGCGTTGGGCAGATGCTTCAAGAGTCGAGGAACTGGTGAGGAAGGGGAGAGAGAGCAGGTCCCCTTTTATAGACCTTCCGCATGCACCTCACCGCAGTTTAAAAAAAAACATTACATGCATGCCACACCAATCTGAGCGATAGATGGGGGTTCTGATTATGCGATATGATTAACCGGATTAATCCGGATAATATTGGTCCTAGTGCCATTTTCAATCACCTCCACACTATGTTCGTTTGATTAGATTGTAAGATACAGCATGTGCATAAAAGTAGAGAGAATCACGTGATTCACGTGGTGGTCTAGAATTCTAGTCTATTCTTAATACCGCGTCCACCATCCATTGGCATCTACCACAGCCTGCATACGTCTAGGCATAGATTCTACAAGTTTAAAGAGGTAATTTGAAGATAAAGCTTGCGCATTCCAACGATGGCAGCACGCTTGTGTGAATCAAGCGCCATGCCGCCGCACCAGCAAGAGTCTTGGACGTCGACCACTGGGGTATAGATTGGCAGAGCATCACGTGCACACGTGATTCTCTCTACTTTTATGCACATGCTGTACTGTACAAGATGAACATTCTATTAGCCACACTGGTGAGGCACTTGACAATCATTCAGCCGGATGGAACCACCATTGGGCCAATCAGAGCGCGACAGCACGCTAACTAATACACACTCAAATACTGAACCTACGAGCCATCGTCTTTCATCCGGAACCGAAACAGTACGAAGATGGGTACAAAAAAAACCTCGTTCTCCTTCCTACTATGTGTACTTGCTCTGTTGGGCACTGCTTCGTTCGTGCAGTGCGACTCCGAGCACGTTTTGGCGTTGACACCTAGTGATTTTGACAAGGTTAATACCCTGCAACAACTATCTGAAAACGCGCTGATTCTGAACCATCTCGTGCTCATTCTACCAGCATGTTGATGGGAGTAAACCCGCCCTCGTAGAATTCTACGCCCCATGGTTCGTTCATGACTTCATGCTTGCTTTTCGCATGGAAATGGCTACTGACTTTCAACTTTTTCTCTTTCCTCCTCAATTTCATCCAGGTGTGGTATGTGTTTACTGATCTCTTGCTAAATCTCGCTGCTAAGGGTCACTAATCTCATGTTGTCTTCACAGGACATTGCAGTTAGTATCATGGCATATCTCAATTCATTCACCGTTTAGTTTTGATTGGGATTTACTGATGCGTCCATATTCTACCCCTTGTCCGTCACTATTGAATTTCAGAGGTGCGTGAGCTGCTGTGTGTTTTTCCGATCAATATCAATACTCACGATTCATTGGCTTTTTGAATGACAGTCATTGGCACCGGTAGGTTCAAACAAGCAAAAGGATTTGCTGAGCATTGGTCTGACGTCTTTCTCGGAATAGATATATGAAGAGCTGGGTGCGGCTTTCGCCAACGCGAAGAACGACATTGTTATTGCAAAGGTTGATGCGGATGCGCATAAGGAATTGGGATCCCGATTTGAAGTCAGGGGATACCCAACCATCAAATGGTTCCCAAAAGGCTCAAAGACACCTGAAGATTACAATGGTGGTCGGGACTTGGACTCTTTTCTGAAATTTATCGAAGAAAAATCTGGAATTAAGGCGAACGTCAAGAAACCACAAACTTTTGTTAAAGTGCTGACAAGCGGATCATTCGACGAGGTTGTCAAGGATCCCAAGAAGAATGTGCTTGTCGAATTTTATGCTCCATGGTGTGGTACGTCCTTGTTTCGATACGCGATGTCGGCCGTAGAGCCTACTTCATCCACATTATTGTTCATCAGGTCACTGCAAGAATTTGGCCCCTATATACGAAAAGGTGGCCAAAGATTTCGCTTTTGAGCCAAACTGTGTGGTGGCAAATGTGGATGCAACAGCTGCACCCGATCTCGGGGAGAGGTACAATATTGCAGGTTACCCAACCATCAAATTTTTCCCAGCTGGAGGCGACCCAACATCACCCGAGGACTACCAGGGTGGTCGCTCTGAGGAGGATTTCGTCAAGTTTTTGAACGAAAAATGTGGCACTCATCGCACTGTAGGCGGTGGACTTACGGACCTGGTTCGTCTGTCACTTGCAAAGATGCTCCTCAACCGTACAGAGGGATTAAAATTTTGTGCCGACTAGGCTGGGCGTATCGCTGCCTTGGACAAATTAGCGGCGAAATTTGTGGCCGCTTCTAAAGAAATTCGTGATAGCCTCATCGAGCAGGCCAAGGAAGCTCTAAAGGGCCATCCTTCCAAGTAAGAAGGAACGTGTCCAAGAGCTGTCACTATTCACTAATGGATGTATTTTGCAGATTCTCCAAGTACTACCTTAAAGTGATGGAGAAAATTGCAAAGGGCAACGAAGCGTTCCCTGGGACGGAGATTACCCGCTTGGAAAAGGTCCTCAGCACAGGCAACACGGACCCTTCCAGGATAGATAACTTCTTAATCCGAAAGAACATTCTCCAAGCTTTTGTGTCGGGGAAGACCCCTGCTAAAGAGGCCGAGAATGTGAAAATCGACGGCACATCTGACGCTAAAGATCATGAAGAGCTGTAGTATATTGCGTTAATAAACATGGGATGCTTCACAGTGTAATGCCTCAATTAGGGTGGCTTAGTCAAGTTCGTACTGTTGCTATGGCAGCGCTCATGCTGTAAATTGCCAGCTCTCCAGAACTGGTGAGAGATCAAAATAGTCCAAATGCTGCGAACAAGGACATCGACGGCCGTGTTTCGGCGGCCAATACTATCCCGATCGTTTCGAACGACACCAAAATGCCGTGACGAAGCCGTGTCTGACGAATCCTCCCAGTCCGCTGAGACCAAACTGACACTAACGCCCCAGGAACTTGCACGCCAACGAGCCGATGCATGGCTAAAGGAAGAATCTGGCGGTCTAAAATTCAAGAACGCTAGTACAGCCACCTTTGTTGGAAAGGGTGATAGGGTACGAAATTTTGGTTGAATTGGCAGTTTCTCCTTAGGTGCTAAGTCTCACGTTGAAATCAGCCCTTTCCCATGAACCCTCTTTTTCGACCACAAGCACCTCTCAACGATGCAACACGCAACGAGATATTCAAATTTTACCTAGAAGACCCCAAACACTGGACTCCTCGTGCGCTAGCGGAGCATTTTGGTTTATCTATTGTTCGCGTACAGGCCATTTTGCGGTTAAAGGCTTTGGGAGAACAGTGGAAGAAGGAGGTTGGTCTCTCGAATAGAGTGGTCATTAATACTTTAATGGTGTCACTAAATTTGCCGGGATTAGGACAAACCGTTGCAAACGGAGCTGACCCGCGGCATGGAGAACATGTTGAATTCGGTGGAGTTGAAACCTGGGCAAAGGCGCCTCCGACCACGGGAGCAGTTGCGATCCACTCCAGCGAAACGATTGCAGCCGTTCTTCCGTATGATGAATGAGGAGGAACTTTTCACTCCCGAGGTGCGGACATCTGTGTGCCTATGCTGATTAAGAGGGAAGGGGCTGGCTAACGTTGTATCCACAGGACGCGGCAAAGTTGATGCAAATGGATCCTTACGCCAATCTACAGCGCAAGTTGGACGAAGCTGCTGACCATGTGTTCCAAATGGAAGCACCAAAGAGTAAGGAAGTCTCGAAGCCTTTGCGGGAGGATGCGGCTCAGAAGAGTCGGTTTCAGTTCATGATTGTTGACAATGGGAACGTCGAGGTTAGTGCTGCATCCAATATCTGAATAGCGCAGCATTCCCGTTGCTTACATACGTTGTCTGTCGATGTAGAAAGCAAAAGTGCTGATCCGGGATAGAGATGGCAAGTTGCGTAATGCAACTGTTGAGGAGAGGTTCAGGCGAAAGAACCAAAAGCCAAAGTTCATTATGTAATCGCCACTGACCCATGTAGAAATCACTTATTTTATTGAATCATTATCCACAAAAAAATCGAAAGAAAATATAGGCTAGGGTAACAAACTTTTATGGTTATCCCTCGTTCTTTTCTGACCTCTGTAGGGTTAGATGAAGAAGAGAGACGATAGGGGATACGTGACCGGTGGCTTCTTGGACCTGCTCTGTAGCATACTGCAAATCAGCATGAATTGCGTTTTTGACAGTCAGAACCTAGGGGTGAATCAACGTTAGGCAAACTGATTGTCAATACCAATCCAAATAAGTTCTGGTCTACCTTTTGCTCAATAGCCTCGACGGACGCTAAGGACTCCGAATGTCCGTTTTTGAAAGCATTGCTTACACCTTCAACCGTCTGGATGTATCTCTGCGCCACAAGTTGCGCTCCCTTAAGCGAGTAGGGCCGACAATCAATCAGCCGCCAAATCGGTTCCACCAAATTCATGGCTACCTACGGCTACAAGTCGAATTACCACCTGGCGCAAACGTTTCGCCAGTTCGGTCGATGATAGAGTTGCTGTTGATGCGGTGAGATCCTTTGGTGTCTCCGAACTATATTTGAGTCGCTCTTCTGCGATTCGCATCAACAGCTCTTCAGCGACCCGTAGTATCTGACGGGCATTGAGATCAGCAACAGGCATGGAATGAGGAACGCTACATATTCACTGACCTGTTCGCAAGACTTCTCTCCAATAGCAGCCAGAGAGTTCATGGCTTCGCCATACCTGCAAACATGTATCAATTCGCATTGTGGCATCAGTGATATAGGAAGCACGATAGAACTCACGTTGTCATCATGAACTCTTCAGTAGCGGACGTGACATCGTTTGGTTCACCGTCTGCAGCCACGGATTCAATTTCTACAATTGCAAGGACTTAAGCATTTTCGTAATGGCGATCAGAACCTGACTCCCTGCAGCACCTTTTTCATAAACCACCACTTGCTCATCCCGGAATATTTGCGCCTCGGAGACGATCTGAGTCACGGCTCGTACCTGAGAGCCATTTTCGACGCCTAGGTCATGCAAAAGCTTCATCTGGAAACAATGAGTTGCGTTAACAGCTAAGAGCATCTGAGAAGCGGTACAAAAGATGCCTACCAGTTCTTTGGCCCCATCTTCTGAATCTACTGAGTATTCGCCCAACGCCGCTGCCTCATCTGCGATATTATCGATCGTCAGCAGGGCTTCGATGGTGGCAATCTCTGAGCGAGCTTGATCCGGGTGGAGGGCGCTCACTCGCACCTGGGATTCAGTCGACAACATCTCCAGTGCCTAAGTTACGTTACACATTAGCCTGGTGGAATGGGTTTAAGGCTTATATAGAACCCACCTGCAGATGGGCTGTTCCAGAATTGTTTTCAAAGACAGATTGTATCGTCACCTGACGGAACTTTGCGGGGGCCCGGGTATCCTAATCACTCACACATGAGGTGCTAGTGTTAAAAGCAAACGCTCAATGAAATTCCCCTATTACCGAGTCCGCGTCCAATTGGTTCAACCCCAGGAAATTAAACGCCTTCTCGCCAAAGCTCTCAAGCGCTCCTATAGTTTCTTTGACAACCGCTCCACCGCTATGCATCCCATCCTGCAATACGGTCGACTGCTGAACCTCCCGCGTGACCTTTGTGAAGGTTTGTTTTGCTTTTTCTCCCAGCTTTGCCTCTTCGATTTTCTTGTATCCTGCCTGCAAAGTACTAAGAGATTAGAGAGTGAGGTGTACATACCAAAGGTCCCTCGCCAGATAAGGAAAACTGGTAAAGTAGCTCACCATAAACGTATTTCCGAGGGCGCTCGATGCGGAGTCGAACACCTTGTCAATCGATGTAAGAACTGTTTCGACCCCTTCCACCGCGGCACTCTAAATCAATATAACATTAGCTTGGCATTGCCTGCAAAGGGTATTAAGTCTGACAATTAGATACCCCAATTCCTTTTGCAGCATTGAGCGCCGGCGTGCTGATATCCTTCTCCTGTGGTACCTCTCGGGCTTGTGTCTCCTCTGCATCTTCGCTCTGCGGTACTATTCCGTTTCGTGTAGCCGCCTCGCGCTTCAACTCTTGATGGAATACTACTATATCAGCGCAAGATTATTCATTATCCATGTATGCGGTCCCCAATCACCTTGCTCCCGCAAATAATCCGGATCAATCGCTTCGTACACTTTGTCAAAAGAGTCTATTGTGGTTTTTTTGATGTTCTTCCCTATACCAAGAAATTTATGAAAGAGTACAGAATTAGAATGGTGATAGCTGACTATGTTCGAAAGCCACCTTACCAATCACCGAAGCGGTTTTCGCTACATCGGATTTTTCAATTGCCTCCGTCACAGCGTGCGCCGCTCCAGATAAAGCCGAGCTGAAGTTGCTCCAGCCTCCCCAGCCTCCCCATCCGCTGCCTTGTCGATCAGCAGGGACATTTTGAGCTGTAATAATATATCCTTAAAATAACCCGAATGAAATAGTAGGATTCAGGAGATCCTAACCAGCGCTTTCCGGTGTTTGAGCATTCGCGACGCTGGGCGGCTCCTCAACGCTTCTTTTCTCAATATACTCCACATCCGACATATTTTATGCGATCGTGCTTTCTGGGGTTTTAAACAAGATCGTAATTGGCCAGACAGTGCGATGCTAGCCCACATGTGCGAAGCTGGCACAGACGCGTGAGTCATCGATCACGTAATGCGCGCAAGACCCTTTGAGTGCTCACGAGTTCAATCAAGAACACAGAGCAATACGGCGTACCAATTATCTATAATTCATGTATAAGTAGCCCTTTGGAAAAAGAAAATGCAAACCGAGCCCCACGAGGATGTTCCAGATCCGGTGAGATCCACACCGGTTTACGAAGGTCCGCGACGAAAAATAGTTATAGCTCTTGGTTAGTGGTCGTCGTTTCACCAAGCAAACAGTAATAGAACCATGATGCATTGATGCAGCTACACGACAGACAGCTCCCGGCACTCTAAGCATGCTCTCTCATGGGCTCTTGACAACTTGCTTGATGTTGACACGGACCATAGTAAGCTACTGATGACGTGCCGGAAAGTTGGTGGTCAGGCTCATATACGTCGTGCAGTCATTCTTCTAAGCGTTGGGATATTTCATGATCGACTCGGGGACGTCATGGCTGCGGCTTTGGGACCAGTGTATGATGCAGATCGCATGGAGAGTATTTCTAAGCAGGTTAATTGAATATTGCATGCTCAAGACAATCAAATGTCGTCCATTGATTTCCCCGCATCGTTCATTAGGCAGAGCAATATGCATCAAAGATCCTTGATGAAGCTACGAACGTTATCAATGAGCACGCGGAATATTTGGGCCAAAATGCTAAGGCAAGATGTGACGAGGCCTGAAGCTCATAAGATTGCGGCTCAAAAGCATGCCTCTTGCAGATCTCCCACGAAATATATGCCCTGAAAGGAGGTGACCCGCGCGATGTAATCGTCGATTTCTGTCATGAACGAGCGGCCGATGTGCTGGTACTCGGCAGTCGTGGTCTGGGTACATTTCAGAGGTACGAGGACTTCACTCTCTTCCGTTCGCTTAGTATAACTCTGGTACCATTTAACAGAACGATTTTGGGGAGTGTGTCTGAACATTGTGTTCACCATGCTCCATGTCCTGTAGTAGTTGTTCGGGAAGGAATGTTAGGTCCTAATTCTGCACATGCGCATCCGCACCGAATTCGCAGAGGCAGAAATGTAGATTCTAGTCAACGTGAAGAATAGGTAGATGTTGGTTGTAGCATGAGGGAACGCCAGCTTCCGAAATGATGTCTGTATAATCTGGCTGTCTGGTTTGTTTACATGTTGCAGATGGAAACTGAGATATTTTAGAGCCACAAGGGCAATCAAACTGAAACGACTTTGGATATAAGCCGGATTTCTAGTTAATATGAGCATGCCAGATCAACTCCTTCTGGAGAAAATTCCATTGTCAGATACCCCTTTTCATGAGGAATGTGGATGCCCAAGGCATCTCCTTCATTTCTCGCAACTGCTAGCAGTGGACAGATGAGATACTCCGGAGAAGGAAAAGTGGGTGCTAATTGAAAACCCCACTGCTTCCGAGACTTGGCCAGCATGCATATCATGGAGGTGCAAAAGGACCGTCCAAACTCGGTTGGGGCTTGTCATTCTGTTCTAATGATGTATTCCGAATTTTTCCTGTTCTGCACTAAGGACATCATTAATGGGAGACATGCCCTCATGTGACTAAATATAGCATGCATTGTGCTTATCTCCTAGTTGGAGGTGATATTGGTGTTCTGTGTGCCAGTGACCAAGAAATTTCCTCCACGCAAAATAATCACGACACAACATATTTGTCGACACCAATCTAGGGCACTGCCTGAACACACCCGAGAGGCATCATGCAGAGTGGACCAGCCTGGTTCAATACCGTTTCCATTCCCATTATTTCGAAGCATTACATCAGCGGGTGAGAAAGGACTGCTTTGTGCTTTAAGAGTGCACTCAAAATTTAAAATACTTTGAGTTCTGCATGCTGGTTATCGTAGCTTATAGGTTTGGCATGCATGGGATCCAGCCAAGAGAGTGTCCTGACTTACTGGTCGACACATGGCGCGGCAACAGATGAGTTTACGGTGTGGACGCCCGAAGCAGTCTTGAGGATTTGACTGGTCATATCTGCCCTTTCAAGCTTTAACATTCTCTTATACCGCACAATCCATACCCGTACCAGTGAGAGGCACACTTAGCCGTACTATTATTATTAGCAGTGGTCTGCATGCCGTTCGGTGACGTGATTCAGTGTTTTTAACAAACAGAACCTCCGCCACGCTTGCCCGGATGCAGGAGACGGGGCGCTCTTGACTTTTTGATGCAATATTCATTGTACATGCATCTGCTTGTGGCTGTAAACCCAGATGTCGTGTCATGAAAAAGAGGCCGAGACCCGATAAGCAATCTTCTCTAAATGGTTAGCAAGCTGCAAGATAGTACCCACTCCATCGGTGTCTTAGGTCCATGCATTAAAAGCAAATGCGGCGGTCCTATTGGCGACTTTCATCGCTCTCGTCACTCCCAGATGTCGTGTATCAAGTACCAATATAGGGTCGCCGTGCTGAAGCCATTTCCATTTGAGAAATATTTGTGCGGTCAGAAGTGAAAACATCAACAACTTAGGTGTCGGTCATTAGAACATTATTACTTTAAGATAACAACCAATCACTGGAAACCCCCTTGAGAATGGTCAAATTCTTCTCAGTTGATGCGACAGTTGATATCACTGAATGATGTCCGAATCTGATTGATGACTGTTGATCTAGGAGATATTGAAGCTCCCGTTACGTTCTCTCTTCTACAACTGCTTGCTCCACCTCCTATTACGTAGTCCCTTCTCCGGTGTCTTCACCACGCTTCAAGGGGAGGATTGATTCAGTATTATGGTTGACCCAGCATGGGAAGTGCCTCTAAGCGAAGTCCATGCAATATGCGTCCTCTTGACCAGAGGAATATTGTCCGGTCCGCTACTTCAATTCGGGTCTGATAACTTGTCCTGTCACGTCGGAGCCTGTAAGGGGGACACGTACTGCCAGAATCAAAAATCCTAGGGATCTTGATATTTGAGCGCCTGAAATCTCCGTTGAACAGTTCGTCCACCTGTGGCGGCTGGAACGAATTTAACACAGAATCAATCTTGCCGGGTCCATGGCGAAAGGTATTGTTCTCAAACGTGTCATTAGCACAATGGCGTCAGCATTTTCTGAAAGTTAAGCCCTTGGAGCTCGTAACTTCTGAGGACATTACGTATTTGCAAATGCCCAATATCACACCATGGGTGAACAAGTTTCCCCAGTCTCGACATTCTATTGTGTGCACACAAATTTGGGACAGCTGAGATTGCCTCTGGATTGAATGAACACAGATGAAATTTGGCGATTGGCGATAATCCCAGGAGGTGGCCCGCCGTTAGACTCTGTAATTTGTTCATCCTACATAGTTTACGTAGCTAGCTCTACACGGCTTTATTCGATGCAGGTCCAAACATGAAGTAATGGGTCGATCCTAACAGGAAGAACTAACTCTTTTACAATGGGAGCGGGGTCGAAGCAGAGGAGGAGAATTTCATTTCATGGGAAAATGCAGGCACCGAGATATACTGGGACACCTTTGACAGCTTTGTTGATCATAATCCTGCCTCCCATTCGGATGACCATGAGTCGATGATGTGCTAAAATGCAGGGTTGACACAGTGGTAAACGTAGAAGAATATCATGTTATACCTACAGCTTGAGCTGATAAGTATGCTCGGACACTCGGTCAGTGAAGGTATGGGTTAAAGGGCGTCGGGAGGAATTGGGTACGGGACCTGCAACCCTTGTGATTGAGAGGGATAGGAAAGAGATGACATCGCTCCTCCCGCAATTCGTTACTCCACGGATTCGACTTCTCATGGGCTGCGGTAGCCACATCCGGCCTGGGCCAAAACTCCATCCCAAATTTCATCCCTTTATCTTTCTCATCCTGAGGCGCGGGTTAATGTTCATATCTGTCCATCATGTTGAATTGCAAGTCTTTGGAGCTGGTCTCCGCTTCATCGTAGACATTCCTACTGCTGATGGCGCTGACTCATCTCGTCCCAATCCGTCTTACTTTCCAACTGCTCCTGCCGAGCAAGCTGACAACGGAATGGAGGAGAGTTAGGTGCGGGTTTATGGCTGATGAGCAAGGAAGATCGGGGCGTCTTAAGTGTTGCACGAAGTCTGCACTGCGAATGACATCAGAATAATCATGCTCTTGTTGTTTGTGGATCTTCTACACTTTTGCATACAGATATACTGATTTATGCCAGGTGGTCAATGAAATTTAACATCTACAATTTCTGGACGAGCGCAAGTCATTGTTCCAGCAAGGGCAGTACGAAAGTGTCCATGTCGGCTCTCCACGATCGTGGAGTGGATTAATCGATTTGAATGTATCATATATCCAAATCGGGAACCTATATTTTTTGTTGTTGTAAGTCGCAGCACTTTCCACAGTACAATACTGGCATTGGCTGGCGAGCGGAGCCGCCTTGGATAGTTCACACCCCCGGGGCACCCTAAAATGTCGACAACAGCAAAAAAGGTCAAGAAGGACCGACTATCTCTTGGGGGAACCTCGATCCCAAAGAAGAAGCATGTGAAGAGTTCCCAGTTCAAACTGATCACAGCAAAGCTGTACGTTCACCTTCCACCGGCTTTTGTTGGCAATGAGGAAGAGGGTGTGTCAGAGCACCTCAGCAAATTTCTTATGCGGTGCGTTATTGACCAAACTATCAAACTGAGTGGCTACAATATGAACGAGAGCTAAGCCGCCAGTCGTTGTCTGCAGATACGTACCGGAAGTCGACGGTGTTGTTCTCGCGTACTCTGACGTGGAGGTGCTTGAAGACTCAGCGCGCATCCTCTACGATAGTCCATTTATCCACTTATATGTCCGAGCAAAACTTCTTACCTTTTCCCCCTCACTGAAGGCCAACTTGGGTAAGCAGAACTCTCGACAATTGCGCATTACAAAACTCTAACATAGTCCGTGAAATAGTTGGCGTTGTGAACAAAGTCTCCCCTGATCATATTGGTCTTCTCGTCCATGGTGTTTTCAACGCATCGATACCTGCCGATCAGATACGCCGTAAAGAGTTTAAGTGGGATGAGAATGCAGCAGGATGGAGGCGATCGCGTGGTGCAGACGGGGAGGAGATGGTAGTGGGACCAGGCTCCGTCATCAGATTCACAGTCACAGAGTAAGTCACGCAACTATCTCCCTTGAGCGCTAAATCATCCGAAACTTATCTTGGCCTATAGCCTTACAAAGGCGAAGGAGATGTTGACAATAGTGGGATCACTTGTCACGGATCCCGACAACACCGGGGTTATTGTATCACCCGATCTTCCACCAGCACCACTTCCTGAGCTCCATGAAGAAGAGGAGGAAGACTTTGGCGTGACGCCAATGGATGGGGTCGAAGAGAACGGAGAGTCACCGAAACCTGAAGGAACACCAGATATAACTAGCTCTCAAGCAACCCCAAGACCAACTGCAACATCTGCAAAGCTAACCCCCGCATCAGCTAAGAGGAAGCGCACCCAAGTGGAAGTGGAAGAAGATGAGAAGAAACCTCTAACACCCACAGCCGCGCACATCGAAGCTGCTGAGGAACAGGAGACGCCGTCACAGAAGAAACCTAAAAAGAAAAAGCAGAAAATAAAGGAGGAAGGAGAGACAGTACAAGTGAAGAAGGAGGAGGAGGAGAGTGATGGTGCGGAGAAGGAGAAAGGAAAAAAACGAAATACCAGAGGAAAGCGAGAAGGCAGAACACCGAAAAAGGAGGCGAAGGAGGCGCCGGTTGAAACTGGGGCTGCAACATCCGACGACAAACTGGTAGTAAAATCAGAGGGAGAGACAAGCGCGAAGAAAAAGAAGAAGACTAAGACGGAGAAAAGCTGAATTTCCAAAGCTAACCAGCTCCAGATAGTGTCGGCGCGAGTACGGTGCTGGTCGTATATTTGCGCCGTGTAACATACGGTGAATAGAATTGTCCTTAACATGCTATTTACAATCACTCTCCATTTCACATCAGTGACCGCTACTCTGTTTCTTTGCCCTGGCCGCCTTTGCCTCGTTATTATATGCTACAGCCTGCTGAGTTGTAGGAAAGTCCACATCCCAAAACCTATGTGAAATACATAATGATTTAAAGTGGTATCAAGATATGTGGTCCTACGATGACATACCCGGGTGGAGTATCTGGCGGAGCATGCCAATGACGATGTCGTGAAACTTTCTGGAGGCGGTCAGCTTCTGAGGGAGGGGCGGCACCAAGTTCGTGTAGAGGTTTTATAGGACCGGCCGCTTTGTAGAACTAGAGTAAGCAAGACAGTCCCAATTAATTGGATCTCAAGCCATGTGATTAGAGTTGCCTTTGACCTACGCCAGTGCAGCATGCGCAGTCCTCTGCATGCATCTTCTTTCTTTGTTCCTTGTTACGCACGACTTCATGATATTTATAGGGGACACCATTCTTGCTGGTGGTATGCGCCACGTCTCCCGCTGGTGACTTATTGTGTGCCGAGGTAGATCCTCTAGAGGATGGGATATTTTCGCTCTGTTCATTATCTCCAGGTTGACGACCAGGATTAGCGCTCTCTGCTTTATCCGGACTGGTAACGCTGACTATTGTTAGACTGCTTGAGTGTCTCCTGTGGCGATCGCTCCTAGGCTTTATACGTTTACTTTTAGCCAGAGCACCTGTTGTGCTCTTGCTCGTGGGACCATCACTGTGACCAGTACTCGTGTCCGAATCTTCCAGCCGCTTGGTGGATACGGTAGGTATATTCGCTTGAGGGTCCTTTGCTGTAACATATCCGCCACCACTTTGTTCGCTGCGCGCGTTCGTCACTTCTGAGCCTGCAACCCTTGGGGAAGAATCCTTTGCAGGTGACAACAGCTTGCGTTTGCTGACCAAGAAGGGAGATTTACCGTCTTCCTTCGCACCAGATCGGACAGTCTCCCTCATTCTTCGGACGCTTCGACCATCAGGTGTTTCTGTTATAATGGTTCCTTGCACATTAAGGTCGTGGCAGTTTTGAGCTATGGTGTTATTTTGGCTCTCCTCCGCAAAGTTTTCTGCATGTACGTACAGTGAAGAATGGCAGAGAGGAGGGGGTAAGGGCCCCGGCGAAAACTCCATGCTGTAGGGTGACGATGCACCTAGCAAGTTTTGTTTGCGTGTGGGATTCTTTGGAGTCGACTGTTCCGTACCCAAAATGTCTACGTCATCTGTGTCCCATGTACACAGAAGCAGTAAAGGGTTAGGAGCATCAACCTATAAGATGGTCATTTTGTATGGTCGGCATAACGGTCTCACCTTCATCCGGGAATTCGCCGACTGACATCAAAACGGAAGGACCCACATCTGCTGGGTCCCGGAATCCCTGACCTCTTGCTATATCGATAGGTGAAGGAAGAGCTCCCATGACTGCATCTTCGGCAGTTAAAGTCTCATCTACGATCACTACGGCTTCCTTCGTTTTTCTTTGATAGACCATATCGATTGGTGGGCTATTCAGAGAAGTTTGCGGTGCTTGCGAGTGCGAGAGTACAACGACAGAGTCTAAGGTGATGTTTTCTTTCGGCCCTAGCATGGTGGGAGGGACGGGAGCCGGAGCGACTGCCACATGCGCCTCTGTTGATGGTTCATTGATATAGCTATGACAATTCTGGTAAGGTTAACTTTACCAACAAACAACGAGCACACCAGAAGCGTAGTTACCTTTCGCGGTTGACGCCTATAACAGTTGCCAGGGGAAGGCTTTTTTGGCGCTTGGCGTGAGGCACACATGGTGAAGTATCTGTCACGCAGTAAAACGTTTTGAGATGTGAATCACAAATGATTTTTGCGCGCACAGCCAACCTTCGTCTCCGGCACCTTTCCTTCGTCTGTCCTGTTTTCCATCGATACCCTGCTCATGCGTTCGTTCATGGCTGATAGCGTTGACCATTCGTATCTGATCGAGAGAAGCTTTGTTTTGGGCCGCTAATGAGGATCCCTCTTCACCAGTCTGTACTGGGAAAATGTCGTTCAGATCACTCGTATCATTCTCCTTTCTTCTCTTCTTGATGGCTCGCTGGATTTGATGCTTTCCGTATTCTTGTCTAAATTGCATCCACTTCTCTTGCTTCTCATCCATCAAACGTGGGAGCGCAGCGTTTTTACCGCGTTGTTGTTCATACATAGACTGTAGTCTCGCATATTCTTCAGCTTTGCTTTGCCTCAGCTCTGCATTCTCCCGTTGAAGCCTAAATGTGTGGGAATCATACACATGAACATCAACAGGTGCATCTTCGGAACAACCAGTAGTAACATAAAAATACACACTTGGCAACTTGTGAATTTAAGCTATCCAATACGGACTGGGATGCCCGAGTATCCGTCGCGGATTCAGAAAGAAGTCCTTTCTGTAATTGCGTTCTGCAGGTAAGAACATCTATGTTCAGATCGGAAGCGTTCAACTTGTATGAAAAGGATCCAGCATAACCTCAACTGCTCTGCCTCGGCTTGCGCTTTCCTCCATCTCTTCTCCGCCCTTTCCGCGCGCGATTCCGCGTGTATTGCCCGTTCTTGAACAATACGAAGCTGTTCTCGTAGGTCTCTCACAATCTGGATATGTTTGTCTTCCGCACGGGCTAGCTGAACCTTGAGTGCCTCGCTCTCAGCATTTGTGTGTGATATTCGTTCGAGGAATTGGCGACGAACATCTAAAGTGAAGTGTTCAGTGTACAAAGGCTGACAGAAAAGTGACATTCAGAGTGAGCACCACCTACTGTTCAACTCGAAGTTATGCAAGTCCCACATATGGCAGAGTGCAGCGTCAAAGCTCGTGGGTTGTTGCCCATGAGGAGGCGGCGGACGTGCAGGCGAGGCCGCTGGATGCCCGCCTTCCCCGACGGGCATTTTTAGGACATACAAAATGAGCCGTTCGGAACCAATGGGCCTCTCTTGAGTAGCTGCAGAGTTCGTAGCAATGAGCAGCTGCTGGGAAACGCTGGCAGAACAGTCCGAAATCTCAGTGGTTGTATCGCTATTGCTGTAAATGGTTAAATGAAAATATTACTCTTTTCGGAAATACGTCGATTTGGTCAGATACGGTTGACTTTTGGCCGTCGCCGTCGTTGGATCTCATTGATACAGGTGCTGGGAAACGATGGTTCACATGCGGGTCATTGGGTATGAAACTCATATTAACTATGAACAAACATTACGAATAGTTTTAACAGTGTCCTGCTGGATGGACAAGCAGGAGCTTATCCTGAATGAGAGTTCAAGATCTATAACGTTCGGCATCTTCCAAGATCCATCCTTTGTCTCTCCGATATCCGTCCTGCTCATGACAAGAATCTGCATCAGTAACGTTGGTTTAGTGAATTAGCAATATGGCAGTATACCCTTTTTAGGCAATAATGATCGGACTTTGCGGGGCGCTTCAGAGAGTGACTCAAGGTGGGGTGCTTAGTCCCATGACGCTCACTGGTCCCCTTCCATCCTGGCAAGCTCGACCTTCTAGATCTCATTTGCCGTTGACAAAACATGTCTCTCCACGCCTGTCCGTGCCTCAACATCAAGGTCAGGGCTGCGCCCAATCCTCCAGTGGTGCCGACAGACGTGACAACAGCAGGGGATGCGGACTCACGTCGACGAGGCTCGCTCGGATTTGTGACCGAGACCGACAGCGTCAAAGGATACAAAGCACAGCTTGGATTGGGTGGAATTACGATTGTAAGACTCTGGGATGATTATCCATACTTTTCCGAACAACACACCCATCGCTCTTTTCTTCTGCCTCATAGGAACACAAGCTTCTGGTTAAACATGTGCTTCTTGAGAAAAGTTGGTTGGAAGTTCGCTGTCTGAACTGCGGTTGTTCAGCGTACTTTATACGTGTGGATCCTACATCGCATCATTTGGACGACCTTGCTGCAAGTGCACCAGCTGATAGGATTGTTATCGTGGGCGAAACTACGATCGTAAGTCTGCCTTTTGCATCTCGGATAGATCTGTACTGTTAGATCTTGTGCTTAATGGTGCCTGGAATAGTACGACGACGCAATAGAGAAGGACAAGCAAACTCCAAGATACAGTGAATCATGTCGCATAATCCTCTTGAATGATCCGCAGAAGCCCGAGCATCTCCGTAGGTTGAGGGTGATATCCATTCGTATCATCTGCACCAGCTGATGACGTTCTTACAGCGGTGGATTATGGTTTCTCTGATGCGTATAAAACATTTGAGGCTGGTCTCAAACGGTATATCGAATCAAAGAGGCTAGAGATGGAAGAACGGATCGCTGCTTTCCGTACTGAGCAACAAGCGATACTGGAGCGTCAAAGAGAACGCGCACTCAGAGACAGCGACACCTTGTGGGCACGAATCTGTGATCTGCATCGTGAGAAACTTCATCGGACAGCACACAGTACATCACCTGAGCTCAGTACGGAAGCGTCCGCCATCCCTTTGCCTCATACCGACGGAGGGTCCTTGACCCCAAACCTGATGTCGTCATCGGCTCTCGGCGGCTCGTCCTTTGCCCCCTCCTCACTATACGAAAGGTCGTCTAGTCTTTCGCAATCTATCTCGACCGCTCGACGCAAAAGTGCAGCAGACTTGGGCTCACCTAGCAGATATGGCTCAACCAGTGTCGACCAATCCGACGCGCGAACGCAGCAAAGCGTCCTCACGTCCGACAAACCAGAAAATGATGATGGTAGTGTTGGAGACAATGGGAGCGCAAGCCAGACAGAGTTGGCGCGAAAGGTGCGATTTGAACATGATGCCTCGACAAGAGAGGGGGTTGATGAATATGAAGGCGCCAGTGAACCACATACGCACGACGATGATGGTTGGTCTCTGCCTACTATTTCTCTCGACGACTTTACTCAATGGCGCAATTGTGTAGTTCTATTTGACCTTGATGGGTTCGAGAACGACAAAGGGAAGCAAACTTCGATTCCAAGCAGTGACAGTGAACATGACGACGAACCAGGTATGAACAGAGAGATTGAGCAGAAGTTGATAATTCGCCTCATCATCAGCATCAACAATTGTAGGTTCCCCGGTGCGTTATGATCCACCCGAACTATCCTCAGTATCAATCTTCTCCTCGTCGCTCCCCATTCGCATCCCATCGATACCCAAATTAGATTTATCGACTGATCCCGACGCAGTTATTCCAGAGGAAGAGGATCGCCCACACGATGACGAGGATCAATTTGTCGCGCCTCATATATTATCGGCAAAAACATACACTGAGGATTATTTACTTAACCAACGACCCCCTAAAAGCCGTAAAACAAGTTTCGCCATTTAAATGTGTATATACGTGAAGACTGGGGATGTCATGTTTGGTATGATTTAGGTGTATAGTGGGCGTCCTTGACTTTCTTTGATGATATCTATGTAAAGCCCATGGTAGCTAAAACCTCTTTTGCTGTCTTCTCCGCCCATCTTGCGTTTCCCCATGTTCCCCAGCCGGCCATGAATCTGACCCAATCTACCAACGCCCACTCAAAGTGTGTGCGGAGAATAGCTGGGGTATAGTCCTCTGCTTGTGCGGTCATTCCCCGCAAAGTGAGCTTCTTGACTAGCTCCTTGTAGTAGAAGTCTAACAGCTCATCTAATCGCGTCTCCACTATATCACTGTCTACACTCGTAGCCAGGAAATATGCTACATCAACCGCCCCATAGCCATAACCTGTATACTGGAAGTCATAGAAACCACATGCAGGAGTTGGATCATTGAGGGATTTCTCGGCCGCGAAAAGGATGTTCTCCGCTTTGGGATCCCCATGCAAAAGTGTCCGGAAGCACCTTTTTCCCGCATGGTCAGGTAAGGCTGACGTTTCTGACGACTGTCCTCTCAGCAGGCTGGCAATAGACTCAGCAGCTTGCTTAAAAGGCGTCCACCGCTTGTTGTTTTCGATTGCCTTGAACTCATCAAGTCGAGTGCTCAGATGCCAGTATCCACCTTGTTTCCATACTCCTGAAGGGTATATCGCACGCTCGTCATCACCTCCATCAACTGGCTCCGAACCCCAAAAATGGGCATGAAATCCGGCAAGCCAGCGGAGGGCAGACTTTGCAAGGCATATGCTGAGACTCCCTTGCTCAATAGGCAAAGCCTGGGATAAATCAGACATAATAATAAACAAGGAGAATTCCTCCACAAGGGAGGTAGACTGGTCATCCGCCTTGACAAAAAGAGGCAAAGGTAAAGTCACATCCTTGTCTGCCTGGATTACTGCGGTTGCGAATTCAGGTTTAGAATAAAAGACTCCCTCCACCCGATACGATGTCAGCTTTCTAACATGTCCAACGTCCTCAAGATCAGTGTCAGGGACGGCAACGCTTTTTACCATGTAACTGGTGGGATCGGTACGGGATACTGGTTGGACACTGACCCGCAAAATGGACCCATATCCAGCCCACAGCGAAGCAATTTGTTTGACTTTCACAATCCGCGTTCCAGCAGGAAGATGCTTTTTGAGTAAATCTGTCGACATGTTGAAAGGGAACCCCTCGTTAACGAGTGTCAAATGAGCCTCGCGTCGCATGGTGCAGCACATATCTCACTGCGACTAAACCTTCTCCAGCTCGTTATATGGAGTACTGTCGATGCAAACAGTTGAGTTAAACGGACATGAGATCGAATAATGTGTTTCTTTCAATAGAATGGTTACGGTTCGAGCTTGTGTACATGGTCCACCCGAGTACTCAGCAAACTCGATCAAGGCGAAGCCAAAAGTTCACTTAACCAGCACAAGATCTTTCGAACGCCGGTCCATGACTGGACAAGTACTGTGCACCATCGTTACTTTTGTAAAACTGGTCATGTTCGCATGGAACCAGCGTGTGCCATGGATTTCCAACCAAGTCTTTTCCGACGGCGGCCCATCAAGACAACTGGCGCATCATCTGTAGCCGTTCACGTCAATCGCAGGATAACTGTGGTTTTCTGACGCCCATCAACCTCCAGAAATCCCTCAGTAATGGCAGTTGGAAGTCACTGAGGCTTCCCAATGACATATCAACTTGATCTATGACATACAACTACACCAATGTCATTCCTCAGGCACGACATGGGTACGTGGCGGGGCACATTAGAGGGATGTGTTGCAGGTTTCTGATACCTGTCCCTTCCTTGCACCTATTATGTTCCTATAGGTATGCTGGATGTGTCTTGCTCAACCAGCTGACCTCTCGATGCAACGCTAATATACGCTGACCATACTTCCTGACCGACAACCGTGATGGTTCATTGTTATGACACCGTCTGTTGTAAGCACGAGGAGACCTACGTCGGAGGTCATCACAAGACTTCACAACGATGTGTTTCTGCGTCTATACGATTTGAACATGATGCGTCAAGCGGGAACGCCGTCAACCAGAACGTCGCTGGCTGCACGATGTTTGACTTCTGCACCCCACAATCTCCCTTTTTACCTTCTCTTCCCTTCAAAGCCCGATTGATTCAGCCACTCATCCTCGCTCAGCATGGACTCCCGTTGTTTTAATAAAAAGGACCGGCTCAAACTGCCCCGCCAACCCCCATATCTCGATACTTTTGGAACAGCATTACGAATATGAAATCAACTATCGCCTCGCTCTTGCTGCTCGCCATCATCGGCGCCGCTTCTGCCCAGTTTGATGCCGTTCCGGAATGCGCAAGAGCATGTGTGGAACGTGCAATTACCGCCTCCGGATGCGCCATTACTGAGATCAATTGCATGTGTACCTCGGCGCCATTCATAAACACCATGGTGCAATGCGTTCAAACTACTTGTGGAGGTAGAGAGCAGATGGCTACGTTTGCGAACCAGCTCTGCACAGCCTGTGGATCCCCCGCGTGCCTCGGTGCATCCGCCGTGCCCAACATCACCCAAGCTTGACGACTCCTTCAGCTCTTCTGTCTCGATCCTGGCTAGTCACTACATCTAGGACAACAGACATTTCGGTCCAACTTGGTGACTCGTTCTTTGGATTCATGACTGATGAATGGTCGTATGTCGGTTAGGGGGTTGGTTAGGGGAGTGGATATTATGTCTTAGTCTGCCGATAGGGTTATGAGCTGAGTCGGCAAGTGTATATCTCTAGTTACAGTTAGTGCTTCCTGTCCGCTATGTCGGTAGCAGAATTACTTCAAATATTCAAGTCCATTGTACAGTACTGAACTGATGTTCACGTGATCTTAAGTTTGAAGGTCCTGCGTTTGACTCTCCACTAGATCGGCTTAAGCTGTTTTCTGTTTTCACCGTTGATGTCCAACAACATGCAGAATACCCATACTGAGCACCAGGCGGCTGACGCACCAGAGAATCCTACGCAATCTGCAGAAAGCTCGTTGCACAACGACCCGCGAGTTCGTTTTGTCGAAGAAACGAGCAAATACGTGTACACAGGTACACAATTTTGCAAAAGGCAGGAGAAGAAGGACCAGCTGTGGCTCACCACCTAATACTCAGGTGACGACGGAATTTCGTATGAGTGGGATGACGAGAAACATGCGTGGTTTCCTATGGTACGGTGCTGACTGCTCCAGACTGTTGACCCGATTGTTACTATCGAATGACTAGTTGCCTTTGCGTACTGAAAGGGCGAATACGTCGCTTGTTTTCTCTTATATAGTGGGATGAGAATCTCATAGAATCGCAACAAGCTGCGTATGGACCTACGATAACGGAGGAAACGGTGGGCATCCCTGGAAAAGAACGTGATCACAATCTGAGCCACACTAATCTACCTTCGTCCGCACCAGACTTCCACTCCGCGGCAGAAAGGAAAACGGAAACAAATCTACACGTCTGAGGAGGTCCGTGCTTAGGGGTCTTTCTGGCTTTAGACTGTCGAACGTCCATGGAAGACTGACCCGACGTCTTACTCTCAGCCGCAATTGAAGAAACCTAAAGCTGAGCCGAAGAAACGTCCAAATACATCTGTCTACGTGACTGGATTACCGCGCGACACGACAGTAGATGAAATGAAGGAAGTCTTTGAAAAATACGGCATTTTGATGGAAGATCTTGCGACTGGTAACGGGCTCTATTCAACGCCCGTATGGCTGACATCGCCTCGCTTACGAGTATTGTAATGAAAGGCCAGCCAAAGATAAAGCTATACAAAGACGAGCAAGGAAATCTCAAAGGCGATGCGCTTGTCAGCTACTTTAAAGAAGAGTCGGTGGATCTAGCGTGCAATCTCCTTGACGACAGCGACTTCCGTCTCGGCGTCCCTTCCAAGATCAGAGTACAAAAAGTGAGTTGTGGTTGGATAATGGAATACTCTGAGCCCATTACCAAGCCATTGCGACATAGGCCGTCTTCCAAGCAAAGGAGAAGCCCCCAAATTCAGAGACAGAACAACCAGACCAGAAATTGAAATTGGATAAGAAGGTGGTTCAGAAAAAGCGTCAGAAACTGGAAAAGTATGTGCATTCTGTTGTTTGCATTGAGTTGTGGATATGCCCGTCAACATCATTAGTTACCAAAATCCTTAGGCGTCTGGATTGGTTTGAGGAACAGTCCGGCAAGAAGGCGGACAAGTTCGCAAGAGTTGTCGTTTTAAAGTACATGTTCACCCTTCAGGAGCTGGAGGTAATATGCCCTTGTAAATATTGGATGAAAGAGATCCTAACCATCTAAAATGTTTTGCGAACATAGCAAGATCCAACGTTGCTGCTCGACCTGAAAGAGGATGTAAGAGGCGAATGCGAGAAGTTGGGAGAAGTGACGAATGTGTCGTTATACGATGTAGGGACCATAAAGCTTCCGACAAGGTGTACATCATTAACATCTCTTGCCACTAGCTTGAAGAGGATGGCATAATGACAGTGAGATTCAAAGAGCCAGAATCTGCGGAATTATGCATCAAGGTATGCGCATCTAGCAAGAAGTCACCACTTGAGTTAACGTCCACCACCGACCTTTAGAAAATGCATGGGCGCTTTTTTGCCGGCCGACGAGTAGAAGCCCATATAATGCAAGGCAAGGAGAAATATCGAGAATCAAAATCTCAGGATCAGACAGAAGAGGAGGAAAAGAAACGACTAGAAGCATATGAGAAGTGGTTGGAAAGCCAGCATTGAGATCAGCAGATTGCATCTATTATTGTATCTAGCACAGAATCCAATGTCAATGACACGACGACTTGGGATAGGTCTTACATACGGAAATGGGGCACAGGCTGTGCAGACTATTCATCCTAGCCATAGTAAAACTCAGGCCTTGTGTCGCCGGCGTTACGAAAATCCCAGTGCATGAAGTTTTCATTTTCAATTTAGGACGAGTTATTATAGGGAAAATTGCTTCTGACGTGTTCTGCAGTGTGATGTCGTTTTCTAGATTCGGTAGTATTATACGGTGCACCGCTCTCATGTTCTACAGTAGTAGAATACTTGATGAGCCTAACGTACATAGAGGAGTGACGTTAAAACTTGAATGAGTTGGGAGGCCGGACACATTATGGCATGGGATTCCGCCATTTTCCCCTGGAGATCGGTTGCGGGGGCGTTGGAGGGAGGACTTTTCATCACCAAAGCTCTGCATCCGCAAATATGATGTGGTGCTAACATTCACTACTACAGTCCATATGTTTAGTCACCGATGCAAATGTATCAGTCACAACACACTTCCATTGTTCGTGATGCTCCCTACTCCTGGAAGCCCGATGGGTCACTAAATGAGCCAAATGTGCGCCGACCCCCATTTCCGACTACACGTCCTCCAGTTTGTCTTTTATTAATCGGCCAGGGAGTGAAATTCACCTTCAAAGACGACATGACGGTGTAGAACCAGAGAGCGACGATGCCTCCAGGTCGTACCGTCTCGCTTGAGGCCGGAAGGAAGAAGGTAGAAATCCCAGATCATCGATCCAATAAAGATCTACCACGTCTACTTTTGAATTTCTATCCACATGTAAAGTCTAGAAGACGCCATCAAGTCCTTTCATTACGGATCTGGAACCCATCCATTCACGAGCCTCGAAACGAGCTGTCAATGATCGCAACCTATTTCTCCCGCTATCATATGCAGAAGAATAATATTGAACATCTTGGGGGGAAGTGTGAATATCTTATTAAGGAAGCCGTTAACTTTGTCCTTGGTGTATCTCATTGTATAGTGCGCTTACGGCATGCGATCGACTTTGGTATCACGTGACAGTCAGGGAGTCAGTTCCATCCCAGCATCTTTTAGCCGTCTCTGGCAATACAAATGACGGACACAGCGTCAATAAGGAAGATCCTATATACAGCTCAGACTGCGATTGCTCGCAAAGAGTGGAAAGATGCTGCAGATGCATTTACCCGCTTTGTCAACGCGGTCCCTGAAGAGGGCCACGCCATGCCGCGACTCTCCCGGAGCTTATGTTTCCTGGAGCAGAAGGAATATGCAAAGGCCATTGAAGATGCTGAAGCCGTACTAAGGCTGAGCGATGTGCACACTCCAGAGGAACTTCTGCCAGGCTGTTACAGCACACGGGCGGCAGCTTCGGTGAGTTTAACTATTGGGTAGTCCCTGCCGACAGTCTCCGGGCACTCATACCAACGACGGTTTGTTAAAGGCGTACCTTGCAAAAGGTATGTTACGCATTTTTTTGTGACCACTTGTTCCCCTGTCATTAAGGTTACCTGAAGCGCACGATCTTCTCGGAAATGCTGTGGAGTCTGCCCGGTACAAAAAGCTGGGGACGGAGCTCCTTCAAGCCGACGCATCCAATCTTGAGAAAGCCCTCCAAATCAAAGAGGAAGGAAATCTTCTGTATCGAGCAGGACAAATAGAACAGGCACTCAAGAAGTACGAGGAAGCCCTCAAATTTAATCCCGTAGAGGAAACCGTGCTCTCTAATGCTTGTCAAGCCCTTATAAAACTGGGAAGATTGGACGAAGCAGCCGTGATGGCAGATCGATGCGTCTATGCAAAGCCAACGTGGATTAAAGGATACTACAGGAAAGGTACAGCTAGTCCTTGAGATCGCCACTTCTCCAGATATTTACCATTTACAGGAACCGTGGCGATAAAGCAACGCCGGTTCACAGACGCAATTAGCGCCTTTCAGGAGGGACTCCGTCATCACCCTGATGATACTGACTTGAGGCGCTCCTATATGGAGGCAGCGCGCATGGCGGAACAGAATGCAACCACTCAGGGCGGTTTCGAGAAACGAGTGATGGGCATGATGATGGAGATTCAGCATTCCTCATGGGTACGTGTCCTCGTTGCCAATTGGCCTTTGGAGTCCCTTGCTCATTACAGACCGGTTTGATGTGGACAGAAAGTCAAGGAATGGTTCTCGCAGTGTCGTGCTGGGATCAAGTGGTGGAATCAGCAATCCTGGGATAAAGATTGTGCACCGCATTTGAAAAATGAGGATGTACAAAGACTGGTAATACAAGTTCTGGGATTCCTGGGAAGCGGCATGACCCTTGAAAACGGTGCGGCACCTGCGCACAGTGATCCGGAACTGAAGGCGAAGGTAAATTGGTCGCATATTGTAAGAGAGGAACTATTGGCTGAGCGATTCATAGGCCCCACCAGATAGTCTGGCGTCATATGTACTCCCTTCCTCGCCGTTGCTGTCACTCATCATCCTCCACCGCATATTTACGTTGGCATATCCTGCAGAAGATTGGAGTATGGTCTGGACGTTTCAGGCCGATCCAAAGCCGTTCGCAAAGTCATCTCTGTTTCCCTTCATATCATCACACTACTCATATGCAGTACTCGTGTCTCACGACGAAAGAATAGTAGTGGATTTCCTGGCTATCTGGGCACGTCAAGCAGGCGGGGATGCGACATTCGAGAAGTGGTTTGAAAACGTTGCTGCTGGCGGCGGTCGGGAAGGCGAGGCGGTATACTACACGTGTGATGATGATTTGAAGATGTTGGAATTCGTCGAAAGCTTGTACAGCATGGAAAACCAAAGGAACATGTCACGAGAGAAAGGTTTAAAAGCAACTGAGACATCAACTGACAAAAAGCCTGCCAAAGAAGAAGAAACAACACCTGAAAGTGAGAAGATGCCCTCAAATCAATCTGGCCCTGTGCAGGGATTGAACGTTGCGCCAGCCAGGGACATGTCAAATTATTTCGTGCTTGTTGGGAAGGAATTGGTACTTGGCGCCGTATTAATTGTCCTGCTAGGAATAGTGCTGGTAATGTCAGGAACCATAGAGGGAAATGACGTGGCAGAATGGATCTCTAGACGCATTTAGTACATAGGCAATCTAACTGGTGTGCCCTATTTGTCTCTAACGGTTCCGTCTATTTTGGCTCTATTATCAACTGGTAGTTTTTTTCAGCGTATCCCAGTCAAGACCGAATAAGGTGTAATAGAACAGCTTTAAAAACTTGTGAGTATCGCCACGTACAGCTACTTCTACGTTTTTCCGTTTTGTAGCTGCGGGAGCGGGTTCGTTGAGTTTCGGTGGTCGGCGGTCGATAATACACATTCCTCGTGTGAGCTTCCCACTTGGTTCCACCTGGGAGGAGCAGTGTTCAAAGACTCCATCAATAACACATAGATGGCTGATAGCATCCGGGCCTCGCATACCTCAAAGTGAAGAGGTTCAAACTCCACAAGAGAGTTATCCACCAGACAACCAATCTAGACAATACCACCATTAAGGAATCTGTCATTCGCCAGAAAAGGCTTGCTGGAACCTACCGTCAATGGATCGTGCATGGTCAACCATCGATATCCCCATGACCTCTCAGTCAGCTGGAGAATATGCTGAATGATTTGCGTCACGAAGTTACTCAACGGGGTACTCAAAGCCGCAACATGTTCGTAGAGGTATCGACTTTCAACAACAGCAGAAACCATTGTGACATCCAATGGTAGGACGCGAACGGGTAAAGAGGAAGCGATGACAAGGTGCGCGGCCAAACCATCTATTCAGTAACATGGCAGAGGGCAGAGTGCGTTGTAAGCGACCAGTCTTCGACTTAGATCCTCATCAAGAGAGCGCGTACCAGCAAACCAGTTGAACTCAGAAACTGGAGTAATATTGCCGGGGTGGTTAATGGCACCTCCCATGGAAATGATGTGCTTGACCTTCTTCACTGTAGGCGAATATCAGCACTTGTAACTGGGTCACCATATCAACGTGCAGCATTCATACTCGTTTCGGGGGCTTTCTGCATAGCTCTGGCAACATTTGACAGTGGACCAAGGGCCAAAATAGTGATAGTTTTGTCGGGATGCGATTGAAGCTGATGGATGATCTCATCTTCAGCACTCCGTTCACTTACAGTGTATAAACCCTCGGCACCTGCATCTGGCGTCTTCGCCCCTGCTGCAGCCGCGGCTTTTGATACAGCCTCTGTTTGACCATCACCGCTTCCATTTGGCGGGTTCATCGTAAAATAATTACCCAACCCATCCTCCCCATGAAAATGATGTGCATATTCTGCTTCTCCTTCCAACGGGATACCCTGACCCAATGCAATCACAACGGGACTTTCACGGCTAACCAGAGCCGCTGGCGGTGCAACTTTTATGTCAGTTGGAGCAGTCGACGCGAGGTATCGTTCATGGGCGGCTTGAACCGCGAGGATTTGCTTGATGTTTCGGAAAGCGTTCTCAATGGTTGTGTTGCCTTGCGTGAGAGTAATTGCCCGGATATCAATGTTGGGACTGAGGAACGCAAAGAGAAGAGCAATGGCATCGTCCACTCCCGGATCAGTATCAATGATAACCGAATGTTTTCCTCCCGACATGACTGTTAGTTGTGATGACACTGAAAACAGGGCTGGGAAAACTCAGGCGAAACGGTTGGTCACGAGAGCGCGGTCAAGTTGGCCTTGGCCACCCGCGTGTCTGGCACAGTTCCTTGCGCGACAACGCCACCTGCGCGTCCAGCGCGCGTGATGAAACTTACGTCACGACTACATTGCTGGTATAAAATATGGTGAGGGACAAAATGCCGTGGCACGACAGGTTGGAGTTTACCTTGCCGTACCTGCATTGCCTAAACTCAAAATTCAAAGAATATGGATGAGCCTCATCGCACCGGCGACCATATGGAGCGTCTTCATGTGACGTCTTCGACCGTGAAAGATACAACCAGTACTCCCCCACAATCACAGGACAAAGAAGGATCTCCCTTGTACCATCCCAACGTGCCCCATTTCGTTGGAACAGGTGACGAGATCGAGACATTCAATCATAGTAAGACTGGCAAGAGAGGTTCCGAATGCGAGGACCCAAAGCGAGCGTTGTCAGGGGTGCAGCTAGAGAGGGATTTTCATGCGGAGACCTTCTTGGGTTCGGAAAAGTTGTCTGGACAAGGGATAGGATCTACAGCTCAGCAGGATATTGAGCAAAACTTGCCGTACACACAATGAAAGGGAGAGGAGGGATTCCAGCTTTCGAACAGTAAATATCTCTGATATAGGGCTTGCGTGCAAATGGAAATATACAGGTGTGATGTGTGATTAAAGTGTGCAGGGCGGTACTCTTCAAATATAGATGTAACGGGCAGAGAAGCGGTCCTTATACTAATTCCATCACGGACACCTTTCCCTGAGAATTTGCGGCAAGCAACGTCCCCGATGAGTTGCGTTTCCAGCAGACTGAACTCACAAACTGCCCCGTGTCTTTATGGGATGTGGGCTGGCCCTAGGATTAACACATTCACAGCATTAGATTGCTGCCACATCGCTTTATGACGCGAGGAAGTCCAGGTACGACGTACTGTTATAGTATCAATTCGTTTGCCAAAGGATTTAACAACCACCGGATTCGAGACTTGCCACCAGTACAAGTAGATATCGTTTGTTTCACTGCCGCACGCGAAAAGTTCTCCATGTCGGTTCACGCTCAGTCCAACAAAGTTCTTCTCATTGGAGTGACCAGAAAATGTTCGCACACATGTTGACTGACCACTAACTATGGAATCTGATATTGACCACAAACGGAGTGTGCAGTCGGTGGAGGCAGACAATATGGTATCATTGGTTTGGAACTTGACATACGACACAGCTTTACGATGTCCTTCAAAGACATGTAGTGGTGCACGCATGTCGCGTATGTCATAATAGTGAATTTTATGGTCTACCGGCAAGCGGAATATGAGTGTACTACTAGCACCAGCAATAGCATAAATTGATTTACCTGCTGAACCAAATGCGATGTGATTATTATTTTCAGGATTGAATTTCACAGAGCACACATTAGCGGCGCTATGTATAGTGGCGACTGAGTTCTTTTGATTTGTCGACCATATTTTGACTGCCACCAATGTGGTAAGCTTGAATCCCAGGCCGACGACGGAGGCGATCGACTCACCTTTTGTGTCATCCCCGCCACTAGCAAGCCGTAGTGGATCTGTTTGACACCAGTCAACAGACCACGCTCGTTTCTCATGTTCTTCAAAATGGCACATTGCTCTCCCGATGCCTGCATCCCAGAGCGTCACTATTCCTTCATAGTCGGATGAAACGAGATGATTTCTTATGTAGGGATTCCAGGTGAGGCAGCTTGAGATCCAGACTCATTAATTGTGATGCAACAACAGCAATGACTGGAACGGTTATTTACCTAATCTTCGATCGAGAGGACATTGTCAGCACTGGAAATCGAGGGACATCATCTTGAATCAGCGGGACATCTCCTTCGTCCTCAGAAACATTCAGTTCACAGGAGTTGCCCATAGTTTCTTCGGTCTTGCGCTTTTTCTCCTTGCTCGATTCATTTATGTGGCTACTGGAGCGCTGTGGTCTATGACCGTAGTCGAGTAACACACTACCGTATTCGAAGATTTTGATCTTCTTCATCACACCGGCTGTCGCAAAGAACATGTCATCTTTGTCAAATTCTAGCGAAGACACAATTGCAGATCCATTGCTAAATAGAGCATCTGCGTAGTTCAACGTCGCAATCGGTCGAAGGCTAGAGAAGCGTGAAAAACGGGTTAAGTTGGAAGCGAACTTGTCCAGCGTATCGCAGTCTTTATAAGGCACATATATTATTTCCAATTACTCTAGCAAAATGAGATACTGTAAATCTCACCGCCAAGTCGTGTCTCCCAATATCGTTCCTGCAAGTCGCCAATGTGTTTCTCGATCCGGGTGTTCTGTTTTTGAATCAGTTTGGATGAAGAGAGTAACTTTTTGTGTTGATGGCTACTCGATAAAGCCAATATGCTGCCAGAGGTTTCTGGTGACCCTTCCATTTCCTATGATCGATCCAGATATGATAAATACACAATCTGAACTGACACACCTAAGGAGCTCAGTGTAGGATATACCTCAGCAGACCTCTTTTTTCCCCGATGAAGCTCCTCCTCGACTGGTATTGTATGGTTTTCTCCCCGCGCAAGAGCATCAGGCACTTGCGCCACCGACCCTCCAATATCGACATGGAGAGCCTTCAGTCCCGTCTCCACTGCCGCAAGATCAGCCGTCACGCAAGTGAGTTGCCGATTCACTTCCTCCAAGAGCTGCAACAGTTTATATACATAGTTAAATAGGAGTATGTAACTGGACATCCCGAGATGAAGAGTAACTCACCCGCTCTTTATCAGCCTTTGCCCGTGCTAGAAAATTCTGCAGAAGTCTGAGGCTGTTCTCTTTCTCCATGGTTGCCATTTGTGCTTTCTTCTTTTGTAGCTTCACCAGCATCATATTTATGTCTGTAGCGTGAGCAGTCAACATGGCTATTTATCGATGCGATCTGCCCAAGTCGTACCATCCATACTCCAATCTTCGGGAATGTCTTGACCTTTGCAAAGCCGTGACGAACTTTTCTTAATAAGCTCATTCACTACAGATAAAAGCGATGTTGGCATGCATCGTGGAAGGTATATTCACGTAAGTACTACACCAAATAGCCAGACAAGGCTCACATGTGTAATTAGGAGATATGTCATCGATAGTCAACGGACACACGCATATAGGGCACTCCTTTCCGTCGCTAAGATGCAGGCCAATACATTCGTAACTGTCGGTCAACACAGGTGCCCACAGAAAATTGGTTAGCAGATGCACCTAATTTATTTGTAGCAAAATGCCTGGTGCTGACCAAAAACTGTGCCCGCACTTTGTCACAAATGCATTTTTCATAGTATCAACGCAAATAGGACTGCAGAACACGATAATATGTAGCATTACACCAGGTTGAAAGAATTCTGCCATTGCGAATGAAGTACCAGTCATAGTCCTCTGCGTCCTCCACCAGGTCGTCCACCTCGAGAGAATCGCTTGCTGCCATTCTCCGCTGCAAACCAGACTCTGTACAGCGCCGATAACCGTATTCTGTGCCTTTGTCTACTCGTTTTGCAGTCATGGTTGGGTGTGGGAAGTGTCGAACAACGATGAGGCCACACGTGATAGTTAATGATCTTCATAGCCACCCTAACTAGGACATCAGGAATTCTGCCCGAGCGTAAGCCCACCTCTTACGACCTAATGCAGGGCTCTCTTGCTTCATGTTACAGTATTTTGCATCAATTATCCGACATGCTTTTAAAGGACACCATGGCTCACAAGCCGTTGAACTATTATGAAGCAGCTCGTCGTACCCAACGTCCCAAGATCAGATCAGGTGAATCTATTTATTTGCTTACGTATGCCTTAAGGCGCCATCGGCTCTAAACTAAGCACTGCTCCGAAGGCAGACCCGTCTAGTCGTCCTGGCCGCAGACTCCTCTTGTGGCTTGCACCGCCGCGTCCCAGAACGATTCTCCATCTCCACCACTTCCTCAAAGCCAGCATAATCCATGGACAATCCTAGCTCAACAATAAACCCAAACAGCACATGGGTGAACCTAAGAGGTCTGTTTGACATGCGCTCTGTAGCATCCAAGTGCAGTGTTCAAAAACTTGGACGAGCGTTGCAGATAGTGTTAGAGACACTTTTCTGACACTTTGGTCACATTTATGCTTGCCTAGGTTCATGGCTTACCAACATTCTGATAATGGTGTTGCTGAGACTGGGAATGGCGATAGTACCAGGAATTTCATCAGAAGCGTCTTGGACTTTGACGAACCTTGTGTATAATGCAGTAAGTTCCTGTCCAATTAATCGTTGATTCTAAGGAAGAGGAATTGTAAGACGTCCCAGAGGTGGACAAAGTCATTCTGCTGGGCTGTTGCCAAATTTGCCTTAGTAAGACTCTGTAGCCATTTAAGTAGAGAACTGGAAGATAGTATGAAAGCAGGATGAGCTTCATAAATAGCCTCCTAGCGGCATTGTATACCGTTTCGTACCCAGGCTTAATCTTCTTTTCATCCTGGTCAGTCTACATTTGTGATGTTCCATTGGGTGACTGGGATACCGTTCGATTTAAATCAAAATGAGTACGAGGGATTGACGTTATGGGAACAAATTGACAATGGGGAACAGTTTACACCAACGAAGAAGTACCTTACCGCATTACCCATAATACTGTATGTTTGCAATCGTTTACAGCTTTGCATCGCCAACAAGAAATTTAACGCATCTTTTACAGGTTCCTACTAAGTACACACTACACACATTACGACTTTCCTACATTTATGATCAACTTGGCGTCATTACTTGTGGTGCTCGTGGCAAAACTGCCATCGATGCACAAAGTCCGCATATTTGGCATCAATAAAGGATACACAGATTGAATTCGCAATGCGTGGGCGGGCGGCTGTGTTGAGCGAGTGACCTTATGACCTTTTGAGTAATTATCTGGCGAAGAATATAGGATCGCGCATTTTGTTTGTGGGGGGAAACTATCACAGCCGTTCGAAATGTTTTCAGATCGATTGCATAAGATTTTCCACATCTCTTTGCAGCATCTCATTTCTTGGATCGAGCTGCAAAGCTCTCTGGTACTCTTCTAGGCCCGCTTTTAGTTCCCCTGATCTCACTTTAGCGGTTCCTATGCGGACAAGCATTTTGACCCTTGATTTTCGTCTGTCATCAGCATGAACGTCTTCGACTGTTTCCTCGCGAATCGCTTCCTCTTCCTTCGAAAGTAATGATAAAGCGGTGGTACAATCTTGTACGCAAGCGTCATAAGCATTGAGTTGGAGGTGACATGCTGCCCGATTCGATAAGCAACTGTGGAAGTTGGGTGGATATTAGATGTGAAAGGTAAACGACAACTTGGACAGAATATGACACTGTGCATACGTGAAATTGCTCGGGTCAATGTCCAGTGCTGCTGTATACGCGTTGACAGCGGCAGCATAGTTTCCAGAACGATAGAAACTGTTGCCTTTGTCCTTGAGGAAAGTTGCTAATGGGGGTCGACAAATGATTACTCGGGGTTCAACGTGGAAACCAACTCTTAGGTACATACGATTGGACTCTTCGATGCTCCTTGCATCTGAAATATCTGCCTTTCGCCTATGCTCATCCTGCATAGCTTTGATGCGGGTTCGCCATTTGACTTAAATAATATGATTGTGAATGGAGGGCCGAAAATTCCTATTCCTCCATTGCTGGGTTCTTACCATCTTCACTTTCTCGCGCGGTTTTGGTGGGGATTAGTCCTCGCGATGTGAACGTAATATGGATCTCTTGATTGGCGCCTCGTGGAGGTGGAACCCTTTGTTCTGTGTTTAAAGTAAAGTAAGGTAAAACTTTTATGATTGCATGTGAGGCTAGCAGCGAATAGTTACGTTTTAGTTGAGCCTGAACTTTAGCCCTGATTTCCTCCATATCTAGACCTGATTCATCGTCCAAGTCATCCAGATCTTCAGTCTCCTTGCACGATTTTGTTTCCACCGAAGCTTTACATTCAGCGGATGTCGATTCATTTTCATGCCTCTTGTCCATGACAGAATCGTCTGAGATATATCCATCATCTTTGTCAAATATTTCAACGATCCCAGACTCTTCTATCTTTCCCTTCCCTTTCCTGCGGGTGACATCTTCCCTCTCTCGATTTGCATTTTGTAGCTTCGTTTGTTCCATCCATTTGTTCAGGCCTTCCTCAGCCTGTCTCTTCTCCGCTTCCTTTAAGGATGCTAGGCGCTCCCTCTCAGCTCTTTCAACTTCAATCTGCTTCTGAATAAGCAACTGCTCTTCCTGTCTCCTTTCCGCTGCTTTACGTTGCCGCGCCTCCTCCGCTTTTTGGCGAAACCGGAGGTCGGCCTCCTCACGGCGGGTTTTGATGGGTATTGCTGAATCCTTTGGATAGGATAGATTTTCCCATGTCTGCTCTATTAACTGGGGAACAATATATAAACGAACGAGCTCACGATCAGTGCTCAAATGTCAGCGCTCGAATATGAAAGGTACCTTTGGCAGCTCAAATTTCGTGCACCCATTTCCAACGGAGACTACAGCTTTGTCAGTGTCAATTTGGTCAAATAAGTCCAGCTCAAACAAATAAGGGGGAAAGTTGATTTTCAGATACGCATCGTTCACTATATTTATATTTTCGTGTCAACCCGCAGAAAATAGATATATCCAGAATTCGTGTTTCTTACCGTATACATCCGCCTTTTTTGGGTTTGCTCCCCTCAAAGGAACAGTTATGTAGACGCATGAAGAAGTTTGCGTCCAAGTGTAGTCGCGAACAATAATCGGCATACTGTTAACGAACGGGGACTGGCCACTGGCCACGTCCGAAGCTGCGCGTTCGTTAGGATGTTAGCAAAGCAAGGCTAAGCCACGGACATTGAGGGTCATCTTGGCGATCCTTGGCCAGCACTGTTTATCGAAGCTTTTTTGTTGTCGGATATAATAAAGTGATTGATTGACTTTCCTTGGCTCCCGTATATATATTTCACTGGCACCAATCTCATCCATCAATTCGCCGAAATCCGATCATTGTACCTATCATGAACAAACCTGCATCCCCCGATCAAACAATCATGGCGGAAGACGTCCTGCCCTGCGTAAAGATCCTCGTAATAGGAAATGGTAAGCTTATCATACCTGTTAAAATGCCGTTGCACGTATGCTCATTCGGCACATGCTAGGAAGCGTTGGAAAATCGTCAATGATTCGGCGATTTTGTAAAGGCGCCTACAATGAAAATTATAAAAAGACCATAGGAGTGGAGTATTTAGAGAAAGAGGTGGAGATTGATGGCTATGGAGATGTTAGGCTGATGCTCTGGGATACTGCTGGTAAAACATCCTAGTGGGATAACATTGGATACGAGGATACGAGGAAGGCATCTGATTCCATCGTCTGCTATACAGGGCAGGAAGAATTTGATGAGATCACAAGGGAATATTACAAAGGTCCGTATAGAATGCTGAGGGAGATCTTACAGAGCCATTAATTGACCTTGTGTTTACAGACACCGATGCTGTGGTACTAGCATTCTCAACGGACGATCGGCCATCATTCGAAACCGTGAAGTCATGGTGCTCGAAAATCAAGACAATTTGTGCTGACGTCTCCATGGTTCTCGTGCAGAACAAGATTGATTTGATACAGCAGGCTGCCGTTTCCTCGTAAGCTCTACCTGTGCTCCTAGTGAACGACAGCAGGATTGAAACTGTCTTCTTCTGGGACGTAGGCAGGAAGCGGAAGCCTTGGCACGGGACTTGCGCATGCGACTATTTAGGGTATCAGTCAAGGAGAGTTTGAATGTAGAAGAAGGTAGAGTTGACGTACATGAAAGACGAGGCGAGTGATACACTCTGACGATCTTTCTGGCAGTTTTCACATATCTTGCCCAAAAGCAACTGGAAAAAGAGCGAGAGAAGCGGCAGATGGCCGCAGCAGCAGCCAAAGACGTTTCTGATGATGATATTAAATGTAAGCAGTCTACGATTCCAAAACATTGTGGCGACTTGTTAACATAGTGTATGACAGCACGACCACAAAGCGGGCGCTTCAAAGACTCAAAAAATACTTCAGATAGACGAGTGACAAGTGCACGACCACCACATATGATTGGAAAGAAGGATAATTGCATAATTTCATAATAAGATTCAATAGTCTACATACCAATAACGAAGCTAGAGCGTTCGTTTGCTAACAAAATGCTCCACTTTAGAAACGCAAAATACAACTATACGTAAAAGATTTGCCACCTCTTCCTTTCCTCGTCACTGTCAAATTCTGGTATAAACTCAATTTTACGGATTTCCGCAAATCCTTCATCTTCACCCGGCGGTTCAAACCTTGCTGTGAAATTTCGGAAAGCTATTATCGGCAGTCGTACAGTAACACCATTCAAGCCTTGTCCCGGTTTGGACTCTGGTTTGTTTTTACTCGATGTGCTACTAGCGCGCACTGGCTCTTCCCAATGTCCATCCCTCCCCATCCGTGACATCACCTCTCTGTATACATTGTTGTGCATACAAACGGCTTCATCCGCAAGAAACCAAAAGCATCGTACCGGTATCTCCCTGCCTAGCTTGGTACCTACCCGTTGTGCAACATTCATATACAACCGTCGCGTGCTCCGGTCAGGATTTGTATTGTCAATCACTACGCTCTTGTTTTGTTGAAGAGCAGCTTCTGATGCCTTTATGCATCGGTCTCTAGATTTCAATGTGTCTTGATTGACGTGAACATAATTGTGCGGAAGAAGATGACGTCTTGCAAAAGAGGATTTGCCAGATGCGGGAGATCCAACGAAAAGTATCAGTTCTGGTTGGGTCGAGGCCGGAGGGAGAGTAGGTGGCACGTTGGCGCTGGTAGTTGGGTCGTCACGTAGGTATCGACGAGGATCAAAGGTGGGATGTGGTGCATGGTGTGAGCGAGGGATGTCTTGCCGGTCTGGAGATGGTATTGTGGTTGTGCGACTATGCCAAAAGGCTTCGGGAGTTAAGAAGGGGAATCCGACATTCAACGCGAATTTGTGATCAGTGTCCGCAAAATCTTTGCTAGCTCCAGGTTTATGCCCAGCATGCCTTCCCGCTGCATCCCCGACATAAAAGCTCTTATCTTTCTCCACCACCACCCCAGCAGTCCAGTCACGTTCAAATTTCTCCCACATTCCCGGTCGAGGTTTACGATTCCAGTCATCGCCCGTAGCCGCGAACACCAGAATTGGGGGAACAGGCACACCCTCTTTTTCTGCCTTCTTCCGGACAGCATTGATGACATTCTCGACGCGTCCCATAAACGAAGCTTTTCGATTTTTGCTGCGTGTGTCATTGCCTTCAATACCCTTCTGATTGGAGAAAATTACAATACGATAGCCTTCTTGATTGTGCAGGGATATCAGTCGGTCTGGTACTGAAGGATGAAAGAAAGTCCAGTCATCTGCGTTTTTAGCATGGACGTGGTTGCCGCGGACTTTTACAATAGTCCCATCAAAATCGAATGACGCGATCCGACTGGTTTGCGGCTGGGAAAGATAGGTTGCGACAAGCACACTCGAGGTATGTGTCCATTTGACTGCTGGGAGGTTTGACAGGACGGCGTTTGTTGCAACAGCGGTGGTTGTAGAGTGTTTGGCAAAAAAAGGGTGAATCGGAAGGGCAGTGCCTATAGGCTGCTGTGTAGCTTCAGACGTTGAGTTGACCACCACATGAAGCTGGCCGTCCATCATCGTGCTAGATGCTACTGCGCTTGTGCTTGCTGTTGCAACTTTGACGTCTGAGAGAGAGTCCGCGGACCGAGAACGTTTGGCAGGGGGATTGTCCTGAATGGAGATCTGTGACTTGACAGCACTTTCATTTCCTTCCAATTTAGCAGCTATTTCCGTGCCATCACTCTTCAATTCCATTTTATCGATCTGTGTCATGCTTTCGACGCATGCTACCTTCCGTTTATTCGCCATTTTTGGCACCGACCTCAGACCCAGATGTCAGATCCGTAAGATCGACAATACCCACAAAACTGGTGGTATTGCACTGCATGTCACGTGAACCTGGGAGCCGACAAAATGCAGGACCGATGGTGTTATTGAGAAGCTGTACAAACAAAATAAACCTAGTAGACCGAGCAGAACAGTCTCTGAGAATGGAAATGCAAGAATTCCCTACGTAGCTACCCAGCACCTATGATGTTCCCTCCGCACCGCAATTACCGGGACGGATAGGCATCAGCGGAATGTAAGCTAGCACTACCCCTCTGAATCGCATTAAATGTCTCAATCTCGGTTGTGTCGTTATCCCTATTCGACTGCGCATTGGCTTCCGGTACAAGAACTCCAGCAGCACCCCCAGATTGCAAAGCCGACATGGGGAGTGCGTTGCCAGAGGCCTCGCGACGAATGGCTTCCTGGTGCTGGAAATCGCGAGCGATGGACGTCTCCGTGTGAGGAGCGCCAACCATTCCCGGTTGCATTAGAGCAGATTCCTCCGTAGTGGGGATGTCGAGATGGCTAAGATGGTAGATGAAGTGTAAGTTACGGTCTGCCACGGAGCCCAGCAATATATAAAGTACTCTCGTTTCCGTCTTCTTCACAGTGACTTACCTGGACATGATAATGGCCAGATAAAAACTTGTAGAAACAGAAATATCAGTTACAAACCGGTTGCTGTAAACAACGAGAGGTCAAAAGACCGACGCTTAGTAAGCCGTGGTCATTAACATAATGCTTGGTAAGCAGCCATACAATCACCTATTTACAATTAGAAAAAGGAACTACATAGTACAAAAATTACCACCTTCTACGATTCTTGATCAGAATTTCATCAGCCTATCATTCATACAAAGTATTGGGTATCTAAACCGATTGAGAAATCCCACACAATGATTCGCTAAGAAAAAAATGAGATAAAGAGTCATGGGAACAGCGATCTCATTAAGCATCTCCTCACCTGGTCCTGGCTACAGCTTACAATCTTTGTATCATTGAAAAGCAGCTTGAACACGCGACTGGAGTGACCTCCTTCCTTCAGATCCAACAGCAACGCCCCAGTATGCAGGTCCCAAACCTTCAGAGTTTCGTCATATGATCCGGATACAATTCGCCGAGAATCGAATTGAAGGGTTCGCACTAACGATGTGTGTCCTGTGATCGTTCTAAGGAGTGTCCCAGAGTGCACATCCCAGACTTTTATGGTGCTGTCTGTAGTCAAAAAAAAAAGTATAAATAGCCCATTCTTGAACAGCGGTGGGTCGCCCGGACCACTGTACCTGACGACCCAGAAACAATAGTATCCCCGTCGAATTGAATGCACGCGATGCCACGAGTATGTCCAACAAGATTCTTTGTCTGTTGTCCAGTTTTCACATCCCAGACTTTGATTTGTCGGTCTTTTGCAACAATTAAGTTTTTCTTCCTCTCAAAAAAGAAAAGCAACAAACAATCTTTACCCACCTCCAGACGCAGATACTACAGTTCCTTTCCTGAATTGCACAGCATTCACCGCAGCCCGGTGTCCCCGCATCGTATGAATCAGCTCTCCAGTGTTGAGGTCCCACACTCGCACCGTCGTGTCCTTACTGCATGACACTATGCGATCGCCCTCAAAGCGTAAATTCAAAACCGATTCACAATGACCCTCGAGCGATCTCAAGATTCTTCCAGTGGCAAGATCCCAAATCAGAATGGTGGCGTCCGATGAACCGGACACAATGCGGGTTTCGTCGTATTGTAAGCACAGCACCGAGCCTTTGTGCCCGTACAGGGTAGCTGTGCAATTGCCGCTTATCATATCCCAGATTTTGATGGTATCTTATTTGATGTCAGCGTTAGGCCATGCACTAATTGAGTACGTCACTCTACATACCGTCTCGTGAGCCCGACACGATTTTGTCGTCATCAAACTGCAAGCAATAAACTGCCTCCTTATGCCCAGTAAACGTTCGAGTATTATATCTCATCGTCATCCAGTTCTTCTCTAACAAAACCCTTTGATGGTAAACATGCCGCCAGTCTATAAGGTGTTTTGATGAAGCGGCTTCTGTCTCCGCGCTTCTTCCTTTTCCTTTCTGCTTCGGCTTTGAATGCGTAAGAGTTTGCGATCGACTCCGTTTAACTGCGCGCTCAACCAGAGATTCCTGATCAACTCTATGTGCCGAGGGAGGGACATCGATAGCCGTTGTGTCCGATGTCGATGATTCTATTGGGCTTGCTGACGCCGCGAACATGGGCTCATCCTCTCCAGTATGCCACTGCTCGGCAGAGGAACCGGTGCTGGAATAAGACGTTCCGAAAGAGTGAACAGTTGCGTCAGAAGTAGCGCTGGTCGATCCAGTTTCTATTGTCCTTGCAGCTTCGGCGATTCCTGAATCTCTAGCCCGATTTCTTCTCCTATTTGGCCGGTAGGGCCCATACTCCGCCTCTAAAGCAGCAGCCACGTACGCTTTCCTCCTCTTTCGCTTCTCCTTTCTATACACAGGATCATTCGCCTCTTTGATTATTTCGGACATAGCATAAGGACTAATATCCCAACCACTCCTTCGGTAAAGATTGTGCCAGACAGAGTTATCGTAGGCCACATCCTTCCATTTTTTGGATACTTGTGCTACCCGGCTTATTGTCCGTATGTCAACATAACTCAATATCTGCTCGGCAAGCTCTCTAGGTAGCGCACTTAGAAAGTCTCGCTGCAACAGGGGCGCCAGTCTTGTCGTGACGTTAGCGAGAGTTGGTGTTGAGACGGTGAGAAGCAACTGGAAGGCAAATTCTGTGGGGACAGATAAAACATCGATAAGTCAATGCCTCTGGTGAAATGTGGCCTCCCTCTCCTCATGTTTGCACCAACAGACTCCACCCACAGTAAAACCTCACACTCCTCGTTCTCAGGGCTCTGTGCAGTCATGTTTATCAGACCCACCTGCTTTCTGCTCCTCTGACCATTCAGAAATGTGGACCGGCAGTGATTTCGCCGAAGCTGGCATTAAGCAGAATTCTTCATAACCCTCATCCGCGTCATTGAGACGTATGTGAGTCGCTGACATGTCTCGCTATCGCCGGAGAAAAGCGCAACGGACGGGTTCGTTGTTGTAGAAGATTGCCCGGAAACGGGAATCTTGAAGGTGGATGATTGCAGAGCAAAGTTCCTTTTTCCTTGAGGTGGGAATCATTAGGGGTCAGCTAAGCTACTAAGCGTACCAGGCTGTCGTTCACGATCACATGAACGTAAACAAATAGCGTCTCCGAACGATATTCAAGATGAAGTAAGATTCAAAGTAATAAATATACGTTGACAATTACAAGTGGAGCAGTATGGAGCTTTGAACCGAACAATAATAATTGGTAGTTCAGGTCAGGACAAGAATCAGAATGTTTGACTGGGCACTCGCCGATGAGTTGATGATCGCAAGCTATAATTTGCAGAGTCATGCCCCGCATAATGAGCCACAGGTAGACAAATATGGGTATCTATCGGCATGCTACCAGATCCGACTACCTCTCCGCTACTTAGATATCCATGTCAATAATCATCTGCAAGATCTTCTCCATGTCATTCCGTTCGCTTGTGTATGAGCCTGAAGCGTAATACTGTTTGGGAACTTCCTGCACAGGTGAAAGAACTGCATCAATGGCATGAATTACACCATTCATAGCAATCCCGTCGTTGATGAAGACGTGGGCTTCCTCATTGATTTCAATCTACGTGATGGGGTGAGACGGGACACGAGTGCATTGACTAATGTAAACCTCCTTACTGACCACTGGATGCTTATGATCGTGCTTGTCGTCCTTTTCTTTGGCAGTAATCTTGAGTTTGGCACCTTCAATGGTCGGAAGCTCAAGTTCTTTCGCTTTCCAAATGTCAGGTGTGTAAACCAGCTGGGGAGAAATATGGTAGGAGACAATCTAATTTCATCATTAAGAGGCGTCATCCAATCGACAAGTTGAAAGAGCAGCGCTAAACCAACCCGGCGTAAGTCTTCGACGCCATCAGGACTGAACAGGTATCTAAGTCGTTTGAAGCCGAGCTGACCGAGTGTGGTGTTAGCAAACGTACTGCTGCTGTACCAACGGATGCACCACTGCTGTACCTTCTTGAACGCACGATTCGATGGTGCAAAAACCGTAATTGCTGCAGTTTCCTTCACAACATCCTTCAGTCCCGCTTTTCCTATAGCCACTTCAAATATGCCAAATTCGAGCGGAAAATGTCCCAAGACATAGAAGACATTGGGAGGAGGAACGATGATGTGGTCAACACCTTGAATGACGCCGTTCGACGCCTTAATGTCCGCAGCGACGATATGCGAGCGCAAATTCAAAGCAATGTGATCTTTTTGTAATATATCACAACAGGCGCATTAGTCGTTAATAATGGCCGGGAAGGCCTTAAAGAAGCACCTACTTTTGTGCTCAAAGACTCTGATCTTTTGTGGTCGGTCACCCAGCGACTCTAGCTTAAGCCGCGTGTCCAGCAGCTGACCATTCTCAAGGTCTTCGGTCTTGTGAGCCTTATCTACAATATGATATAAAAGAACCTATTTCCGAGCTTCAATTGATGGGTTTTCTCAGCAGCATTTCTCCTGTAGCAATACCTTTGTGACAACTTCCTCTGGAGGCTTTTTGTCATCTGGACATCCTGGGACATGTTTGAATGCCGAGTTAACGGGCGCAAATAACGTCACGTCAGCGTCCGGGCTATCTAATCCTTTGGCAATTTCCTTCCTCTCCTCAATGATTTCGGCTAGTTTAGAGAATGCTTCATCTTCACGAATCACTTGGTAAATCGTTTTCTTGTCATCTCCATCCCCCGGCTTTGTTGGGGAGCCATGACCTTCCGGTGCGAGGGAAAGACCACACAGAAGCAAATCAGTTGAAGTCTTGGGCGCGGAAAGCAAAACATGCTGGATGGGATTAATCTGGCGAGCCGGTAGCGCAAGACCATAGCTGCTGAGTACGACAGAGACCAGAAGAGCTACTACATGTAATGCAAGCATGTTGATATGGAATGCGTTTGGAAGAACAAAATAAAATAAAGCAAAATGATGGATATGTTAGCACGCTCCAGCCTACTTGGGCGGGAGGGACTATTTTGCACAGCTCAGAACATGCATTCAAACGCATTGATCGCGTGCTCGTATAATTGCGTCACGGACCAGGACCAGCACGAGTTAAAGGATCAATGTGTCCGGCGGGAGAACCCCCATGCATTTTGTCCAGTGTTCAACTTGTTTCCATTCGCCTTCGCTCCGTCGTCCATCTTTGACCTTCTCCTCCTCCAACAACACGCCCACCATCATCCCAAATTCCTCTCGATGCCTAAACACCCGCTTCAGACCCAACAAGTCGCACGACCAAAGCACCATTTCTGGCCATGTTCAGCGCCTGGGTGTTTGTGGCGCACGTTTGTCTGTACGTAAGCGGGCATAAATTTGACGCCAAAATCCTTATTTCTACAACATCGCGCTCTGATTGGCTGGAAAGTCCAGGGGTGGGTCTTGAGAGCGAGTTGGGGGAAAAGACCTTCTGCTGGCTGTAGGGCTTTTTCTCGGCTTGGGTTTGCTTTTGGACTTGGGGATCTTTTTTTTTTTTTCCTCACGGGCAGCCGGGATCCTTTCATCTTCTCGACGAAGAAGTTGAAAGGAAGCAACAAGTTGGGACTCGAGTGCACCAGAGGGAAGCAGAGTAGCTTGTTGGGTTTGGAGAGAAGCGCTTGCTGGCCCGCGACGGTCAATCAACAACGTTCCTGACAAAACGACAGTCTCAATCAAAGGTTCTGTTCCTTTGCGGCTCTGTCTGCACTGTTCTTCACATTGTTAGAGGGTGGCAGCCAGTATGCCGGTTTCCTCTCCCTGTCTCGACTCTGCTGTCAGCGTGCTTGATCAATCACATTCTGCCCCACCCTGTCCGCCCGGAGGATCGCTACCAAACGACACAGACCGCTACACAGACAGCGCCTACGATAGCGGTGAAGACCGTCATTCGGAAGCTCAAGTGAGTCCCGCTCCTTATTTTACACCTCCTCCCGAGACCAAACTTGGGATCGCCACCAAGAAGCGGAAGCGAATGGCTGACGACGACACCGAAATTGCGATTCCCCCACATAACCCCAGGCGTAAACCGCCAAAGCGTCAAATTGTCTTTGTCGATCCTGACGATGCCATGTCCCCATGGTGGTGGCCAGCCATGGTATGTTTTGGAAACGTTGCGTTGTAGTATGGACTTTGGGCGTCTGATAGAGGCATGCTGCACTGTCGAAGACTGTATGGGCAATTGACTGGATAGTGCATACCTTGGCAGTTGGATGCGATTGTCTACTTGCGTCCATAAGTCATTCTCACGCTGTCTTTTTTTGGTCCATGACATAGGTTGTGCCAAAACAAGAGTTCCAGATATTTAAGAAGAGCGTGAACGGCGAAGTCAAGGATCCAAAGGAAGGAGAATGTGTGGTGGTTTACTTTGAGGATGCGTCTTAGTACGTCTTGGTTTGAGTTGCCCATCAGTGCATATTGGTCGTGAACTAACAGGATCACTTCGTAGTAACACCATCCGAGAATCCGAGCTCAAACCATTTTGCCCCTCACAACCACCGTATACCACGTACATGAATGGACCAAATGGAAAGGCATTTCGCTCCGACAAGGCAGTCATTTTGGCCACATTATATTGGGAGCGGGGCAAAATCCCTCCCGCATTCTCTTGGCTACAAGAATGTCAACTAGACGATAGGGCGCGGAGCGCTAAGGGGCAAGAGGATGGTTCAGTCAAGGAAGAGGATGCAGGACAAAGAAAAAAGTCAACAAATTCTTCGACTGCTAACAGTCGAAGGGGCAGCCAAGCAACTTTACCGCGGAAGGACTCGCTCACGGCGAAGGATGCCACGGTGAAAAAATTGGATAAGGCAGTCAAAAAGGTGGGCTCATTTTGCACAAGTATAACTTGCAGGGATATCTCACGCGAGATGAAATAGTCTTCCATAATTGCAGTTCCCGCTGCGGGCGGCACTAAACCAAAAGCTCCGTCAACAAATAAGTTATCCATGCCCATTGTTAATCTAACAACATCAGGATCAGCCTGTACCAGTACGAAGCCGAAGGTCCTCAATAAGGGCATAAGTCCTGAAATGCCGACTCGTGTGGTCCAGCAAGTGCTGCCTAACGGGGATAGCTTGGACTTGGAAGATCAGTTGAAAGAGAAGCATACGATTGTCAAATTGTCAACTACGAGTAGAAATTCGAGCGTCCGACGGCCACGTGAGAACCATTTCGGAACTGATGGCTTTTACCCTGCGGGCGGAACATCAGGGGCGGTATGCGCTAAGTGTGGATTCAAGGACGCAAAACAGCGGCGGGTGTCCTCGGCGCAAATACCTGTAGCGAATATTGGTCATGGAGAAGGAATCACATCGATGCCGCTTTGCAAAGAATGCCGCGAATTGCTTGACGATGTGCTGCCCAGTCTTGAGCCGACAGCTGATGATGAGGATCCTGTATGGACACCCGGTAATTACTTTTCTTATTCTTATTCGACATCTTGTCGACAGGTCTGATAGTGTCTACTGACAGAACGACGACCAATACGACTTCTGAAGCATCTTTTACCGGAAAACCGGACGGATCGATTGGTGCGACATTTTAAAGGTATGTCTCCATCTTGGCTGGATTGCTAACTAATGCCGTACTGATGTCTCGTTCCTGAAATCCCTGACAGCCATGCAGGAACTTGCTCATCGAGAACAGCTAAATCGCGGAGCACCCTCCTCTGTTGTTCACTCTGTCGCCATCATCCCGTCCGTCTCTCCAGCGCAATTGCTTTCCTTTGCTCCTCAATATACCGCACGCAACGCACTATCGAGTTCCGTTTCAAAACAAGGGGCACTGTCAAGCGCGCCGAGCATCCACGCAGCCGAAACACCTGTTGTGTTATCTCCATATGCGTCTCCACCGCCGTCCGCGACCGCTGCCCTACCCCCGTTACAAGTCGAACGTGGTGAAGGGAGAAGCTAGGATTGTTTTTTCTTCAATTTGAATTTTTGTTTTGTTCAATTTTTTCCGATGTATACAATATTCCCTTTTCTTGTTTATCTTTTTCGTTGTAATGAACGCTGCTGGTTGTAGTTTGGCGATCCTGTATGTTGTGTAGTTTTCTTTCGTCGATGCAGTTTGTACAAACAATGAAACGCAGGCTCGCCACGCAATATGACGTCTTTGCCCATTCGTACATTTCTGCAACGAACTGGTTGAAATCGCTGCGTATGGCCAAGTATTTGCCATGCCAGTATATTGCGTCATCAAAGTGACCAACAGTATCGCCAAAGCCAGGGCATTTTTGTGTGAGAAAGTACATGAGTGCAGTGATGCTCAACTTGCTTGGCCAGAACCTAACAGGGATGAATATCTGATGCCTTCAAAGTGGGCGCTGTCCCTCTCTACATCAGATTTGATTCAAGATTATTGGAAGGATGTTGGTCTTGTAGAAACCGCGTAGTTCTAACTGGCAAGCTCATCGCATAATGTGTTCATAATCGGTTGATTGCAGTTGGGATGCATTCAGTCGTCAGATATTGCCTACGGATAGGATTTACATACCACAAATCTGAGACAGCAGAATCATGCTTATGTTATCCAACGTGGCGCAGTCGCCCAAGGTCAGCTCAGTTTCTGACCTCTTTTGATTTTTAACTACCTCGTTGTCATTGATTCCATTTCAGACCATGTCAGCCTCTTCGGACGACATTATCCGCCATATTATCCGGGATATTGTCAGCCGATCGATTGGCGTCCTCAAATCCCGACGAACGGAAGTACAATCGGAAGAGGATGTGAACGTCCCGGAGACGCTTGCGGCGTTTATGGTCCGTGCGGTTGTGTTGGATCCTCGAAATGGGTTTCGGATTGAGGGAGAACTTGGAAGAGATGAGGTCGAGCGGCTGATCAAGGTCGGTAATTTCCTCTTTTGCGGCTGAAGCTATAATCATTCTGAACGTTAACTGATATGATGCCTCTATTCTATGAATGTGGGATAGATATGTGTGGATCGAATTACAGCGATGAATTCTCCTGTTATGGAAACGGTCAAAATGCAAGTCTACTTTGATACAAACTTCCCGGCGCAAGGTATCATTCGAATGTTTACCTTGCGGAGAGAGTGCGGCTGGGTAAACATTGTCATTGAACTCCCCAAAGGTGATTTCCTTCACAAAGAAAAGTCTTCCCGTGTATCTGCATGTGCGCCGCTCTTGCGTGAAATCACCGAGGTTAAAACCAAAGCTATTGCCATCTACGAAGGTATAGGTGCATATCGTTTGGAGAAATCAACTTCGCCCTCTGATACCCTCTCTCCCTTTAGCCTTGTACCGCAAGATTGTTTCCTACCTTCTACTTCGCAGTCATGTCGGAAATCCAACAGATATGCGAGTTATCCGTGAGACCACAGGTGATGAGCGTCGCCACCTTTCAAGTAACATACAACAATCCAGCAGATCCTGACTATCATTGACCTTAGCTGCCTTGGAGTCCGTCTTTCCACAATCTGAACTCAGTACATTCATTTCGCTTTCCAGACAAGAGAAGGAGGCACAGCTGAATGGGCTATCACAGCTTGCAACAGGGATTAGACTCTTCAACAAGCAGTTGAGGAAAGGTGGAGAGGGAGTGGATGACTGTGAGTTATCGGTTGTATTTGTGGTTGTTGGTTACTGCGGTTATATTGACCGTTAGACTGAATTTCGGCGTTTTGGGAGCAGTGCCTGAGTTGTGTAGAAGGGAGCTGCAAGACCTGAGCGAGCGATTGCGAGTACTGACAACCAACACTGAGGAGCTGATTCAAACATATACAGGTAGTGTAAGGACTTTATAAACAGTAAATAAATGTCCATCCCTTCTCAGACGCCCGTGCTTTACAGCTATCGCCGACTACAGCGAAAAAGCCCCCCGTCCAGAACTCGGTGACCTCGCTCTCGCCCGACTCAAATCCTCCCTGGTCTTCCGCCGACAATTTCTGATTTATCTTGATGCACTTCAAGAGCAGACCAACCGATCTGCGGAAACATTGTCGACACTCAAGGAGCGATTCGAAGAGACAGTGAGGGATTTGAAGACAACGTGTCGCGCAAAGACCGCAGTGCCTGTTGATCAAGTTTATGTGAGTGCATGAACGGCAGCGATTGAACGAACGATATGTTAATGCCAGGGCACCTGCTCCTTGTTCACTGTTGATTCCCAGCCGCAATTTATCATGCTCGCAAATCTATGGACGAATTACATGGACGAACTATTTTTGCTGGCATTTCGGAAGGGGATTCTCAATAATATAGAGGAACATTCCAAGGTGCGGAACTTGTATTCTCAGGAATTTCACACTCGATCTTAATGAACACCATACTCTACCAACATGTATAGGCATTTGCAATGGATATCCCACCCATTACCCTCGCTCTTTCTCAACCGTTCAAGCAAGATATTGAGCCAGAAATACTACCAGGTAATCAAAAAGTCATCCAAAAAAAGCACGGTAAACGGCAACGCTCACCGAGCACTCCAAATTGACAGAGCAAAAGGTGATTGCAAATGCTGCAGACTTAATGACGGCAGTTGCGGTGACAGGTCAAAAAGGAGTCGAGGTCGTACACCCCGGCAACACGACACAATACTATCGGCTGCCTGTGGAGTATGGTGTAAGTCTAGATAGCAAGAGACGGATATGGCCGGGTCTTTGACGCAATCTTGTGTTTGACTTTTCTAGGGATTCTGCCCATACACACTCTACAAACGTGACGGGCTGGTTCTCCCAGGAGACAAGAACCTTGGTCTCGTCCGCTGGCGAGATAAACTGTACGCCTTTGCCACGCTCGATTCGGCCAAAGAGTTTGCTAAAGCTCCGGACCGGTACACCGAAGCCGTTATCACACTCGCCAAGCATTCCCCGTCGTTTGTCCAGCTTTTGCATTTGTACACGTATTTTCCCACTGTGGAGGCACTGGAGAATGCGAAATCGTTTACGAGGCAAAGGTTGCTGGGGAAGGTGCCGCTAGTCTCCGAGGTTGGAACACAGGTGGATACACATGTTGTAGATAGACATTTGGATAAGAATTATGAATGGAATGAATGGGAGTTGAGAAGAAAGGCGATCATGTTGGTGGGTGCTGGATCTATATCTGGTGTAAAAAGTTCATTTGTTTATCTCTTTACTAATGTCTACCTTGGACTTTACAGGTAAACTTGAGAACCAAGCAAACGCACTCTGTACAGACCAACTCGAGTCATTTCCGGAGAGAAGCCGAAACTCAACATTACGAGCCACGGTAAAATTCTGCTTCAGCCTGCAGAAAGCATGCGTCCCCAGTACTAACATGCAGTTCTATAACAGAGCAAAAGAAACCCAAACGAGGCGCACGCAACCCACTCAAACTCCTATCAAAAAAGCATTTCTATCCAACCTCCGTCACACGCCCGCCTCCAACAACTTTCACGTTGTCGACCTTACTATCGATGTGGATGGCAAGCCGGCTCCATATGGAGGTGGCGGATTTGGAACGAAGATGGACCTGGAGAGTGCTGCTAAGGCAGGGGCTGGAAGGGTGGTTAGACCAACTGTGGTGGAAAGGGGGGTTTAGGAGGAGTAGTCTTTTAAGTGCTCTGATTTGTACAACTCGGTTTCAGAAGGAGCGATGCACCGGGGTATTAATGACAAAACTAGACGGAGAACAGTTGATAGGATAGTAGCAAAAAGTATGATTGACGATCCTGACAATTTGGATTAAAAAGGAAAGACTCGAATAAAAGGTCCTCAATGATCATTTCATTTGAGGGTCATCCACGTCCTCCTTCTTTTCCAATCTCTCTAACCTCTCCATCAAACCTTTGAGCATAATTTCCATGGCTCCATCGCCACTTCCCTTCCCTTCACCTTCTTCCTTTGCTCCGAAAGAGAAGGCCCCCCCATTGACATTCGCGCTTGGTGGCCCTCCTCGGAATCCCCAATGAGCGGCAGAAGACGATGCAGTCCCTCCCGCCGGCGGTGTGATTCCGCATTTTTCTTCTACGACCGCAAGCCGTCGGTCTAGCCGCGTCAAGGCTGCCCCAAACTTTTCTCCATACTGAGCTTGCATTTCCCGGAAATGACTTCGAACAAGCCCTTCAATCATCTGTCCTGCGCCTTGAAGCGATTGCAGCATAGCACCCGTGCGACGAAGCTGTCCTTGAAGGGTTGACTGCAGACGTAAATTTTCTTCGGCGGAATCGTACATCGATTCAAAGGTAGCCAAAAACGCTTGGCGGGAAACAGGAGGATAGCCATGTATTGATGCTGTCGGGTAGGCGGAGCTAGGAGACGGAGGTGGCAGATGTTTGGAACTGGTTTGGGCGATGGGTGGGAGAGGGGATCGAGGATGTGCGTCCCGGTCGCCTCCAGCTCCGAATCCTGTGCTAGGTGCCTCCCGATCTCGCTGCTGTTGCTGTTGTTGTTGCTGCTGTTGCTGTTGCATGTGAGGAGGTAAGGGCAATTCCCTGGACGGAAATTCACCCGCTCGAGGTGACATCAACTGTTGCCCAGAGCTCAAATTTGAAGTGTGCAATATGGGATTATAGCGAGATGCTTCAGGCCCTCGCGGTGTAATCTTTGATGACTTGCCGGGAGCTGGGTTCAAGTGTCTTGGTGATAAAAGTGATGCTCCAGATGGAGATCCAAGAACCCTTCCGGGATGCAGAACGCTTGGTGGATGTGAAGCACCATGAGGGCCGTCGGCTGGTGCTGTCATAGCGCCCCCTCGATTGCTTTGTGCACTCTCTCCGGTCCATATCGTTAGATTCTTTGAATTTCGGTATTTCGGGGACGATGGTCTGCGAGACGCTTTGTGCGAATCTTGCGGCGGAGAACTTCCCCTCACATCCGCGGACATCGGTCCCCGTTGCTGGTATTGAGCATTCTGACGAGCCTCAATAATCGCTTGCTGTTGCTGTTTCAATTTAAGAGTATTTCTCATCTGCTCCATGACATCCACACTGGCACTATTGCTGGAGTTGACATTTGACGATCCGCGGCCTGGCAAGTTGTGGCCAACTGCTGTATTGATGGAAAGACGCTTCCTTTGTTTTGGTCGGCTGGTTGGAGGTTCTTCCGACCCATTGGGAGATGTATCCGCGTGTTCTTCCGATTGTGCCGATTCTGAAAGTTCAGCTTCTGAGCGATTTCTTTTCATTCCCGTTTCGTGCGATGCGTGCTGTCTGAATGGCCGATCGTTGAATGTTAGCACAGCGTGGTAATCAGTTTACAATACAACTGATTTCTCAAACACACGGCAGCTTTACCTAGCTGGACTTGATTCCGTTTCACGACCTTGACCATGTCCTGGCTTCCCGTGCACCAGTTTCTCGACATTTGCAGAGCTCGACAATCGCTGTGAATTCTCTGATCGATAAGACTGTTCACGCGAACGATCTCGTTTTGACACATCGTCCTGTCCATGAGTTGGTGATGGGGATCGCCGTATGGCTCTTGCCTAAGACATGAAGAGCAAGTAAGCATGAGTATGAGCATCAACCTTAAACCATTTATCGGACTCCCGTCCTTACCTTGGTATCATCATTCTCCTTCTTAGTTTCTTTATCCGCGTCCATCGGAACAGGAGAATCTCTCCCGTGATCACCGTCTTCGGTTTCAGTTCCGTCAGACATTTCTTCGCCGTCCGACAACGCCTCCAAATCCTCCTCACTTTCGGTGAACGGATGTTTCCAATTAAAATGCGGGATACTCTTCAACATCTCATCTGCCACGCCATTCTTGATCTGATCTCGAGACAGAACGCAAAATTCCGCCAAAAGGTAGTTTCCAAGTCGCTTTGCAGCTTCAGCGATAGCCGTTGACGACATGTAAATGTCTCCCGTATTCTCCTTGAAATGATGTAATGACGAAGTGAGGTACTGCTTTGGGATTTTCGCTGATTTGTGCATATATCCCGGTTCTTTGCGGAAGAACATGACGTCTAAATCTCGAAGACGGTAAAAGTTTGTTTCTGAAGATGGTGATTCGACATCGGGAGAGCTTTCAGGTTGGACAGGAAAGTAGTAGACGCAGAATGCGTAGCCCATTTGGGCATGAAAATACACGCCGATTTTAAGCTTTGTAATCTTCATTGTAAGTTATTCTCTCATAGACGGTAGGGAGCAAAGTCCCAAGCAGCGCCCACAATTCTCCTTCCTAATTTTGTGTGTCTTGGCGAATCATCAACCTGCAGGATCCAGGAGAAAAACAACTTAGCAGCTGCCTTGGAATTTCATATATTCTCGGGTGCTAAGCGACGCAAGAATCCCTTAGGACCTATTTTAACGGGGCTGAATGGGCCAGTACACTCTGCCAGTGCGGTGCAACAGGAGGGAGGATTTGCCGGCACTTGGCTACAGAGCACAAGAGTTCGCGTTGCCCTTCGCGTTGCACCTTACTTTGCCTAACGGACTCTCGGAAAATAACACCCACCTCTCTGGCGTACGTTGATGCCGCTGGAGATCTAATCTCGCAATAGACTGACTAGCACCGATGCGTGCGCGACAATGTCGGAGGGCGGATGGTGCAGAAGGGCCGCTGGTTCGACATGGGGGGAAATAATTCAAATTGGGTCAAATTGCCCCTATTCAATGCGCATGTCAGCAATTTGTAAGCAGCGCCATCTTCGGTGCTCTTGGGCTTGTCAACTTGACACAATTCAACAACACACATGGGTGACATGGAGCAAGAGGACATTTCACCCGAAAAACTGAAGCTGCTGGAAACTCTTGACAGGGATGCTAAAGAGCAAGATCTGTCTCAGGGAGAGGTCGCCGAAGGTGGACCGGCAAAACGCACGAGAGCAGCTACACGTAAACAGCAAGCGTCAGTAGTCGGAGTGGATCGAGGAAAGAAGAGGCGAGGGGATGAAGAAGGCCTTGAGTCTGCCCCATCAACCAAGAAACGTTCAGGAAATGCCATACAAGTTCCAGCCACTCCACCACGCCAACAGTCTAAAGCCAAACCTCCGTCGCCAGCCAACCACGACCATGAGATTTTTCCACAAACGCCCAGGAAGCCGCACCCAATAGCCACTCCGATATCCCCGGCATCTCCAGCTTCCAGTTTAGCATCCTCGAGCGAACACGCACACCTGCGTCCAGCCGATGTATCACCTATTATCATCAATCGCGCGCCCGTGCTTTGTTTATGGGCAGCCAGTGTTGCCGATCGAGAAGGTTGGGAATGGAAGACGTGCTTATCGATTGGAAAAGCCATCACAACCATGTGAGCCTATTATTTTTTCCTTGTGAAAACTACGACAAGATAACAAATCAGGTCGGATTGCCCCGTCCTAGGTTTGCACAATCTAAAGGGAAATCTCTTGGCATTTTTGAAAAAGAACAAGGGAGCAGGCATGCAAAGAACGAGGGTGACGACGACGGCAAGGTCAATGTCTTTGGCACAAGGTTGACCGTTGTGCAAAAGCCCTCCGGGCCAAGAGCGGAACTGGATGGTAAAATATTTGACCCTGTCGAAACAGAGTGGTATTTGCGCGACAAGTTTGGTGCGCGGTAAGTCAGTGACCTTTTTGTCCGTTTTGCTGTGCAAGTCTTAATAAAAAAAAAAAATAAAAAGCTATGAAGATGCCCGACGCGCTTTCAAACATCTCGCTCACCAATTTCCACCCGAATCCATCGGCAGTTGCGGATACCGTCTGTACGAGCAATTTCGACCCGTGGTGTCCAGCGGAGTCAAAGGTTGGGGGAAGGCCGGCGAGTTGGATTTGAATCTTGTCATGAAATTAGGAGCGTGTCGCGACAGCCTTTGAAAGAAGAAAAGGGGGAAAAGCCTCCTTTACCTTTTTGCGCAAATGCCCAGGAATTCCCGACTTTGCGCTTTTTGCTGAGACAAAACAGTCTTTTGGCACACGCGAACAACAACAAGAAATGTTGTGTAGTGTGTGTTTGATACTTGCATCTTGCACTTTCAAGACCTCATCTTCCTTGCAGTGCGCAGACTTGAAATATCCATTACCACATGTCATATCTCTTGTATGAATACATGTAACTCTTTGCCGTCATCGTCCTCATCGTTCGCCGTTCATCGCTCATAGTTTGTCTTTACCATGTGAAATCTCCGCTCGGCCCCCAGTTCCCTCGTCCGTTCTCCCAGCGGCATGGCTTTTTCTTACGCCCTTTTTTTTCCCACCGTCCTGCCCGCCCTACACAGACATGGCGGACATGTGAAAGTTGTTACACGGCCAACTTTCACGCGCTCCGGGCTTTTCCCCATGACTTTTGATCTTTTGTTTATGACTGCGCCTTTCAACGAAATGTCTCCCTTTTGGAAATGATATTACATAATCGCACATCTTTGTGACACCTTTGGCGTCATAGATATATCCATGCGTTATAATCGGGTATACTTTTATCATCACCCCTGTTACCCCCTTTCTCTTTCGTTGTTGTGCCTTCGGAAGGGTTGCAGTCGAAGAAACGACGACGACGGATTGAGAAAGATTTCCCACGCTGGTTTTTTTTGTGTTGAGCCATTGCGGGCAATCTCTCCAACGACGACAAGCAAGCAAGAACAAACACCCACGAAGCAAGCAGACGAGTACGCTCTAGTCTTTCTGGAAAACAAAGACTGGTTACCTTGTCCCAATACCCTGTTGGTCATTCCCACTCGCGCGTCATCTCCTGTCCACCCAACACACAACGCCATTTCCACGGGACTCTTGTCAAGCACAGCAGGTTCCTCCTCTTTGGGTTGCACCTTCCGCCGTACGAACGAGTCGCTCTTCTTCTGGTTGCTTCAGCTTTCACATCCCCCGACACGCCAGCTGCAGGTCAAGAGCCACGGCCCTGTCAAAAAACGCCCGCAGTTGTCCGTTTTCATTTTTTTTCCTTTTTATTTGACGGGCCGCCACTAGACCCCGATACGTTTAAGAACCTTATCGTCCTGTTACGCAAATACACGAGGACGCTTCTTCGCACTTTTGATACCCGGCCGCCGGAACATTAAAGAAGTCAATTCTAAACGTGAACGTTGGCCACGCCGAGGGGAAATCGTCTTCTTTTGGTCAACGCCGTCGTCTACGGGTTTTGCCGAAGCATTTGTTGTTTCGTCAGGGACTTACTCCATTCTCGATTGGCATTGAATTACCTTGCCGGTTTGCATCAACACACAGTCGCTTGTTAGCCCTGCTTGTTCGTCCTCGCCATGGTTGTGCAGCTGCATTCATCGTCGGCAGGTCATATAGCCACGGCCACTGTCACCATGGAATACCCTATATCTGAACATGTATGCAGATCCCCTCAAATCTCCATAGCAATGCGATCGTCGCCTGTTGTCTCGCCTACCACATCCCCGCCGCCGTCCCCTCCAACCTTTTGTCACCTTCGACGGACCCCACATCCCTATCAGTTTACTTATGATGCTGGAAATTGCCCAAGAGAGAAGCCTCATGAACTGAATCACCGGCCACCCACCCCACCGTCGCCTGACTCGTCGGATGAAGGCTCTCGTTCGCCGCGTCACCATCGACCATCACAACAGCATCACAGCAAATATTATCGACGGAGCGCTCCATATTCCGAACAAGCTCACGCAACAACCTCCCAACAACAATCCCCGCCCCCCTCAAGTGCCTCTGCCAGTCAGCAAGAGCAGCAAGGAGCACCAAAGTCACAAGAAGAACCGCCGCAACAGAGCGCGACAGGTGAATCAATACCTGCCGCGTCAACTCGTGCTTCCAGCTCATTAGTTCGTCGAAGTCTGGACCTCGTCCTTCCCATTGTCCGCATCATCGCCACTGCTGTGGTAGTTGTGATTTGGTTTTCTCTGACCGTGTACCTCTTCTTCATGTCGTATGTGGTCTCGGTCGTCTACAGTGTAGTGCGGCGGTGTCCAGCAGTGCTAAGGGCAGCAGTGCGAGGAGCGAAAAGATCGGCCCACGTGGCCTGGGGATTGGGCAAAGTTGCCTACCGTGCCGGACGTGAAGCATATGGTACTGCTTCGCGATTGTGGAAGGATTACGCCAGTCCATGGTAAGGTTTTGTATATAAGGCGCTCCATTTCAAGTTGTGGTACTGATGTATTGTCATTTAAGGATGCCACGACTTTTCCACTGGCCCGAGCCGATACAGCAGCGAATGCAAAACAGATATAATGAATCACCACCACCCGACGTGGATGAACCCATTATCGAACCTCCTCCATGGTCACCGATTCCTGATGATTTTCCTACCGAATTTGAAGGCCCATACACCTACCCCACACCCCAAGCATCGCCAAAGTCAACGCCTCCCTGTTCACCTTTCCTTCAGGATATGGAAGGGGAACAGCCTGCTTCCCCGCCACCAGGAAAAGCATGGAGATGGTCAGCAGCCAGCGGCAGCAGTGGTTGGAGTTTTGACAGCGGCTATGCTGAAGAAAGGGGCCATGATGACACTCTCTGAAAGTTGAAGCGCATGACACGAGCAAGACCAAGCAAAAACGGCAGTAGTGAAGTGAGGAAGTATAGATCGGTAGATGATGGTAGATGCACAGTTTGGCATACCGGATTTTTCTTGCAAGATACCCTGTTGTAGTGTGGGAAACGGATGGAATGTTTTTGTATCCTCTTTGGATCAAACACATGCGGAAACGCGGCGCCAGACGAACACAGTATCTATCTGGCTGTGATGGAGTAGGGCGTGGCAGACATGGGCATTGCTTTTGTGTCCTCTTCTCTACCTGGGCAGTTGGGAATTTGTGTAGTCGATTTAGCTTGTGTTGTTTGTGAATCTGTCGTATTCGAGTGTGATGGGCGCTGTGTTTTTCTGTCTGTCATTTATTATTGCTTCTGATGTATAAATGCTTTTGAAGTCGTTCTTTTAGCTCTTTTTATGTCATTATTCTACATGTTGCTAGTTTCTTTCACGCTGTCTGAGTTGGTTCTCCACCTACTGGTGCCGCACTCACTCTATCACCTGGTTGTTGACTTGACCCCTGCGGAACCGGTGAAAGTACTGCGTAGCTTTCGTGAGGCGAGGCGTCTGAAGAATGAAGGCCAGCTGCGGGGGTTGTAGTGGAGCTTTTGGTCTACAAACAGTGTCAGCGACCAATGTCATTTATAAGCGCAAAATGACATTCCTTACCTTGGCTTCCAAAACTGCCAATCTCCGCTCTGTTGCGGAAAGTTTCTCCGATAGGGATGACAAGTGGGTTCTGGAGTGCGATTCTGTGACGTGATAAGGGGACCACAACTCATCAGATACAGTGATATGGGATGCACATCCGTTGAAACGTACCAAACCGTGTCAAGAACATGGCCATCTGTTTAATCCCGGTGGAAAGTGACTCCACAAGATCATTGGCATCTCGATATTCTGTGAGCGGTGGTTGTCGCTGGTGGTTCATTTTGCTGTTGGTCGTCACTCTTGTGTGTTGGACGCAAGTATCGGGTGTTGGGTATTGCTGATTACGAGATGCGTGCCTTCACGTGATAACATGAGTCATCTCAACAAATGACACGGCCAAACTGCAAGCTTTCCACTTTGCGATATCTGTCCACCACCTCTTTATCCCTTCGCATTTATCTTGGTCGTTTTCAAAACGAGCACGACTGACAAATATGTCTACAGTCACAATCGATCACCCTACAGAAGCGTTTAAAAAGCTCACGCTCAAGACTACACCGGCCACACCGTTGAAGCACTTGGTGGATACGGCAGTGGAAAAATGGGGATTGGGCAATGCCGAGGGCTTTGGGTTACGGTAGGCTGATGCTTGTTCGCTCTTCGGGATAGTCTAATGGTTATATTCATTGGAAACATCTCTGCTTTACCAGACACGGAAAGAATAATCTTGATTTATCACTGTCGATGCGATTTGCGAATTTGGCTCAAGGGGCTAAATTAAGTCTGGTTCCTATTAAAAATGGACCTGGTAGGCTTGTCTCTGGATTATAATCAAAAGTGGGCGTAGGTGTCTAATATTTGCGTGATCTATTGTAGCTGGTCCTATATCGATAGCACTGCAAACACCTGATGGAACTCGGCTGGTTGACAAGTTTCCAGCATCAACTACCTTATGGAATATTCTGGTGCATTTTGAAACAAGGGATGGGTAAGAATGAGCAGAGGTTTAGGTGCAACTTGCATGTGATTGAACTCAAACATGCCTCCAATAGGATTAATTTGACAAAACGAACAAATATTGAAAACAAGATGAAAAAGCCAGTATACATGATGCCTGTTTGTGTACTGATGAATAAGGAGGTATGAAGCAAAATATGTAATGTCATTCTTTTGTTTTCGCAATCATTTTAATGTGTGGGCTTGCTCAGTTCTCGACGATTGAATCTTTGAAGAACACCACATTACAAAAGGCTGGCCTAACATCTGGAAATGGTGTCGTCCGCGTCTTATTACGGGGAACCAGCCTCAGTTTGGAGGATGCGATGCAACATGCTGAGCAGGTTACCACAAATGACGAAGCGGTGATTGAAGCGACCAAGCCGTCACCCGATGCCCCCGTGGCACATCCACATCTGTCTGCACCAAACCCGGAGACGGCCCCCACTTCTGTGCAGCCAGCACCGCAGGTCCATGCTCCACCCCCCGTCATGCCAACTCTCCCTCAAAACCAAACAGAACCACAGGCGGCTTCCGACTTCACCCCCCCATCCTTTGTTCAGATATCATCAAGTGACACGTCCCTAATGGATGTAGACGCCGATTACGTGTCCATCCCACCAGTTGACGTTGATACAGGCGCTCAAATGTCTCCCCCTGTCCTTGTGTCCAGACCTTCGTCGCCTCCCACAGAACAAAGAGATACTCTCCCCGAATCGGAACCAGAATCCCTCGAATTTGACCGTGAGATTCGGGCGTTCCGTCCACCACCCGAAGGAACTCCATACCCACAATGTAAGCTATTTTCATTTGCAAAAACAGTCCATGGTTGAACACTCAAACATCTTTACCAAACCATCTAGTCGACCTTCCCGAGTCTTTTTACGACATTACACCTACTGAACTCAAGCTCCTCCTTGCCCAACACGCCCGGCACACAAACCCAGACGCCCCTCTGATGACCAGACAAATGCGCGAAAGGGAATTACAGTTGAATCGCCAACGGTATCCAAAGACGATGGTGAGAATCAGGTTTGGGGATTGGACGCTGGTTCAACTTCGGTGTTTGAGTATGGAAAAGTGTAAGTACTGCTCAATAAAATTTTATGTGTGCACAGATTATGTCTGATTCCCCTGAACCCTCAGTATCAACGTTGAAAACGCTTTTGAACCCGCTTCTCAAAACACCATCCCGTCCTTATACACTCTACACAACACCGCCGTTCAAACCACTGGATATGAATCAAACCTTTTGGGAAGCGAATCTCGCGCCCGCCGTGTTGATCCATTTCAAATGGGATGATCAGCAGCATGCGCCAAGCGAGGGATACCTCAATGATGAATGGTTGGGACGGTTGGAGGATTTGCCGGGAACAACGAGTCATGAAGTGGGCGGGTTGGCCGGCGTGGGAATTAGCAAGGAGGAAGGGACCGAAAACGGCAAGAAGCGAGCAAAGTGGTTACCTAGTCTTGGTGGGAATGGTGGTGAAGGTGGGCGAACTTTGGGTGGGAATGGTCAGTCTTTAGGGTCTTCCTCGCAGGGATTGTACGGAGATCAGAGGGATGCAGGACTTGGAAGGTCACCGGGCTCTGGGATGGAGGACGCCAAGGTGGATAAGAAACCAAAATGGTTCAAAATTGGTATGCCATTACGTCGTTCCCCTCCTTTTTGCAAGGTATTCATATTCACATTTATGTATCATGTATGTTTCAAACAGGTCGCAAGTGAAAAACGAAACTTGAAGCAAGACGTGACTGATTTGTAAACAGAATGTACAGCAAATGTATATAAATCGTGATTCACCGTCACTTTCGCATATAGTTGCAGGAGTATGGAGAAAATCCCAGATCCAAGACTCCGTCATTCTCTATCTACATCCATCATGTCAGACATTTAATGAGTACCATTGGCCGCCTTCTCGTAGGCTGCATTGTGAGCCTTCTGGGCACGACCAGAGGGATCCTCGGGACAACCTGTAAAAGCAAGTTAGAGGTGGAATGACGACATGGCGGGTTACAAGCAACATACCCCAGTCTTTTCTCGGAATCCATCTGACTACACTCTCCAAACACGCCTTTTGTGGGAACTTCTGCTCAAAGATTTCCCTATACCAATATGCTTCCTTTGTCGTGGGAGTGTCGTGGGGAAAGCGCTCTGTGGCTTTTGCAAAGTCCTCATCTGACACCTTGCTGTCAGCATTGTCTTTCAAAGAGTCAATCCAAGAGTATCCGACACCATCTGAGAACTGTTCCTTTTGGCGCCAGAGAATGTCGTCGGGTAGATAAGGATCTTCGGGGTTATCAAACGCCTTACGAATCACATATTTCTCAATTTCATGATTGTACGGTGCGCGACGGGAGAGTTTATGGTTGGCGGGAACTTGCAGCATGGCAACGTCGAGGAATGCTTTGTCAAGGAAGGGGACGCGGGCTTCAAGACCCCACGCCATGGTTGCCTTGTTGGCGCGAAGACAGTCAGATGTGTGAAGGTTCTGAATACGGGTGATGCATTCATGGTGAAGTGCTTGTGCTGACGGGGAGCTGTGGAAATATAGATATCCTAAAATGACAACAAAAAAGCTATGCGTGAGACCGCGAGTTCCATCGTTCAATTTTGATCATACTGGTTAGATACATACCTCCAAAGATCTCATCTGAGCCCTCTCCACTGAGGACCATTTTCACGCCCATGGCTTTGATCTTTCGGGATAAAAGGTACATTGGAGTACTAGCACGGACCGTCGTCACGTCGTATGTTTCCAAGTGCTCAATCACTTCTTCGATTGCATCCAGACCTTCTTGGACAGTGAATGTGAAGCCATGATGTACAGTTCCAAGGAACGCAGCGACTCGCTGGGCAGCTTTAAGATCAGGCGATCCCGGGAGACCAATAGAGAAGGAGTGGAGACGAGGGAATGCAGATGATGAAGAAAATGCAGCTGCAAGCGGAATGGATGTGTCAGTTGCAGCACTAAGTTGACACATTTCAACCTGCTCACATTTGATGTCATCATCATCATCCTCTTCGTTGGAGCTCACTGATCCTGACTCCTCCATACGTCTTTGTCTCACCGCGATCGAAGCGATCAGACTCGAGTCTAGGCCGCCGCTCAACAGCACACCATAGGGCACTTCACTCATGAGTCGCTTCTTGACAGATTTCTCCAGTGCCGTTCTAAGGGCCGTGTACATCTCTTTGTCCTGCTCAGGTGACAATGCTTTTTCCTCATCGTCAAGGCTAGGATATCCCGCAGCAATGTGTCCATACCACTCTGGCTTGTAGTATTGGATGGTTTCTCCGGTTTTGCTGTTGTAGTAGTGACCTGGTGGGAAGGCGATAATACGATCGCAATCTTCGTTCAGGCATTTCATCTCGGATGCAAACCACACAGAGTTGTCTTCATTGCGCCAGCCTTGATACAAAGTGGTAATGCCGACATGGTCGCGAGCAGCGATGTACAGATCCTTCTTTTGATCGTAAAGTACGAAACTGTACATTCCGTCGAGGTGGTTCAAGAGCTCCACGCCCATCTCATCGTACTACCGAAAAGAACAGAAAGAGGTAAGAACTCAGATTGGATCCACATCAGCGAATAAGGCTGGAGATCCATACCAAGTGCAAAATGATCTCACAATCCGAGTTGGTCTGGAACTTGTGAGGCTTTTTCAATAGCTTACGTAGCGTAACATGGTTGTAAATCTCTCCGTTGACGGTCAAGATGATGGATCCGTCCTCGTTAGTGAGCGGTTGGGCTCCACTCTCTTTTCGCAAAGAGAATTTAGATATATGTTGAACTAGATAGCTTTCCCATATTAAACGAAACAGTATACCCACCGACACCAACGATAGCCAATCGCTCGTGGCAGATAATGTTGTTCCCACAGACTTTGACCCCACTCCAGTCAGGTCCACGATGGCGAACCCTATGACGATTGACAGATCAGTCCTTTGCCGCAACTCTGTTGATGCCTCTTGCTCTTACTTTTTGCTTAGTTGCACCGCACGAGGGCGGAAAGAATCAGTATCCTGGCCACAGCCAAACACGGCAAATATCCCACACATCTTGATGTCAAAAAAGAAAAATAAAAGTGATGGGGATGAGACCAAGAACCGCACCCTTTATCTCGCAGCGCGACAAGCCAACTTTCGAAACCAGCGAGTGGCTTCACCATCTCGATCAGTGAGTCATTTAGCCTTTAATGATTGGCTTGTTTCATCGGCGCGACGCTTAGCAATCTGCTTACTCCAGGCGGTGTTGAAGGGCTTGTTGCCAAAAGGTTTCGTTCTTCTTGGTAAACATGACATTGGGAGAAGGACGCTACCGGGTGATGTTTGGGCAATGTATCGGACCGTCTAATTGATTGAATGATTTGGGACAAGATATTATGCCGTGATATTACGATGTGGATTTGGGATCAATATTCTAATTGGAATGTGGGGTTGTAAGAACCGGCAAAACTATTGCTAAGGAATTCAAAATTCGACAACTGAATTGATTGGAACTTTGAAGAATCTGCCATCCCCCTCCTTCTCTGGAAGATGACCGGCGGCGATGTTGACTTGGAGGGAGTAATGCAAAAGTCGGGGCGGCCCTAAGGTAGAATCGCGTCCCTCCCGCCATGCAATAAACTCCTCTTCTGTCACCTTGTCGGATATCTGCTTGTTGTTTTGCCGTTGAATGGCAACCGTGCTCTCCCACGAGGCCTATACATAGTGTTACTGTGACTACTGGAAATTACAGCTGATATGATGCTTGTCAAACGTACCTCACGTCCAGGCGGAGCATAATCATGCCCCACATAGACTTTGATATTTTCGGCAAGGGCATAAATGTTGCGAATGCTTTTGTACATGTCCTTTGCGGACCCTCCAGGGAAATCACATCGAGCAGTTCCTACATCCGGCATGAACAACAAGTCACCACAAAACAGTATATCGCCAATGAGGAACGACATGGAGTCTGGTGTATGCCCAGGCGTAGCAATGGCACGCACGGTGGCGGTGCCAAGATTGAAGGTGTCATTGTCACGCAGGAGGCAGTCGAATTGCGATCCGTCAGTTGGAAAAGACGGCGGCAGGGCATATTTTTTGGCAAAGGTGCGTTGCACCTGCGTGATCCCTTCTCCAATGCACACTGGAACCGAACCTCCCAGTCGCAATTTGAGGTATTGCGCTGACGTCAAATGGTCCTAGAAATCAAGGCAGTCAGATCAACTGCTATAACATGGGTCCATGCAATTCGGACGCGTACCGCGTGTGCGTGGGTTTCCAAGATGCGCACCACGTTGTACTGCTTCTCCTCAACGAATGCAAGTAGTTCGTCGGACAGCTTGGTATCAATCTTTGTGCCTTCGACTGTGAAGCCTAACACAGGATCAATGATGACAGCCTCTCGGGATGCCACATCTGCGACAATATATGTGCACGTTGAGGATACGCCGTCAAAGAAGGTGTGAACAGTTGGGGATCCCATGGCAGCTTTAGTCGTTCTGTGCAAATGGCATGTACTTGACCTTCTTTGAAAAAGAGGTTGCGTCGGATACCCTCGAAGAAGTGCTACCTGCTTTATACGAGGACTGTGTACCAACAGACGAAATCCAAGGAGTATAGATTGTCCGCACGCCGCAACTCCAATCTGGTGGCTGACCATGTGCGACTGCTTAAGCATGGCAACCTACGCTGAATTTCGGAATCACCCCCAGTTTACGGATCCGAGGAACACTCCGAGGCTTCATTCCCCGCAAAAGACCCAGACTGACTAATCACACGTGAGTACCCCACAATTATGGATACAACTACCCCACACTCTGATTACCCGCGGAACTTGAAATTTCAAATCTCGTTGCCATCATAAATAGGTAGAAGTAAGCTTTTGTTTTACGACACTGCATTTAAATCATGTCAAAGACGGCTTCTCATTCTATGACGGGCGCTCGCAATGTCGCCTTGGGTGCGGTATTCGGTCTCGCTCTCGAGAAGAGCAAAGTCTATCTCCCAGATATTATCATCAACCAGATGCTGCTGCGGCAGTGGACAATGGGGCAAATGTTTTTTACTGCTGCGGCTGGGGGAACGTAAGTTGCTACTTGTATACTTTCTTTGCGCGTTCTCATGTCCATCTCGACTACAGGATCATTGTGACAATTTTGGAGGCGACGGGCGTGCGCAAGCGATCTTGCAAACCACCTGTTTCGGCAGGACTTTCTGTGCTAGGAGAGTACGGTGCAAACATTGTAGGCGGCAGTTTATTGGGTGCGGGAATGGCTCTTAGTGGAGCGTGTCCTGGAACCGTCCTTGTTCAGCTGGGAGCAGGACTTGGATCTTCTGTTTACGTTCTTGTTGGCGCTCTCGGTTCGTCGATTACTTATGGATATATCGCTAGGTGAGCGTGATGGAGTATTTCTATGTCAGTGGTGGCGCGCACTCATATACACTGATATCGTTAGATGGATCCAAACCTCATTTCCAACCTTTGGAAAGAAAAGCCCGGTGAAAACTGTCGACGGTGCATTGAAGCACAATGCTCTATTCACCTCCACCATCACCGCAAGTGCCCTCATAGCCGCAGTATATGTCCTTCACAGCATGACATCATGGTCCCACAATGTTATATCAGCATACCAGAACCGCATCTCGCAGGCGTCCTTCAGCAGCACTTCATCAAGTCTCACGTCGCTAGCGTGGAGTCCCATTGCTGGGGGTGCTTTGGTTGCGTTGCTCCAATTTCCTTCGGTAACCCTCTGTGGATCTCCAATTGGTGCATCTGGCAGTTACATGGAACTTGCATCCCGCGTGGTTGCCAAGATTGACAAGAATTGGCGAAAGAATGCCCCAGTGTACGCAGATTTCATCACATCCAATACTGGACTTCTCTTTGCCTCTGGTGTCATAGTCGGCTCATTTTTGTCGGCGTATACAGGCGGCGCTTGGCCTTTAAATCGCAGCTTAGAAGGATCATCGCCTATTAAAAGTGTCATTGGTGGGGCTATGCTTCTGTTCGGGGCGAGGATGGCTGGTGGGTGTACGTCCGGACACGGAATTAGTGGAATTGCTCAGTTGAGTCTGGCGTCGATCGTTACGGTTGCAGCTATGTTTGCTGGCGGAATTGCAAGCGCCTTCTTGCTTTACTGAGTATGCATTATCGTGAAGATTTGTCTAGACAGTTAGCGTAGACTATGTATTTGCATCATATCACTCAATATTTAAAAGTAATACACATGCGGTATTACGTTCCTCAAGATCTTTATTAGAGCCCATGGCCCACCTTTACAACCTTTATAAGCCTTCTCCTTCTGTATCAGATGCCGTATTAGAAAATTAAATATGCTACGTATGATGGGCACAACCTATGCAGATATCCTAGACTATTCTAGACAAGACCAAACCCTTTTGCATTCTCAATAGCCGTCACCAACCGATCTCTTAGTTTATCCTTATCACTGTATTCGGGAAGAAGGAGTCTTCCAAAACAAGTGAGTGCAGTGGGAAGTCTAAGACAAAAAGGTGTGAGAAACGCTGTGGTTGCAGTCAGTTGCGCTCGCGCCTGCCACAAACCTGTCAGTATCAGGTCCGTTCCGCTGGATGACAAACGTCAATCCACCAAGACCCTTTAAAGGAACCCTATCACTCGCCGTCACGAAATTTAATAGTTTCTTCTTTTGCTCCAGTTCCATATCAGAGTGTACAATCTCCCAGAACCATTGAATGACTTCATGATCGGGTCCGTATCCATCGTCGTACTGGGCACCTTGCTCCAGTTCCGTAAAATCGAGATCAGTCGTGGATGTGCCACAAATCATGAGCTCCAATTCCGACGCACGGCACATCTAGGGACAAGGGATTCAGTGGACCATCTTGGGTAAAATTATCAGAGTAGTCCATTTTCAACCTACCTTTAGTGCATTTCCACCGCACACTTTGTGAAAGCCTCTTCGGAAAGCAGAAAACTGACGCCGCACACTCTCCACCACGTAATGATGAATGTACAAATCCACGTATTCCTTCCGATTATCGTTGGTCACCAAAATATCTTCCCCTCCTTCTACAAGCGGAAAATGCTTGACCTGTCCATATATATCATAAGAGATTTCAAAGGTCCGCAAGAAGACATCTCCAACGTCGCCGTCAGACCACTCCAAAAGCTGCTGAAGGCCCCTTCCTAGAGTCTAATAGTGGCCAAAATTAAAGAGAGTCCAACGCGAAAATTACCTGTTCACTATGCCACATACCGGCCACGCATCCTTGACGTCCTCCAGTGTTGGCGCCTCATCCAAAAGCTTCTTGTACAAGACTTTGGGGAAGTTGACATCCAAAATCACCCCATTATAAAGTGCCAGTCCAACAATCGTCCCCACAAGCTCAAACTCCTTCTCGGATTCCAAGGACGCCCCGTTTATCCAGCAGTAACGAGTTTCTTGGTCATATAGGAACATGCCGTATGCGGGGTCGAGGAGCATGCTCACAATAACTTGAAAGAACTCTTTCTGAACGCCGCCCTGGTCCATTCCTTCTTCCCCGCCCCCAATAAACCGCACCTTGAGTGGCTTTTTTAGGTCGGCCCCCTTCTTGCGTATCTACCGGTTTCCAATTTTAATAACAATGCAACAAAGGATGGCAGCCTAGAGACTGACCTGGTCTAAGGCATCTTGTACTAGATGCTGTCTCCTTATTTCCAATACAAGGAACGGATTTGTTGCCTGCTTTAAATTGTGCTCCAGTTGCACAACAGATGGCGAATCTTGCAAAAATCTCTGCGCATGGACCACCAGCGCTTGATGGACAAAGGCGTCCTCGAATTCCAACGACATTTGAACCATTGCATCGATATGCATGATCCGGGTCTTTGCAGTAGGATCAAAAAGAAATGGATAATTGAAATACGAAAACTGCGTGACCTGCGACGGATTTTCAAGTGTCCGCTTCCATGTTTTATACTCGTCCTTGAAGTTAAGCTTACGGTTGAGGGATTCGCTGTAAAACGCAGAAACAGGGACAATGTGCCCATTCTTTGCATTCTCATTCGCAAGGTATAGCATGCTGAGAGTTCGCACAGCTGCTACTAGTGCTTCATCCGGCTGTGGGGAAGGATGGAAATGATCTTCTAGATATCGATGAAACACTTTAAGGACCTTTTCGAATCCTTCTCGGTCATATCTTGAATACCAATTTATCAAAACGGATCGACTCTTTGCTCGCAAAGCTCCGAGGATGAGGCAAAGCTTCTTGAGCAAAGAATCATGGTAAGATCTATCTGAAAGCAGAGGAATTTCGAGCAAAATCAAGATTTGCCTCAACCTCTGCGGTTCCCCAGCCTGCAGACGATGCAGGTTGAGTTGTAATCTCGCCAGCAGGATCTCGAGCGCGTTTACAAAGGGGATAAGAAATGTCTTGCGGGGTTGCACATCGAGAATTAGCTCGTAGGCCTCTCGCACAGCAGATATATCAAGACCCGAAGGATGCCTTGTCTCAGTTTCCGCCAGAAAACTTCGATTTAGAGCATCACTATCAGAAAAGACTGTTCGGAGCGTATTGACAAGAAATCGTGGATCTCCCAGGAGTCTATCATCTCCACCCGAGCCATTCTCATGCAATTTCGGCTCAACCGCGGTAGATCGATAGGTAGCGACGGCGGATTTAAGCAATGGCAGAGTCAGATACTGTAGACTTAGTTGCGGCTCCTCGTCCCCACTTGACGCATCTTGTTCATGGCCATGAGCGGTGACCGGAATCGCCGGACTAAAGACAAGATCATGAGCCCTAGTGACATATCTGAGTGGGGAGCCAGTGCGTGGCTTTATTGGAGTTGATGTGTCGGTTTCTGGCAGAGACCCGCTAGAGTTTGAGCGAGATATCGATGCTACTGGGGTGCATTGGCCCGATGTGGACGAACAGTGTGGTTCTGAGAACCGGTCTAAACCATAAACCGTCATTATATAAGAGTGCGTAACCTTACTCCGCATCGATCACGCATACCTGAGATGGAACCCAAGCTTGGAAGGTCTGTTGAAGATCTACTACGTATGCTTGACTTATCCAATGTTGCGTGGTCGGTGGTAAGTTTGCTCAACAGTCTCAGACCCAAAACGCTGCCATCGTCAAAGGTGAATAAGCCTCGTCGAAGGACATTCTGTTCCTTGATAGCATCGGTTGGTGAAGAATCAAAAGCTGGTTGCGATATGTTGTCATCGTGATGTACATCATCTAGTTCACTTGTAGAATGCGATCGTTTAAAGGTTGATGAGCCTAATTCCACGCCGGAGGGATTAAATAAAGATGCGAAGGGGGAAGATGCAAGTAATGACGATAAGAAAGGTCGCGATGGTAGGGTACTTGACGGAGAAGATTCCCCGTCGAGCTGATCCGAGGATGGTTCATCCTCATCCATACTGGATCGCGGATCGCCTGTTGTATGATCGGGATATGGTGATCCTTTCCGAGATGGTCGCGGACTGGACAAGGGAGAACTACGTGGTGTCGATGATGGCGATGAGAATGGAGGTCCACGGGGCGCTGGCGGATCTGTCGGGATACGGGGGCAAAAGAAAAGGCGCGGGCGTGAGGCGAGCTGCACTGCCATGATGGCGGAGGCATCGGGCGTTAACCGCGGTCCCAGTTTACAGGAAGCACACAGTTTATGAGCGCATGATGTATCACCACACCCGACGCTGAGCTGGTAATAATAGCTATTGATAGATATACACGACCATGTTTAATATCTACGAACGGTTGGGCAGCTTTTTCCAAGTAAACGCACCGTCTAACCGATCTTTCAAATCTCGCCTTTGAGTTACTGGAAGGGCTGTGAGGGTCATCATATGAGCGCTTTGGAGTCGCATCCTGAAGCGACTTTGATAGCTGTGGGTCATTCAGAGCTGCTTTGAACGACGCGGAGCGGGGCAAACCACCACTTGCGGGACTACCATCCGTTTTTTTCTGCTGGTATGCGCTGGTGGAAATCGAGTCACTGTCGTTGGCTGCAGCCGCCTCTAGTAGATAGGCCGCTGTGAGCGGGACTGAATAATGCGATTCAGAGGTTTCCAGCAATGTGTTCTCTGTTCGTCTTGGAGAACCATTGAGGTGCTTGGGGTGCAATGACATTGGCGACCTGCAGTGTGCGAATTCGCCTGCACGTTTCCCTGGAACTAATCAGGACAGTCGGCAACTTTTTGTCTTTGTGTGTTGTCGTGTGCGTGAATGAGTGACGTTTGTATCTATCTAGCTATGCGTCATGATGGGAGTGTTTTGCTAATCTGCATGCTGGTTGCGAATGAAAGATTCGCTATCTGCACAGCCACCTGCAACTGTCACTATAAATAAAACTCGTTGTTTCATTGAAAAAGCCCAAAGAACTTTCAATCGCTGAGGGATATCGGAGGGATCAACAGTTGCATAGACTTGTTTCTTGCAAACGATAGTTTTAACAGTCACCATCATCTTGTATTCGATATTCCGCCGATATCACCCGCTCATGTTTACATTCCCGTTCATGACCTTTTTAAACAGAATGCATCTAACCTAAACGCAACTCGTTTTTTTTACAGTCCAATATCTTCATCGTCCATATTTTCTTTATAAAAAAAACCACACACACACAAGCTGTGAAAGAAAATAAAAAAATAAGTCGAAGCGGAATCCGCCGTATTTCCCAAATGGAGCGCGCTATGCCCGAAATGGTCAACGAAAAAAGTTCGTAATTTGGCATTTCAACTCCTTTTGCCGTTCCAACACTGGCGTTGACTTTTTGGACGTTTGAATTTGGAAAGAAACATTTTCAACACTCTTGGCGTTTAAAGGGAGCAGCTTTTGAACCATCGTCCCTTTAGCGTACTGCAAACCCTCATCCCGCCCTAAATTCCTCATTGGCCAGTTCCTTCTACGAACTCACCTCTGGAACACTTGCATCATGGTCGTTCAGTGGGCTCCTCTCAACCTCCCAATGCCGAGGCGGCGTCAGACGGCGTCTGTTCTCATGTGGATATTGTCTATCCCCACCCTCATAGTCATCTTCTTTTACCTTTTGTTCACTCCACAATATACCCCATGGGTTCTCGCCTACCTTGTCTTCTTGGCGTTGGACCCAACTCCCGAGACTGGCAGCAGGCGCATTATGCTGTTTCGAAAACTCCCATTCTGGAGGTGGATTAAAGACTACTTTCCCATAGGCTTGGTCAAGACGGTTGACTTGGACCCGAGCAAGAATTACTTGTTTGGCTATCACCCACACGGTACGCTTGCTGAAATAATAATTGTTGATAATTTTCATTATATTTACAGGAAGGTGCATTTTTAGGGATTATCGGTATTGGCGCATGGACGAACTTTGCTACTGAGGCTTCGGATTTCGCTGGGAAATTCCCTGGCATCAACCTTCGTCTGATGACACTTCAAACAAACTTCCACCTGCCCTTGTGGCGTGAAGTCTTACTGTGTATGCTTTTGCAACGTTTGTATGACCGCGCAGGATCAGTTCTGACTCATTTCATATTCAGGCCTCGGTATCTCTTCCGTAAGTCGACGCTCCTGCGATAACATTCTCAACAAGGGACCAGGTCATTCTTGCATGATTGTCGTTGGAGGCGCCACGGAATCGCTAGCAGCGTTCCCCTACACGGCGGATTTGACGATCAAGAAGCGTCTCGGATTCATCAAGGTTGCTCTTCGTAACGGTGCAAACCTTGTACCTGTGTTTTCTTTCGGAGAGAATGGTATTATCTCTTTTTAGCGCCTAGCCGGCTGTGCTGGTACTTACATCTTGTATGACCAGATATCTGGGATCAAGTTCCTAACCCGCCCGGCTCCATGGTTAGAACCATCCAGGTTTTGTTCCAGCGGTACATGACCTTTGCTCCGCCGCTTTTCTTTGGCCGTGGTATCTTCCAGTATAATGTTGGCATCATGCCGTACCGTCGCCCGGTCATATCAGTTGGTAAGTAACACGGCCTAATTTGGCTAAAGAGATACAATCAGTTGACACTAGGCCCTTGCCTTCACAGTTGGAAAACCCATAGAATGCCCCAAAATCGAAAATCCCAGCACTGAAGTCATCCTTGAATACCAAAAGAAGTATCTTGATGGACTGCAAGCAATATGGGATGAGCATAAAGACAAGTACGCGCCCAAGCGCAAGCGGGAGCTGCGTTTTATCGAATAGGCCCATGCAATGGGTTTTATATAGTGATGACTAGGACCCTGGACCTCATAGACATTCTGTAGGTCCTCATTGACTGTGAGGGTTTGAACGGTGGTCTTTCTGTTGTTAGGAAGACCAGGGCGTTCAGTTTGTTACATATTTAATATTATCAGAGTACAAGATGCAGGCAATTCCGGTGTGTCTATAATATATTATTTGATGACCAAACTCTAGCTACCTATTTGGCACTGTAAGTATAGAAACCACGACCTGTCTTTTTGCCTAAGCATTCGAAATGATCGGATTAGCTATGCCGGTGTAGGCAAAAAAGTACCGCAGGGGAAGCAGATACCTAAAAATCCCGCATCGACGTATTTAACTAGCAATGGAGCTGGTCTGTACTTGTCGTCGCCAAGTTGCGAGTGAAGCACCTTCATAATGGACAAGCAGGTGTCGAGACCAATAAAGTCGGCCAGTGTCAAAGGACCCATCGGAACATTGGTGCCCAACTTCATGGTAGTATCAATGTCCTCTCGCGTGGCAATTCCCTAACGTTAATTGAATCGTCTGTCAGTAGCGGCAAACGAGAGCGCGTCGACGCTAAGCCAAAACGCACATCTTGCAAAACAAAAACTGCTTCGTTGATGTAGGGCATCAAAACTCTGTTGGCAATAAATCCTGGCATATCCGAGGACTGGGTTGTCGTTTTTCCCATGGCGTGCGCAAGCGCCAGAGTAGTTGTGAGGGTTGCCGGCGACGTGGCAAGGCCAGGAATGATTTCGACAAGTTTCATGACGGGGACTTGAAGGATGGGGCGTGAGACGCATCTGGGGCACATCGTGCCAGGAGGAACTTACCGGGATTCATAAAGTGCATGCCAATCACCTTTGTTTTGCATCGACAAAGAAACGCAAGAATAAGGATAAAGACAGGTCGACAAAGGAAGAAACTCATACGGGGCCATACCTTATCCGGCCGCTTGGTAGACGCTGCAATCTTGGTGATTGAAATTGACGATGTATTGGAAGCGAGAATAGCATGCTTTGGTGTGATTTTATCCAAGTTCGAAAATAATTCACGCTTGAGAGATGGGTTCTCTGTTACAGCCTGACAGAACAATCCAAGTTTACAACCGCTCAGAAACACATGAGGTGACGAGCTCGAACCTTCAGATAGAGCGTACCTCAATTGCAAAGTCGACATTCTTAAAGTCGTTCATGTCCGTCGTGACCGATATCCGCTTCTTGGCCTGCTCCTTTTCTTCTTCAGAGATCTTGCCCTTCAACACATCTTTCTGCAAGAGGAGATCTGGCCGAGAACCTACATTAATTGCGGTGTACACTAGCAAAATGAAGCTCCACCATTGCCAGACAGCGGTAAGCCTGTTTTCGTTTTTGCATCTCGAGTTTCAGCAGACCCCAAAGAACTAGGACCGCCCAGAAACCCCAAATAATCATGGTAAACGTCTAGAATACATACCCATGAACTTCCACCCTCTGTCCAGCTGGGTCTTGTTCGCGTCCAACAACACGACAGGCAGCTTGGAAACATGTGCTGCAACCAATCCTATACCGACGCCCATTTGACCGGCCCCCACTACTCCGATTCGGCCAATATTGCTGAGGTCGACGGAAGCATCGAGAACACGAGGTGTGGTGTGAAAGCGACCCTGTAAACAAGTAGATTAACAATTTGGTTGGGAAACGACGCGACGCTACAGCACTGATGCACGCACAGTCGCCCCCCACGATCGAACGTTTAGGGACCCGGCAGAACGTGCGAAGCAGGACGAGAGACGAGCAGAGGTGAGCATGACGATGATGGTTCACACAGCAAGATAGTGCAGAAGAAAAAGTTGTGGTGTCGACCTTCGACTTTGGGCTACGTTGGGAGACGTTTGTTGTAGGTAATGGGCGGTTCGACTCCGGGCAGGCCAAGGGTGACAGTCCCTTCTGCCCTATTTTAACTCTGAAGAATGGAAAATAAACCAACCAGCTGCAACTTGCGGCATTTGCAATCCGGATGATATGATAAACCTTTGCCAGAATACAACAGGAGAAGATATAATATATTGCAGAATGGAAGATGAGACGTGGTGACGTGCAGGTAACGGCCTGCGACGTTAAACTATTTAGCTTCTCCCATTCCGCTAACAGTCCAAAAGAACTCTGCCAGGTCTCAATCAAAAGTTGGTATTTATGTAAACGTACAAGGGCACACTAGCACACTGAGGGTAGCGATCTAGCACGCAGAGTGCCTACAGGAACCTCAAAAGTTCATTCCGATGGCCCTATCATTCTACTCCACTCACGGAAAACACATATGAATTACCACCATGGTTCGGGAGGACATCCTCCCTCTGATCAAACCTCGCTCGAATGACATGGTTTCGCTTGAAAGCATCCGTTGAAAACAGTTCTTTGTGGCAAGGCCCATTGAAGAACATGTCAACAGTTGTAAGCGTCATGGTCACGTTGGCGCCCTTAGTCAGCGAACGCGTACGCGTCCGTCGTGTGTGCCAAAAATGATGAACTAGCATTTCTGTTGCGAAGAGGACAGCATTTGTGCTGGCACACATCTCAGGCGTTTTTCACGGCGAAGTAGCCTAAAATGGAGAATCGACCGCCCGGAGATCGTCCGGGCGGCCTTCCGCCAGATGATATTCCGATCGCACCTCCAGACGACTACTCCCTAGATGATCGGCCATCTCAAGTTTCTGAGCACGTACAGCCGATTAGAGGAGATCGGGAGGCAGTTAAAAGAAAGACGAGAGCGCAGAAATTATGGGATTTGTTGAAGGCGCACGTTGTAAGTTGGTCGATACTCATTCTGGATTTGCTGTGCTATATTTGTATTCAACCTGCATGTCCTATATTGCAGCAACGCGGGTTTTTCCATTCCCTTTTGAATACTCGCGCCGGTACCTCGTCCGATTTTCTAACACTTGTGGATCGACTGTGGACATTGGTGCACTTATACTCTCCAAAAAGTGGCCGTCAAACTCAAAAGGACAGCACGACTGAATTCGTCATGGCTGGATGGGCGCGTATCAAGGCCGAGCAGCATGCTTTGGAACGACAAAGGGCTCGAGCAGTGGACACAGGGATGGGTGGGCTTCCTCCGCGCCGGCAGTCTCTTCCCACAGGGTCATTGCACGGGGCGGGTATGTCAGCGGACCAAGACGTGGATCGGGGTGTTACGATGCCTGACACGATTTCGGAAGAGCGGGAACAAGGTTACGGCCCAACGAATACGCACTTGCCTGGCTTGTTGGCAGGAATAGAGAACGAGGAAGATAAAGGAGGGGAACCTTACCCAACAGCGCCGGGGAGACGAGGATTAGGATTGGAAGGTCTCAACTTAGATAGCATACCAAGTATTAATGTGAGCAAAGATCTCATGCAAATAGCTAAGGGGCTGCATGTTCAACCGTTGGGTATGTTCATATTGGTCTATTCCCATGCTGCTACAGGAACTCATTACACGATCTCTTCAGATGAAGCCGATTTCTACACGGTGCAGGTGCATTTCAACCGTGGATGGAAATTGCTCCTGCTTGGACTCAACCAAGCCGAATCATTTGCGCGATATATGGCCATGGTAGCCTTACGGCGGGCAATTCCCATGATCAACGACACTCTCCTGGATTCCACAACCCGGGAGGTTAGAAAAATATCTGTCGTTCTTTGATGAACCCTCAGGGTTTCTCGCTTTATTGATGGCCCGATGACTCATGCTTTGACCTGCTGTCCATAGAGCCTCATTCGCGTACTGGTCAACTTGATGGTTTCTGATGAGAGAACGGAGAATCGTTTGAAGGCGGTATATCTATTAGGCCAATTGGGGTTTTATCTTGGGGCTGTGCGAGAGCATGACCACCTTCTTATGCTGGTGGGTTTGTGAACATTTTTTTGCCTGAAGCTTGGACATGCAGGTAACGCCAATTCATCCTCTAGGCATTTAAAGAGCTAGTACGGAGACTCCTCGAAATCCAGTACAAAGAGAAACGTAAGCCGGTAATGGTCGCTGTTTCCATGCTTCTGCTCAATCTTGTTGTGCAACGCGGCGCTTAATTCCTTTTACGAACATCAGGCCAACGATCCAGATCGCTTTTCAAATGCAGACCGTGCACTTAAGATCTACCTGCTGCATGCGATTGGCAAATTTACACGATTTGTTCACAAACAATCGCGTTTTGCGGAAGATGTTGTCATGTACATTCTTCACGAAGAGTTCGACAAAGGAGACTCGAAAGTCAAGCAACCCGTTCAGAAAACTGGCATTAAAGAAATGGATCAGGATCCATCCTTGCATGTCGTTCGAGCTTTACTGGGTGTTCTGAACAATGAGGTACTTCTTAAAGCAATGATGGAGTACCAAATAAATTGCTAAGATGGTGAGCGCCATACTCAGATGAAACGAACGGATGCGAATCACAAATACGTGGGTGCCATTTTCAAGAAATATGTTCATCCCCTGATGAGGTCGACCGATCAGTCCTTGCAAATGATGGCAGTGCAGTTCATCAGGTATGCGAGCACATGCTGACGTTAACAACTTTAATCGCACGCTAATCTCTTTATATCTCAGTAATTGGTTGCCCATCATGAACGATGATGCGATTCTGCTTGGGATCGACACAGTTATATCTGGATTAAAAGAAACGAAGGATCTGCATGTGCCAAACTTTGATCGTGCGATGTACGACGCCGAGTATCGTGCTCTAGTCAAGGTAGATAACATTGATCGCAATGGGCCTTCGATTCATATCAGTAACATCTCCAGCGTAGCGAACCCGTTCCGAAGAATCCCGGATGGCAATGCGCTCCAAGTTGCTCCGCCAGCTACTTCAGGTTCCCGGCACGTTCGCAAGATTGGTGCCAGTACCTGACCACCCCGGTTTTTTTGTCGAAGTCAACTCTAGCATGATGTACACCAAGGGAGTTGCGGTCAATCTTCCCATTCACCCGAAATCCAGCGTGACACTTACCAGACCATTACCGAGCATTCCGGGCGTCCCACAGGGTGGTACAACGATTCCGCCAGTCTTCATGGTTAGTAGATCCGTGCTTTTTGTGGGAATGTGCTCTCTGAATATACTTAGGTTCCGTTATGTAGGATCCTCTTTGGGCAGAAAAACAAAAGCCTCCACAGTATCGATACGAGTACCTTGAGCGTACGGGAGAAGTACCTGGTCTACCATATGGATATACTTGCGCGCCTGCGCCTCTCGTGGAAGTAAATGAGTCTGCGACACCCGATCAAGCCAGCAAGGAGATCAAGGGCACTCTGAAGGCAGCTGCGGATGTTTTATCACAACAACCTGGGACTACTTTAGATTCTGGACGATTCTCGGCTCGGCCTGGACCTCCAGATGCCCGAGCCGTGCGTCGAGCGGCCTTACAAGCCGTTGACACAGCACCGATGGCTGCCAGTGCTCGAAAAGGATCTGTTATGGCCATGTCTTCACGGCGCGTACCTTCAGGGAACCGGCCAACGTCATCGAGTCGGCCTCGCCGTGCAAGCACCATGGGGAGCGCAAATGCTGGAGACCTCAGCATGGAAAGGGCAAGGTCACGTTCGGGAAGTCAAGTATCCCTAGTACCAAAGAAACGTGCAGGTATTAAGGATCGAGGACCAATACCGCCAGGAACGGCGAGAGTTCCGCAGAAGAGTGACCTCAATCCGTATGACGGCAGGCGTGTCCCACCTGGGTTTCTCAACATATGCCCCTTTCCCGGATATGATCCTGATCGAGTCGATCGCGCTGCTTTGCCAGTTTCTGCCATTTACGGGAAGCAAATGGGCCCTGGTCGTGGTCCTCCTGGGGTGGGATCCATGGCGCCAGCGAAACAGAAGGCAATTATTGATGCCAGACCTGGATTTGACGTACCGGAAGGTTTTACGGTAGACAGACATCCAGTGCTCTGGCCAAGTCGAATTCCGTATGTTTTTCCACAAAGCTTAACATATTGCTACGACGGACTTTGAAAGTAACCGGCTCCTATCTCTATTTAGCAACTTGCGGAGTATGGCGAACCCAACCGACTTCCCGATCAATGCGCCAGTTCTCTTCGACATAATTCAGCCTGGCACCACACATCTCCAAAGAGTTATGACTCGGGTGACCAGCATCAACAAAGAAATGGCTGCCGTGAGTGTGCAGCGAGAAGCCAATGAAGAGTAGGTTCTTCATATAGACAGCTTGCATCAGCACTTCTCACACTGACACTTGAACGTACTCAAGCGAAATGCTTTCTGTTGGAGCTACCTTCAATATCTTCATTCGTACACGACAGAACCCCTCGGAGTGGATTTCGGTCAACTTAGAAGTCGTTGACGACGACTATGTGGACGGTATGTAGAATAGCTTCATGTTACATTACTTTGCGCGCTGCTTATGAGACACCTCAGATATTGGTTTTAGCAAACCAAGGCCCTTGGGGACTGCTTCTGGAGCCAGCTCGCTAGCATCCTTGGTGAACATTAAAGATGCTGAGAACCGGAGCAGCATGGCAAGAAGAACTTCTCAGGCCGCAACTGCGGTACCTGCGCAAGCGCAAGCACAATCAACTGTGCCGCTGCCGGCCGGATTCACATCACAGGGAGAACCGTATTTTGCCCCCCCTATCAATATGCCGCCTTTTCCGGTTGGGTATACTATCAACAGCATCCCGTACTTTGGCCGTACGTCTACTATCAAGCCACCACCTCTGGGAATGACCTCCCTGGGCACCAGGTTTTACTCTGCTGATGGTAAACCACCAGGCGATCAAGCTAGTCGTAACCACTTGGCAGGTTATGACAACAGTGGACACCCGTTCTTCATTCCACGAGGCTGTACAGTACCTCCCCCTGCCGGATTCACTACCGATGGGATTGCGTATTATGATATATTTTCCTTGATGCACCATCGGGGCGTTATGGTTCTCCCTACGCCCCTCGCCGCTCGAGCAGCCTGGCCGGTATTCGAAGATGAGGAAGAAGACGCGGAAGAGGACGGCAGTGGATCTCTCAGCAGACTAGGGTCCACGACCAACCTAACAAGGAGAGGCAGTCGGGCTGCTCTCCGGAGGAAAACCGTGCATGCTGTCGATCAAGCACTTCTTACCGCGCAATTAGTGGAGAGCTTAGAGGAGAGCCAACCGCAGTTGAAGCAGAATTTCCTCAAAGGTCGCCAAAGGGCAGTGGGAGTTGTGAGAAGGGTTGCGGAATTCGAGCGCTTGCGAGGAAAACCGGACTCGGAAGATATAGACGAGGAACTAAATCTACAAGATCCGGAAGACATCGTGGGCTTCCTTCGAGATAGCGAGGATTTAGCATACCTGCGTCCCTCAACAATTCGAGTTAATATTGAGCCTAGTGTTTTGGATTTCCAGAGCGTGCACGCACCCGTTACGAAAGCCGCCGTGCTTAGATATAGGGCAGGCCGTGGTGACTATGGAGAGAGGGACTTCTTTGTGTCAGTTGAGCCTGTGGACGTGTTTGCCATCAAGCTGTTTCATTTGAAATTGCAAGGCGAGGGAGTAATGGAGATTGGCGTAACATACTATCCCACCGCCATGAAGACGGACCGAGTTGAAGGTTCTTTGAACCTCATCGACGACTCAGGGAAGAAGATGGGCAGTTGCTCGATGGTGGCGCTACGCCAAAGCTTCATTAAAGTGAGCCCGATCTCCATTGATGCGGGATGGACGCTACCGGATCGACGAAAGGAGGTTTATGTAAAACTTGAGAATATATCCAGTGGTGCGGCGATGGTCACAATTCAATTACACAGTGAACTGCAAGCATATCAAGCAGAAAGTCCCACTGGATCCACTCAATGGATGTCTTCAAACGACGAGAAGGAATCAATTTCCAAGGGAGACGACGATGACGGCGCTCCAAGGAAGGTCAAAGCTCCACCATTTGTGCTGCCGGTACGTCAACTGAAACTCCAGCCGCACGAATCCAAGACCTTTCCCGTGTATTTTGAACCAACAAAACTTGGTCATTTCGCCGACGTGGTGGAAATCAATGGCCCTGGTGGCGATCTGATCCATGTCAAGATTACCGGAATTGCGGGCATCCCTATTGCTGTTTATCCGGAAGGCGAAGAAAATTCACGAGCAGGTGCAGCAGAACTTACCCGCGAGCGATGCGAGTTCATGAGGAAGTTTAGGAGAGCCGATTCAAAGGAAAAGCTACATGTTGGGCTCACGGCGGAAGATACTGCTATTTTGAAGAACATGATGTCTGCAACGTCTGACCAAGAATCGCGCAAGGAAGCGCATACAATGGATTTTGGAATATGTTCTGCGGAGCCGCACGAACGGATGCGATGCTTGACGCTCATGAATTTAGCGGATGTCCCGGTGACTGTTGGCCTCTTCCCTCATCATCCGGCGCTCCGGTGTCCGTATTTGGTGCGCATTGCTCCGCGCATGGCAAATACAGTGGAAGTCTTCTTCACTGTGTCCGACGGTCCTCCCGCTGTGCGGGGGAACTTACGCACCGCGATCGAAGTTATATGTCCCGAGTTTCAGAACATTCCGCTAAACATTCGGGCGTACATCGGACAGCCCCTCTTTTTCCCATCTTGGGAGTACGCATTTTTCAAACCATGCCGAATTAACCGACAAGAGCAACTAACAATGACTCTGATCAACGAGTCACAATACCGGCTTCAGTTGGTTGTGGATAATCTAGGATTGCCCGGAGGTGCTGATCCGATCCGAAGTTACTTTGGCAGCACGTTGTCCTCGCAAGAGAATGACCCAACCGTGATCATGCCTCATTCCACCATCCCCGTTGCATTCACGTTTTTTGCCCGCGAACGTGGTCCTCTCCTACAAACAATTCAACTGCGCGTCGTTAAGCCATTCAATGTCACACTTCCTGCTGCATTTTTCAACAAACCCTTCAGTTTGATCGGAATTTGTATTGAACCCTATGTGCATCGTCCTGGAGAGTTACCGGATAGAAATAGCATTGACTTCTTGAGAATGTGGATGTCGCACCCAAAACGACTGCTGGACGAATATCCTACCCCTGAAGAAAAGGCCCAGCGCTTCGACTTAGCTAAACCAACAAAACCGTACACTCCTGGGAATAACGAATGTGATGTCACTTTTGCTAGAGACCCAGTGTCCTTTCGCGCAGGCAAGTTTTCTTTGGCAAGTAACATACCGGGAATGATATTTGATTGATAGGACTGATTGATGTTCAGGTGTTGCAAAGACCCCTGTTGGCCAAATGACGGATGCAGGTATGCGGCGCTCTCAACTACAGCCAATTCTGGTGCAGAACCGCGGCTCTCAATCCCGCAACATCATCTTCTTCACCTCTACATGCTTCAGTATCGATCCTAGAGCGAAGATGATGCAACCAGCTGATGCAGAAAATGTGGATGTCATGTTTCTCCCACCTATAGAAGCAAGCGAGCTGGTTTCATCTTTCGGTTTTGCCGTTGCACTACTTGATCACGACCACACATTTCATGCCATTCAACTGCAGGGGAAACCTCTCTCTGACTTCCTGGTGTTTCCACCCCCAGGCAAGGATCACACCATTGTGTTGGACTTTGGTCGTGTCGAAGTGTCTACACATTCGTTAGATATCAATGTAAAGCACGTCGTACTGTGCAATAGTTATGACACAACGTACTCCTGGAACGTCAAGTTCGTGAGCAGCAAGCAGAAGTTTTCTGCTTTCGATGCTGGTATGATAATGGGTGAGCTCCAGACATACGAGACCTTCGCGATACCGTTTCGATTTCACTGCGATACCAGTGGATCGTTCGAAACTATGGCGGAGATCTATATCAAGGAGACACTGGATCGTTTAGCGAAGCCTTCGAAGATTGTTACCGTTATCCTTCGAGGCCAAACAGTTAACACTTCCATGGGCGGTCTCCCGGATACCTTAGACTTTGGAAGCACCGTGGTATTCCAAAAGAAAAGAAGGAAGTTTATGCTCGCAAACAATGGCTCAACAGAGGCGCAAGTAACCATCCTATCTCGACCACCGTTTGATGTTACGCCCAAAACTTTCCCTATCGCACCTAAAGGACAACAAGAGATACAAGTAACTTATACTCCTACAGAATCTCGTACAAGCCAGGTTAAGATGCTCGTTTTCTCGAATCACAAACTGTACCTGATATTGTTAACTGGTACTGGAGGCACCGCGGAGCTGATTTGCGAGAAATATGAGAACAAGGACGTCGATTTCGGCTATCAGCGCGAAGGCACTGTTGGGTGGCTATCTTTGTACTTGACAAACAAAGGCACGCTACCCCTGACTTTAAAAGCAGTAACAGCAGACAACTTGGACCTCGTCAAGCTGGAATATTTGACTGTTACATCAACAGTCCCGTATGAAGCGAACCGAGGGCCGGGACGCAATCTTAACAATGTTATAGTTCGTCGGGACTATTGGAGTATTCTGAAGCGTAAATTGGAAGTGTTCACTGTTTTGAAGCAACTCCTGGCTGGAACAACGGGTGTAAAAAAGAGCAAGGCAAAAGGAAGAAGACAGGACGGGCCATCGGAGGAGGAAGGCAAGCAATTGCGCATCCATCGGACGGACTCTATCAACCCAACCGACCATGTCTTGGTACCTCAATTACCACAACTGCGGCCGTTTTACTCGTATCACTTCCGACTTGGTTATACCAGCAGATATCAAGCAAAAAAAGACACTAGTCTCATCTTTCATTACATGCCAATTACCACGGACGAGGAAGCCGACACGATATCCGCTCTTGTAAAGAGGATGTCTGTTCATGTTGTTGGGAATGTCTATCGTCCGCTGGAGCTTTACCCGCCATACCATGACTTTGGTCTGGCACCCGCAGAAGCTTACATACTTCCTGAAGCACGACGGATGGTTCGAAGAGAGCTTGCGGATGCATATGGCGTTATGCGAGAAGGTCAAAAGGAAGGCGAAGCAGTGCTTCAGCTGGAGGTGCTGAACATGTCCTTAGAGGCGCAAAACCTTACTCTGCAATCTATCAGCACCGAATTCACTGTGAACGGACGAACGTGGACATTGCAGCCAGGTGATAAGATCACCATCCCGATGGAGTTCCATCCTCCAAAAGAGCAAGTTCAATATCACGGCGAAGCGAGGTTTGTTCACAATTTTGGAACTGCTCTCGTGCGGTTAGCGGGAACGGGCGCCAGTGCGGATCTGTCAACAGAAGAGGTTCTTGATTTTGGCAGCCTGAAGGTCGGGTCAATAGGTTCAAAAACGCTACGGCTCCACAATAGAGGACTACTGGACTGTAGATATGTTTTGGAAATTGTTCAACCTGGACAAGACTTCACGCTCTTGGACGAGGAGCCCTTTGACCGAGAGGGAGTGATCGAAAGTGGAGGAGTTGAATCGCTAGAGGTTGAGTGCAACTGTGAACGTCTTCTGGAAGGTGCCGCAAGTATCGTAATCAGATGGCTGCGAGTACCTCGCGGTGCCTGGGAAGAGCTTGTAATTCCCCTACTGGTGCAAGTCGGTATGCCTGTCTTCCGCCTCCAAAATATGGAGCTGGACTTCCATACCACGTACATCAATGTAAACAAAACAATGGAGTTTACAGTGACTAATGATGGAAATGCAACCTGTAATTGGGAAGCGGAAACAGAGAGTCCCGTGCTAGTTATCGAGCCAGAAGGTGGGTCTCTTCAACCCGGAGAGACAGTCTATTTGGAGGTGACATTCGCGCCGCAAGACTTCGACCCATTGCACCATAACATCAATTTCTATACGGACGCGGGGACGAAGACTTTAATGTGCTACGGTATTGTCGGTGTTCCATACCTCAAAATTCCGGAAGAAGACATGTTCATGGATTTCGGCATCGTGGCAATTAACAAACCACATAATCATTCGGTGGTCTTTACCAACACCGGCAAGCGACACATTGAGTTCGAAATCACCTTGATCGATGTAACGCATGACGGGATTGAAATGGCACCTGAGGATTTTGATGTTTTTTTCATCAATCCCACTCACGACATCATTGAACCCGGCGGTACAGTAACTATCACTATGCAGACGATTCCGCGAGAGTATAACGCCATTTATGCCGGTGAATGGATGGTGCGTACCCGCGATGGAGAACAATATCGTGGTCGATTAACAGCAACTGGTGGTAAAGCCATTATCAAACTGGCGCCTCCTACTCTCGCGGCTGAAGAAGCGCTTTCTAAGAAGCCCAAGACCGCCGAAATGTCGATGAATGCTCCCTCCTCACGAGGAACTGAAGCTAGTGCAGGCTATCTCCCAAGTACTGTTGAGACAGCTCGCCAAACGTTTCAAAATCACCTGGACAATTTACAGGAGGTTTTGGCTGGTCTCCGAGCGGCGGAGCTGGACACCAAGAGTGAATTAGAGTCCGTGCTGCCAAAGCCACCTACAGCAGATCGTCCCGTGTCAACACCACGCTCAGCTAGCGCGAGACGCCGTCAATCGGTGGGTACTCCTGACATAAAGGCTGAGGATGCTAATCTCGAGGAATCTCGGCAACGTGGCCTACGCGTTATGGATGGGTCAGACGTACGGGACCGCGCACGAAGAGGAACCGCAGGCCGTGTTGTTAATATTGATAATGAGGATTTATCAGATCGGCCAAGAACCGGCCGCCGGTCACGCACCGCTAGAGGAGCAATTGATGCAGATTCCTCTGCCGCGGTGCGGTACATGGACGAATTATCCCAATTGGAGGATGAGCTCGATATGGCAATTGGCCTGCGAGATCCCCTCATGTCCCCTATCGCCACAGGAGCCCCAGGTACGCCGAGTAAAAGGACGCCAAGTGGTCTTGGAAGGTATCAGCCTGGTGCACCGCGTCATCGGAGACCGCAAGCCGCGCGTGAAGCAGTGATTAGGAGCATCCTCTCTGCTAGTGGCGAACGTTCTTCAGAGCGAGATTCTGAGGAATCACTTCGCACAGGTTCACGAGCATCAGAGAGACTATCCAACCGTAAAAGTGTTGCTAGCTCGGCGGAGATGGAACGACTACAAAGGCCGATTGAGGATCTTATTCAAACGGCACAGGAGATGATTTCGGATGCGAACAACGCTGTCGATCCAAATGTCCAGCGCACGCTTCTGTCTGCTGCAAACGATCGTATTCTTGACAGTACAAGGGGAGTCATCAAGGCCGTGAAGGAACAGTTAGCTAACGCCTGGATTGAAAACCGTGATTTCCTAACAACTGCGTTAAGACGCCTTCAACAGTCAACCCATGTCATGGAAGCGCTGGGCGAAGCACCCCTCGAAAAGGAGGCTGGCGAGAATGACTTCAACTTAGGATTATTGAAGGCAGGAGAGCGCAGCGCACCTATTCTACTTTTCAATCTTCCGAACCTCGGAAATCTCGCTTTCGATTTCCACATTAAGCGAAAAGAAGCTGACGCTATGTTCCCACCAGATTTTGTAATGGACAATGCTGGGGACGTCTTTGTTCTGGATCCGCCCTCTGGTGCCATTGCGCCCCGAGAATCGGTCAATATATCCGCTACGTTTACGGCCACGACTCCAGGCACATATCAGCAAGCCTACGAGCTAATCTCAGGAGGAGAGGTCGTTCTCACCTTCACAGCAACAGCTCGGGTTGGGTCTCCCAATCTCGTAATCAGTCCTGCAACTATAGATTTTGGTTTGGTAGGGCGCCAGAAGAGCTCCGTGCGCACATTTCATATTGAGAACACTGGGACATACAAGGACATATTTCGCATTGAGGCAGTTGTGGCTGCTGCTAACTTGGAAGCAGAGGACTCGCTGCCCACAGCTCTTCCGTTTGTTCTCAGTACATATCGAGGCGATGTTGAGCCAGGTGCTAGCGAGGCAGTACAAGTCACCTTCTCGGCTCCCCAAGAGGGAACTTATGTCCAAAGGTTTCGTGTCGCCTGGAGTAAGGAACCTCTCTTTGTGGAATGTAAAGGCGTCGGTGGTGGATACAGAATTAAGCCGGTTTTCATGTCTGAGAAAGATCAACAATTTGGCGGATTGGATTGGGGCACCTGTGTCGTTGGTGTTTCGTATGAGAAGCTGTTCAAGCTGACAAATATTGGGAACGTCGAGGGCACCGTAGATCTATTTCACAGCAATGACTGCTTCCGCTTTGATGTTGTTCGTGATGCAAAGGGTGCAGTTCATATCCCGCCAGGTCAGGAGGTAGATGTGAAGATGATTTTTTGGCCGTCACGCAGCGAAACAATCAAGGAAGGAGTACAAGTTCGCCTACCGGAAAACAACATTACCGTCATCCCAGTGCGTGCGATAACAGGGATAACAGAATGGAAAGTGGACGGCGATGCAAAGTTACTCAACATGCCCGTCTTAGAGATACAGAATCGCACGCTAAAGGTGACAAACACTGGAAACCTGGAGATACCGTTAGAAGTACGCATCGAACCACCCGAACTTGCGGCAATCGTCGGAGTCAAAGTGCTCAATTGGAAAGAAGGAGAAGCTCTGAAGCCCAACCAAACGGCGAGTGTAGATTTGACTGTTGCTCCTCAGAAAGCTGCATTGATTGAGGGTACCTTGATTATCACAACCAACCTCGGTAAAGGACCCGTACAAAACAAGCAGCCTTTCAAATTACGGGCATATGAAGAGCAACTTGGGGTGGACAATGATGAAGACGCTTCTGTGGGGCGAATCATGATTGGAGATATAGCGTCGGTTTCTAGAACTTTAACGAACTACGGCAGCAGCAGGATCAAGTACCGCGTACGAATAGAACCAGTGGTAGAAACCGAGGAAGTTGATGCAGAGAAGGGAGATAGTGGGAAAAAAACCAAGCGTGGGAGGCGCAAAGGAGCAAAGGCAGCCGCGGCGGCTGCAGCCGATAAAGGGAAGACGTGGGCGCAATTAGCTACCCCTTGGAAGATCAAAGGAGCGGCAGGTGTGAATATTATAGCCTTCATCGAAATCACATTCACACCGTAAAACCAAAAGAACTAACATCCATACTTTCAGAGGGAATACTGGAAGCAAATCAGACTTTGGATTTTGAAGCAATATTTCAATCTCTTGATGAAGACGATGATTGGCAAGAAGCAAAGCTGATCATTGAAAAATGCGCTGTGAGTCATCTAAATAATACCTTTTTGTGGGAGTTAGCACTTTAACTAATCGGATGATGGCAGGATGAGACGACTCAGAGATGGACAGAGGTCACGTCGTTTAAAGTTCTCGGAGCGGGCGGAAACCCCAAGCTGACGGTCACACCGTCAGAGATCGATTTCAAAGATGCAGGAATTGGCATAACGAGGAAAAGCACCGTTATCTTCAAGAACGAGGTAAAGTTTGTGAGACGAAATAACTCTCCTGTGTCGTATAACACATTCACACATCTGTAAATAGGGATCTGCCATTGTTAACTATCAAGTGATTCCTCAGTGGGATTGGGATAGTGTTATCAACTTTGACTCTGACGCCACAATGGAAGGAAAATTGGATCCAGATCAGGAGATACCGTTCACTATACTCTTCAAACCTGATCAGCACGCAGAATATGTTACCGAAATTCAGATTAAAACCCAGATTGATGTGAAGATTCTCAAAATCCGAGGCCAAGGTATGCCGCCAGATTTACACAGCTCAATGAATGATCTATTAACAATGTGGGCCATGCAGGGGCGGAATACAAAATCTACGCAGAAGGGCTACCGGAGGTAGTTGACTATGGATCAATTGCCATTGGCGAAAGTGAAACAAAAAAGGTAAACAGGACAGGTTTTTCAACGATATGACACAATATGTTTCTAGACACACAAATTGAAACTCATTTTTGAACTAGCTGGTTATCTCAAACGATTGTCCTTACGGCATTCAAGTAAAAGGCACTGCTTTGAAAACTCAAGCTACGGAAGGAGATTCGGCGCCGGAGATTGTCCCGGAACTGCAAGTAACTCCTGATATTCTAGACCTTCCTGCAAATCGACGACAAGACGAGAGGTGATAGCACGTTGCCGGTCCTCTTGAGGCATATCTTGAAATTCTCATTGGGCAATCTCTAGATCTTCCGAGTCGTTTATTTTACGCCTGCAGGCGGCGGTGCCACTGAATGAAGACGGCTCCGTTGATGCACAAATGGTCACCCACATGGTGCGCAAAGGACAACGGAGCGCATTCTTCCATCTCATGGTCCTGGGAGGTCAAAAGCACATAGTTCCACTAGTGTATAAGTGGAGTGTAAAGCAGCCTGTAGCTCTCGTGGCTGGAGCGACTCCAAGAGAGGGTGGTCGCTTTTTGGAGAGTGATAAACTCAAACAAGTTGATTTCGGCGAAGTCGTAAGTGGAGCGTCTGTGTATTGTTACACTAGTAGGAATTCTGATCTTGGCCTACAGCGAATGGATAGTGGCTCGGCGATACCTTTTCTCATACATAACCCAAATGGATTTGCAATCAGGTTTAACGCGACGTGTAACGAAAAGGTAGGCAGAATGTGAGAATAAACAAACAGTGAGCCCCCTTGTTCAGTAACATGATATTTTGATCCTGCAGCAATTCAAAATCAATCCCGACACGGGTTCTATATCTCCACATGGCTCGAAGGAGTTTACCTGCGAGCTAACCGGATATGAATTCAAAGATGATGCTACCGTTCCGCAGAGCGAGACTTTCAATGGGATAGTGAATATTTTCACTGATATCGAGGCAATTGACGTTGTGTCCATCACGACAAGTGGTACCTTAGTAGATGTACGTATAGTTTTGATCCAAGTTGTGAGTCCAAGTTTAGAAAGGCCTAATCACCATCATATCCAGGAGCCCTTGCCGCTAGAGCCTCCAGAGCCTCTTGATTTCGGGCCTGTGCAGAGTCTAAAAGCAAGCGAGCTGACCTTTGCTTTCCGCAATCCTGTGCGACGACCAATCAAGTGGAAGTTTCACGTCGACCCACAGTTTGCAGATATATTCGGTGTTGACGGTATAACTGAGGTGAGGATGCAAATCCGTAATCAGGAAGTTTCAGAAGTTTTGTGAACAACGATGTTATTTCAGGGTGTCGCTGCTCCACGCCAAGAAACTACCATCAAAATGAAGTTCAAACCACAGCATGCAGCAGATTACATTGCTGCCGGATACTTGGAGACCGAGGAGGGCAGCTATCCGGTTCAACTCCAAGGCACAGGTGTTGACCCGGCAGTTGTTCTTGACAAGAGATATGAGGACTTTGGAGTAGTTGGCATGGGTAACCCAGAATTCAGAGAAATCGAGATCAAAAATCCTACTCTGCTGCCACTGCGAGTTGGGGCAAGAACAACCAGCCCAGCATTCACCACCGACGTAACGTAAGTTAGCTATCCGTTATTGCGTAAAATTAAGTGACTAGTCGCGGACTGAGCGCCTTCGTACTGCAGTGAAATGACCATTGCACCTGGAGAAACCCGGAAAGTAAAAGTGTTCTTCAACCCAGCTGTGATCGGCGAATCTCAAAGAGGACGCATCGCGTTCGTTAATCTCGATGATATCGAAGAAGAGCCCTCTTCGCAAGAAGACGAGAAGGAGGGTGCCAATTATCAAGAGGAAGAGGCAGCGCAAGAGGCCCGTCCACCTCGAGATGTCCACACACCACGTACGCGTCCCTTTACAGGCAAAGAACGCATACTGGATCAAATTGAGCTTCAAGGTGCAGCAGGCGAATTCGGATTTTCTGCAGTGCAAATCGCAGAGGACAACTTGTCGGTTCCTTCGGGAGAAGCTGGAGAAGGGAACGCCATTCGTCTGAATTTCCCGAAAATTCCTGAGCGGCAGCGAGTGAGGAAACATTTCGAGGTTGAAAACGTTGGAGATACTGTCATCGATCTAGGAGTGGCTGACGAGAATGGAGAGGCCTTGCTGGAAGAGGGCGAGCGATTCTCGGATTCCACAAAAGTGTCCTACAAGATATCACCTGTAACCGCCCAAATCCGACCAAAGACAAGACAGAATTTCACGGTAATAGTTAAAGGTCTCAAACCTGGAGAAGATAAATTTGATTTGACCTTGCGGACTCGGACGCTTGCTGCACCGAAATCTATTCCCATCAAAGTTACAGCCAAAGTGGTTGGAGCTATGGAGCTTTTGAGCGAAAGCTTGAGCGCCTTCGTCCGGGCTGATAATAGCATCGAAGCGATGATTGATTATCAGCGACAGGAAGAATTCAAATACGGTGGCGACACAGACGTATGGAAAGTGCTCCTGCCAATTATCAGAGTCAGCGCGTTGCTACCAAGCCAGGATTTGAGCTTAATACCAATGTTGGAGGTAAGCGGACGGACAACTCCATTTAGTTTATGATAGCCCGATGTTAATCAAATCGGGATTTACAGCCCCATGTGGCCGAACCGGGTATTGAAGCCGTTACGGTGCGTCCCCCCGCTGTACCGCGGGAATTACCACCCAGAGCCAAAAAGTGGTATATGAACCGGGTTTCCATGGCCCTAGATCAAGGAAATCGAGTTCGCGCCGATGCAGAGACACCAGAAATGCAGCGACGACAGGAAGCGGCCCAATTTATTCAGCCTGTTGAGAAAAAGGTGTTCCTCGAGAGAACTGCACGGAGGTGAAAATGCTCTCCTCTTTGTATATATTGTATATATACCCACGCTATGAGGTTAACTACTTACAATAAAGAAAAATATACATTTGGGGTCTCTCCGCGGGGTACATCATGCACTATTCGCCGAAATAGACCCGTAGGAGGGCAAGCCCGCAACGGGAAATACGTGTTTCTTTGATTGTCCCTTGCATGCATCCCAGACCATTTTCCATGTCACAGCGTATATGACGTGACAAAATATCAGCATACAAACTGCAAATTGGGTCATCGTCACTGTGAGAAAAGGTAACTCGATAACGGCAGTATTCTTCCCAAAGTGCTCCGCAAGCAGGATGCTACAGCAAACCGTCAGAACGATGATGCATACCGTCATGAGGGACATTGCGACCAAGAGAAACTTGTCTTGAATGAGCACACGAATAGGATGTACAGGCACAGCGCGCACAGTATAGGGATCACAACAGCGGCTGCAACGGTATATACCCGAAAGAGTCGTGTCGGCAGGCTGTGGACTAGAGGTAGGAGAGACGGAGATCTCCTCGGCATCTGCTATGGCTATTGCTTGATGTTGGGCCGGAATGGGGTGAGTCGGGTCGGGGACGGGATAGACCCATGGGTCTTGTGACGGAGTGGCAATAGGTGTTGGCAAAGACGTAATGAACCTGTCCACGCAGTCCTGGTGGATGTACTGGAGATCTGCGTCCTTACAGCCTAGACACACTCGGACAAGCGGGTTTCGCCGGCTTTCTGTGGTTTCCCAACATGCCCAACAGCGCCCCTTTGGTCCAGTTTGAGGTGGTAATGGAGGGATGAGCAGCGGTGTTTTCTCTGACGGCACGTCGAGTCGCGTAGGAGGAGCTGTGCTTGAAGAGCCATTGACAAAGCGAGGCATGACCTCGTAAGCAGGTAGCTTTTTGTGTTGGCAAAGGGAAGATGGTAGGAATGAAGGCTGACATGATCGATGTCCCGTGATATCATATGATTTGAGATGTCATGGCAACAAAAATATCAATTTTTGTTCACCTGGCGTATAAAAACCCGCCGAGTTCCTCGTTTTTCTTCCCATGCTTCTACTGCGACCTCCGCATCTCCTTCCTCCACTTTCTCGTCCGTCAAGCACGTATGGAGGAGCGACATGAATTGGTCGTATATCTTTCACTCTTTAGCCCGCAGAAGGTAAGTTACCCCCAGCCCTTTATCGGATCCTTCCAATTCTGTGAAGGTTGTCCGTCACTCTAAACTGGGAAGACGCTTGTCCGTTCATTTCACTTTGTGGCCTTCTTGCACGCCTAACGGTGTACTCACTCGAAGTGGCCATCATTCGCGAACGGCACATCGGGTCGTTGTTCAGAGGTCAATATGTTACGTTTGCTTCCGCGTCTAATAGGTTCAACACAATTCGTTTTCTCCCTAATGTGTTGCGTACCCAGACTTCTGGTTGATCGTTTCGCATCTGGTGTGGAAACCGAATTGATGAACCTATTATACCCGTAAGCTTCCAAGTAAGTTGTCCTCTGCGCGTGTTGCCCTATCGAAGCTCGCCAGGAGGCCTTCCCGTGTCCTTTCGAGTCAAACTGTGGCAAAAAGTAAAACATGATCTCTTTCTATGGTCGTTGGTGAACTCAATCAGAAAATGTCGTTCAACAACATCACCCAAAAGAGACACAATTGGTGAAAGCCATCTCCTGTCTACTTGACAGTTTCACAATGTGGAATGTCATCGTGTTAATGTCAATTAGACGGAGAAGGACCTTCACACATAGCGAGGATTTGTCCCGCTCGGTATGTTACTCATCCAACAAGACTATTGATCCCACGTTGGTTTCTTGAGTGTCAAAACGAGCGAAGAATAGACTTTTACCAGAGCGGGCAGCGGATCTTTCCGTCCATCCAGCCATTTCTGTTGGGTTGGTTGAAACATTTGCCCTGCACGGACATACAATGCAACATTTACCTGCCTATGAATGTCTATGGCCCTAAACTACACTTCTTCACCCCATCTCCTTCCAAGCACCCGCCCACCGTCCACCACTACTTCGACTTCTAGTCCTCTGCTCAAGTAGTTCTCCCCTGCCACTCCCAGTTTGCAATTTCTGCAGTTGCGCACATGTATTCGCTTTAGCTGCTTCCATTTTTCTTCTGCGAATTTCACAACGCCTGCTTGGGAGATACCCTCACAAGAATCGATAAAGAGAGTATGGAGTGATCCCAAATGGCGAAGTGCCGGCAACGTGTAATCTGTCAATCCCACATTACCGGTAATATCCATTACACGGAGACGCCTGCATCCTTTTTGTGCAAGTTGTATCAGAGACCGGCATTCCGGTGATGAAGCCAAGAAGCCAGACATTGAGTTAATAGACTTTCGCCGGTCGTTGGCCTTGCTTTTGAGATTATCGACGCGGGCATTTGGGACAGTAGCGCCCAACGCGGCTGGTGATGTTCGGTTTACTCCCAGTAAATGCACGGGTGGTGGGCTGGAACGGCAGAGGCGGAGATAGAGTAGCTGGGAGCAGTGTGCTGTGATAGCCTGGGTAGTTCGGGGGTATGTAAAGGAAAAGCTAAAATCTATCCATCTATCATGCAAGGGACGCAACATGGGCATGCGATGAGTAAATGTGCTCAAATATTCTCAAACTGGATCTCCAGGCTATGAGAAGACTTACTGAAGATTTGGGCAATTTTGTGGCACCTGTGATAAGTTCGGTCAGGCATCCAGAAAGAGCCTTTTGAGCAAGCAACAACATACCAGTGCTAGATCTTTGTCGGTAAACCCCCGAAAGCTGGAGAGTTCCACCTTCTTCAACTTGATGCAAAGCGTAGGATCAGAGACAAGGTATCTGATTCTATTTGAATAGTGCAGTTGCTGTAGGTCTGTGATAGTAAGCTCTCTCAAATGCAGCAGATTCTTGGATAACGACTTTAATGTTTTGTTGCCGATTTGGACATGGTGAACAAGGAGGCTCTGGAGAGCTTTCCCAAGTTTCATGGCGACGGGTGATAATCCGGTTGGTGATATTTCGTCTCCATTTAGTTCCAGATACTCCAATACTGGCGCTGCATCGATGAGGCCACGTAGGGTATCGTCATTGAAGACCGTGGTGTGCTTACTATGAAACTTGAGCGCTCGCAGCTTGACTAGGGCTTGTGCATGTATAAGTGAGTTGATGAGATCGGCAGTAACGCCGATATGAATGGTGGCCTCGAGCGTGTCCAACTGACGAAGATGCTGGGCAACTCCACAGAGCGCTGGTATTCCCGCGCGGTCTATGACAAGGCTCAGATGCTTGAGATTTTTGCATCCTTTTAGAAGTACCTCTAACCCGTCCGCCGGCAAATCGAACAAAACCATATTCAATCGCAGCACTTCTAAAAAAGGGCACACGGAAACCAGCCGACTGGTATCAAAATTGAAAGTGCACCAGAGGAGCCAGAACCCTCTTGTTTGGATTCGAGAATCTTCTCCAAGCATCATCTCTCGAATTGGCAGCACACTTCGACGGGAGCCGTCAAGGACAGCCCAAGGATATTGTTTTATACGATCTACAGGTAGATCAACTGACTGAGACACACGCACCAGAGTCAATGTTTTAGTGAAACGGTTACATGGGACTCACAGCATCCCATGAGATTGAGGGAGGTCAATCCTGACATTCGAAATAATCGAGCGACGCCGCGCTCAGTAACCCGAAAGAGATAGGACAAGTTTAGGTGCGTCAGATATGGTAGAAAAAAGGAGATAACCTCCAGCCCCGTCTGTAAGGGAAGAAATGATCAATTGCAAGGCATTTTTCGTCAGAGTGTGTGTAACACGTACATCGTCCACCTGCTCACAATGCGACAAGTCCAGAGCCCTTAACGACTTCAGTCCTCTCAAGTGGAATAGAGACCCGGAATCAACATTAGCGCAGCCGTTTAGAACCAAATGGGACAGAGATTTGCTTAGGGTACGCCGTATACTCGGAGATGCAAAGCTGGCCGGATCAATATCTGTGCAACTCAAATCCAGCTTTGTAAGCTTAGAGAAGCGTCTGGCTCCAATGGGGCGGTGAAATATGCGTTTGAGGGTTGCATCTACCCGACCTCCCTGCTCTCCAACACTCTTGTCTCCTCCCAAGGAGAACCTATTTGATAGGTCCAACCGCTCCCAAAATGTTGGTGTTCGATAAAGGATTTTTTGCCACCTTCGAGATGCACGGCAAGATCGACATCGAGACCGTACGTCTAGATAATAAAATATCCGCTGTAATATCTCCACTGGGAGATGCTCATCGATGGGAGCCGCCGTTTCTACCGGTATGAGGTCGTCTAGGGCCTCAAGTGCTCTACTGAATGTATCGTCTGGAACCGGAGGTGCTTCGTCCATGATTGCAGGCTTCGTGGAGCACACAGAGTAACTCGCTTTCTTTACAAGCTCATGCAAGCAATGCAGCTTTTGACCTTCCAAAGTTCCTAAGTCCAAAGTTTGGACAACGCCGAAAGCCTCATCAGTGTGATGACGTACACGTGAATAGGTTTACGTGAGTAGCCAAAATAGGGCAAATTGATTATGTAAGCATTGGAAGTTTGCCATTTGCCTCCCGATCGGCTTACGGGGCGGTTTTTACCTTTCCCACGGACGGCGACGCACTTTCATTCAACAGCACAACCATGTCGGACTCCTCCATCAACGCAGAATATGTATCAAGAGGCAAGCGGAACGTTCCCAAAGCTACGTACAAGCAGCGATGGAGAGCAACTGGAGTGTCGAAAGCTCATCCAAGAATCACATCCCGTCTCCACATGTTACCGACTGGAAGATCATTGGAAAGAGGCCAGACGGAAAGATCTTCGCATGAAGAAAATGACCCTCCTTCCCGCTTTAAACAAGGTTAGCACCGATCTGTCGCATCGTTCAATTCACGCGGCCTTTCATTGCATACGGCACAACGGGATGCGTTTGCTGTGTGGAAGACAGCTCCACGTATCAAACAATAAATCTCAGATAATTTTTGTGACCGTAGATATAGTTGAGGTGAAAAGAAATACATCAGATCCCAAAAACCCTACCAGAACTCCCGCAACCTCTGTCCACGCCCTGTCCCGGAGGACCAACAACCAAATTCTGAAGACCCAGCAAAGTCCTTCAAGAACCGACATTTCCAATATTCTCTCCGGTATTAATATCACAAAGCCCGCCTTTCAGGTCTATCGCGATATTGACACGGAGCACGAGAGATGGCAAGGGGAAGGCATTGGCAAAACTGGCATGACCGAAGAAACTAAGAAATCATCGCAGCGGAAGAGAACAACCGTCAATAGAGACGTCGCTAATAAAACCCCGACATATTCAAGTATTGGTAGTAAGGGGAGCTCGTATCCCCATCAGCAAACAGAATACACCCCGAGTGACATGTCCTTGTCATCTCCCAGTTCCTCTCGCACGGTGCACAGTAGGAATTTGAGCTCGCATTTGGAAAGTTTACCTCCACCTTTGCCTATAGTTAAACCACCTCTTTTTCAAATCGCATTGCAAAAGACATCGGACAAGCAACCTTCCAAAATAACCGACTACCGCACGCCGCCATCACCATGGGTTTATACGAGCTCCCCTCCGCGGCGTAGGTCAAGACCAGTATCGCGCGTTTGGCAGAATTTGACGTTGATGGCAGGGGAAGATGACAGCCCGTTCCTTGATCAGGTCTTTCGAAGTCTGCTCCCACAGCCGCGTAGAAGTTGGTCCGACGGCGTTGCGGATGATAATCCTTTCATTGTGACAGAGGAAGTGCGAGAGGAATTTGGGCCACAAAACCTATTCAGCGACTTTATGGAAAATCAGGATGTAACTTTGGAAGATCCTTTAATTACTGGCCGGGGAGAGTTCACAGACATGGGACGGGCAACTGTGGAAGCCCAGCATCCCATCAAGTTACACATGAAGGTACAGATTGAGGCTCTACCAACAACCTGCGACGTTGATGAAATTACTATGTAGCATGTCGCCTATTAAAGTATAGATTCACCTGTCGAGCTGTATGGTTTAAGCAATTAGACGCGTTACGTCATCTCGCCTAAAGGTCAAGTGTCCATTTCTTAAACATGTATTGCGCTTTGCAGCTGTACGTCTCTTGCTTGCTTTTTTTCTACCAAACTAACCGATACGATGCCTCTTGAACACACAATGGAGCCTCCCAGTCCTGCGCATGCACATGGTCCTCTCATGTCGCCCTCTCATTTTACCGCAGCAGACTTCCCTTCCGAATATGATAACAGTTCAGGTGAGTGTTTGCATGGCAACCTTCGAGAGAGTGGACGCCTTGCCTGACATACCAGCTTTATGGTCGTCAGATGCTTTTGCTGAGTCCGCAAGCTATGATTTGCCTCCTTATGGCTATCGTCGTCTGGAGACCAGAGAGTCGCTCGATACGACAAACACAATGCTTCCCCTCGATGCAGCGCTTGATTCGCCGACCCCGATGGACGTTGATGCCACCGCTGAGGCTACTCCATTAGGCAAGCCAAGTATGGAGAACAGCTGCAGCCCGAGACGCTTATCTGTTGCTGTGCCGCAGCCTGGAGGGTTAAAACTTGGTCCACTCAGTGCTCGCCGCCTGTCCATTGATCCGTTACGCTACCCAAGCGCGGACAGCGCCGGAACACAAAGAGAGGACGTAGTAGCTACTGCAGCAGAAGAGTATGATGAGGCTGAGGAGGAATTGGTGGCAGAGGATCCTCTACGAGAGGTACATTCAGGACTGCAGCCGGATGAAGACCTGGGAGATGAAGTGGACTATGGAGATATGCAGGTCAGGGAAGACGATGAGGGAATAGTGGCGCGTGGCAATGCTGAAAGCGAGTTTGTTCCGGAACTTGAATTTGAAAGGCCACTAAGGGGTTCAATAGATGATAGCGATGATGATGATGATGACGACGAGGAAAGGGACCCTGAGGAAGAAGAGCCTGCATATCAGGAAGAGGCAGAAAATGACTGGGAAGTAGGTTTGAGGCGAAAGGAACATGATCCGGAGTTTCAGGATGCAGCAGGGTTGGACTATGGGGATGCGCATCCGGACAAACCAGATGATGATGAAGGGGATGATCCGTTGGAGGATTTGTGACTTGATTTGTTTGTACAAAATCTCATTGGAAGAATCTTGTTCTTGACCTCCCACGCTCAGAAAGAAATTTAAAACCTCTATCCCATGCATTACGCGACAGAACTTGATTGTTTTTGCACAGCTTTGCACTAAAGACCCCGTCGGAATAGTGGCTATTCAACCCGTTCTGGCGATAACGCATTTGGACCAACTGGTAATAGTGACCGTACCTGACTGTGTTGCAAAACTCAATGTAGAGAGCATGCGCTCTCGAACAATGGTAACTGAACGGCCCATCTGATAACATTAAGACCGGATTTGCATCCACCGGCTGGGACAATTCCTTGGGAGCATATAACAATATGCATATCTAAACATCAGGCGGCAGCACAGGATTTTTGAACAGGTTTAATGTACCCATCATGAACAGTCTGTACAGCCCTCTATCACATTGAGAACTGACTGAAATGTGGCCTCCCATCATCCAATCTGCAAGCACCTACAGCAGTGCTGTCATCGGATCGCACACTGGATGCCAGAGTCTGCAAAACACAATCCTAATAGCAAATGAAGGGTGGATACTGCATCACTGGTTTTGGGGGATGATGCTAGTTCTCCTGTGCATAGACATCTCCAACCTGCGATTGATACAGTACGATCACCATCTCTCTCTGTTCATGATTTCTAGTGATATTTTCCTCTCGTGCGCCATAGGGTCGTTGTTGTTTTTGTCGTATGTCAAGGCAATAAGAAGAGTCGACCCCAAACTTCCCATGGCTCACAAGTCATCAATCACTCGACTTGATTAGCCTGGTAGATTTGCCATCAAAAATGTCTCCATATCGACACTGCAGGAGGCGATACTTCTATAAAATATGGTGCAATTCTTCAGGCGATTTCGACGAATGATCGAAGCTAACTGTGTCGGGGGAGATGGTCTAGTAGACCTTAGGCACAGCTTAGAACACCTCGTGTTGAAGGTGGCTGTTTCTTAAGTTGAACATTTGTCATGACGCTGGTCTGTACCAGGTTTTGGACCTTTCTGAGCTAGCCACTGGAATTTCCATTCATTTACTGCAAGTATCTTGTATCGAGAGATACTCTGTACACTGAATATCCCCCGCGCAACTCCAGAAGGAGCATGTGCCGAGAGAGAGACTGATCGGATTGTGGAATCAAAAGATTCAAAGCCCGACGAGGAGATCAACTAGTGCTCATCTTGGCTGCAAAGTCTAACCCTAAGGTTACTTGACCCCAACTAACCTAGGAGAATCTTTACTGTGGGATTCGGGAGTCTTGTGGCTGCTCTGAGATGGAGAACATGACAGGTCGACGATATCTAGCAACTTTTAGAGCGAATACCATCATCTGGTCTCGTTCCCCGAAATGGTCGCGGGCTATGAATTACGCTTTGCGCCATCTCTGGAACAGCATCACAAGTTAGCCTGTCCAAGCCTGTCCAAGGAATAACGACACTCATCTGAACCACCTCCGATGGAGCCCGCCGTGGACGGTAGATCCTGTTTCTAAGCACGGCATGTGGTGGACATCGTTATTAAACGCTTTCTTGTTACTGCGATGCAAAATTCTTCATGGGGAAGCTGAGTTTGTTCGAATCGCGCGTGCGCTGATGGCCAAACTTCCGCCGCGGACGGCCGAACAAGAGTACAGAATCGAACGCTGGTTTAATAAACCTGTCTGTTATCCCAAACCGTCATCCTTGTCTGTGGCCATCTAGTTTCAAAATGCACGGCATCGCACGCGTTCTTTTCAGCTGCTTAACTGTTACTCTCGCCACAGCTCTCCCATGTGAGCGAAGCAACAAAGGTGCAGACTTTGTTGTCTTTGGAGACAGCTGGTCAGACAATGGCAACACATTTGCGTTGACAAACAAGGCTTGGCCTACAGCCGCTTACTACCAGGTCAGACAATTCAGGATCTCGTCGTTACAGACATGAGGAGCTGATCTGTTGGCAATTTGCAGGGACGATTTTCGAATGGACCGCTCTGGCTCGAGTATCTCGCCGAATCGCAAAAGGTGGACTTGCAAGATTACGCCTTTGGAGGCGCGACTACCAACAATACCCTTGTCCAAGGATACACCGGTAGTGCCTCCGATATTGCGGTACCCAGTGTGATCGACCAAGTCGCTACATACCTGCCCCACTTTTCTCCCAACAACGTCCACGCGTTCTGGGCCGGTGGGAACGATGTGTTCTTTGGGCTTTCGGCAGGCGTAACAGGAGATCAAGTTGCTGCCAATTTGTTGTCCAGCGTGGAGAAGCTATCTTTGTCAGGTGTGATATAGTGACGAACTTGGATTTCCTACAAAACCTCCATTCATTTTCAAGTGACCCAAATACAGGTGCAAAAGCCTTCCTTCTCTTCCAACTCCCTGCCTTGGACAAACTGCCTTACTTTGGCACCAAAGAAAATATTCCCCTGCAACCCCTCTTTGCCAAGTGGACCACTGACTTCAACACGGCGTTGACTACCCGCGCGGCCGCATTCCGTGCTCAACATCCGGATGCTGCGGTTCAAATCTTTGATACCCACCGCTTCATTGACAGTGATTTGAAGGGCTACGATAACGCTCAGGTCGCATGTTTGAATGCAACCACCCAGCAGGCATGTGCCGAACCAGACAAGCATGTGTACTGGGATGCGTTCCACTTTACAACAAGTGTACACAAAGATATTGCCAAGGAAGTCGGCAAGCTCGTAAAGGATTGGTTAAAATAGTAGACACATTGTGCTAGAATGCTCTTTAATGTATTTCGATTAAGTTACTTAATCTGACGATGATAAAATCTAATATAATACTGCTTCCTCCCTCTCTGTCATCGACGGAAGCCGAGGATATATATGTATTAATGGTGCCCTGTGCGGTTTCCGCTCCAATGGTTCACGCCATTCGTACCCACACCCGTTCCTGTATCACAGAAACCTTGCTGGGGATAGCTCACGACACGACAATTTGGTGTTTGGCATTACATTCTTTAGCGTACCCATGTGGGATTAGTGGTCGGGTCGACTGTATACTGGTGTCTGCCTCCCTTCAGGACCCAGCCACCGGAACCAGTTACAAGATTTCCTGACGACGACGGGAGCAACCACAACCTTACATGGTATCACTGAAAAGAGGTAGCCAGGTCAAAAGCGTGACATTGCGAGTGTTTGCCATAGGGCCCTGTGCGTCAAAGCCAAATTGGGCGACAGGAAGTTTTGATGGGCAACATGGGCCAATTCATCAAAACAGCCTATTAGTGACTTGACTGACAATATCTGCGCTTGGGATCCACATCCATGCACATTTAGGATTAGGTGGTGATGATCCGTGGACATCCCAGTTGTTAAGGCCACACCGTCCTGGAAAAATCACTGCGGGGGGAATTTAAGGCTGGTGCTTTATAAAGTATTCCAAGTAACAATGATTCTAGTCGCAAGGCCAATTGTTCGAGCGAACGAGAATGCTCTGGAGTGAAGTTGGTGCGAGCTCGCTTTGAAGTGATTGTCAAGTGCCAACAATTGAATTTCAAGACGGCGAAATGATTGAGCAACAGAACGTTTTCATTACGGAGCTGCTCAGCAATCAATAAAACAATTTTGAATCGTATCCAAAGATAACTTATTTAGTAGTTTTTCTGAAGATCGTGAATGCCGTACTACTAATCGTTAACTTTGTATCATTATTCGTCAGTGAAATGACGACAGTCGCTCGCAGAACGATTAGTGTGAAGAATATCTCGTCTGCGTTAGATTTTAGAGCGAGCCACGTCCGAGTCTGAGCAGAGGTGGTAATCGCTGTTGTTGCGAGTAACGGGCCAGCGTTAGCAAATATTTTCTAACATATTGCTATTATCTAAAAGCACAGTATTACAATTTGGAGCTAACTAGTAGTAGTATATGATTTTAATGGTTCTATGAACTATGTGGAGCATAACATCAAACTGAGAAAGACTATTATAGAAGTGTAAAAGGCACCGTAAATTGACCACTAACGTTCATCTAACTATCTAGCATGAAGCGGATTCGTACGACCCTTTCCATTCATCTCTATCCGCAAATTCCTGAGGTGATTCCGTCTGGAACCAATCCCAATGCTCTTCAAACGTCGGACCCAAATCATCTCCGTAGCATCTCTCGCCCCAAACCTTCCACTCATTGACATTGTACATATCCCCAGCAAAGGTCATGTACGCACAGGCCTCATCTTTGATCTGCCTAGCGTAGATACTACTGACACTAGATGCAACACTCCAACCAACCGTCACACCAACTTTGCCCGTGATGTCTTTGAGGAGTTTAAAGTCGAAGCCAACGTTGGTCTGGTATTGGGTGGTACGGGTGAGAGAGTAGCTGATGCTGCAAATGCAGGTTTCGCGCCGATGGCAGCGCATTTCGGAACCGATCTGAATGTACCCCGTACGCCAAGCCCATTCCTGGTTTACTTGGAGTCGAACGTATTCTTCATTGCACCAAAGGCGCCGATTGAGGTCTTTGTTGTTCGTCGTGTTTGCTCCTGCGCCAGCAAGCAAGTTGTTGGAGCGGTCTTTGGTGTTGAAAAGGTGGGTATAGCCGGTATCGAGATAGATCGTGGTGTTGTCGTGGGCGTCATGACCGGTGACCATGTGCGGAAGCGTTGCATTTTGGTTGATACCGGAGTCTATGAGGCGTAGAGCGTCGTCCTGAATGAGGTATTTCTTGGTGAAGCTGCGGGTACGCACGGCGGCACCTCAATAGTTTTCGGAGGCGTGGGCGCTGGAACGGCAATGGCAAGTGTGCCGTAGCACAGGACAGTCAGGGTTGCGAGCAGTTTCATTCTTGATGATGCGCGTTTTAATGAGTTGCTCCGATGTCTGAGGAAATCCGGAAGTGACATTCCCTTTTAATACGCCTCGAGGCAGCGATGGGCCTGTTTAAGCTTGCATCTATTGATTTGTGGAGGGCAACCAACGTGCAAAGGTCTTTCTCACGTTTCGATAGCCTTGTCGTTGCACCTTTGCCATCCATAGGCGAAGAGACGCCGGGTGAACGCACATATCTGTCCAAAATGAGATTATGACGAGCACTAACAGCCAGTGTTGGAGGGTGCGGTTGTCGACAAGTTGAGCGAAACTTACATCCTGCCTGCTTCCTTGGCACTTCAGTAAGAGTGTCGTCGTCCGAATTAGTGATAGCAACGGTTCGCTCGGTTCCGCTCGCAACGCCAACATGTGGAGCCAAGCCGGAGCCGGAACCGCATGCATTGGCTCCAAGCCCACGGCGCGCGGCTAAGCCGTCATCACTAGTCCGAATCGGGGCAAAGCGGTAAATTAACAACCTACAGAGCTTAATGCGGACTCTGTCAAAAACGTGCATCATCATAAAACTTTGAGCTTGTGAGCCAATAAAGGCCCAAAGGCCCAAAGGCTTTCCGTCTGAAATTCCGCGAACGGGCCATTCACTCCTGTCCTTAGACCTTCTCTGGGTACCTTGAAAGTCATGTTGGGTAAGAGAGTAGTTGGTTGTCGATTAGGGAATCCTTTCCGACGAATCCTTGAACAGTACCATTATTTATCCTCATAATCGCGACCCTTCTGGAGACCGGAGTTTGCGCCTTTTCCCTAGACGCCTGTGCCCAATCTACGGAAAACCGCTGCATCAGCCTCTCTCCGGCGAACAGCACCATTGTCCAATCCAGCTATCTTCTCCTGCACCTCACCGGCCTGTCCTCGACGTCATTCTCCGAACCACTGAACTGGGATGGCAAATTTAGCGTCTCCATCACCACCTGGGATCCCACCGTGCCCCATAAAGGAAACTTTACCATAAAACGTTCCGTGAACGGACGCCAACCAATCGAAGCCTACAACCAAACCCATCGTGTCTCGCCCACTGATGCATTTCCAATATATGCGTTTAAAACTAGCGGTGACGGTTGGTTTCCTGAACAAATTGGAACACCCGTTAGCTTCACCTGGAAGTTTGAAGCCAAGTTTGGGGCTTGGGAACGCAACGAGGCTCTTACGCTTTTGCCGAAAAACGACACTGCGGGAGTCATTGCGAAACCCGATGTCCCGGCATACTCGACCAGCGGCGTTGGGAGGGAGGTAGCGGTTGGATCAATGGCGTTGATTGTTGTGATGATCAGTTGTTTTAGTGTGCTGGTTCTGTAGCTCTGAATCTAGTTTCGCTTATACGTATCTCATAGTCTCGTAGTTTGAACTTTTATGATAGTTCGGTCTCAACGACGTTGGTCAAGATCGTCAATATCAACGAGAAATGTACGGCTGAGAATGAAAAGCAGGTCCATCATCACAAGGCCGGGAAAATGATGAATATCCCTATCTTTGAGGAAAACGAGCAATACGCACTGCGTGCTGACGCAGAATTTTCAGTGAAAGTGAAAGCGAACGAAGTGGAGGATTATGCTTGCTGAAAGCCCAGGCAAACCTCTAAAACGCTCGAAGCATGCAAACTTGGAATTTTTCAAATAAATAAATTACCGTAGAACAACAACTCTTGAAAAAATCAACAATATATTTTTGAAAACATGTATATACACAGCTTCAATGTGATCCCCCAATTCCGACGTCCGCGACCAATAAATACTGTAAAGTAGATTCGCTAAGCGCAAATGCAAACAAGACATCAACCATACTTACCATCACATGGCCAAACACTTGTAAGACGCGCGGGGAACCTTGAACAGAGAAGGAAACGCATTATTCTTTAGAGAAGCAAGGACATGGTCGGCAGACCGCAGGTGTCGGGTTCCGTTCGGATGGTACGCCCACCTTCAGTACCATTACACAGCGAGGACGGCTGCCCGAAACAGCCAGGGATGGTGCCCCGCAGGACAACACTCGATCGTCGCTACACACCTTCCAGAGCAGCTCAGGCTATACTGATACGTTGATCACTCGCTTCCACAAGAAACGCTGGCACCCCGGGGTCCGGCAAACCGACCTCCAGTTGGTCCCTTGGTCCATACAGAGTATGGTCCGCGGCAACCAACCTTCAGAACAGTTCGCTTTCTCCCGAGACCAGACGTCTCCGCTTCCACGAGGCCACAAACGCACCAGTACCTCTTCACCGCCACTCAGGAAGGTAGCCATGGTCGGAAGAATTGGGTCCCCGTGTCCGCCCTTCCGCCGCCCAGCACGGCCCGCCTTGCATGCCCTTGGAGAAAAGCAAATGCATTGACTCACAGGAGCATCCACAAAGCACTAATCCAATCCCTCATCCCGACGTCCACGACCAAATGCATGCTGTAAGGGAAGGGGCGCTCAGTGCCTAGCTCGACATGAATACGAGACAGCAATCAGACTTACTACCAAATGGCCAAACAGTTGCTGACGTCAAGGGGAGGTAACCTGTAATAAAGAAGGAAAACGAAGCTCAGGCCCCACCAAATACGCTGCAACCTTGACCGTTTCCACGAGAACCCCATTTCGGATCGGCCTCCCTGGCGACACCGAAGTGCGGCTGGGCAGGCGGACCATCCACGGGGACCCGCTTCCACGAGATCACAACGCACCAGCAGAGTACCCTTAACCACTACTCAGGAAGGCAGCCATAGTCCGTGCGAGGCCGCCAATCGGGGCTTCCACTTTCCACTGACGTCCGCCTGACACACTCTTGAGCAAAGGCAAATGCATTCACTCACCAGAGCATGGCAAAGCTGCGACATCCTTGGAAAGACTTACGAGCAAGAGCAAGGGAGGCACTGCCGTGGAGGCAAGGTAGAGGGAGGTTTGTGTAATGAGATGAGCTGATGATGTCGGTGACGGGCGTGCTCGTATTGCAAGGAACTCACCAATTAGCAACAATAATCGTAGAATATGAATATATTGAGAAGCAAGCCTAGACAGCGAATTCCCATTCCCTCCGATTTTCAGCAACCAGCATCCAATTGTTGACCCACAGCAGTGCTAGAACAACTATGATCGATTTAGTATCCATGTTCAGAATTGTAAGGCAAGAACAACATACAGTACGAAGCATCGCAACCACGTGCATGGAGCTGGGAGAAAAAAGGAGACATATCTGTAATAAAGAAGGAAACCGGATTATTCGGTAGAGAAGCAAGCACATGGTCGGCGAAACCCCCCAGCTCGGGCTTCGCACCTGCTCTTAACCGCTTATCGACAGATATGACACAGCGAGGAAGGCTGCCCGAAACAGCCAGGGATGGTGCCCCGCAGGACAACACCCGATCGTCGCTACACACCTTCAAGAACGGCTCAGATGGTGCCGATAACGCTGCAACCATGTCCGCTTCCAGCAGGTTGACTTCCCCAATGCCATTATGTCACTAACCGTCCCGCCAGCTGGTTCATGATACTGGGAAAGCCGTCCCCCCTTTCACGAAGGATCACAACGCACCAACACTTCTTCATCGTCCCTCAGGAAGGTAGCCAGTCTGAATGAACCAGGCATCTTGCGTGCATGCCGAAAGCTTGATGTTCGCATGAGTGAAGGAGTAAAGTGTCTGGGTACTGTCGTGTAAATATTTGGGATGCACAATACATACATGAGTTGCAACATCTGTGAAATTATTTGCCAAAGGCAATTGCTAGGAACGTTTCATGCACATGCAACCAGCCAGCATGGTCTGACTTCGTATGGACATTTAGTTTGTCGCGAGTTGCTTGGGTCGAACTTGAATCACTGCGGGTTAAGGCTGGTGCGTTATAAAGTATTCCGAAGTAACAATCATTCTAGTTGCAAGGCCAATTGTTTTAAGTAACGTTTGGCAAAATCAGTAGTTCTCTGGTTGCTCGCAAGCAACATGACTAATCAGATCCCAGCAACGATCATTTCTTGTAGCCAAAAAATGGGCCTTGTCAAAGAATCTTCATGTCGGCGTTGGCCAAGGCCCGCCGAGCGCTTGCACCGCTACTTTCTCATCTGTCAACATGGATGACTCCATCGGAGCTCGACTCACTCTTGCACGCATACATCCAGCCGCGCCTTACAACGTTCCGCATCAACACGCTGAAAGTGCCGACGTGTCTGCTAAACATTGACAGTATTCTGCAGCCGATAGAGTCGGCTCTGCATGCGGTTAAAAAACGACCTCAACCTCGCCTGAATAGGTGTGCTTGGTACCGGAATGCATATATTGTCTCGAATCCGGCAGTTCAAGTCCGCCATCTCGCGCATGTGAATCCGCACAAAGAGGGCCAGATACATTTCCAGTCCTTGAGTTCTATGCTCACTCCGCTTTGCCTTGGCGCTCAACCTGGTTGGCGAGTGCTGGATATGTGTGCGGCTCCCGGGGGTAAAACGGCCATGATAGCTGAATCTGTTGGTGCAAATGGGCGAATAGTCGCCAACGAGTTGGATCCTGCCAGAGCGAAGCGCTTACAAAAGAATATAGACACATTGCTCCCGCCAGAGTTGCGAGAATGTGTTCATGTGCGGGTTGGCGATGGTCGTAAACTAACTCTTGCAAGTGCTGCGGACACTGCTAATAGTTCTTCTTGCGATCCTTTTGACGCCATCATGGTGGACGCCCCCTGCAGCGGAGAAGGAATAATTCAACTCTCGGAGCCATCTAGTTATCGACATTGGTCCTTTGAATGGGTGAAGAAGCATGCCCGACTGCAGCAGCAGCTTCTCAGCAATGCATACTCGCTACTGAAACCTGGCGGCGTATTGATTTATTCTACTTGCACCTTGTCACCCGAGGAGAATGAGGCTGTTATGGAATGGTTTTTGGATGCACACCAAGATATGGAGGTCACCGATCTTGCGCTACCGTTTCTTTCGGCGTGGTCTGGTCGTGATGCCAATTTTAGACCAGGCTTAACATCATACAGGGGGACATCATTTCGTAAGGTGTTCCAACGTGCCTTACGAGTATTTCCCAGCGTAGAATATGAAGGGTTTTTCGTATGTCGAATGCGACGTTGTCCTCAATATTAAACGCAAAATAATTGCTTTTCTAATTTTTAATTTCTGGAAGAACAGTTGGCTGCCGAAGAAAGGGGATATGTCAGCTTATGGGGTCTTGGCCCCAACACTGACACTGTATCTCTGCTGAACAAAAAGTACGGGGTCGGTCACAGCAATATGTTCTGCATGATCGATCGCCTCGTACAAAGTTGGTTTGTAACAAAATGGTTACCCAGTTCATTATTGGTGCCTCACGGCCATCAAGCCACCATTGTAGAGCAGGACCCACTTACTTGCAATAGTACATTGCGAACCTTTAATGAAGGCAACACGCAAAGCACAATTTCAAACACCTGCAGGTTGCAAGTTGAAAATGCCCCACAAGCGGAGTACTTACCCAGAGACTTGTTACAAGACTTGATTGCGCTTCAGCAGCACCTCTCAAGATGCCAGGCACATACGCCTTGGAGCTATGCAATCCGTCGACCAAAAACGCCACTTTGTGATCATGTCTTCCAATGTGGACAAAGTTTAAAGTTTCTGAAAATAGCCCATCACCGGAGGTCCTTAATTTAAAGCATCCCTTAACGTGTACCATTCAACTATGACAGTCCCCCAAAGCATATCAGACTTTAACTGAAGCTAAAATCAAAACATCCTCATTTACATAACCACATTGTCGGACGAATACGCATAAAACGCCCCCCGGAAAGACATACAAAGTTGCAAGTCGCCCTTCCAAAAAGCAGTATCACCCATGCGCCGAGAAACAAGTCCACCACCAACGCTCCCTCCACCTGGCCCAGACGGCTACTACTACCTTCCTAGCGGGACTATCCCGCTAGGAATGATCCAAGGATGGTATTACCTTCCGTTCCATCTTACGCCCTTACAAATGGGGTTTGACGCCGTCCTTCTGGTGTTGAGTATGGTCAACATGGGATTGGGGTTCTTGTTCTGGAAATGCTCGAGGAAGGTCCCGGTGAGTGGTTGGTGTAGCTGTCGCTTGCGCACAAAATATGCATCTCTTTGCTCAATTATCGTTGTTTATCATTCTTCAATGAAAAATAGTGGACACCGGCTAAATGGCTGATTTTGAACATGGTCTTTATAGACTGGTTACAGACCATCTTCAATACCTTCTGGCTACAAGCTCCCACCATCTTTATTGGACATCATCTCGCAGGTACATATCATCCACCATCAATCATTTCGCTCTTCATTGTCAATCTCACTATCCACTGCAGGCCGCATAATGTGCCAGGTCATGGGCTTCGTAAGCACTGTCTGGGGTGCCGCCAGCCAACAAGCCGTCTTCCTGTTCACTCTCGAACGATACATTACCATCGTTCATGGGTTCTCATTCACTTTCAAGCATGTCCGAATGGCCATCATCAATGTATGGTTTTCGGCCATTATTCTGGGTATTTTTCCGTTTGCGGCGCAGAGACATGCCGCTGTGGCTCCTAGTGGGTTGTATTGTAATCCACCATGTGGGTTTGGTTTATTTATCAAGTTTTTTGATGGCGATGGTTGTTAATGTTTGTGATTTCTCGTAGGGAGCAATGGCGGGGATTGGGTCGGGATTTTTATAGGAGTGTGCGGTGTCGGGTTCATTGGAATGAACATGGTCGGCGTCGTATGGATGTATACAAGAATTTACGCCAAGTTTCAATCTACCAGCAAAGAAGTTGCAGCAGCGATGCGGGACACATTATCCCACACTAAATCGTACAAGTCCGCCGAAGCCACGGATGATGATGCTTCTTTTCCACGATGTGCATCGTCCCTCCCACCCCCAACCCTCACATCAACGGCACCGTCTACAAGCGGAATCGTGCATCCCACCCGATCCGTCATGGGCGCTCAGCTAGACCGATCCACCGAAACCCGAGATTTATCCTTCCGCCTCGCCATGCAATCTTTCATCATTATCATAACATATTTCTTGTCCATGTCCCCCATGTGGATATCGATAGGCATCCATCTATTTACGCAGATGCCGCCGCCTGCTTGGTGGGATTATGTCGCGATCACATCAGCGCATTTATACGCGGTTATGAACCCGGTGCTTTTCCTGACTTTGAACAAGCACTGGACTGTAGCGAGGACAGAGGTCCTGATGGAGTGGAGGGGGTGGATCAGAAAGGTGGCTGGGCGTTCGAGGGATGAAGCGTAGATGTTGGGACTGGAGCGTTGTGGTGTACAAAGTAGAATGTTAGTTTCGTGTTTATTTTTATTCCATTTGTTTATTTCTCTTCTTGCCCCCACAAGCTGTCTTCAGTTACCCCGCATTTGACGTCGCATCAAGCTTTCTCAAATGACGGATCAAACCCTTCAAGTCTGCTCCCATCTTTTCGAATCTATATATGCCCATTTCTAGCAAGCGGCTATCGTTGCCTATCTCAAACAATACGAAATCTCAAGTTACTCGAAAACAACGCCTGCAATGATCGACAACGTCTACCGCACAAACGTAATGGTCTACTTTCAAACACGCAAGAGTTTCTATACAGATAAACTTCAAGCGTCGATACGCAACAAGTCGTGTTCCTCTCACTTATCCTAATGTCCCTCAGTTTGGATGGATAAGCCACCTAAACTTACCGAAGGAATCTTTTGTTTAAATGCCAACCAGACACTGGTCATGTAGCGTGTCGGTCATTGCAGTTATTGTCAGTATCGCATGAAATCTCAAGATTGAAAATTCTCGAGTTGCGATCAGCGTGCGATCAAGTTCCTCTGAAGCGTTTTGAAAATACTGCAAAGTCAGGTTAGTTTGAACAACATTGTTGGAACCACTTTACATGTTGACCGTGCGCCCTCACTTGAAATTATGGGTCATCTGTATTGCCCAGTAGTTTGGTTGAAGATGAGTGTCGGGCGATATGGCCAAATTTTGCCTCAACACAAAGCCAAACAAGTTTCTTTGCTTGGCACTGTGAACCCTGAGATAAAGTTATGTATTAGTCTATGTGCAGGTACATGGATTTGCAGAGTCCCGATAGTGGGCAGGCCTCTCTGGGGTCAAGGCGGACTGAGTGTTATTCTGCAGTTTGACAGTGGAGGATTCAAGCTCATCAAAGAACGCTGGTGGTAAGTCATATGGGGATGGTTAGGATCAGTCTACAACAGTGAGCCATTCTCTACATTCAACCATACTCCCAGTCGTCTGGCGCTCAAATGACTGCAGTCAGGTTCCCATGGTCTACTCCGACCGCAGCAGATATATTGCAATAGATAGATACGTAAACAAAAATAAAAGGGTTGAAATTGGAAAACAGTCCTGGAAAACGTTGAGAAATGGTATATAAACAAAAGGAAAAGGGGAAGAGGGTAACATACAAACTGCAGGGAAACACTCGTCAAATTCTAACTATACGGGAAGGGAAAGAGGGATGAAAGGAATGCAAGAACCACTAACAGAACGGGGCCAGCCAAACTAAAGGCATTCCGCCATCAACGTGCAATTTATGAACGTTGACCGTTTGGACATCCTAGCTTAAATTCTCACGGAAACCGCATTCGCAAAATACAGCCTTGGACGCCGATACCCACGTGTGTTTGCAACAACAGCGACAACGAGAAACTTGAACAATTTTTACTGTCCAAAGTTGAAGCCGCCTTGTGGCACATTCATCTGGTTCGAGAAGGCAAATGTTCCAGTGCTTTGGTCGACCTCCGGCGCCATACCCGTCTCGTCATCTTCGTCGCTGAAATACTTGTCAATTATGTTGTACGCTTTCTTGTAGATTTCCGCATTGTCGTGAAGTTGCAACTGGTAAATTTTCTCGACACCAGTAGCTTCCTCAATATAGACTGCCATCTCGTTGGTGCCGGCATGCTCCATTCTTTCCAGTTCACCGACTTTGAGAATATTTTCCAAACCGTCCAATGCTACTTGAATAATCTTGTTGTCTCCGCATGTCAAAAGATCGCAAAGCGGCTTGATGCAACCCTGCTGCACAAGGTACCTGCGAAACAATACACGGTCAGAATACTATTCAAATCTGTACCACGTGAGAAAAAAAGAGCGTACTTGATCTGTTCCGGTTTCGATAAACCACCGGAAGTAGCGTTCGAAATCGCCCAGCAGGCTTCCTTCTTTGTCTTGAAGTCACCCCGCTGCAGAATGGCAATCAGAGGAGGGATGATGTTTGCATCGATGATTGACTGTATGGTCGCACAGGTTCAGTATATCAAGGTAAATTACCGTCACGGCGGCAAGGTGCAATGTACCTGAATTTGGGCAGCATTTCCGGCAGTAATGTTAGAGATTGTCCAGCAAGCTTCTTTCCTAATACCATCCTTTGGGCTCGTAAGAAGTCCAAGGAGTGCATGAAGAGCGCCGCAGTTGATAACGACTTGGGTCTGGACATCATCTCCAGTAACGATGTTGCCAACAGAGCGCAATGCAGGAGTTTGAACGGCGTAGGACGGATGGCTATATCGGGACCCATTAGTTTCCACCTTGTGCAACTCGCAATTCAATGTCCATACCCTAACAATTCCACAAGACGCCGGCACACACCGGATTCAATAACGGCCTGGATCTTTTCATTGGCGCCGTCCGAAAGATAGGATATGGCCCAGCAGGCATCCGTGAGGACTTCCTCGTCATTGGCATGAATCAGCTTTGCCAAAATGGGAAGGGCAGGAGCAATCTGCAAAGCACATAGTCAACGTTCCGTCCCTTTCATCCACTAAGACCTTCATGCGTACCTGAGACCAGTCCGGTTGAGGATTTTTGCCTCTGCAGAAGTTCGACAAAGTCCAGGTAGCATTGCGCAACATTGACAGCTTGTTGGTATTTTCGTTCAGGATGTTGAGCAAAGGGCGGAGGGCACCTTCTCTGAGAACAAAGTCGCGACAACGTGGGCTGTCCCCAGCAATATTTCCAAGAGCCCATACGGCCTAGTTTAATGATAGACACCGTTACAATTACAACAGGCTTCGGTCTTTTAACATGAGTAATAGGTACGTACCTGTTCCCTAACGTCAGGGTTGGGAGAGCTCAACAGTTCAACAAAAATCGGAACCGCGTTTGCATCCATTACTACTTGCGTCTGGTGAGACGATCCCGATGCAATATTGGTCAATGCCCAGGCAGCTTCGAACTAGGAAGAAGAGCTTCAGTTGGAATGCAAAAATAGGGAGGGCCTGATAAAGATATATTACCTGCAGCATAGGGTTTGTTGAACGGAGGAACTCAACAAACTTTGGAATAACACCGCAGGCGATGACTTCTTCAATCGGTGGGTTGCGTTCTACATGCCACTAGTTTGAGTGAAAGGATGTCGGAGCCATTCATAGTAAGGGTACGTACCCTTAGATAGTAACTTCCTGAAGCGAGCGGTGGACTGCAATTGTTCTTCCACATTGCCCGAAAAGACACCACGAACTCCTTGGCCCACAGTCTCCTGTAGCTAGCGATGAACATCAAAGATGATCAAAATTTTCGGCATACAGCGACATTCTATTAGAATAGACTGCTTACTTGGGCGTTTGTTTCCACGGACATACTTTCATCTTCAGACTCCGATTGGGCGCCGTTGAGCGCGGCAAGGTTCCTACGTTTAGCAAGAGACTCTTCCCTCTTCTGCTTTCTCAGTTCGACAGCCACATCCTCACGACGACGCCTCAGCTCATCCGACTTTAGAACACCACGGTTCTTGAACTGCTGCATACGGTGCTCTGGAATCTTTGCGGACATTCTGATAATTGCTGTTGGAAAACGTGGAGAAATGCGACAAATCTACACTGCAGAATAGGTGTATCCAGAAAGTATCATGGAAATAGGAAATCAAGTCGTTCGCAAGAGTAGCCAAAGTGGTCGACAAAAGTAAGGCGATGCCGGTGCGATGTGCGATGGCCAAGGAGAAAGAGACCAGAGATGAATGTGTGAATCAAGGGACTGCGCGCACTTCCAAAGCACACTCACCTGACTAAACAGTAGGGTTCTTGAGATGGAACGCGAATTAGCCCAACGATTGCGTGTACTGTCTTTTAGGCGTCGTCAACAAAGATGTTCAACGAGAAGGAAGAAAAAGTCCGTTGTGTGGGAACGACAGCGGCGGTGGGGTTGTCCGGAAGCGATGGCAAGCGTCTTTTTCGATTTTGCCAATTCGAGACACGAGTGCATGCTGTCAAAATGTGGCTGCAGTGACACTCGAATGCAGTACGGATGGAATGTGCGAGAACGCGTCGAGTTCGCGAAAGAGCGTTTCGCGACCTTTGCCTTTTGCCAAGGACCGCCACAAGCAATGGCATTGAACGACGAAGACACGTTGCGCAAGAGGAAGCCACAGGCAGGAGAGACCATTTCGTATGAGACATATGTCGCCACCCACCCTAACGTGCGCATATGAGAAAGTCTGTTAACATTCTGTTTTCATATGTACTAATAGACCTCTTTGTCTTCGAATAGAATTATGTAAATTTGGGAATTGACAGTGCAATTCAGTCCACGGCAAATATGTCAGCGCCGCCTACCTGTGCACCTGCCGCAGAAGCGTTTGCTCACCGACCAAGAGAAACCCCGTTGCCACAGACGAACTTGTATGTGGTAGTCGCGGTAACCCTCGTGGCCGGGTTGGTTCGCCTCTACCGTATATCGAACCCGAGTCAGGTAGCCTTGCAAGGATTCTAGCATCCCCTAATTCCACGGCAGTGGCTTATCTCCTATCTGTACTTCTTGTCGAAAACAGGTGGTCTTTGACGAGGTGCATTTTGGTAAGCATTAAGTTAGGTCCCTGTATGTTATAGTGTGAGTCCCGAAGCTCATGAGAGAGCTTTCTGCAGGTGGTTTCGCCAGCAAGTATATCCAAGGAAAATTCTTCATGGATGTGCACCCACCTGTACGTAAATCACAATGAACCGATCTGAATCAACACGATGGTTCTGATTCTGCGGTTTAGCTGGGCAAGCTGCTCATTGCGGCCAGTGCGGTTCTTGCAGGCTTCGATGGCTCATTCGATTTTAAGGCAAGAGACCGTTGCGGGTGGCCTTGTTGGCGGAAAAGATTAAACCAGAGGCCTCCCAACAGTCGATCGGATTGGACTACCTTGAACCAAAAGTTCCTTATGTAGCCATGCGGATGCTGCCCGGAATTCTTGGTGTTTTACTAGTGCCGGTGAGACCAGAAAGCCTAGTACGAGGATTAGGTTGCGCAGAGCATTGACTTTGTAGCCAGGTTGCCTACATGACGATGCGAAACCTACGGGTCTCCAATGTGGTGTCAATCATGACGGCAGTACTCCTCATTTTTGAGAATGGGTTGGCTTGCCAATCACGAGCGATCCTTTTGGTAAGAGCCCGATCGTGTTGGACGGTTTATTCCCCTCAGTTTTGCTTATCGATTCACAGGACTCTATTCTCCTATTCTTTATGGGTCTCGCTTTAATGACCTGGACGGATTTCCTCAATCTCCAAAAACAGTGGGTGCTCCTATTCTTGGTCACTATCCTGTCGCTGATGTAGTCACTGATATAATTCAGACCATTCTCTTTCGCTTGGTGGTTTTCACTAGCTAGCACAGGGCTCACTATGGGCTTGGCGGCCAGGTATGCAACCTCAATTGATTAGTAAAGTGCATCTGGGCTAAGTCATCCTCATCTGGCCCATTCATCTAAGTGTGAAGTGGGTTGGTGAGTTTCCCTTACGATCGGCGAGATACCTGAAACACCCGCTCCTTTTGTTTACGTGGAGGACTTCACTCATAGGCCTTTTTGTCATTGCAACCATCGGGTTTTCCACCATCGCGAACTTATGGGCGCTTTTAGGAGACCTGCGGGTCACACCGGTGCGCGGGAAACCTTAAGCTTTGCGGAGATGCGCAGTACGCGCTAACTCGGCTTCATCCTTAGGGACAATATGCGAAGCATTTCTTCGCCCGCGTGCTTTGTCTCATTATTGTGCCTATCGCCGTGTACATGACCGTATTTGGAATTCACTTCCTGGTGCTCACAAATACAGGCTCGGGTACCGCCTTCATGTCACCAGAGTTTCAGTCTACTCTGCGCGGCAGTGAGATCAAGGATACCTTTGCAGAGGTCGGATTCGGAGCGGATATTCTCATCCGCCATGAAAACACCAAAGGCGGGTATCTCCATTCTCACAAGCATTACTACCGTACGGGGTCGAAGCAGCAGCAGGTCACGTTATATTCATTTGCTGGTAAGAAATGCTTGAAATGGATTACAAGTCCAGAATTCCATTTGCAAACTCGCACTTCACTTTCTTCGGTAGATGACAACAGCCTGTTCCAAATTTTGCCGTAAGTTAGCGTAGGAATGCTCAGTTCCATAAACTACTATGACTGAAAGCGGAGTTCAGCGCGCTAGTGTACGAAAATGGCACCGCGCGATCCCCAGCAGTCACACAATTCCAGCCCATCAAGCATGGTGACATTGTTAGACTCGGTGCGATGCTGCCTGTCCTCTGTCAGTACAATGGCTTGGCACTAATTTGACGAGTGATATGCAGAACATGTGGCCAGCAACATGCGTCTACACAGTCATGAACATCGGTAAGTGCAGTCCTTGTCAGTTGGATCCTATGGTTCCCCGTCCCAAGACCCTCTGTAGTGCACCTGTTACGGATAATGAAGATCACTATGAAGTTTCGGCGTATGGTGCGCCTGGGTTTTTAGGTGACTCCAAGTGAGTTTCCAAATTTTGGAGAGTGCGAATTCATGGTCCATTGACCCAAGATTGTGCGACAGCGATCACTGGCGTGTGGAGCTTGTAGACTATGATGACAGCCATCCGCATCTGCTTGCAATCGAATCAAGATTCCGCCTCGTACATGTAAATCTTCATTGTACCTTGTTTTCGCGCGCTGTAAAGCTACCTGAGTGGGGTGAGTAAAATATTGCCTCATTTGATATCATACGATGAGATATTGACCTTGAAACAGGCTTTGGTCAGCAGGAGGTTACCTGCGCGAATCACAAGGGCCGGAAAGATTTGACATAGTATGTTGTACTCAGCGTACGAGCTCGCTTCAGCATACTAATATGATCCTATATCAGCTGGCGAATTGATCTAAATCAGAATCTTCTCCGTAAGTTCCTACATCAACCTGGATCGTTGAGATCCGTCACCAATGTTTTGATTGGCAATGATTTTACAGAGAATCCATTTAGTCGTCGAGCTTACTACAAGAAGCCCTCGTTTTTGTCAAAGTTTATAGAGGTTCGACTCGAGTCGGTCAATATGGCTGCATACTAAGACTGACCAATTGGCGCCCACTAGTCTCATAAAGTCATGTGGAAAATCAATGACGGATTGAATGGATACCATCCGTTCCAGTCACGGCCTGATTCTTGGCCTGTTCTTGGACGTGGAATCAGCTTTTGGAGTGCTAAAGAGGGTACAGGACAAATGTATCTTGTCGGAAACCCGTTCATCTGGTTTTCCGCCTTGGTCTCTCTTGGGCTGTACGTAACGATTGAATCCGTTGCTGCAATTCTCCAAAAGCGAGGACACCAAAGGACCGCCGGTAGCGTTGACTGTTGTTTTTTTTGTGATAACAATGAACATGTGGCTCATCTTCCGCCACTAGAATCTGTTGCCAAGACTGCTGGAGGCGGTGGACCTCTTCTTTTCTTGGGATGGGCTCTGCATTATTTCCCTTTCTTCCTTATGGGACGACAAGTAAGATCAAAACTTAGTATCCGCATTCTATATATTATCTGAACATGTTTGGTCAGCTGTTCCTTCATCACTACTTTCCTTCGTTCTATTTCTCAGTACTACTCTTGGGGTCATTGTTCGAAGGGGCAACTCGACGCTTCAATCACTTGTTTCGATCGTTTGCGGTACTCTGCATATGCACGGTTGCCATCTACGTCTACATCAACTACAGCCCGTTGACATACGGCATACCGATGTCTAAGGAGCACTGCAAGCGGCTAAAATGGCGACAGAGTTGGGACTGGGATTGCAAAAAACAATTAGGTATGTCGATTATTTTGAACCGTGACGGGAATTCATTTATCTATCTCTAATTGTGCCAAAGATGATCCGATAGAATAGATAAAGAGACATTGCAGCTCCCCATTGTCGGGAGACGAGAACCACCCTCTGCTCTAATATGCTCCACTGTATTAAAAAGTTGTCAAATACACAAACATCAGATCGTGCGCCGATCCACGTCCCCGGAGCTCATACCTTGAACATTGGCAGGATCGTCGAGTGCGACAGATCCATATGGTTGAGCCTGGATCTTCAAAACGGCAAAATACCGTGCAGTGCAAACGATCAAGGAGCCCACGCACGGCAATAGAAACAGACGATCAAACACACTGATCCCTCTGCTGCTCTGGGGGTTTTGTCTGACGTTCACCGTATTCGGGTCCTTCACATCAAGATGCGGTATATTCCTAATCCCGCAAATACTTGGGCAGCAAGGGCAATGGCGTGAGAAGGCAGAGGAAAGGATACCTGTCTATTATACCTCCAAAGGGTAGATCTCACCTGCTCCCATCCCACCTAACAATGCACGATGTCTCCTTGCACGTCGTATGGCCTCTCTGGTAGCTGATTCGGAGGGCGGCACGATAATCTTGCTTCGTTCATAAAGAACATAAGCGGAGACGCCTACTGCCGTGGCTGTCCCAGTCAAACGGCACGCAAGGCAATCTTGCGGTGTATCTAAAGCAGTCTAAAACAAAGGTGAATGGTCGACTTTTGTAGTGCCATTCCAGCAGTCATGATATTCGTCTACACTACAGCCCCAGCGCTTTATAGCAGCGCCCCTCCCTTCTGTGAAATGCAACTCACCTCTTTTTGTGGCATCGACACAAGTTTTGGGTTGTCTTCTGCCAAGTGCAAAGACGCGTCCAGCACCGGAAAGCTGACTGGGCTTTGTATTTAATACAACGGAAACAATGCAAACCGACAGCAAATGATGCCAGACACCCGCAGAGATCACTGGACAGGCGAGACAGACCGACGACTGCCTGCGTAAGGGTGTTTGTTTACATTGATGTCATAGACATTTTGTGCAGAATCGCTAAGTTGACTCTACTCCTGATGTCGCCAATGCAGTTCCCACCCACTATCACTCTCGACAGGTTCTGTGCACTCGGCGGCGTCGTCGACCCCTGCTTCGGACGATGCTTTTATAAGGCAGGGTAGTTCAGGAGCCTCGCGCAGATCTTCAGTCAACACCCAGACAGCAAACCGAGAATACGAGAATGGTTCAGCGGAGGCATTTGAGGAAGGGGAGGAGAATCGAGTTATATATGAGGATTTTACGACTATCGGTGGGAGAAGAAGCAGTTATCTTTTGCGTAAATGCATCCTGACGAGCCACCTGACCTTGTAGACTGGATGAAGGATCTCATGCGGGACCACCGACGACAGAACAGAGTGCGAGCTCGCCATCGACCTGGTTGGGACTGGTATCTGTACACATTATTTGATGCTACACAGTCCTGGATATTAGTCTCTATAATAGGTGGAGATCATGGTCGTTGAGCGCCCAGATTCTTTTGCAGACAGAGCGCTCATTTGTGTGCATACATCAGGCATATCGATTGGTTTACTAGCTGGTTGGATTGACGTGATTGCAGCTTGGCTTGGGGATATTAGGTTTGGATTTTGCAGGTTGGAATGGCACGTCAGTAAAAGCATTTGCTGCACAGGACAGTTTGATAAAGGTAGGAGCCGGTAAGCAATTCACTATCGAACATGTTGTTGGATTCTGATCCTCCTGTTAGATGGTTCATGCGATGACTGGTGGGACTGGAGTTACGTTGTCTTTGGATGGCGAAACCTTGCCTTCGTCAATTGGTTCTTTTACGTGGGACTTTCGGTTAGTCTAGCCCAGGCATATATTTTTTTCAACCCGATCTCAATCATTGCGGCCCCCTTTGGTTGCCAGGTTGCCTTTGCCACAGCTTGCGCTTTTGTGGTTATTCATTTGGCCCCTTACGCTGCGGGATCTGGGTCTGCTGAAGTCAAGACGATCCTTGGCGGATTTATCATAAAGGGGTTTCTGGGAATTAGAACTTTGATCGTCAAGGCAGCAGGACTGGTAAGTGGTGCGCATGGCGATGGGAAAGTGACAATTGCCGACATTTCTAAATGGGATCTCAGCCATTGATGGTAGCGTCAGGGCTAGCGGTCGGAAAAGAAGGGCCAATGATTCATGTCGCTTGCTGTGTGGCCAATGTGTTCCCGAGAATGTTTCCAAAGTATTGGCAAAATGAAGGTATGTGCTTTCCAGCCATGATGGTGCGTCTTCAATGCTAACAAACCCTTTGGAAAATACCGCGAAGCCAGGAAGCGGGAGATTTTGTCAGGTAAGGAGAACATGGCAACTTGAGCAATTCCCTGTAAAACAGATACTGTATGCTAATGGTATCCGGCATACAGCGGCGTCGGGAGCCGGGATCGCCGTTGCTTTTGGTGGTAAGACTTTTCAATGAATCCCTGAGTCGTAAGCATGATGGAGTGCTCATGTATCCTCAAGCACCGATTGGCGGCGTCCTATTCTCATTGGAGGTGATACTCTCTCATCTAAGACCACAATTCTTAACTAAATTATAACTGATCGTTATCATTAACTAAGGAATTGAGCTCGTTTTTCCCGGCGAAAACCATGGTCCGTAGCTTTTTTTGCGCCCTAGTCGCTACTGTCACTTTGCAGGTGCCTATTCCCGTCATTTTCCAGTTATATTTGATTGAATCCGAGTCTGACCGTGGTCTAGCTCGTGGACCCCTATCGCGGAAAACGCGTCTTGTACCAAGTCACGTATTCACGTCGATGGCACTTTTTCGAGATGATCTTTTTTATTCTTCTTGGGGTTTTCGGGGTACGTCATATGTCTTATAGACGATCGATGGGGAGAAAGCTCATACTGGGATATCATCAGGGCCTGTTAGGAGTCTTGCTGATTCGCGCGATTCGGCGAATGCAAGCTTTTCGGAAAAGTTCATGGTTAAAGCAAAATCCTCTCAGAGAAGTGGCGTCGATCGCGGCAGTGACTGCGGTGTTATGTTACTTCAACATATATACTAGGTAGGTTATGTCGCGTTTTTACGAACGGCAATACTCTCCCCGGCGGTTTATAACGGGTTCTTCTGAGTTAGAGTTGATAGTTCCGATCTTCTCGAAGGACTATTCCGTGAATGCGAAGAAGCTGACTTCCATGGGCTGTGCGAGTAAGAACTTCGTGATGACCAGCATAGTTGGTCGGAGGCTAAATCGCGCCTGTAGTCGAGCAGGACGAGGGAGAGTGGTCGCTCTTCTCATCACTGCATTGCTGATGAGGACAGTCTTGACGATTGTCACTTTTGGCGTCAAGGTAGTGTTGATAGATTTAATATGTGCGACAACCGTTTTGTTGACTTCCGTTCTTCAAGGTGCCCGCCGGAATCTTGTGAGTGAATTTCCTTCCGCTCCTTTAATGTCGAACGCACTTGCTCTGACATGCTTGTGCTAGCATTCCATCGATGATTTGCGGCGCTTTGTTCGGCCGCATCCTGGGGATCATTGTTCAGTCTTGGCAGAAGTAAGTTTTACCGGTGTCGTCATTTTGCTAATTTAGCGCGGCACTTAGAAAAAATCCTTTTAAGGGCCAACCCTAGCAATCCATTGTTCTATTCGTGTGAGCCAGATGTGGCGTGTGTCACTCCCGGGGTGTATGCGCTTTTAGGAGCTATCGGGGCTCTCGGAGGAGTGACAAGGATGACTAGTATGTGCCCCCATTTAGTTCTCGAGATCAAACATGGCGCATTCTGACATCTCGCCACCTCCGTCGACCAACGAAGTCTCGTTGACAGTTGTCATGTTTGAATTAACGGGAACCTTAAATTACATCGTCCCCTGCATGGTCACGCTTATGACAGCAAAGGTTGTGGGAGACTTGTTTGGAAAAGGTGGAATAGCCGAAATGCAGATTCGCATGAACAAGTATCCTTTCCTAGATCCCCGTCAAGATCAAGTCATTGGGCTTACGGCATCCGAAGTTATGACGCCTGCCGAGGAGCTGGTCTGTTTCGTGGGCAAGGGGTTGAAAGTAGAAGACGTAGGTGAGTGCTCGAGCATGGTCATGACCAAGATCTGCTCTTAGGACAAATCCAATGCAAATCTCTTCCGCAGAACGGGCGCTAGAGCAAGTGAAATATAAAGGGTTTCCAATTGTGCACAGTGTCGACGATCCCACGTTGGTTGGCTACCTATCTCGGGAAGATCTGAAATACGCATTAGGTATTACATGTCCCTATGTCGAATTTTTACGGAAATCCTACGGTAACACTCGATGACCCTCGTAGATAAGGCCAAGTCTCAACATACCATTAGTCCCAAAGCGCCGGTCTTCTTCGACGATACAGACAGCCTCGCATCCCGCCCTCCATGGCAACGTGCTCATTCTGGCTTTACCGTCGCTGAGAGCATTGTATCGCCCGTATTAGTGCGAGGAAGCTCTACAAGATCGCTTGATGGACAAGATGGAGATCGATGGCTACATTTGACAGGTTATATCGACCGGGTATGCTATGCTATGATTGCTGGCTACATTTTGCATATTTGTTGTGAGTGCAGAATCTAACTCCAGAAACAAAATATAGACTCCCTTGCAAGTGCATCCGAAGGTGTCAGTGGAGTTGGTCATGGTATGGGGAGTCTGTTAGACCCGCCCTTGCTTTGTAACACTGATGTTGGTTGTCCCTAGGATTTATTCAAGAAACTGGGGCTGCGGTACATCCTGGTAGTGCACATGGGCCGCCTCAAAGGGATTATAACCAAGAAAGACATCTTGATAGCAATGTATGGGGAGGATGAGAACGGAGGAGATTCCACTGCATCGATACCCATAGCAGATAGAGATGATTCTGGGCGATCAACACCGACAAGGCGCGGCGGGACCGCGGGGCAGTTTACAAGAGCACGCCGACTACGACGCGCAAGTGGGGGACCTTTCGGCAGTCAAGAATGGGCAGGAGGCGGAGCATCTGGAGAAACTCTGCCTCTGGTGGGAGTCGGGTCAGGAACAGATCGTGGAGATCCGGGGCAGGATATCATTGAATGATTCGAAAGTCTGTAATAATTGTATGATATATGCACAAAGGAAGAGGGCCACAGCTGCTACTTATACATATTGGACTCCACGTCTCTATGACTTTTGTCTGAGCCAAAACAATGAGCAATTGTCAGCTTTGCGAGCCAACTGAACTGCCGTGAAGTTCCAACTTACTTTTTTGCTTGATCTCGGGCCGCTTTGATTAATGGCACCAAATTTCGTAATGGATCGGCACTCTGCAAAAAAGGGTGCTACAGACGTAACAAGCATGCATTAAAATCTTTGCTCATATACTCCGACAATTGGAAAACGGATTTGGCCCTAATTCTTACCTTAAGAAGCTCGACGCTATTCGGCCGCTTTTCGGCATCGACCTCTAAGGAAACTCTCAAGAAATCTCTGAAAACCGGACTCAAATTTTCCGGGTTTTGCAAAGCGGGCGTTCCATTTGTTGCAATCAAATACAAGGCTCGCAAAGGATTCTCGTTCAGATATGGTGGTTCCCCTTCTACCATTTCGATGGCCATAATCCCCAAAGACCATATATCGACTTTGGGTCCATATTCCTTACGCGTTACGACCTCTGGTGCCATCCAATAAGGCGTCCCAACCATGGTGGTTCGCTTTGCTTGATCTTCGTTGAGTTGCGCGCAGAACCCGAAATCGGCTGTAAGGAAAAGGGCAATCAGTTAGTGTACAGGGAATGTCAAAGCAGCAGAAAAAAAAAACATACTCAGTTTAATTTGCCCATCCAAGCCGAGTAGCACGTTGTCGCTCTTGATATCTCTGTGGATAACACCTTTAGAGTGTAGGTGTGCAAGGCCTTCAAGAGTCTGGAAAACGAGAGGATGTCAGAGTTGCGGCGCATCCTTGACCATGGAGGGAAACTGAGACTTAGCCGCACCTCTTTGCAAACGGCAGCAATTTGGCCTTCAGTCATGAAGTTACTAGTCACGCAGTCGGTCAGAGATCCTCCTTCCATGTACTCCATGACAACCTATATTCGATCGCTGTATGAGTACAACAGAAGTTGCTGAGTTAAGAGGTGAGACCTACCCATAAATCGCCTTTCCACAAAAAGCTGTCAATGTAATTGACAATGTTTTTGTGTCGCGAATCCTTCATTACAAGGATCTCATTGATAATGAGGTCCTTTTTGGGTTGCTGCTCCAGATTCATTTGTTTAATTGCCACAGCACTATTCGAGCCCACTTGATATGCCGTAAAGACTCCTCCGGACGCTCTACAGGTAAATCTTTGTAAGGCCACGATCAAACATATAGCATTCATGGAAACGGGATGCTGACCCTTGTCCGATCTTCACCAAGTTTCGGTATAGCTTCGTCGGATCGGCCTGGTTACATATTGCCGTCAAGCGATCGATCACGTCGTCGGTTGTAGTTGTCGCTCTTTGTCGCGGTGGTCGTCCAACCGGCTTTGGTAGTGCTTCCTCCTCGGCTTCCGCCTCATCTTTCCTCCGGGGTAGGGGAGGTGAATGCACCTTACCATTTCCAACACTACCAGCACTGATTTTGGCGCCAGCAGGTACGACTGGTATAGTGTCTAGTGCTGGCTTTGGTGGGGCTTTCTTGACAGGTTTGGGTGAGGTGCGCGCTGACGAGGTTTGGGCAACTTGCTCGAACTGCTGCATTCGTTGTGCTACGGTACCTCGCTCAGGTTTAACGTCAAGAGGAGGCTCAATCACAGAGTCTGTATTGCCTATTTATGAATTAATTGTAAGAATGTCAGTTACCGGTTGATCGTTGATGTCGACGAAGACTTACGGGTGGGTTTAGGGGGAGGAATGCCTGATACCGAAGGGGGCCTCTCAGGTGCAATTGGTCTGATGTCCGTGGAATATATACTAAGTGTATGAGCGGGTCTGGCAGGGACAGGAGGTCTTCGCTTGGGTTCAGCGGTGTCCTTGGCCGGTAACTTTTGGCGAGTATTAAGTTTGGGACTGCCTTCCGGACTCGACTTCGGGGACGTGCCTGGGCTCTTGGCGCCAGCCATTCCACCCTTTCGAAGTTGAGGATTTGCTTGTTGTGCGTAAGGATTGTTGAACTTCGACCACACGTATTGGTCGCTCATCTTCGTCCCCCCTGACGTTTCAGAGTAGAATCCAATGATATCAATCACGGCCTGTGGGTTTGCTTGCTGCTCTGACTTGGAGATGCCTGCTTCCTGCAGAAGAATTTGCCATTCTTTTGGCAAGCCCTTTTTTTTTGTCAACTAATGTACATCAACCGAAAAAGATGTTCCAAGATGCTCACTGTAAATTCCCCAGTTTCCTGGTTATATCCCACATGGGTGAGGTGTACTGGGTTGTACGGCGAAGAGATTTCCATTCTGGTATCGTTGGAAAACATTCCTGTAGTTTCAAGTTATTGACGTGCTCAGCATTTTCTGCAGGAGGGAGCCAACATCGGTACCTTGTACAGAGCTCACAAAGTTATTCAAAAGACCTTTCATTCCACTGCCTTTGATCGCATCCTTCTCCGCAGACGTCCCCACCGAAGGGGATGTAGTAGCCAGAGATTGTGCAGTTGCTGTTGGAATTAATGTGTACTCTAACGAGTTACCCGAAAGCGGCGTTCCGGACATTCCTGTACCGATTCCTTCTGTTGAGCCACTTCGATTCATTGGCGTGGGGAACTTTGGGCCACGTAAATGTGTTGAAGTCGCTCCGGCAGAATGAGGAGGTGATGGGCGGGCAGGTGCTTTGCGGATTCGTTGCTGTTGAGGCGAGGAAGGAGCACTGGGTGAAGAGGACTGGGGAGGTGAGTGAGTGTCGTTAGCGGACCGGTGAGACGAGATGCTCGTCATAGATTGGCTCTTGGCAATTTCGCTTTTGGCAATGGAAGGTCGCGGCGGTACTACAGGACGGTAGTTTGGCGCGTTAGCGGATGCCAACGAACCCGGGGTACTAGACTTCGGAACAGTTGCAGAACGCTGTACAGCGGTATTCCCACTATCCATAGCAAATCCATAGTAAAGTCAGTGATGCAGCATGAGACGTCTGCACGACAGGATGGCACCCACCTGCCTCCGGATATACTCCCCAGGTTCGAAGATGTGCCTGACTGCTGTTCTTTAGGACGAGGCGGCAGTATCGAGTTGGAACGAGATGCAGGATTGCTCATGGCGGCGTGCCGCAAAGTTTTTCATAACCTTTTGTCGCAAAGTTGAAGGTCCCGGTGTTCTGATAGGCCCAGCAATGGAACCTGGTAGTTACTACCGATACGATTAAAAATATAGGAATGTTTTGTGGTTGTTTGCAGAGGAATCGCCGCTTTCGTCCCCTCAAATATTCAACGCTCACACACAATCGAGAAAATAGTGACTATATAGGCGTCACAACTGAACTCCAACGAAACCGAAACTGAGAGTGCTAGCGAGCACCGTACAAGGGCAGCCGGTCCGTTGCAAAGAATTTAAAAATGGGCAAAATGGGGGAAGGTGATGAGGGCTCGTTGGACTCGACTGTCGAACTTCCGGTCATTGTGTGCGTACCCTTTGTGTTACTTGCATCACGTGCTTAGCTTATGTAAGTGATGAAGGTGATCGTTCGTTCTTCTCGTCGTCGTTTTCCTACCCAGTGCAGGAGAGCATTAACGACTTTGTGACTGTGGCCTTGTATTCTACTATACTGTACATATGAAATTGCGCTGGCTGTTTCCTCTATAGTGAAGTCCATCTTACAAAAAATAACATTGCCGCATCTTCCTCTTTGGTTTGTTGGCAAGCTTAGCAGCTGCAACAAACAGCTCGTGCACACCTTCCCCCGTTCGTGCCGAAGTCTCAAAATACTTTGCTGCTTGAATTTCATGCGAGAGCTTCAGGCCTTCTTCATATGTGACTGGATGTGTCCCCATCCTTGCCAGGTCTGCAACCATCTCTGGCTGGTGCCGCAAATCCATCTTTGTTCCAACAAGGATTCGAGGGACATTGTGAAGAAAGTGATGAGTTTCAGGATGCCACTGTATACATGTATAAGATCCAACGTCAATATTAATCTTTGAGAGTGACGAGTTCATCGATGTTTCCTCACCTTTTCCCGGATTCCTTCGTAACTGTCTCGGTTGGTCACATCAAAGGCAAGTAAAACCTATGGATATCAAAGAAACATCTCAAATTTTAGGAGATCTTCCTGGGCTTTCTGATGGACCAATGTATTGCGACCTACCACATCGGTGTCTGGGTAGCTCAATGGTCGCAAACGATCGTAATCCTCCTGTCCCGCTGTATCCTATGAGGGCGCAGGTTGCCTGTCACTCAACTGGCGGCCATGCTCTGCAGCAATGCTATAAGGTCTCGATGCTTACCCATAAGCTCAATTCATACAATCTGTCTTTGGAGATGCACACTCTTGAAATGTAATTTTCAAAAATGGTGGGTACTGCACGATATGATCAGTTTCGGCTGGCTGTCCCCCACCATACGGACTTGGACTTACCGTATGCTTCCGGGAAAGGTTCACCAGACTGAACCATGAGCAATGATGTCTTCCCGCAAGCACCATCTCCCACGATCACGAGCTTCTTACGGTGCTTTCGAAGGGAATTGTCCATCACGTTGTATCTGTTCATTATACTGTAACCTTGTTAAACAGCGGCGACAGTTTGCTTGACAAAAATAAATTGGTCACAAAGATATTTGGAGATGAGGACCGGCAGTGCAAAAGACATCGAACTAGTGACCCAACTGGCCCTCAACGGGCCAGCTTATCTGATTAATACTCGGGCCATACATCAGCAATAAAAACAAGATTCTTTTGTGTATACATCTACAAAAGCCAGGTCATGCCGTTACATAAATGGTTGCTATCTCAGTACAAATATATCTACATTATTGATGTCACTGGAAGGCTACTGTTGCTTTGCTAGATTCAACCTTTCCTCCTGAACCAACAAATCCAGTACCTTGTGTATTGACGAATTACAGCTGGGTTCAGGTGTCAAAAGAATTGCACTGACTTGACAAGAAGCCTTACCTTCTCCACTCAGTTCAACAATATCCTTCTCTTTGCATTTCACTTCACATTGATGGCACTTTCGGGTTGGTTTTACAAACCTGCTGCAGCAGCCCTTACAAAATGTATGTCCACAGGTTTTGAGCACTTTCCAGGGTAAAGGTTGCAGGCAGTCAATAAAGGTAGAAATGACTCGGATTCCTCATCACCGCATGTTGACCATACCTACTATCTTGGACCCGTTCGTAAATGTCTTCAAGCATGCCGGACAGATATATTGATCTTCATTTCCTTTTGCCAGTGTGAATTTGACTTCAACGAGCTTCTTAACTCTGCATTTAACAGCGCCGACTCCTCCATTATTATCTAGGGGACAACAAGAAGAAAGACGGAGACTTACGTTACTGGATGATGCTTTTCACTAGCGGTGCACACGGTTTCCATTTTCGGAGCTTGTATTATGAGTGGTTTAGCATCGGGCGTTAATGACGGTATCCAAAAACTTGGAAGGCTTTTGTCTTTTGACTGCTCCTATATTATAGCGCTTTGTGCTAAGAAGTTTTAGGGTGGACCAGAGTTGAAACCAGACACCTACCATTGGCTTTTTAGTCCCCACTTCCCCAGAGGCATTTCGAGGATTACGTCCCTCACTATCATAGGTGTAGACAGTCCCCTCAGCCGTTGTAACAGGCGTATACACTACAAGCAATTATTCCAACTTTTAAGTTAGTCGCCCTGATGTCCAGGCGGTTCCCAGTTGACGGTGATATCATACCTTTGCCGCCTAGCAGTTTTTTGCCTTCTCCGATGTCTGTCGCCTCTCGCATCATTGACGGGAGGAATTGTGTTTGTGTTTGCTCAAACATAGTGAGCTCAGCTTCTTTCGCTGCCAGTTCCGTCTGACGCCGACTCTCCTACACCAATTGTTAAAGGCTAAACCCCTCCAGTATCGGACAAGGATGAACTCCTATTACTTCCTGCTGCTCCTGTTGCTCCTTGTATAACTTGAATTGGCGAGCGAGCTCCTTCTTCTGAGACAGAATATTTTCGTACATGCATTCCTAAAGGAAGAACGCATACGCAGTAGGGAATTTAGCAAAGGTCACTGCTTCCCGAGACTAGCAGAAAAGAAATCGTGATAAATCGCACCTTGCAAGACAAATGACCTTCAGTGCTACCGCAGGAAGGGAGAGGTCTGAGCAAATTGCAGTTCACCAGGCGACCCAGCTCAGAATGCTCACCAACAGAGGGGCTCTCGCGCCCGCTGCAAACAAAGGAAACAAGCATCGAAATTTCGCATGGAATCCCTGCCAAGACGTTGCTAGCCGCCCATGCAGGTTAAGACTCTTTTAGTAATTTTAGTCGGTGTGCTTAACTTTACCTTTTGGGTTCCATAATTTAACTTTGCCTTCTCCGCCTGCGTGAAGAAGGCAAGAGCAGTATTGTTCTTCGAATGCCTTTCTCAAGTAGCCCAATTAAACGGCATGCATTAACGGTTTGAAGATACTCCTTAGATCAGTTACCTCGACATTTGGAAATCGTTTTAAGATCTTGTCACCAGAGGTCCAAGGTAGATGCTTAGTTTTCGTCGCGCGTTAACCAACGATTATGTAACAACCACATCCCGACAAGTAGTTGCAAAGCTTTCCTTCTTGTCACCACGGGTCACTATGACATCTTATGGACCCCGCACATCGCTTCCTCCGGGTACTGCCTACCCCGGAGCTGCTGGAGGAGCCGCTCCAGCTGGCATGTATCAGATTCCGGAGGGGAAATCCACGACTACCATCTACTCCTTCATTCGCGATGGGCGATATACGGACGTCATCAAGCTCTTGAGCAACGAACTAAATTCCTTTCCGGAAAGTCGTCCAATTCTTAGCTTAATGGCATACTGCTATTTCATGCTGCAAGATTTTCAAGAAGCCGCGAATTGGTATGCTGTACAGCACGTTGAGGGCTTTCATGGCGTTTATAAACGTGCTCATGTGCAGTCCTTCCTGTGAAACTACTATTACAAAGCTACGAACAGCTTTCAAAATTTCATCCCGAGGTTGATGTGTACCGGCTGTACCACGCGCAAAGTTTGTACAAGGCCGGCTTGTATGATGAAGCACTCAAAGCGTCCGCCACTGTCGAAACAGGTGAATTTGGGGTCAAGGTATGAATGGCTTTCACCAGAAGTGAGCTACACAACTAAGAGATTCATATGTTAACGGTAACCCTCTCAAATGGCGGGTGACTACATTAGGTGCTTAAACTACAAGCAGCTATAAAGTATTGCACTAACGATCTGGGGGAGTGCAAGATCTTAAACGAACATAGTCCAGCAGATGACGCGGACAGCATTGTAAATCATGCCAGTCTCTTATTCAAAGTAATGTGCATCGACGATGTGTTTGAACTTGAAACTTCCCATCTGACTTACATATCCAAGGAAGGCAAATATGAAGATGCATGTGCACAGTATCTGGACGCGATGAAAATGATAGGATATCAAGCGGAACTCTCCTACTATGTAGCATTATGCCACTACATGCTGAAGCAATATGTGCCTGCACTGAAGTACATTGCCGATATAATTGAGCGAGGTATTCGAGAACATCCTGGTAGGTTTGGCTGTATATTTCCACTGTCTGGTATCATTCCATTGCAGGCTGATTATACGGTCGCTTCAAGAGCTCAGCGTTGGGATGGCCACCGAAGGCATTGAAGTTCGCAGTGTTGGCAACTCGCAGATTTTGCATGAGACCTACTTGATCGAAGCCTTCAATCTAAAAGCTGCCATTGAATATCATTTGAAGAATCGTACGTGCTGCTTTGTCAATGATTTACATTGATAAGTTTTAACGCTATAAGTTGGACATGGAATCAGTTGATGCAGCCAGAGAAGCCTTGACAGACATGCCGCCGCGACACGAGCAGGAGCTGGATCCGGTTACTCTGCATAATCAAGCCCTCATGAACATGGAGGACGATCCGACAGGAGGTTTCGAAAAGTTGAATTTCTTGTTGCAACAGGAGCCCTCTCCGCCAGAAGCCTTTGGCAACCTACTACTTCTCTACATCAAATATCAGTACATCGACCTTGCCGCCGATTTGATGGCAGAGAATCCACAATTAGCGTCCTCGACTTTGGAACCGGTAGGTTATTAGGGCTGTGGTATAGAATTACGTTAAGCCCAACTGATAATGGTTGATAGTACCTTTACGAGTTTGTCGAGGCCACTTTACTGCGCCAATCATCTGCCGAAGAAGCCTACAACAGATTCGATGATCTCGCAACCAAGCACGCAGATATTTTGCGTAAGTTGACCAGACAAGTGCAGGAGGCAAGGCAGAATCATGATGAAGAAGCTGTTAAGAGGGTCGTGAATGAATATGATGATGCCGTGGAAAGGTAAACCATTCGAGTGATGCGGGCAGGGTTACAGCGGAATAATCTCCCTTCCACTGTAGATATATTCCGGTCTTAATGGCACAGGCCAAGATCTATTGGGATCGTGAGAACTATCATATGGTGGAAAAGATCTTTCGGAAGAGCGTTGAATTTTGCAACGAGCACGACATATGGAAACTCAATGTGGCTCATGTGCTGTTCATGCAAGAGAGTAAATACAAGGAAGCCATCTCTTTCTATGAACCAATAGTGAAGAAGCAGTATGACAACGTAAGTTGAGAGCTCTACCCGACTCCCAGTGAAGGACAGGCCGTTCATTTACTACGTATATTCAGATTTTGAGTGTTACGGCAATCGTCCTTGCCAACCTTTGCGTTTCTTACATCATGACCTCCCAAAATGAGGAAGCGGAGGAGCTAATGCGAAAAATCGAGAAGGAGGAGGAACGTCTTGCTTATGATGACCCTTCAAAACGAACCTATCATCTCTGTATTGTCAACTTGGTGATTGGTACTTTGTACTGTGCGAAAGGGAACTACGAATTTGGGATAAGTAGGATTATGAAGAGCTTAGAACCATTTAACAAGAAGGTCAGTATCAATAGATCAAAATGCAAGCCTATCCGTGTCATTAATCGATTTGACATCTTTCCTTGCATCACGTAGTTGGGAACGGATACTTGGTACTATGCGAAACGCTGCTTTACCTCTCTGTTCGAGATGCTGGCAAAACATATGATATTGCTCAAAGACTCCGTGTTTCAAGAAGCCCTCCAATTTTTCGATAATTGCGAGCTTCATGGTCGACAGATTCCGACCGTTGTAAATCCATCAGCACCAGCTTCTCCTGGCACTGCTGCAGTGGGAAGACCAGATGCAACTAGTTCAGCTCGGACACGTGATGCTGCGAAGAACAACGTCAGTAGCGAGGCACGGCTTCTTAAAAGCCTGTATTTAAGACTGTACGAGTGAACTGTAATGAATATTGTAAAAAGTCTCAGAGCATATCTAATATTGAGGTGGAAAGAAATCCCAGCAGTTTGCCGAAAGCCAACTGCAGTACATTGATTATCCAGCTATGTACATGGTGTGCAATTATCTACAAATGGCAAAAAGAACATGGTGTGGTTGTTTCTACTCGCCCACCGAGGAATCAACAGCTATACCACCGAACGACTCATTTGGCGCACTCTACCGTACGTCCATTTCCATCTGATCGTGCCCGCCACACAATGTCATCAAGGATATCCTTGGCGATTTTACTAGCTGCTAGCTGTACTGAACGTTTCTTGAATCTTACCCCGACCGATTCCGGACTTTCATCAGCCAGAGCAGCACTCAAATGGTGCACCGCTACATCGTAGAGGAAAGGTGTTGATGACGATGTAACCTTGCCACTCGCAAGAGCACTTGCATACAACAGCAAAACTCTCTCCTCAGTTTCATACGGATAGTAAAATTGTGCCGCATCGTCTGCCGTTGGCAGTTGCGACTTCTCCATCGTAAAGAGGTGTAACAGTTCCCTCAAATGGTCCCAAAAGAGCTCGCGATAGTCGGAAGGGTAATGCATGGCCAGAGGTAAAAGCAGGTAACGGGCAAAGACCTCATCACCAAACGACACAGCACTATAGTGCTCCACCAACTCCTGATACAGCTGGAAAAACTTCCCGCTACCACCACATGCCTCGTCGAGTTCCGAATCATTCCACCTGTGAGAACGTGTTCCGTAACGTAACAGCCCAGATGACAACAACTTATTAATATCGGTACGCCTAAACATCTCCTCATCGGTGGACGAAGGTAGCAGGAAAATGCACATCAAGCGAGCGATCTTGACTGGGTCCGGCAACCTTGTCATATACCATTGCGGTCGCACAATTCGGTCGACCCTTTCCCCTAACGCTAAACATTCTGCAACCAAATCATTCGCGTCTTCTCTGTTCTTCTGTTCCCTCTTGGCTCCAATTAGGAGGTGTCCAAACTTCTTCGACTCAGCGAGCAGAAGGCCGAATGGAGACATTATCCAATCCAGTCGCACAGGCAAGGACGCGTTACCCTCCTGCTCATCTAATATGAGGGAATCCAGGCCCCGCGCCTCGCGCCCAAACAGTCCTTCCGACCGTTTTAGAGAGGCGTTATCATAGAGGCCGTAATCGAGAAACTCCTGCAAACGTTGTGGTGCAAGCTCCTGGGTTTCCACTTGCACTAGGGATTCATCCATCGCAATAAGGGTATTCTGGACGCGCGGATGCAATATAAACCTGTTTAGAAGCTTTGAAGCTACGCATTCTTCGCCGGGCAGGAGTTCCGGAAGTGCTGCGAGGGCTACCGCACAGCCGTATATTCCATCCATGGAATAGTTTACAGTTCCGTGTGACTGGAGGATCTCAGAAGCAAGAAGCCAAGAGCACAGGAGCATCCCCCTACCCGGCAGAAACCATCGAAGGATATCGCTATGCACAGCGATACGGTCGAGCGACTCAGCAGTTCCAGTGACCCAACCAAGTACTTGATCAGTGCTTAATTGTTCAGATACGAATTCATCCCACTCGCGGCCGATACCTACAAATGATGAGCACAAAGTCATGAGGGAGCAACCGTACTCAAAGTACGCATTAAGCTCAAGCATGGCGGTTGCAATTGAAGTGCGTGGCTTATTTTGCAACCCAACCAAATGTTGTCCTAGGGGTGGAGTGGCGACAGGCACTTGGTTTGCGATAACTTCAATGGAAGACCTAGCGACGCTGAAATTCGGCATTGGTGTGCATCGGATATAGTCCATGATACTCGTCGCCTCTTGTATAAAATTAAACCCGTCATCAGTTGGATCCGCCAAAACCTGCTTCCCATACAGCGCCAACATGTCGAAAGCCGCAGAATGAAGAAGATTGCCGCTGGCGTTCCGTTCCCTTTGGCCTGCGAGAACTTTTTTAAGCACCAAATCTGCAAAAGGCCGCAGAGCATGGTTCGGCGGACAAGTATCTGACATTCCTTCAGCAGATTTTAAAAACGCCGTAATCATTCGCAGCAGGAGAATCTGGCTCCGGGCAATCGCCGTAGGCGTCGAAGGCGATGCTTCAGGCACCTCAGAACCGAATAGCTTTAGTGCACAACTCAAGATCGCTGAGTGGTAGTCATTGAACAACTGAATGCACAATCCATATGAAAAAAGAACACCCAGCAAAGACCATACTTCCGCCTGAAGGTACCAACTAAGTTCACGCGAACTGTCAGTCAGTTGGTCAGGGGCCAGCATAATAAATTTCATTGCATCCACGACGATGTGAAAGCGGATCAGGCTCTCAGCAATATCCCTACCACTCTGGCATAATAGTCGCAAAAGTTTGACGGCGTTCAAAGAGGCAGTCGACTGAGATTTGGATATGGAGGGCCATGGACCACGTAGGAATTTATTATGTACCACATCCACCAGACCGGGACATTCCGCTATCTGAACCGCGGCTGCATGTGAATGCCGACATATGCGAATCAGAATTTGTAGGATATCATTCACAGCTTCGGCAGGTAAGTTACGAGATTGCAGGAGGTACCTGAACCGTGCGAGAATATCGGTAGAAATCAGGCCGAGTATGGCGTCACGTCGAATGAGTTGAATGACAGAACCTATTGAGCCGTCATGATCGATCTTCTCCGATGAAGGTTCCCGTCCAGAAGCGCGGGATTTGAAGTCCGCTTGATTCGAGACTGATATGGCATACGCTCGGTAACTCAGCCGGGTAAGAAGCACTTGATCCCAGCATTGCTCCTCGTCGTTATCAGTTAGCGACCCCGTCCCCACACTTGCGGCAAGAGCGGCGAGGGAATTCGTCACAACGGTCTCGTGAGAGTCGTCCAGTGCGAATCGCAGATGCAGGAGTACATTTGCACGCAAAGAATGCCAAATCAAGGCTATTCCCCGTGCTTTGCCGTAGGCACCCGCATAAATATCTGCTATAATAGCACCCAAGACTCGCACGCTTGCGGCACGCTGGGCCTGGACCGTGCTTCTAGACAGGTGTAAAAGCTCGTCAAGAGTATAGCCAGGTGTCTCGGGATCAACCCCATGATGATGCAGACCTCGATGCACAGGAATTTGAGTACCTCTCTCGATAATCCTTCCGGACAAATCAAAGCGCAACTCGGCTGCATTTGTCACCGCGCTGTTGTCAACGATATCGTCCTCCATAAAGCCTATCCATTCTAATTTTTCATGTTCCGCTTTATCTGCTGGAATCCACGTCTCAATGAAAGACTTAGGATTTCTGAGATTAATATTGTCTTTCATGGAAGTTGACAAATCTGGTGCTGTCAATTCCGATCGCCCGCCAGCAGAGCGCACGCTCGAATGTTCCCGTGCCTGCCCCAGACACGGTTGCTGCGACACTACGGGTGGCTCTACTAGGTCTTCTACGTGCGATTCATCACGTCCGTATTTCTGGTTCGCCCTTTGCAGAAGCATCTGGATCAAGGAAGGATCCAACTTTTCACGAATTTCCGCTTGCGCCTCCTCGATTTCTTGTGCAGACATTGACTGTAATGTCTGCAGATTCTGACCGTGTATATCTGGAGATTCGTCTCCACCTTCAAGACTAAGAAACTCATTGAAGTGTGACCTCTGGTGTACGGACTCTGTGATTCTGGTCGAACACGCTCTAATTTGTTTTAGCCTTTGACTACGATGGACAACTGTAGGAAATCCAGCTGAAGGATGCGGCCCCGTAGGCGCCATCATGGAAGGCGGATCTGGGCTTCGTTCGTGAACATCAGACATCACCTCCCCGAAAAGAGCATCGGCGGAAACGACTTCCCTATGCAGCCTTGGTATCTCAGACGCCTCCTTTGACTCTGCTACATCTTGTGCACCCTGCTCTCGTGCCCTACGCTCCGCAAATATCGATCGCTTTTTGCCGTTATCAGCAGCAGTCGTCAGCCGTGCACTCTTTGCGGGATCCTTAATTGGCTTTCCCGTTCCAGCTATACGCAAGGATTTGGCCGCTGGCTGCCGCCCACCCACAAAGCTTTCCTGCAGCTGCAGTAACGTGTCCTCATCGTCTTGGGGTGACGGGCGCTCCACACCACGGAACATTTTGGGCTCGCAAGATCTGCCCGATCAGACATGGTCCAAAAGCTGTGGCGAGATCACGTGGAGAATGAGTCAAATGGATGACCCGCTGGCGAACAGAATCTCCGGCCATAGCGGATATTTTTAGTTTTTGGGTCGTTTGACGTCGATACAAGTCCGTAAAGTTTCCTCCATTACCCTTATTTAAGTCGCTGTTGCATCCGCTTTCTTCTCGGCCTTTCGTGCGCCGGGTGTCCTGATGAGAAATGATAACCCTACCAAGAGGCAGAACACTGCGCCTGCTAATTGGCACAATTCTCGTCGCCATAACTCTTGTATGCCTGTCCAATTCCCTGTCCGCCCAAGACTCCGAATACGGCTTCCCCAACGGCATAGCCGAGAAAGCCTATCTTAACCGGATACTCCATCAGCCGGGCTCACCCTACACCCGAGCGGATGTGGCTTTCGCTCAAAGGGCTGGGATAACATTGGTCGCAGTGGATAGCGTCGCAAACAACTCAGACACTCTTGGGAAACCGCGCGTACGTGGCGTTATAGTGATGCTCGCCCGGAATGATGACTTGTATGGTGCCAAGAACGCTATTGGGCAGCTCGAGAAGAGATTCAACCACAAGTACCATTATCCGTATGTATATTTAAACGATGAGCCCTTCTCTGAAGACTTCAAAACTACGATGAGAGGGATATCACCAGAGTCGGATGTTCAGTTTGGCCTTGTTCCTAAAGAACACTGGTCATATCCGGATTGGATAAATCAGACAGTCGCAGCAAACGCTCGGTCAGAGATGGCTGCGAAAGATGTGATCTATGGGGGGAGCGAATCGTATCGTCACATGTGCCGCTTTAACTCGGGATTTTTCTTCCGCCATCCTTTACTTGACCAATATGATTACTACTGGCGCGTCGAGCCATCAGTGGAGTTTCTTTGCGACATTCCTGACGATCCGTTCCGGTATATGCAAGAAAACAATAAGCTGTACGGATTTACTGTTTCGCTCTACGAGTTCCCGGAAACGATACCTACTCTATGGAAAACAGTTCGTCAGTTCATGAATGAGCATCCTAGCTTCGTACGAAAGGACAATTCCATGCGCTGGCTTGGAAATAAGCCTGACGAGTATAATCTCTGTCACTTTTGGTCGAATTTTGAGATTGCCAGCCTTCACCTATGGCGATCCCGGGCGTACTTGGAGTTTTTCAATTACTTAGATAAAGCGGGTGGCTTTTTTTACGAGAGGTGGGGGGATGCTCCAGTTCACTCGATCGCTGTCAGCATGCTTTTAAAGCCCGCACAGATACACTTCTTCAACGAAATCGGCTACTACCACAATCCTATTATGCACTGCCCTGTGGATCAACCTGCCATGGCAGGTCGATGTCAGTGTGATGGTTCCGAAACATTTGACTTGCAACATTACTCTTGTACAGGTCGTTGGTTTGACCTATTTGGGGGAGGAGAAGCGTCGAGGCGCGCCTTCAAACTCCAGCAAGAGCGCAAGCGTGCTGAAAGGTCTAAGCAGTCATAGTATTAGTATTAAGCATATAGACTTCTGTATATATAATGCTAGATTTGTTTTATTGTTGTTTAATATGCATTTGACGTTTGAGAGGAACGCTAGCCTCGACATCTGGTATGAGATGTGGAAGATCCTGTACAAGTGTCAACAGAGGAGAGTTTGCTGATCATTCCATGCTATTGCTCTCATTGATGGAGTTCGCACATTTATACAATCGACACAAGATATGCCGGACATTTACATTCACCTACTAGAATCACGAATAGGAACGGCTCGAAAACCAATTCAAGAGGCGGACTGAAGAATGTTCGGTTTGTCGATGTCATCCACGGGTGGGGGTTTCATAGGCGGAAGTGGGACGCCAGGATTCATAAACACTACAAAGACACACGAAGAATCAGGCCAATGCTCTCTCTTCGTTCATTCCACTCACGCAAAGCTCGTAACAGCCATGAACTCACTCTAACATTACGTACCTGGATAGGGGGGCGGGACTCCAGGCATCCCATATGGAGGTACACTTCCAGGAGGGAACATTCCGGGAAGGAGTGGCGGTTGCGGGGGGAACTGCGAGGCTCCAGGTGGCAGCAAATGGGGGGGAATGAACGGCACTGGTCCATTGGGAAGAAAAGGAGGCACGCTGGGTCGCATGGCCACGGGAGGATGCTGCAAGCCCTGCTTCATTGATATAAGACAGATACGTCAGTTGCCTGATGAGATGTAGAGGGTCGATCACAGATGCTCACATGGCCCAATCCTGGCCGAATTGGATGTCCCATGGTGCCGAACGGAGGAACAAACATAACATTCGGTGCAGCAGGTGGAACTCGAGTATCTACGAGCAGTTGAACCTTAGCATACTTCTCGTCAAAGCACTCAAGGAATTTACCCTACCTCCCGCAAGGAAGTCGACAGGATCCACAGGCTGTTTGAGAGGACGTAAGCCATCCTGTGGACTTTGATGATTTTGCTTGGCTTTGCTAGCAGCTTGAATCATTGCGGTTAACTGAGATGTCGGATCGTCGGGAAGACCCATATTCATGGTGCTGCGATACAACGATTGAGCTGGAGGGCGTGGGCCCTGCTCACGTTCATAAAATTGGGATTGTGGCGGAATTGAATTTGTATGATGTACGGACGGGTGATCGGATGAATGGGTGCGGAGCACAGCCGACTGGTTCATATGCTGATGCTTTTGTCGCACACTTTGTGGCTCTTCATTCACAATAGGGGTCTAGCAAAGGCAAGTGAGTCTCACAAATTAGAGTAAAATCATGGGACTGATTCGTACCTGGCTCATTCCAAAGAATGCGAGCTTCTCCATCACGCGGTTGATGCCCGCTCGATCTTCCTCTGACGGATCGGCTCTTACCGGATGTACGCGACGATGATCCACCGCTACGTCCCGAAGTGATGTGCTGCTCTCATTCAGATAGCTGGGTGCCATTGAATCTGCATTCCCTGAACCTATTTGCTTGCTTTTGTAACGGGTAATAATGTCTTCTTCCGCCAAAAGTACCCGCTGCTTTGCACGATAGCGGGAGATGACATCGTCTTCACTTAAAACGTGGCGGGGGCCGGGCAGAACTCCGGAAGACGTGCTCTGCTCGACGTGGTGTTGTGAGAAAAGGTGAGAGCGTGAAGATTGGTCCCGAAGCCCGGCAGCACCTGCGTCAAACAGGTCGGAAATGCCAATCCGTTGCATGTTCTCGTTAGCTTGTTCAGGCCTAAGCACCGATAACATCTGGGAGTCGGTTTCTGGTTCATCACTCCAAAAGCGAGCAAATCGCGATCGTTCGGAAAACTTGTGCCCGGAAACGGCCTGTTCACTCTTCCGCCCTTCGAAAAGCTCCCCAACATCTACTTTGTTCAAGTCAAAGCCCATATCAAAAAAGGAATCTACGCCATCACTCTCCTTGGCTACTGATTGAGGCGCCTTGTTACTGGGCACTAATTCTTCTGCAGGAGCGCCTTTCACCCTCTCATCACCTGCTTCCAATCTCGCCAACCGCTCACGATTCCTCATTTGCGCCTTGAAACGCTGTATGTCATCCTCACCGGACGCAGAAGAGTGAGGTTCATTTGAAGGGCTGCTGGTACTCTCCAATTTTAATTTTTCCGTATCCGCCGTCATCCACTCTGGTTGTTGGTCGCGGACCTGCCGGCGTGTACTACCCGAATAGCGACTTTCCAGGACTGCCTTGCCCATCGCCGAACGAGCAGAAGGGCCTGAGTGAAAATGCAAGAATTGATCAAGGTCTAAACTGAAGTCAAGGCGCTTCTGGCTGAAAGAGTGGTGGTACCTTCCATGCGATCTCTCCACGAACCGGGTTCCCCTGTTCTAGTTTTGGAAGTCGATCCTGAACTGTTTACTCGGTCGGAGTCCCGCGCCATTTTGTCACTATCTCGCCCACTGGTTGACCTTTCCGAACTGCGTGTCCCCCGGTCCGATGAGCGGTCAGATACGCTTAAGCGCCTTTGGGGAGGTTCACTCGTTGGGATGGCCGTCGCGCCGTTTTCTCGTACTTTGGTGTTGTTTTGGTTGCTTTGGCGTGACGCCATGCGCTCTGCAACCGAATACTGAAAAGCGCCATCGTATCAATCGACAGTATCAACACAAAATGGCGCGCACACCACATACCTTCGGAGGCCTGGGAAAGTCTTCAACAGGTTTTGCACCGGATTTAGATTCAACATGATCTACAGGCTTATTACCAGTGGATTGGGCGGACGCGAAGTTCATCTTTGGGGGCCCAAAGACAATAGTTTTTTCTCCAACAGCTGCAGATGCAGATCAGGAAAGGCCATATGTTGTACGAAAGAATCAAGGCCTAGTCGTGCTCACCAGATGTCCGTGGTAAGGACCCAGATGTAGAAGGCTTTGAGCGAAGCGAGTGAAGATCCACGTCTCCCACCCTATCTGCGGTTGCTTCTCCATTTTTAGCATGAGACCGTGGCTTTCCCTCAAGGGCGTCCCCTTTACTTGTACCATCACTGGTCTTATTCACAGCGCGTATCTGAGAAACACTGATATGGTAGGAATAGGAATGTTGCAGTTAGATGGGGTAATCAGTGCTAGAACAAGGAAGTAGCGCATCAACACCGCCAATTCTGTGTACCTCATCAACTCAGCAACATTCGGCAAGCATTCTGGTTTCTGGACCAGCGGGCTATGCTGCAACTCCAGCAGAAGGCTTCGTGGGTAGCGTATAATGGTGGCCTCTCCAGAACTCGACATCACGGATCTATGACCTAGTAGAGGGGTTCGGGGTAAAAAGAAGAGACGGATTTCGATGCTCGCAACAATGTGCCAAGTCCAACGTGTTGATGAGGATGTCTGGGGAGAGCAATAAGGTGATGTTCAAGTGGCAATTCAGGCCAAATTCAACCTAGATTTCGACAAGAGTTACGACAGGCAAGTTCCCTGGCGCACCTGACTCCTCGAGCATCACGTGACTGATTTGCCAATGCGCGTCCGATCGCTTACTCGCATTTGCTGGTGAAGGATGTCCTTGGACGTCTCTTGCCCTGCACAGGGTGGGCTTACTTCAACTGAGCACGGTTTGCTTATCCTCCTTATTCTAGCTGCTGGTGTATTTTCGGATGGAAACCATCCTCTGGCTATCGGCGGGATGCGATCCCAGACTGTTTACTGATAGTGCTAATATGCTGCCGGCGAGGTCCCATCGATAGTATCTATTGAAATCCTGAACTCCTTCCTCCCTTCGCGCTAAGCTGTCTTGATCCATCTAATTATGAATCTACGGATGGTGATGGGACTGAGTGACAAAGAGAAACCAAGCAGGTGAGTGGGACAAAGAAAGAAGCAATGCTCAATACAATGACCGAGCTTGGTATTGAAACACTTGGGGCAGAATAACATTGATATGCCATAATCCTACCATCTCTCAGAAAAATCCGAATATCCAGACTTGAAAATATTTTAGTTGAAGGTACTAGCGGCAGTTCAGTTCCGTGGTCCTACAAATCTCTAGTGAATTGCACTATGCTCTACGTCACCCCAGCACTGGTGACATAGGGCATCATGGTGTCCCCGGAAAGTAGCACATCTGTATCCTGTGTTTGAGTCTCACAGAGGAGAAAAAGAAAAAAAGCATCGTTCCAAAACTACGACCCACAACGAATTATCATAATGGACGATGATCAACCGTTCCACGTAACCTTAAAGTACATATCTTCGGCGAAGGCGTGTCACCACAGGATTAAAAGCAGCTTCGCAGAAAGGTGGACGTTTTCATTTTTTAACAAAGATCGTGAGTTACCAAGTTGTTGCTCCGGTTGCAACTTTGCGCGAAGGTGCATAGTTTTCCTTTGCCCAATGCTTATCAGGGTCTTAATCAGATCAATGTGAAGCAACGGATCATCTCGTCTGCGCTTTCGATATACGATAAAGGAATATAGGATGCTTTTCTTCTGGTGGCATGGACCAAGTTCCGAGAGTGCCAAAGGCATATGATTGAAAGTGGCATATGTATTTCGTTGACGATCGGGGTACTGGATATGTGATGCATGTGTATAATGAACTAACCTAGCCACTAGCCACGTCCCCTAGGCCACTCCGTCAATCTAACATAGCCATCCATGCGACGAAAAATCCTCAACCTCTGCAGCAGAGGCAGGTGTTTTCCCCTGAGCTCCGTGCTAGGCCAAAATCGCGGAATATAATTGACACGGCAACGTAGATTAACTCGTATTTCACGCCAAACTGGCTCACGTCAAAAACTGTCGGACCAAGCAGCATCAATTTCAGGTGTCGATGCATAGGTAGCAAGCGGGCGGATTGCCGAAGTGACCGTGTCTTTGCAGTCGACAGTCGACGTCACCTCAGCTAAGTTCCCCCATGAGACCTTTCTTGTTGTAACTTCCGAAGCCGATTGAAGATTTCATGTTTCTCTGCCTTCAACTCCTCAAGTTTTCGGTGCACATCCTCTTCAGATAAGACGCCCCGCATGGCCAATGTCCGCAGATCCACATTGCTCGCTTTGACGGAGACCTGTGTAGCTTGGTCATCATTTTTTATTCCGCCGTCACTGAGAGGTGGTACAGCCTCTACGTTATCATGTATTGAAGTGTCGAAACCTTCGTAAGAGTTTGCCCAGCTTAGTTCAGCATGACTGAGTTCATTGCCCGGCTATAGGACAACATACCGGATTTCTCCTTCAATTGGGGGGTGGGAGGGATAACCTCTTGGCCAGCATTAGCAACACCTAGTATCTCGGTTGAAGATACAACTTGTTTATCCACGGCGGTTCTACTGGGTGGTGCTCCATATTCTCCGTCACCAGCTTCAGAGCCTGCTTCAGTTGGTGCTGCGCGTTGTTGCAGCGTACGTCGAATTATGACCTTTCGCACAGGATCCGAGACAGGAGCAGGAGGAGGATAAGCAAACGTTGAAGGACTGGAGCTCTCAAAAGGGAAATCCCACGACATCTCTTCCGTTGGCCTCTTGAGAACGATCGTCGCCTCCAGTGCTTGCGTAAGGGGGTGTCACATGATTTTGTTGCCATAGCAAAGTGTGTCATCAGTGAGTAAGCGCCGTTGAACTGGTTGCTCAACACCGTCCTCCCCCGTCATCGTAACTGACAAGCATGGCAAGTTTAGTGGGTGCGCCAGCCGTGCCTTCACCTGCTCCACAAAATATTGGCATACCATCACCGCCTTCACTTCCTGCGCTGGTAGGCCCATGTCTTCCTCATCGCGTTCACCCCATCTACGGCTCGTTCCACTTTCCACAATGCGATGGAATCTTGCCAACCCTCCATAGCGCGTCTACTATCTCGTCGTCAGCAGCACAGTCGGCAACGCATTCCGAGTCGTTTCAGGAGACTGCTGAACGAGAACTTGTGGAGGCGGTCATGTCTGGCGATGTTTCGAGGGTGTCCGACCTTTTGAAAACACAGGGAAAGCAGAACCTTGAAATTCAGGAACAAGACTCTTTCAAAGAATTTTCATCTGGCAGAGGCGTTTCGAACGCTACAGGGTTGGGATTAGTACACTATGCTGCCTCACGTGGACATTTGGAAGTGCTTCAACTGTTGGTCGAAAGAACGTCCCTGGTGGATGTTGACGTCAAAGACCGCGAAGGCGAGGTAATGCACACTTCATAGATATTCAATACCCTGAACTCTATTTCATACTTCTGTGCACCAGACACCTCTATTAAAAGCAGCGTACAACGGTCACACACAAGTCGTACGATATCTCCTCTCAAAGAATGCAAATGTCAACCAACAAGACAGTGACGGGTGGTCAGCACTGCATAACTGCGCATCGCGAGGTCATCTATTTGCAGCAAGAGCAATCATTGAAGGTGGCGCAGACGTCAACGCCAAAAGCCGAACAGGCCACACCCCATTAAGTGCGTTCCTTGAGTGTGAATACGATTGTTCATGTGTTAACGTACGATCGCTGTTGTAGTGAGTGCGAGCGCTAAGGGATTTCTGGATTTAGTGGAACTGCTTTTAAACAACAAGGCTGACCCGCTTGTGAAGAACAATTTTGGAGACACCGCGTATGACTTGGCTGCTCAATCGGAGGAGGCCTACATTTGTGAAGTGCTACAAGTGTCGGAACAGGATACCTTGGAGCGGCTATCCAGGGATCAAGGTAAGGTGGTGGTGCTGAAACTGTTCCAGGAGTGCGAAGCCTCACCCTTGGTCAGCAGGGCAACGTGGGTCAAAGCACCCACTAATGGCTCAGCACAATACGGTTGTTGAAGTGATTCATGAGAACCAGCGATCAGGGTTCCTCTCCCGACAATTTTCTGTGGCAAATTTAAGTAAGAATGACATCCGAGGTCCATGGTCTAGTTCGGCAGGGCGCCCATGCACTCTTGAAGATGTGCATTTACCGCTAGTGCGAAACCCGCAGTCGGGGCAGCTGGTCAGGGGATGGTTTTGGTTGACGGATTGGCGTGTGGACACCAAGCATCCGAGAGTAGACCCTGTGGAAGGCTGGCAGGTAAGCTTGGTAGTGAATCATGAGATCAAAAAACGTCGGCTGAATCGCTGCACGTCAGTATGCCAAAGCATTTGAGGAACCAGACGCACAATGGACAGCAGCACCAATTGGTTCGACCTTGGCGATGACTGGTTGGGTGCGGCGCAGACGGTGGATCCGTGTTCGCAAGCGAAGAGTCGATGATACATCTGGCAGCAGGGGAGAGCAAGATGCCGATGGTATTGATGCCACTGGCGACTATGTCGCTCGGGCGCAAGCTCTTGTGCAGAATATTCCGCAAGATGCAAACGAAGGTGACATGCATATGGTGAAAGATGAGCTACAATCATATGAGGAAGCCATTGCGATGCTTCTTACCGGCATCAAAAGTATGTTGACACTGCAATCCTTCAAAGAAGTCTCCCGCCTAATACATCATTCAGGCGAAAAACGTGCGGATGTCAAACGAATGGCTTCTTCGCTGGTCACTTCATATTTGGAGCATGCTGAACAGCTAAATACCCTCATCAATACGGTCGCAGAGGGAGAGGAGGAGGAGGAGGGGAAATCTACGGGTTCACCAGCAGCATCCAGCTCTAAAGGCAAATTACCTTTAGGAGGGAATGGTGGTGAGTGACACGTAGCCTTTTTTTGAGATGATTTATCCATAGAGCTTGTTAACATGCATTGAAGGGCAGCCCTCGACACAGGTAAATCAAATAGTTGAAAGCATGCCGGATACACAGGAGCGGCCGGAGGTCCTTGACGAACACGCCCAACCTCCATCGCCTCTACCCTTTGGAGAGGCGCGATCAATGGCAATCTCGACCCCAATTAATCCCCTCAGTGGAACTACTTCTTCTGCACCGCTTGCCATGTCACCGATATCATCATGGCAACCTGATGACGAAGCTCCCCAATGTTCGCAATGTCAGCGCCGCTTTACGATATGGCTGCGAAGACATCACTGCCGGTATGTTCGGGTCGTCGCATTGCATTTTCCAGTGTTGAACTCGCTGTACACATGGTTGACGCGCTTCTTAGGTGGTGCGGCCGTATTTTCTGTGCGAATTGCACCGCATCCAGGCTTCCTCTATTTCCCAACACCGCACCCCATCGGGTCTGTGACTCCTGCTTTGACTATCTTTCGAACCGCAATGCCCATTCCACACCCCCCTCCACCCCAACACATATGGGCGATCCCCCGTCACCGTCACGATCGGCGTATTCGGCCGCTGAGAGCATCATGAATGAGTGTCCTGTTTGTCAAGCCAGTCTAGACAACCAAAATATGTCCGAAGAGGAAATGGAGGCACATGTTGCAGATTGCTTGGATAGAGTCGCCACTGGACGGGGACAAGGGCAGTTGATCAGCGGCAATCGTTATGTGGGTGGGTAAATTGTTATTAGGCCTCAAGAACTGTTTAGAGCCTCTCAATGTAACCTGGTGGTGTCCCACATTAGTCCAGATTCTGAAAGAGGACCTTCCGAATAGGGAGTGCGCAATCTGCTTTGAGGAATTTCTGCAAGGTGTGATGCGCAATCGGCCGGTCTATCGCCTTTGACTTCTTGCCAGTCGTATTTACTAAGCTTCGAAATAGGGCAACGAATAGCGCGATTGAATTGTCTCTGTTTATATCACCAGCATTGCATTGAAGCTTGGTTTACGAATCCGAATTTCGGCAGCCGGGCCTGCCCTGTACATTTCAAATAATAGTGGACAGGAAGAAAAGTAGTTTCCGTTATCGTATATAGGGAGCAGAGGCGGCATGCTTGCCAAATCACATTGATCTATTATCGAAACACCCAATATTAAATTTATGCTCCAAAGCGTTGCTGACAACTGGCGTATTGTTTCATGCCTCTTCTATACCCCATAAATGACAATTCCCCTTGCACCGCACTGTATCACACAGATTATCAGGAGAAACGACAATAAGTGGAATACGAAGGTCATCTACAAACCAGAATTCAGAGAGACGGATATTCCATGGACAGAGGTTCCCGATTTCAACGAAATTTGATTGGCAGCCAACCACATAGATTAATTCAGGTTCTGGAAACTGGTTCAGATCGGGGCTATCTGTGGTATTTGTTATAAGGAGAGGGGCACCGGAAGGAGCCGTGTTCTGGAATAAAGAAACTGTCACGTACCAGCCTTTATGAGCTTGTCTATCAGGTCCACGTCTGCAGTGAGGTGAACGGGGTTGTCAGCACGAGAAGCCGCGAGCGCTTGCCGTGCCAGTGTTCTGGCTACGCGAACGAGCGAATTTCGCCCATCGGACGCCGAAATAAGATTCACCAACAGGTCTACATCAAAGTATGAAAATAATGCGAGGAATTACAATAACAAACTTCCCCCTTACCAACATGTCGCCCGCTTTCTGAATTTTTATTTGACGACGTCGATGGTTGTGGTTCATCGGTAGGTCGACGGACACCATGTGGATCCAAATCTATTCCTTCATCCAGGATAGTCCGCTCTCTTTGGGTACGATCTATTGGCGAACCAGATACCAAGAACTGGATGCTTGCTTTTGCTTGCACCGGTGGATCAGCACTCTCTCGACAGAAGTCAAGCTTGTCGACAATTTGCGCCAAACTTGCAGCATGGGATTTTAATAATCCTGCATACGTTTGAGAGCTATGATTAATTTGAAAATTGAAAAGCTTCAAGAGGTCAGTTTACATTGCAACAATAGTATATATTACCCTTCTCGTCAAACACTGTTAAGCACGCCACACCATCGGATAAGCACCACTCCACTATGTTCCCCACTGAATTCATCCAGCTTTGGTACTCGCCGTCTTCGTCGTACGCTGAACTCAAGCTGTGCTGCAGAGGCCGAAACACTACCGCCACGTGGCGTGGACGCTTTCCGCGCAGTTCGTTGTCCTGGTCCACAGGTTTCTTCGGACCCCAAAAGGCAACCCAAACAGTGCGGAACCATAGCACAATTGCCAAGAGACGCAGATAAATGAACCTCGACGGGAAAGAGGACACCAGCTGCGAGCCTCCTGAAGGTCTCTGAAGTGCCTGGGAAGTTACCGGAGGTATTGTCATCTTTGCTCTTGCCCTCGTTCTCTGCTTGTCATGGTGCAAGTCAAAAAGGCCCAAAAAACTTAAGTATGGATGAGGCCGATGCTGCTGTGCCATCATCCCGGCGCGCGTAGAAATTCACCCGAGATCGTTGGCCACAGGCTCTTCCTCGTGGGATTTGGAGGGAGGGACTTCAGCATTTGCGGTACTCTACTCGTGCTTGTGTGTCGTGCTTGTGTGTGGGTGCGGGTAGTGTCGTTTTGTCGTTGAGGTTTGCACTCTCCCAGGCCATGGAGGTGGGGCCATCCACAATCGTGTCTGGTGGTCTGGACATGAGCGTTCCACAACCAAATACGCGATCTCGGTTTTGCATCTCAGCAGCACCATGATACTTTCACCTCTCCTGCGTCGAAATCTTCAAGAGTGGGGGTTTCCACCTGCACAATTAATATCTAATAGCGGCGCAGAAAGCGCACCTGTCCCGTCAGACGTCTTCAAACCAGTTGCAGAATTTCTTCTCCTAAGGTGGCACATGATTCTCCCTGTTGAGCCGTGTCCAAACCGCTCACGCAGAGCGTTTTTGATAACTTGAACGTAGATTTGAACCTTCTTTGAAGAGAATATGCGACGACAGAGGAGTACCAGATTCACAGAGTATATATACTCATCATGTTCATATTGCCAATTGTGTCCGTCCTCAAGTTGTTTTGCATTTCGCACCAGGGCTACCATTTATGGCGTCCTTGATGGGACTTCGCGATAATTTGGAAACCGAATTATTTGAGGTGGGCATAATTGCAGCTCTCATGTTTTTCATTATGCGCAGGACGCAAAGGAAGGACAGGCAGTCGGTAACTTTGGCGGCCACACCCTGTTAGGATACAAGCAGGTTGGCAGAGCGTCAGCACTTTCTGGAAACTCTCTCCTCAATGGTGCGGATGAACGGCTCTATAAAAAATAATACGGACGCAGATGCTTCTCTCGATACTGCGGAGCCGCGCAAGAGTGGGATGTATGTAATTGCCATTTCAAGACCAGAGGATATTACCTTTACACAATCCACATCAGATCAGTCAGTGCCATAGATCTAGATACTCAGCTTGCTGAGGATTGCCACTTGCTGGACATTTTCTGCAACTCGCATCTGCCTGTGGCCACTTCTACCGAATGCAATGTTTTTGATAAAAATGTCTTTAACGAAGCAGTTGGTAACGCTGCAATTGATGAATTCGAGTGAGTATCTTTGGTGAAAACGTCAAGTGTTAAGCTCATTAATCGGATTGCTAGTTCATCAACACTGCGTCTTTTGAGCGACCGGATAAGCAATGAACAACAGACTCTGCGTCTCGCCACCGACGACCTGCATGCCAAACAAATATTGGTAATTTTGTAGTCTTTCAGTAGCCTAGAGGTCTCAGCGCATCGTCCATTACCAGTCCGCTAACTCTTTGCTCACGCCAGGTTGACAGGGATGCGCAGGATTACTCTTCGCCAGAGTTTATATCCCAACTACAAGCGCTTGCTTTGAGTGTTACCGCACAATTAACGCAAATGGCAAGTCTTTTGGAAGTGGAGGTGATGCCTTCGAAGGCAAACAGTCCTGGGAGCGTCAGAGCTGGTACAGTTAGCTTTCTTCAAGAGCTGAAGCTTTGGACACTGGAGGTACTCATTTTATGCAAAGTACCAGGGCTCGGTCAAGCCGTGTCAGCAGCCCATGCGCAGAACCACGTATTTGAAAAGGTCTGTTATGTATACACACTCGCATGGTTAATTACGTTCTGACTGTGGGATAGATTCTACATCATGTGCATGCGATTAAGGAGTCCCACGAAGCGAGTTTGCAGGCACTGCAGGTTCTCGAGTCAAATCAACTGTCGCCCGATAATTCCATCGCAGAATCCAGATCACCGGGGACAAGCGCAGCTGTCGAAGAATTGCTATCGAGACTGCAAGAATCTCTTTCTCTGCGGGAGGAGATACTAGATGATATGCGCAAGCTGGAGGGAATGGCGCTGGAGGGAACGAGAACTGAGTCGCCAATTCCGTTGTAATTTTGTTAACTAGAGATACTTAAAGCACGAGTAACTAGCTCATGCTTAATGTACATTACTTTTGACCTGGTGCCCATGCTACATTACTATTTGCCGTGGTCAGTCGAAACAGATTTGTGCCCTTGCATTGAGAAAACTCTTACCGTGAAAAAAGGGCAAAGATGTACGCAACAAAAAGAGACCATGCAAGAGAGGATGAACTCCGTAGAGATCTAGTGACTTGAAATGGCCACTGCCAGCATCATGCTTACCAGTGTGCCTTTGAACCGACGGTCGAAGCTATACCTGAGACGATTCTTCCGAACAGGGAGAAGCAGATCCTTCGGTCCGGCGAGGTGCATTACTACTATGTATACCCGTACGCTTTCCTTGTGACATTCGGCGTGCACAATTACCAGTGTATTTATTCCTTCCAGTCACGATGTAGGCGGGGGTTCGGATGCGAAAGAATGACATTGAAGTCATGAAATGATGCAACGATGGCTAGTGGGCTGTGGTTGGTTTCAGGGGTTTTGAATACAAAGCATCCTTAGACGATCCGTACAGGAATGTCAGATAGGGGAGGCTTTGTGACACCCAGGTTAATGGCCGATGGGAGGAATCAACGCATGCAGGGGGACAATCCCTCGTTTTGAAGTATGAAGATCTTCTCCACCGCTCCTATAACTTTCAGGGAGAGTATAAGGGGAGCACAGCTTCGTACTTGAATTGTTCCCTGTCGGCTGTGGAGCACTCGAGAATATGCGTAAATCAACGAAACTAAACCTTTATACCCAGTTAACCACGCATTCCCCTTTGGAGACAAAATGCTATTTACCGTCAATGGCCTGAAAATTTATAAATTCTGGGAAGCCATGAGGCTGGTGGATACACGTAGTCGGGATTACGCCTTCATAGGCATAAATATGCTCTCTAGCTGTAATATTGAATACATGTCTGCCCTAAGGTTCTAAAGCCTCAGCCTCACATCAAATATCGAAGATGACAGCAGGGCTATTTGATGCCCACGCCACAAGGGTATCGTCACAATGATAGAATGGCTGCGTCTTAAGAGGACGAATGGTATTGAATCATCCCTATCGATGCAACTATTAGCGCTGGCGTGAATTAGCGAAATTTCCATTACAAGGCTCACCAAACTTTCCGTTGACCATCCAACCCTTATCTTCAGCAGTAAGTTGCTCAGCTTGCCCAGGTTTCAGTCCAACTGCGACATCGCTTTTGCAAGTTCGGAGTAAGAGGAGTGGCGGAGTCTTATCATTCGCTAAGGGGCCCAGGGCTTCCTTGAATGGCGTGGTTACTGGCCATTCCGCGTCATAAACAGCTTTGCGATAATTCAAGTCGCCCTTGAAGATCAAGAAATCCGATCGACACATATATTCGTAGATATGCTTTCCTGCAGTGGGAAGCTGCCAAAAAGGATATGGCAACGTCCAGAATGGATCTACTCTGACTTCCCAGGTGCCGTCCGCAAGCAATGCTCGCCATTTCTCCAACCGATGGAGCAGAATAGCGTTATTAGTTGCGCGTGCATGGTTTTCCACTGCGTCCAAAGTCCATTTGAAATCTCTGTGGGTGGTATCGCTGACGAACCATGGGAAGGCCTTTGCATGGAACACTATTTTGGCCGCAGTACTCGAATGCACAAGCCAATCTGCGAGACACAGATCCGCAAACAGCTCAAAACCTACAGATGGGTTGGATTATCTGGACTTTCTGATTAGGCATCTGGCAAACTCTCACCTGCATTATCCAAGATGATGTCGACCCTCCCGCGTTTGATGCCCTCCAGTCGTTGAAGAACTTTTTCCAGGTCGTTAACAATGACCTTTTCTTCAACCTTTGCCAAGCTTCCGGCCGATGTCGTCTGCATCGCGTGTATATCGGCGTGAGTCACGTTGATAAGCAGAGACAGGTCTGTTTGATTGCCCCATAGGGAAAACTATGCAGAGAGACTTAATTCAAAGGTGCTGCATTATTGCTACAAAATAACGCACTTGCAGGAATTCTTTCAAAATTGCCTTTCGCTCCAATTCGTTGGTTAGCGACAGCTCTACGTCATGGAGGTGCTTCCCAAGCTCCTCCACGGATTTGAGTGATCCAAATAGAGCCGGCTAAAGGAGGAGATGTCATTGAACCGCTCTATAGTATTTGATCATTCAATAACATACGATGAACAATGAAAGTCACCTCCTTCTGCTGTGCGGCAAACACATCAAAATCCTTCCAATATTTAGTTCGACTAAATATCTCGCGAATTTTTCTGTACTAGAGTGGACTGTTCAGTCAGAATCATTATTGGCCGACAGCTTGCAATAGTCACCATGTAGCACTCGACAAAGAGCCAAGGCGCCGAGAACCAAGTCTTCTTGTCCTTGGCAACCGCCCCTAGCAGGAAGTTCCAGGTTTCCGCATCCTCTTCCGAATCCCGAAGGATATCTAAGGGACGATCCCTCTGTAGCTCATATGTCAGTTTGCTCAACTGAGATATGCAGTCCTTGGCTTCCGCAGTTTTCTCGGCGGGATAGTCATCTGTCTCGGCATGCAGGGTTCGCGTAAGAGTGTCGATGGCTTTTGTCAATATGACGGGAAGCCTGTCCTTCACCGTAACATATGCAAACGATCCTTTGACCTCGCCCCTTAGGGGTAAGACGTTTGGAGGAAGCTCCGCGAGACGCTCCATGTCTCAAATGACGACAAAAAACCCGCTTACCAGTCCGATCGCTTCGTCCTGTCAAATGTCACACTAAATGAGCTGACGTCACGTAATTATTGACTCCACAGCCACATGCGGACTTTGGGATGAAATTGAAATAGCACACATTGCTTTTGGTTTTCCACTCGCATATCAGCTTTTGAACAAGACGCAAATGGGGAGAAGAATAACTCCAGATCATGAAGAGATGCGATATGATCCTGGTAGTAAAGATGTTGACTTGGAGAGTGGGTGTGTATCTTATTTGACGGCTGCCTTTGGAATGTCACGCCGTCTCATTGCTTTACGGCAGACGACAATCTCCCCAGATCAAGATAGGGGAAAGTAGGCCTAGTACAGCGAGCTCTACTGTGACGTACAATTCGGAGGATTTCCGCCATCCACCGAACGCCGTTGAAATCGATCCAAAGCATAAACCTGCCGTTAAAGTCTTTGGTAGAGTCGGGTTCGTTGCGAAATCGATCATCGTGCGTTCCAGTGCTGAGATTACCAGATCGTGTGCTCTGAATTGTAGCTAACGGATTTATGCAGTACGGTGTATTAGGAGGACTCCTGATCAGAAACGCCGCGGGTGGTGGGGAAGATTCGTCACCACAGGGGGTCTTTGTCCTAGTCGGCGACAACGCTGTCGGAATTCCCTTATTGGTTGTCCTCGCCGTCGCCCTCGTATTTTACTGCATCTGGAGATTGTATGTGCACTTACGGATTTGGATTCATTCTGAACGTGTTCTAATTGAAACAGCTGGGAGGCATTCCAAGGTCAAGGATCGGATGCTACGTTCTCGCAAAAAAAGAATTTCTTCAAGTACCGAGTCTCGCCATTTGTTTCTGGTGCTGTGTATACTGCCTACAGTAGGTAACCCTTCTCAACCAAATTGGGTTCTACAACGCTGCTTACTTGTCACTCGATAGCGTACTATGTCATACGAACAATCTTCACAACTCGTAGCCAGAGAGATGCACAACAGGGAACAGAAATAACTCAAAGTTCCTTTCCAGGTATGCAATGTGTCTGGGATGTCCCTCGGTCACATAACTAAGAGGCATCCTGTGTAAAATGATAGACAGCTGGGCGTCTTCCGGTTCACTGGGGAAATTTGGCGTCTGCTTCTTTGGCCTTGTCTTTCTTTTAGCCACCTTCATACAGTTCCAAGTTGCATATACGGGGAGCTTTAAGCGGGACTTGTATCAGAACAAACTGGAGAACAAATGGATTAGACGGCTGAGTGAGTCTTTGAGCTTTCTATCGATGCGCTTACGACAAAGTATTGAGATCGATTCAGTTCACGGACTAGGCCACATTGGGTTCACCGCAAGAGGTCTTGTGTTCTTGCTAGTTGCCATCCTCATGTTCCGGAGTGCCGCAGGTGGGGACGGAGCGAGTGCAGATAAAAATCACAGTGTCACAGGCAAGGCTGTGGAAACCCTTACGGTATGCAGCGTAGGTAGCCCCTCAGTGAAGAGCATATAAATTAAAGCTTCTGTTTGCTAGGGTAACTGGTGGGGTAGGACAATTTTAGTGCTGCTGGGAGTCGGGTTACTACTATATGCTCTTTTCGCATTGACAAATGTGTACTATAAGGTAGGTGGTCGTATCTACCATCGCAACCAAGTAAGTCCATATAGTGATAAATACCCAACATTAGATCTTTCCGACACCACCACCATCTCGAAAGCCTGCCGTCTCTGATGAACCGCAAGAAGGGCCGGAGACATCGGAAGCACATCACTAACCCGCAATTTTGTGAAAAAAAAGAATTTTATCTATTTTTTGGTTTAGTAATCGTAGTTACAGAAGTGTATCATTATTCACATGATGTGTATGAAAGACATTTAAATTTATAAAGCGACATTTGAAAGTGTATCGTTGCTGCAAACGTGCCCCTTTATTGTACAGTCGTATGTCCAACTCCACAGATCGATTGCCAATGCAGTCTTTTTAAGCTGGAAAATAGTACATTCCAGTCCCATAACTTATGCGTGTCATCACAATGCTGAGGCAGCGAACGATTTCAGAAGAGCATCCATTCCAATCTGCATAGTGCATGTGCAAGAGTTGTTAGGTAATGGCGGAGTAGTTGACGTTATTTATTGCCCTTTCTGCGGATAGGGTTTCCATGATTCTATTGCTTTATCGTCTACCCGGAAACCTTCTACACCGCATGCTGCGCGCACGCTCGAAGTCCGACGCGGCCGTTAAAACACCTTTGGAACGCTTACGTATGCGCGACCTAGTTACAAGAACGCGCGGGAATCCTGGCAGGCCTTCGTTCCGAGGCTTCTCTATTATGCAGGTCTGATTTTCGGGGCGGGGCGAAAAATGCTACAAGCATAAAAGTCGTCCTTTCCCTCTTCTCCCCTCACTTGGTTCCCTCTCCGTGCTGGTATCCAAGTGTATTTAGAGAGTTGCCATCGAAATAACTGTTGCAAACATGTCGCCCAATATGAGCTTCACCTGCAGTCTCACCTTTGCACTGTTGTTGCTCCTGTGTATCCCATTGATTGATGCTCGACCGCGTCCAGCCGAAGTCGAGCGTCGGCAATTGGTCAGTTCCGTCGTGACTCTCACGCTGATCAGTCCCACTAGTCCGTCAAGTGCTTCTGTTGAGCCGACTACCGAGCCAACCACCACGACCACTGCCACTACCACTACTACTGAGTGGACTGCGACCACCACTACGGTAGCAACGTCTCCGACTCCCACGTGTACGCCTGGTGAACCCGCCGCCGGATCATGGCTTGACTCCATTTTTGGCCAAGGTCTGGATCGGATCCTGATGAACACCGCGAGTGTGTATAACAGCAGAATCTTCCCAGTGTTGCAAAAATGCGACGTTATCAAGTCGGATGTTGATGAAGATCGTAAGTTGCCTCGTTATCCGCATAAGTCATGTTAACTTTAGTTAAATTCGCGCTTTGTGATGCAGTACAACGCTTTTACTTTCTCTACCACCTGGCCCAAAATCTAATTCACGAACCAGCTCTTACCGGAAACCTGACCGCACAAGGCATTCTGAGCGATGCCATATGCGATGTTTTGGAGGCTGTACACAGCCTGATGAGTCTCGTCGATTTCTACGGAAACTCTTCCTGCACCAGTAATCTTGTGTCGGTCGCCGAGAACGGCATGTCCGTAGGAATCTGGCCATGCTTGCAAGATTCTTATCCCGGGGACGGATCGAATAAACCCTTCCTGTTCCCTCAAGCTGATCTCGAAACGAAGAAGCCAGATGTAATTGCAATCGCACAGGGCTTTGGTTGCCGTGGAAATGTGGTCAAAAGAATGATGAAAAGGTCGGAGATCCTGAGTGGCGTACAGCGGATTTAGATTAAAGCGCAGAGGAGAAAGTGATGAAACACTAGATGTAGTTGATATGTGTATATGTGTGCTTACCTGCGTTCTATTTATACTTAAGCTTTAATGTTAATAATACTTTTGTGTCATCGGTCGACTTCGCATGTGCAGATGTAAATGCCAAGATTGGTGAGCTGCTCGCAACTAGTGGTCACAATAGTAGACGCTTTAAGCTGGAATTTATTGAGAGTATTTCCAATATACCATATTATTCATCTGCGTGGAATTTGCTATTAACTACATCAGTAGAGTCCTATGATTAATCTACAATCTACTTAGTCTACAAAAGGAAGTAACCACATAGTTCTAGTACTATAGAATCATCGGAAAGAGCCGGCTTTCCGCTTGCGGGGTCATAGAGACAATATTAGAACTATTAGATGATAAATGTTGTCGCAAGGACACCCGCAATGACCAACAGGGTAGAGGCAGCAGCTGCGTGTCTAGTAGCCGAGTTTTGTCCTAGTAGAACCGAATATACACCACATTAGCTATGCTTGATATCCCGCCAAACCTTTACAAGGAACTTACTTTTGGTTTCAGGCCATGGGTTGGCAGCAGTAACACCAACATCTGTTGTTACCATCTTGAAGCCCTGATTTCCTCCTTGCACAACAATGCCGTAAAACTTGATAGAGTCATTGAGCGGTCGCACTGGGGGAAGCCATTTGAAAGTAACTGGGAGATTCTTTTGCTTGTCACTCTTTGAGCTCAAAGTAGCCCCCTTCCCGTAACTTCCACATCCCGCAGGATCGGCCTTCTCGTCATTGCCATCCAATGTCGTATAGTCATCGCCGTTGAGTTCGACCCAGGTGCCAGTGTGGTTCTGGTAGTACTGGGACTGTGCAGCGTACAGAACGATTTCTGTGTACGAAGCAATTCCAGAAATTGTTACTTCGATAGGTGTGTTAGGATCATAGGTTTTTATGCCCTGAGGAAGATGGACAGAATATGGGAGAGCCGCTTTGTGCTCGCCATAGGACTTTAGGCTAAAGGCCTTGTTGGTGTCCGCTGTGCAGATCTTGAATGCACCTGCGGCTTCCGCAGATGCGAGAAGTGGGAGGAGGAGTAGAGGAACAGTGAGAAACTGCATGATATTCTATGAGGTTCCGTTGAAGGCGGAGGAGAAGGAATGGGGACTGGGGGGAATGGGGAGAGATGACGGACAAAGAAAACCTGACAGTGAAACGACAAAAGCACAACGTCAGCAAGCCGTTTCGACGATCGCGTACAATTGCTTACACAAGCCGGTTTGAGTGTGCAGTTGTGGATTGATGGTTTCATAAAGAAAATTGAGCAAATGGGACGACGACGTTGAAAAGCGACGGCGACGACAGCGGGGTGAATCACAAATCACAATTGACCCTATTGGGAGGGACTCGCAGTTAACATTGATGGCCCATCAGGACCTATGAGGACCCATCAAGTCCATGTAGGAAGGGTTGCTAGGGAATCGAGCGGACATGACATGTCCACAGCGCTCCAGGTGCATTTCGCCTAATTGCAGCCAGTAAGATAAAAGTCATCCCAACGCCCAAAGGGGCTAGTATAAGGATCCATTGCCAGTTTTCCCGTATTCACAACAGCATTCAACCTAATGAACTGAATCATGCGTCCCATTGCATGGCGGGCTGACGCGTTGTCGCGTTTCTGAGGTAATAAGGCAAGTGACGGACATCGCAGGCGGAACTGTGAGACGAAACACTTCCGCAATTGCTATTTTCATCTCTATTGAATCATATTCAGTTGGCCATGGTAGACACAAACCCACCCCCAACGAACTCTGCAGATCCAGCTTCAGACCTCTATGACCAGAACCAACTGACCCTTCCCCCAAATGCCCTCCAAACTTTAATCTACGAACACCTGGTCCACAACTGCTATAGCGAAACCGCTAGAGCTTTCAATGCATCTTGTCGCATTGATTCCCATTTCGGCCCGGATGAAAAACGGCTTGAGTTGGACGACGACGGAGATGTTGAAATGAGTGAAGGGGTGACGGCGGCGCAAACCCTCGAGCCTCGGAAAAGAGTGTGGGAAATGATAGTCAAGGGGCAAATTCCAGAAGCGATTGAGTTCTGTAATGATGCTTTTCCTGGGGTGCTGGACGGGACAACAAAGGAGAGTGTGGATATTCTTTTTGAATTGCAATGTCAGAGATTTGTGGAGTGTGTCAGACAAAGGTGCGCGGTGGATGCCCTGGCATTTGCACAAGAAGGTACTGTGGAAGTGGACGTCCATGCTGCAGTTGTGGTTCCCTTCTTTACTGACTACCTTTTTTTCTGGCCTTTAACGTACAGAACTTGGAAAATTCATTTTCCATGGACCACAGTACTTGACTGCTCTGAACCGCATCATTGCGTTGATAGCGTATGCAGATCCAGAAACATCTCCAGTTGCCGAATTTTTGTCACAGAAACGGCGAGAGGAAGTTGCAACCATGTTGAATAGCTATATTTTGTGTTAGTACTCTGTCCCGTATTCTGGCGAATTTCAAAGCTCAACTATGTTGCATCATGTAGCGTACCACAGCCTGCCGCCAACAACGACAATGGAACGTATTGTTCGTCAAGCGACGGTCGTGCGGGAGGCATTAGGAGAGGCACCGAAGGATGGGAAGAAGAGCGGGAAGGTAAGAGCGGCTTGCTCTTTCCTGATATGATTTGGATATTGAATTTTCTTCCCTTGTGAACAGCCACAACATCCTAAATGGCAGCTTTCAATACTGGTGGGTGAGGCGGGTGTATAGATGTTGTGACAAGACTTTTTCAAACTATTTTCGGTATTGGGCTCAAATTCCGTACGAGTTGTGTTTCGAGTCCGGTATCTATGTCTGCGACGCATGTCCTACCTATCGCCGACGGGTACTACCCAGTGTCATGTCATGCTTTACCCTTTTGGGTTGTTTTCATTCGTCATTTGCAGAAGTTGCAATAGATTGACCACCGCTGGATTGACATACAATCATTGCCCGTACACTAGTTGGTGTATAAGGAAACAAAGTTCTCTCAATGTGGCACACACCAATCAACCCATTATTTGATTCTATTGCAAAGTCAGTGTATTTCGCTTACAGATCCAGTCAAGCTTGCTAAAGCGGACAGGATAACACTGGTTATCTTGGCTGCCACATTATGGTCAAATGATGCCCTTCAAAATGGCAAGGAAAGGTGAGACGAAATGCCGTAAGTTTGGTAGTCCGCAACCTGAGACGCCAGATAAGGTGCGAGATAGGTGCGCCCGGTCAGCCGGTGCAGTGCTTTCGGTAGTTGACTCCTTGGCGTCCCAATATTGGATGTAAGGGAATTTTGTAGTGTAATGAACATTGTATAGACATGTCGTAATGACTGATCGCGTCCTTCGCGTAATCCGGTCTCGTGCTGGTGGACCCTTTCAAATGTAACTTTCGTTAAACATTTGTGCACAGAACAACGTCGAAATTACCTTGTTGCTTTGATATTCTTGTTCCTGAAAACCAAACCTCAACCACTACAGGCCGTATAGCATGTGGCTACGTCGGAACGCTCCTATTCGCGACCGTGTGGATGCTGGAAACCAGCTCGCCAGTGACCAACGTCTCCAAAAATATGCAGGACGAGGGACAGATACCATCATTCTTGCGCTGCCCAGAGGGGGTGTTCCCGTCGCATTTGAGTAGGGTGTTCAAGACAGCAGCAGTGTCATTCAGTCAGCGTCACTCACAGCCTTGACATATCTGCAGAATGGCAAAGAAATTGAACGTGCCCTTAGATTTGATGTTAGTTAGGAAGCTCGGTATCCCTTTCCATGAAGAGACTGCAATGGGAGCAATGTAAGTGAGACGTGCTTATTCAGCACATACTTTCTCGTTATTGACCTTTGCTCTAACAGCGCCATGGGCGGGGTAACTTATATCAACGAAGAGTTTGTGTCGTCGCTGGGCATATCAAATGCTGATGTGCAGCGAGTCATCCGAAAAGAGGTTTGTGAAAGTGCTAGATACTGCTGAGGGTGGCTGTAAAAAGTTGATCCCGTTGCCAGACCGAAGAGCTTCATCGGCGAAGTAAACACTATCGGGGGAACAAGCCGTATCCAATTCTGGCCGATAAGAACGTCATCATCGTTGATGGTAAGGGTCGGGGCCATCATCATCTGATTGTTCCGATGACTCACTTAATCCGCCAGACGGAGTCGCTACGGGGGCTACCTTGCGAGCTGCTATTCAAGCTGTCAAACAATTCAATCCCAAACAAGTTATTGCCGCCGCTCCAGTTGGAGCTCGGGACAGTTGCAGGGATCTGGCACAGGTTGCAGATGAGATGATCTGCTTGCATCAGCCTGAACCATTCAACGCTGTTGGGCTGTGGTATGTGAATTAATGTGGTGATGATCATAGTAACTTGATCTAAGGCCAGCCGCCACTATCACATAGGTACGAAAGCTTCCCTCAGACTGAGGACGAAGAAGTGATGGAACTTCTTCGCAAGGCGGAACAATTTGGCAAACATGAAGAGTGACATAGCTCAGCATTGGCGGTGGGCTAAGAGTATACTCTCGCGGCTTGTCTTCAGTTTCTTGCTCACATTCCCTTTGGGTATATGCCTGGGCGTGTGTTTCAGCTACTTGTTCTTTTCTTCCGCCTAATGAATCGCTGGAAGAGAGTGGTAAACAATACGGATATAATTCATCATATCATCATCAAAATTCCAGTTGTACGTCTGAGCATGCGGGGGACGTGAAGCCCTCTAACTCATCGGGGAAGATGAGCTTGGGGCCAGATTTCTATTCTGATGGATGGAGCCAAGGTCAACAGTCACACCAAGGAGGGTCCGGAGAGATAGGATTGCCCACGCGAGCCACTTGCAGTGGATCGCAACCCTCCGACGTCAATCCTCAGTACTGTTCTTGAAGTCCCGACTACCTATTGATCTACTTCTTTTTAATACTAGACAGTGGTGCACCAATGTCTTTGCCGCGCAACTTCACGCCCAGAACCCGCTCCATCTTCGCCAAGACTTGCTGGTTTGGATTTGCTGCTTTCCCCGTTTCGTATTCGTTCACCACGGTTGCCTTTTCGTTGATTTTGGTAGCCAAGTCCTTCTGCGTCAATCCCTTTGCCTGTCGCGCCTGTTGAATTGCCTTCGCTACGGACAAGCCCAATCGTTCAACCGTGAAATCCTGAAAATGACTCATCGTCAACATGATGTTCCATTCGTACGTGATCCTTAGATGATGACATACCTCCGTCTCATTGTCAATCTTTGCAGCTTTTCCTGCATCAATCCCCGCACGCTGTGCATTGGTTGTGGATTTCTTCTCTGATGTGACGGATCCACCACCTCGTCGTGCAGCGTTCACAGCCGATTCTGACTTGAGAGCTTTGCTGGTCTCAGGGCGCTTGCGAATCACGGTAACATCATCCCAGGAGCTCATATTGAGGATGTTTCAAGTGCTGTTCTGTTAAAATAAATGCGATGCTGAATCTAAGTTGCTGAGCGGCGATGTGGAGTTTGTAAGCTGGTTGCCAGGATCGCAATAGAAGGTGAGCGAAGTTGGGAGCTCGCAGTCATTCCTTTTAAGGAAGAATGATCGAATATGTCGCAGTAACTGCCACAACGTGACTGTACCTCCCGTTATCAGTAGACAAAGGACCTGTGTAGCAGAGAGCCAAATCAGAGCGAGAGCAGCTACTACTTGTCTCCAATTACGCTCTCCAGCCTGTAATCCCGTTGGGCAATAAACAAATGGTCAGCCGTGGCTTCACTTGGAGTCTGGCCAAGAAGTCTAGCATTAAGGGTTTACAATCCTTCAACACTGTTTCGAGGGCTTCAATAAGACGGCGGTCAGAGGAAGGGAAAGTTATGTGCTTTTCTTACTCTTAACGCCACTCGCACTGTTTGTGTCATTTGTCGTTGTCGTTCATCATTATTCCAGCGTGGGTTCAAACATTTCGGCCCGGTGACAACCAGCCCGGATGAAGCTACCAGCTATTCCTAGGCATAATTGCACATTCAATACATCCCGGTTGGTCTAACCTGGTAACTAGTGCCCACGGCCTTCTTCGTTGCAGATGCTGTAAGTCGAGGGAGGATAAAGAACAAGAGTGGGTATTATAGAGAAATGACTGGATACAATGAGAGCAACTGCAGAATGTTTCTCTCATCAGATAGCTGCTGAGAGCAATCAATGATTAATGGCCGCACGGGCAATAGGGGTCTGTCGTTATTGTTTATCTTCATGATGATCACGTGTTTATTCAATTGGCTGCATTTTCGCGACACTAGCGACCGGTCATAGTAACGGGTGGCACAGCAACCATGTTCCAACAGGCTCTTTGCTACCAGCTGGAGATCACTAGCAAATTCAGACCTGTATTTAAGATTGTTACCAGTAGATCCTTTGGCATTCCTCAGTCTGACTGAAGAAAGAACGATGGACGACAAAAAGGGCATAAAAAGAAAAAATGAGGAAGCGGAGACTATAGAGAATGTGGACTCAGCTTCAGGGGAAGAAGACCTCGACCAGGTAGGGGAAACTTTTACTGTATGGCTTTCAGTCTCTGGCTTTGAGCGACAACTTGATATTCAACGGCTCACACTCAGGATACTGTTGACGTTGATTTCGAATTCTTCGATCCCAAACCGATAGATTTTCACGGTCTCAAATCACTTCTCCGCCAAACCTTTTCCAATGACGCTGAGTTGATAAATATATCATCTCTGGCCGACATCATAATATCACAACCCGCCGTCGGTTCTACAGTCAAAGTTGACGACGAGCAGGACCCGTACGCACTCATGACTGTTATCAATCTCGATATGCATAAGGATAAGGACTGCGTGAAGGAAATAAAAGGATGGCTGTTGGATAAATCAAAGAAGAATGATGCCGTGCATGGACGAATGGTGCAGATCGTGGAGAAGGCGGGATTGATCTTTAACGAGCGGTTGATCAACATGCCTCCGCAAATTGTCCCGCCGATGCTGAAGATGTTACTTGAAGAGATGGAATGGGCTGTTGAAGATGTGAGTACCCATTGAGCTTTCAACAGTGGGAGTTGTAAAGTGCTCTGACGACTTGAATGGATGCAGGGTGAACCGTTTCGATTTGAATACTATATATATATCTCCAAGGTCTACAAGGAGATAGAGTCCACATTGGCCGAGGAGGATGGAGTGGTCATTGAAAGTTCAAAGAAGGGAAAGAAGAAAAGGGCAAAGACGGTAGGTTTGAATACACCGTAATTTTTGCCGCCAAGTAAGAGCCTTTGACGTTGTATTGTTGCAGAGCACGGAAACGAGTACCTTCTATTTTCAACCTGAGGATGAAATCATCCAAGAGGTGCGGTCCACGTTTAGTAAAACTACTAAGATGCACATTGACGTTTATCTTCAACAGCACGCCGAGTTTTCATTTGATTTCAAGTTTGCAAAGGAAGCTCAGTCATCCGATTCCCGTCGAGCCTTTCAAGAGTATGGGATCGACCCATTGAGAAGAGTATTTGTCATCAAGGCAGAAAAGATGAAAGCCGTTCTGGAGCAATTCGAGAGCATACTTAGTGCATAGCGACGGAAGGATGTGCTGCTGCAGGTGAATATCCTACAGGATAGTCCACTATTGTACATAGTCAACATGTTTCTAGAGCTGGGTTTCAGTTTTCTGCTGACCCACTATCTATTGACCGGCAAAAAACATGATAATGATGAATCTCGGGGATAGTTTTGCGATGTGGTGGGTTCACAAAATGAATGAATTCGTGACCGGGCATGCGCTCCTTCAACAAGGCTTCCGTTTGATCTTCAGTGAGTTCCTCCAAGGACCACAGTACATAATGTTGGATTTGTCCATGGGGTTTTGTTGCGTATGGGAAGGAGTTTAATCTGAGCACTTTGTCGCGCAGATGTGATGGATCTGATGGGCGTACAGCACAGAGCTTTCCGGTGTTAGCATCAACCTGGGAAATGTAGCCAAGGACTTCAATCTTGAGTTCATCTGTGCGCACTGCGTGTAAGTCACCAAAGACAGGAAGTCGATTGACGAAAGACGATTAAAGACTATACTTCGTACCAGCAACCGTTACAAAAGATTTCAAGGCGGCTTCTCTCCATTTAAAGTATTCGTCAAGCACCTCGGCTGTGCGCGAAAACATTTGCCATTGTCCACTGTCTACCGCAATTCTAATCTAACTATGTCGGTGAATGAGAAGTGGGCCAGTCCGTGGTGCCAGTCCACATAGTGCATACCTCATCCCAAGTCAGTGGTTCTCTTTCAGGAGAGAAAGTAAAGTCCGACATGCTGATTGCTTTTGCTTCCAACTGGCAATCCAATGGGACACGGTCGACGCTCTGAGACAACAGACAAGCGCCTGATTGCGTAATCCGCTGGATCTAATCGTCTTGTGTTGAGGACAGATCTAGCCAGCAATAGGTGGTCTGTGACTGAAGGAACAGTGCTATCCCATACGATCGATTGATGAACAAAAGATCGGTTGCAGCATATGCTAGATTGGACACCGTGAGTTTGGCTTTTTACTGAATAAGTTCAGAATGTGTGCGATATGTTCCTCTTAGTTGATCCTGCTAGGGTGCACAAGCAATCTGGCATTTTCAGCCTAGTTGATAGTGTAGAGGTGATAAGTCGGGAATAGTAAGAAACAGTCTTACTACCTTCGCCTTCCGCTCCATCTTTGGTCTTAATCATGGGTTTGTTCAGGCTACGAGAGATGGACCTGACTTTACGACATTGCCTGTCACATCCCTGTGAAATCTCAACATGCTGCACGGCCCAATCCGTGTATGAAAATCATATAGTGAAGACAGAGAATGTCCAGCTTCCATCCAGCAATGGGGGACAAACCATTTCCGGCACCAACCGAAACTCAAGTAAGCGTTCCTACGGACACAAGTGGTACGCTTGGTACAGAAAATGCAAAATACCATTCACCGCCTCAACAATTCTCCGCGGTACCAGTAGGCATCACAATCACAAATGTGATGGAAAGGTTGATAATGACGTTCCCGAACGTTCGCTAATTCGCACACATGGTGTTAAAGTCTTTGGACTGGACTGTTTCCTGCAGTCTCAACTTGTGACCAAGCCTATGAGAACCACCAGCAACAGGCTAGCCAAAGCAACTCACTAATCTCCTTTCAGAAATGGGGATACCGAGTCGTAGAACCACTGCATTATCCAAGTTTTAAAGGACCATTCAATTCCGAATGGAGCATCGTTAAATGCTCTTCAATAGTCACTTTTAAATGGATGCCACACCAAGTTTCAGACGGCGCGTCAAAAAACTTGAACAAAAACTTTTGAGGTGCGGCGTGGCGGTGCCCGAAAGCTAATGGGGAATCATCGACTTGAGCTCTAGAAGCAGGATCGGAAGGGGCAGGAATCAACGAACTGATACCCTACAAGCAAACCCCACCAAAAGCGCCTTAGTACCTCAAAGTTGTATTTGAGCATTTGTGTAGCTTGAAACGGCAGACGAACACTCGCAGCGTGCAGAGGACTCACAAGACTTGAACGAACCCCGGCGATGGGTCTCTTCAGTCATACAAATCATGCGTCACCACCTTCACAACCGGACGGCAGTCTCTCCCTCCCTTCACCCCTCCCCCCTCCAGCTTCCCTCTACGCCGCCCCGCCCATTCCTGCCGATAGTACTGTAGACACAACCGACCCTCTTGCGATAGCCATATACTACCACGAAGCAAACGTCCTCGAGGTGGCGACATACTATTTCTCCATCGCAGCAGCAAGAGGGCATCCTGTGGGTTTGTTCATGTACGCAATGTCCATGAGACATGGATGGGGCTGTCAAAAGAATGAGCAGGAGGCTGTGAGATTACTTCAAAAGGCCGCGGAGACTGCTGTCATGGATCTCAACATGGGCTTAGGATCGTCCATGAAAGGAACTTTAAAAAAGATTGCGACGACCGAGTTGACTTTAGCCATCTATGAGCTTGCCATGAGCTTCAAGCAAGGATGGGGTGTACAAAAATCCAAAACTACAGCAACATATTACATGACGATTGCCGCGCAGTTGGGGGATGTGGATGCCCAGCAAGAATTGGGGGAATGCTACTTGAGAGGGGAGGGAGTCAAACGAGATAAGAAAATGGCAGCAAAGTGGTTTAGGGAGGCGGAAAAGCAAGGTGCACACATGGTATCCATGCAGTGGATATGGAAGCCAAAGTACGATCCATAACAGTATCTCTGAAGCTGCTTATATTATCTATTCTTTCTGTAAATTGTTACTCTGTATACAATATAAATGTCTGTTCTGATTCGTCACTATCAATGTTTTTCAAAATGCGGATTGTCTGTCCCAGATCCCTCTAGCACAACTCTTCTGGACTATGTGTCGTGCGCATAACCATTTCTGCCACAGAGTCTTCACTCCTGTTTTCTTGTCTCCTCCCTTTTGCATCCTTTACTCCACGGAGCCCAAAATACCTCTTCCATCGTGCACCTTCCCTCTCGCTTTCTTGATCCCCACTAAATTCCGCGACATGGAAATCAATCAGCCGCAACACAATGACTAACAGCCCTGTGCAAACAGCTAGAGGTATGGGACCCCAGAACCAAGCAAGGAGTGGAAAAGAAACATAATAGCACCGCATTCCAACAGTGTAGTAGAAGCACCCTCGATTGAGGATTGCTGCCACATGCGTGGGATTGCTGCGGAGGTAGTTGTACGTTTCGAGTGTCATATCCTCTTCTTTTTCTTTCTTGGCAATGTTTGCTGGCTCTAGGAATGTTGAGAGCTCGTCAGGCGTTATATTGACTGACATTGTAGAAATAGAGTGAGTTGAAAAACAATAGCTATCCCGTCCGGCAAGAAAGCATGCACATACCGTTGCAAACAAGTGCAGCATGATTGAAGAATCTTACACTCTGCATAAAGCAGAAGAAGGCCAACATCATCGCCGCCAAGACCGCCGCAAACCTGTATCCAAACCAGCTGTCAAGGACAAAGCCGAGCGTATATGATACGGGTGATGCAAGCGTCGTCGGCGTCCAGTTCACCGCGAGAGAACCAAGGAGAGCCATACTAGTCGTTATGATAAGAACGGCCGTTGTTGCAAGAAACGAAGACGCCATAACCCAATTTCGAAGACTCTGTACTATAAACCAGAACCATCACTTCATATTATGTGATGCTCGTTAAGGTAATTCACCTTGAAAAACAACGTACCAGCCAAAATCTCGTTCTTGCGGTACATAATAGCAGCGACCCACACTCTCCTCGCCGAACTTGTTAGCCCGTACACTGTTCGACCGGGAGTTCTTTTGACGCACCGGACAAGGTATACATGATAGAGAGTGAGCACAGCGGCAGAGGGAAGGAGGGACGCCAGGTTGGCAACTGCATCAGAGACCATCGTTGTGCTTTGTAAGAAAGGCCAACGTCCTGCGTTAAAGAAAACTACAAGAAGCCCTGACGCAAAGTTGGCCTTGAAGCGCAAAACGCTGCGCAGAAAGCTGCGAGGAACGCGCTTACGTATATAACCCCACAAATATTTGCCTAATTGAGAATTACCCCACAACTTGTATTAAAATCTGTGGCACAGCCATGTACTGAAAATGGGTCATTTCCTACTGGAAGCACCCAGCAGCTGCACTCTCAAACACTTCTTTTACTGCAGGGGGGACCAACATCCCACCCTTGTCGCCAGCATAGAGAACTTGGTGGATCATGTTGGTGGTCATATCGTAAAGCCTACGGATGGAGTAAACCTGGCGTCAAGACGGCGGACACGAATGGAAGAGAGGATGAGACTGACCATGTCTTTTGTTCCTCGTTTAATGAGCCTCCAGCACTTGTCACAGACTTGACGGATTCAAAATGCTTTTGAATGTGAGGTTGAAACGCGTGTAAGGCGGGCAATGGAGTGGTTGCTTGCTATAAACAAAGAATGCACAATAAGCAGCGATGAGATGGATGAGAGCTGATGGATCAATGCGTCATAATCACTTGCGTACATATAGCAGCGCCAATTGGTGTGCGGTGTATTTATGGGCTTGTAGATTAACGTCTGCACGGAGTTGTAGAGCTGTTGTGAGCAATTGAGATAGGGTAGCGAGTGTCTTGAGGTGTGCTGCACGAATATTCAAAGTCAGTATTTGCCTTTACACAGCTATAGTGATTCGACATCTTCTCCATTACCTTGATACCCTGCTCCAAAGAATCCTATTCTGACATCTTCAACGACTTTCTTGGCATTGTCGATCTGGCGTTGCACTTGGGTATTTGGGCGCGGGTGGGTTAGAAGAGTCTCAAGGGTGCTAAAGTGAGTGAGGAGGCGGATGGGCACCGAGTCATGCGAAAGTAGGGGAGAATGAAGCTGCAGCGGGACTTGGTTTTTTTCAGATGATTACTCGCGTCATAGCGACGGATGTTGACTACCTTGGAATGAAGGGTCATAAGGGTGAGGAGTCACTAAAGGTGAGCTTTTGTGGAGCATTCCTGCGTGTTTCTGCACTTCAGAGGATTGAGCGATATTGTTGCAAGTAGGTAGAGAACTTCTGCACGAGAGCTGCAATGGGGCTTACGTAGCGCGCTACGAATCGAATCACGAGATCAAGCGGTGCCAGTGACAGAATCCTTTGACGCAGAACAGAAATCTGCCAGCATCATGAATCCAGCTCACATACAGGCCCACATTCGAGCTCTTTTTCAAGGGATTCTGAACAAAGATACAGTCATTCAACGGCAAACCATTGAGCGGGCGTATTTCCCTGATGCAACCTTACAGAACCCTTATTTGGTGGGTATAGGGTAGGTTTTTTAATGGAGATCGACGTATTGTACTGCTTCATGAGGTTGGCAGAGAGACCTCCTTCTAACCGGATGCTGATTTCCAGGTGCTCAGTAATCGAGACCAGATTATTCGAAGTTATGCAGGACTGTCCAACTCTTGCACGGAGTTATTGGGAATAGTAAAAGATATCGGTACGTTATTGTTGCTTTTCATGTTCTTCGCGTTATCTTTCGCCGCAGATCAGCTAATTATACCCGACAGAGTACAATCCTGACACTCAAATTGTTCGTCTTACCGTGCTCCAAACTATAAAACCGAAAGCACTCGGAGGGGTACTGGCCATAACAACAACCCAAGTTCTTTCCCTCCAGCTCGAATTTTCTGGCGAAAACTCTCTCCAAATTGTTTCACATGATGAACATCATCTTGCGCAAGACATCATCAAGCAAATGCCGCTAATTGGAAAATATTATGAAACGTCTATCCGCACGGCTCTGGGACATCTAACACTCGCCGGAACAAGTGTATTGAATGCCACCGGGATTTTGGATCTATTCCCTGCTGCTGTGCGAGTATCGAGCGATACTGCTAGTGCCATGCGAAAAAAGGCATCAAGAATCACGAATGATATTGCGCTACCGGCGCTGGAAGCCACCGGCGTCACACCATTAGTAAGAGACGCCTTCCAGCTCACTCAGAACGCCATGGGATGGGCTACAGAAAATGCCAGAGGCGCTGCATCGCTGACCAGGTCAACTGCGGTAAAACTGATTGAAGAAGGGAGAGGGGGAGTCGATTGTTATTCCCCGACATGTAAACCTGGGCAAATCTGTTATTCATCAACATGCCCTCGAGGCAAGACGTACCAGATGTTGTCAGTAGATGCGGTGGCGGATATTGTTAAGGGTGTTTACCAGGGTGTGCAGAAGTCAACGACGGGCCTGCTAAAAACCAACTGAATTGAGCAGCATCAAATTTATATCGTATTGGTAGACGTCCGACTTGAATGTGGCATTCTCAATGATTTATTTATATACTCCTTTAATTCAGTTTCCTGATTAAATTGCGAATACATGACATAGAAAAATACGGTACCCTCCTCGACTGATATTCTGCAGCAGCAGAGCCGATCAATCGACGCAAAATATTGGTATTGCGAGGCTATCCTTCCCCAGGACTCGTCACTCCTGACATATATCAAGGACACTTCGACTCAAGCGGTAGAAGTCTCAGACACTGAAAAACAGGCTGACATATATGTAGTATCGTAGCAACATGATATTTAACGTTTGCAGCGGACATCGGTCGTGGTTTGATGGCCTCCCCTTGCCCTACCAAGGAACAAGCCCGAAAGGGGCTGTCCATCCCTTCCAATAATGCTCACTTTGGCGAGTAATTAGAAGATCGCGGGAGGCTTCCCCAATCGCTCATTGAGATGTTAATGTGGCGGTTGTGCACAACATCACTCCGAGGAAAACAAGTGCAATGCCCATCATTGTTGCTGGCAAGGGGTGAAGTTATGTACCCGCAGAGTTCCCGAAACACAGAGACCTCATACCTTTAGACCCAAGCTCTTCCCCAAGAAAGACACCCGCCAGTATGGTAAGCGCTAATGTTAGTGAGTTGGCAATTGGAACAGCGATGGAAAGATCTGTTTTCCAGAAGAAGGGTAGAACATTTTCCGAAATTTCAGAAGCGAAGTACTGTTTGAGACTAACCACTTTCGCCCAAAGTTTTATAATACACAGCCGATCCACTCAGGTTGATAACTAGCGGAATGATATACTTTATGTTGGAGATGTAGTGGTAGTCATTGGACCAGGCCATGGTGAACAACAATGAGGCTGCAAGGATATTACCTGCCATCTTGTTAGCAAATAATAAAGCTCAGCCGTTTGCCGCTTCCACCAAGGGGACTGCTTGTATTGCCGTGTCACATCTTCCAAGCCTTTGCTGCCACGCTTGATAAAAGGATTCGTGAATCCCCAGCAAAGCGCAACGGCAATAAGCCCTAGAATGTTCGCTAACATGACAGAATGTGTGAATACTGCCGCCAGGGGAACATCTGGGTTGCAACAACGGCGGCTTCATACCCAAGTTCATTCCTTGTGGGGATTGGCGAAACGCGGAATGTCGACGACGACGACACCGATCATCCTTGCACACGTGTCTGCTTACATACCCCCCGATCGTGTGGGGGAAGTGTCAGGCAGGAATTTTCCCACGCAACTGCTCGCCATCGTCCAGGCGAGGCTAACAGTCAACTGCAAGCAGGCTTGTCATTTATCTTTTATTCACTTCTTCAGCCGAGTATACTCGCGACTGATCTCGCATCATCTACAGAGCTGTCAAAATAGATGCCCAAGATGTCAAAACAGCGCTCTCGAAATCTCTTTACTAAAGCTATCGCCGCTGCGACCAGTCAAATACCCAACGAGCAGCAACGAAATAGTCATAGGCACAATAACTTTACTTTGGAAAAAAATACATTTCGCTATGACTTGTCGTTGGATCTGGACAACAAAAATGATGGCGCGAAGAGCATGAGTGTAAAAAGCGAGGTGGCCCCTTCTGCAGAGGAAAGGAATGAAGCCGATGAGAACCCTGACAAGGGCTTCGAGGATTCCATCTTTCTTCCATTCGATTTTGACGTCAACAAATGCTACCATAAGTTGGTGTAGGTGTTTGTCTTTATTTGCTTCATATATGTCTTTTTGGTCGCAAACCAGTCTTCCTTCCCAGGCAGATTGCCACTGAAGTTGGAATTATGGTTTCGCACGATTTTGATAGTAACACTTTACGACTTTGCGCAGACGACGTAGAATCGCTCTCTCATGGGTGATGTCAGATATCACATTTCATGGAAACGTAGCATATCTTAACCTGGCTGCTCTTTTATAGTCGCGGACTCATCAACAGCCTTGTTTACAATCCTGAGCGGCCGATCAAAAGCAAAACTGTTCGCAAGTTTGCGAAGGCTGAACGTCCCGGAGAGTGGGGTGAACCAAGGGAGAATAGTGCTCGTCCAGGTTCATACAAAATGCTTGGTAAATATGGCGAGTATTAGACGGCGTTTACAGGGCATCAATTGAAAAAGATACGCACGTAGTCGCAAGGTTTTTGGGAAGGATAAAGGGTTTAAAAGATGTACTGAAAGTACTGCTAGTTTTTAGTTGTTCGCAACACCCTCCAGGCTGCACTAGTACCTTTCATCAAAGAGAGGTCTGTTTATGTCATCACTTTTAGTTCACGTGCTTCTTGATCACGTGCTGCATTCTTTGGAGATTTTGCTGAACTTGAAATCCTCTCCATGTTGCGTACGTTAAACATTGAACAACAAACGTTGGTTTTTCGGCACGCATAACCAGGTGTGTATAGTAACGTGCGCGGGTTGCAGATGCAACGGCATCGGTATAAAGAGCCTTGCACGATGTCTAATGTCAAATGCTGAAACGTTTTCTACTGTTGCGTTTTGTCTGGTCAGTGTCCTCTATCTATCTTTGCTGGCTCTGAGTAGCAGTTGTCCACTATTGTAGCATAGCGTATGTGTAATATTCTCTGTGGTTGAAACCTTGCACAACTCTCACGCCCGTTTCGCCTTAGATCACGCCGTGCCGCCGAGCATGACTGTTCCAAATGACACCTCACTAAGCGGGTTCGATATTGACGAGTTCGTCACTTGTGCCCGCTATGGCGAACTAGATGACCTTAAGGCACTCATTTCATCATACCTTACATCCCAAGGACAAGATCAATCGTCTACAAACCCTGCAACACTCCGCGCCTTATACACATCCGCCCTTCCAAACGGAAACACTGCGTTGCATATGGCTGCCGCTAACGGTGAAATAGAGGTTCTTCAGTACCTGTTGCCGCAGCTGACTGTTGGAGATGTGAACATAGGGAACAGCGATGGGTCAACTGCACTACATTGGGCCGCGTTGAATGGGAAATTGGACTGCGTGGAACTGTTGTTGTCGTGCGGGGCGGATGCAACGATTAAAAACGAACAGGGACGAAGTCCTGTGACTGTGGCGGAGCAACAGGGACATTTGGAGGTCGTTAATGCATTGCTTAAATCGTATGAACCGGATGAAGAGGAGGCCGACGAAAGTACACCACAGGAGGGCAGTGCATCTACAGAACCCGTAGATAGTTAAACTAGGTTCTCATACGCTCAACTTGGTGACACATTGTAAATAGAACATAGCACGAGCGCAATAGGGAATGTAGAAGCACAGCGTGACCGTAAGCCTAGTCTGCTAGGGTCAAGGGTTATATAGAGATCTTAATCAATGATTGCGTTTTATCTTTACTGTGAAAACGTGAAGCACAATGTGCATATATCCTTTGCGTGGGGATCCATCATGCTACGGGCTTAATCCATCATCTATCGCACATAAAGAAGGACCGAAAATACCCATAACATTCTCTATGAGCATCATCCGAAACTTTTGAACCACGAGTCCCAAGGCAATTCGGAAATCGACATTGAACATGATCCGGTGCAAGAGCTCTCTGAACTACCTAAAGTCGCCCGCCCATCAGTTGAGTCGGACTTGATTGCCACGGTATGCGCCAAGTAGCTAATAATCACAGGCTGCGTTAATGTTCAGGCTGAACGCGCATGTGGCAAAGATACCCGCTAAATTTGTAAGTTACCCTTCAAGGTTGTTATCCCAGTACATGTAAGCAGATATCTCGGTGGTTACTTTAGCCTCCCGTATATTATTTGAGCAATGTGATAATATAGATACAAAGGAGGAGTCTGATGTGAATCATGGGCATATGCTACTTCCATTTTGGCTGTCGTCAAAACGATCATCAGGAAGCTAGCCATAATGCGGAGAGACAATCGGTAGGACTTACCATACATCGTGGAGTGTGAAAACCGGCTGCCACTAGAGGTTGACGGCGCTGACGTGAATCATATAATCCACTTCACACGAGCTGGAGATAATAAGACAGTAGGGTCCAGCTCTTCAGCCTCACTCAGGATCTATGTCAAAGGAATCACCACAAGGATCTTTGCACATCCGGTGGATACTGAAACGGCCACGCAATAGTGACAGAAAATCATCAGTACGAAAGTTGGGTCAATGCCAATGACATAAAGGAAACAATTCATTCACGTGGTTTAATGCCTACTTGGGGACGACTACGAATACGAATGCCAAAAACAGGCACGTAAAGAAACGATATATGGATAATACACTCGCACTTCCTGATTCCTCTTTATACACAAAACGCCCCCCATCTTACATTCTCTATGAACAAATAACTACAATGATGACATCTGGATACAGTAATCAGCCCCCAACGCATTTGCTGCTGATTCTACATGCGTTTCTTGTCTGAGAAGGCGGCGATGTTGTCATCTCCCCCTGTCTGCGCTGCGGACAGCATTGGGCCGGAGGGAGGGGCACTGATGTTAGCGGGGTCAATTCCCTCTGGAGCTTCATCTGCAACGTTTTCTCCGGAACTCGTCGCTACAAACCAGAAAAACAAGATGAGAGACCAATCGACCACCCTGTAAAGTAGTGCCTTGCTTACCAATATCCTCATTGCCGCCATTTGCCTTGGGGAGATCAGGGACGGGAGCGGCCGACGCAAAGGTGGCAAGAAGGAGCGCAACGAGAGCGATGAATTTGATTTGCATGCTTGAGAAACTTTGGAAATCTGAGCTCTGGAGAGTTTAGAATGGAGCAAACAGATGGAGGGGAAAAGCCGACAACTGCTCGTTATAAAATACAAGGGTATAAACGCAAGGGTATGAGCGAAAAGCAAGGGTAATTTCAGTAAAACGCTCATCTCCGCCAACTCCGCTAAAGGATGAAGTGTGGTGGCATGGTCACGTTAGATTGGTTGAAGCTTGGATGTCAATTTCCTTCCACCCAACGACTTGCCTTGGTGGTTAATGAGCCAATTAATCTTGGCGGCGGCGACGTTTCATCTATAGGTGTGGCTTTTGATGACCCTGGCTTAGTAAATGCTCAGCAAACGCTTAGTAGTGTCCGATTCTTTCGGACAAGATAGAATCAGCACTGGGCAGGACGCGAGTGATTTCGCTTGGACAGTCCATCTTGACTGATTACGACCCAATGAATAAGGAAAATACAGATTCTGTCGCAGATGCCGAGGGAAATCGTAGGCAGTCCTTGGTATGTGTTCCTCAGAACTTTTCGTATTGGAACGAGACCTTACTTTTGATCAGTTTGCGGGAAAGGGTATCCTAAAAGAGACCGACGCGACATGGCCTCCAACTCGGACAAAGGATCCGCTGCAAAACGACAGACTGAATCAAACGGTCGCATTTGAGTGAGTGCAAAGGAGGTTTATGGGCGGATAGATGGAGATTGACTTTTAGAGCTCGACTGCAGGAAAGAATCAAAGAAGCCACGAAAGTCGTTGGGCAGGCGCGTCTCATTTGCTCCTAAAGCCCATATACGGTGAGTAACCGAAGTGGGGTTACCGATATTCTTGTGGAGAAGAGTGAATATCATGTCGAAGAAGGGGCGAGCGGGGAAGAAATATCTGCGAATGTTCTGCTATGGCGATATGATGAACCGCCAGCACTGAGTAGCTGAAATATTGAATTTTTGACAGTCCTTTCAAAGAAGATTCCGATAAATGGGATGATGTGCTGGGCTCTGGACCGCTCTTTGGAGATGGTGGAATTACCAAGTTTGAAATGCCCGATCTTTCCTCTGTACGCCGAAACAGGTGGGGATATTGGACGGAACAGCTGAGGAGGGCAATGTTGCCATTTGCTGAATCTTGACTCTATAGTGGGATCTTCAACAATATTCGCTTAAGCTTAGGAGCCGACTCACATGAGTAAGCGAGCACGTATCCACTGGTTTGACAATGGCCGCGGTTTTACTGATTGCTTTATAGAGACACAAGCTACGAAGTGGACTTAAAAGGTCCGGCAGACGCGAAGAGTAGTGCTGATGAAACTGACTCAGATATTATGATGGATGACGAGACATGGTCAGAAGACACCATCTCGATTTCGGCTAGCAAATCGGCAGTGGTGCCTGTTCCCCAGAATAGCGGCGATGACGATAGCAGGCGCAGACCGCGCGATAGCATTGCAGCCTTTTTCCAGCATCCCAGACCTCACCACGAGCCTTTGCTCGGGGAAACTCCTGTGGCTCCCCCACCTGGTCTAGTCCTAGACAAACGGCGGATGCCACGTGACAGTATCGCAGCCTTCTTTCAGCACCCGGACGACGAGTCAGAAGCCGAGAATGTTGAGGAGCCGCATGCTGAAAGTGACGATGACATCGAAATGGCCACTGAGGATCCTACTCAAGCCTCGGTGGCGGATCGCATCCTTCCGGACGGTAAGCCCGTAGGATGACGAGAGGAGAAGTTCGGTAGCCAACTTACGCTCTATTTACAGATATTGTTCCTACTGAGGAAGCTGAATGGACGGGTTATCCGGCAGTCCCTGTGGAGGAAACTCGGCTAACGGAAAACGAAAAGATCAAAAGAACGGAAGAAGATATTGCAATCTCCATGGATGTGTCTCTTGGAGAAGGCCGTGTCTCACCACGATCTGTTCCTAAGAAGAAGGAACTTGTCAAGTTTGAAGGGGAGCTTGCCCAAAGTGATCTTCCTGCATCCCAATCGGGGCATGTTGATATCGTGGATCCATTTGAGCAGGCAGAGGGCAATCAAGGTGATATATTCATCTGTAATCCTCATTGAACGAGCGAAACGCTAAAGGTCAAAACGGCCAATGGTAGCCTTTCTACGCTCGGCCGACGACCCTGCACATCCCTCAGTGCTCAACTCTGACCCTGTGGATGACACAATAGCCGGCTTCTTCACCCGCGTGAATTCAAACGATGAAAAAAACAAGGATGGTAGGAGGCCATGGGTTTTCTTCACAGGGGAATAGTTCAAGGGCTACTTACTGATGCCATCAATGCTTGAACCAGTACCTGAAATCTCTTCAAAATCTGTAAACAATAACCGGGTTTTAAATCAGCTGAAGACAATAACGCATCTAGAAGATCGCGACGACACGATTGGCCGGTTTTTCTATCATGACTCGAATACGAACGAAGGTATGGTCAAATCGGTCACGAACATCTTTCTGTAGTGTACGTCTCACAGTATATTCGGATTTTAGGAGGAATGCTGCGTCGTACTCTGGAAGCCGATTCGTCTGATGAGGAATGCCATCAGGATCCAACCGTCGCTATGGATCTCACGGAATGTGCCACGCGGGTTTTAAGCACCCATGTCGATGATACCACTTCAACGACTGGCAGCGTAATGTCAAATACGCCAACTCGAACGGCAACAAAGCGCCGCCGCAGCTCTGTCTCATGTAGGCTGAAGCATGTCCCCCTTTCGTTGCGATGGGAGTGTAAACTAATTCCGACACAATTGCAGCTGTACAGCGCTTGTCGAATTCCAAAAAGGCGGCCAAATCTCCGAGCATTGATGCTATGCCATCGCCGATTCCTACCGCAAGTGGGTTCCGCAAATAGTCCATGTGTGATTCGCGTAGATAACCATACAAATTACTGTGCAGTCACACAGCAATCACCAGGAGCTTCTGAACAATCATCCCTTCTCGAGAAAGATGCCACCTCCCGAGCGGCTCCATCTCCATTCCGCCGATCCAGCTTCGCGTCAGAGTTTGCAGGAGATACATCTTTGGCAGGAATTGAGGATGGTAAGATGATTGCATAAGATTGAAGCTATGGCTTTGACGAACTCTGTTTTTATGGTGCACTAGTTGAGGACGATTTGATGAATGAACATCTCTCCATGCTTGATGACTCTCTTATGGAAGAGGTAAGCCTGACTTTGACAAGTCTTAGGTTGTCCTCGCTGTCCAGGGCTACATTGATCTTGTCACACCCTAATTTTAGGCAGAACCAAATGCGGTGGCCACAGTGAAAGAATTCTTACAAGCGACGGGAATATACTTCCAGGATAATCTGACCACAAGCTTCAGGCGAGAAACGAACGCTTATTTGCGCACATCAGGTGCTTTACTTATTTATTTTATTTATTCTGGTTGCTGACATTAACAATGCTACATCTTAGAGCAACCGACAGATATTGATTATTATAGAGCAGCCTTACTTTGGTCATCGGAGTTGGACACATATGAATTCGTACGTAGACTCAAGGGCAGCTCTGGAATCGGCAGGTCTTACAGAGTTTCTGGACAGGGGTGCAAAGAACTTCAAAAATACATTGAAGATATTCGAGAAGAACTGATACAGATTGAAGAAGATGCTGAAGCAAATGTCCCACCAATTTTCTTTGACGTTGTAGACGGAACATCTGAGGAGCGGGCTCTCATCCAGGTATATGACTTATTTTTATCCTTCTTAAATGAAGTGGTCTTTACAGTTTTGGTTTTCAACCATTATTAGCGTCAACTGAAAGCAACCCGATCTATAACACGAGCTGAAGCTAAAGAAAGTTGGCATGTTTGGCGAGCTAACTTGCTGAATAACCTGTCTGAAGACTTCACCTGCAATTTGGAACGGCTTGAAAAAGTGCGTAGTTTTGTTGCATCTCACATATGTGCGTTGCTGAGAAATGATTTTCCACAATCTATTAGGATGAACGGATCATCCAAAAATTCGCGGATCGTAATGCGGACATGATAACAGAAGGACAAAAGTACAGAAGTCAGAAAATGATTGAGCTGGAAAGTGCTCGCAATCGGTACATGCGGGCACCTTCTTTTTTCCCAGAAGACATGAGACAATTGCTCATCTGTGTGCTAGATTGGCAGAAGAAGAACAAAGCGATAATGATCGGTTGGTTGCACTTAAGCGACGGGAGGCCGAACAACAGTACGTGCATAACGGAGCGACAGATGTTTTTTAAAGTGAAAGACTCACCCTTTACCAGAGCCAGACTCCTCGAGCTGAAAGCGGAAAGCGAGCAATTACGGCTGTTATGTGATCAAGAACAGGCCCGCGAGAGCGAGTTGTTGAGGAAGAAGGATTTGCTATACCAGGTTTGGATACAGTACTGACGCCTCTCATGTTACCGTACTGACTTATATTTTAGGCCATAGAGAATGCTGAAAACATCTGTAAGGAGCTGATGATCTTCGACCCGGAAGAACTTTCGACGCTGCGAAGTGGGTTGCGTCTCTGTGTTTCATTTACTTTCAGACCTGCTCAGTTGCTTCGGGTCTTAGGCGAGTACAAGCTCCTTACGTCCATGTTTCCTTGGACAACGGTTCATATCGCATCAAATAAATACATCCTTGCCTATGATAATGCAATTGAAGTGGCTTTTATTAAAGTCGATGACAACCATTTTGGAGTTGAGCTTTCTGTGTCAGAGCCAAAGGTATAACCCTGTGCTTAACGTGGCAATATATCGGATAGGGCTGACCCCGTTGGGTCGCAGAAACCGTCGATATTGAGCATAGTGCCTGCGTCCATAACCGGGGGCCGTGTTGTTGTAGATGCACTTGGGCACGACAGTGTAGGTTGCTGTTAACACAAGATGTTTCGCCAGTTCCTTACATATTCCATTCCATTTAGGTATGCGGTATATTGAAAAATGCTCAGCAACAGATTGGTATATGTCACGGACCGAAAGATTTTTCCAGGGTAAGTTAGACTGGTGTTAGTATTCGTGTTCGTGCTCGTTGCCCGTGTCCTTTCTTGCATTGATATGAGGTACCACACCCATTAGGTCATTAGTCACACCGCCTACATATGGAATGGCCTGCGAAAGCTGTACCACGACATCGAACTGGCTCGTGACGAATATGACATCACATGTGTTAGACCACCTGCAGAAGAGAAGCGCGCGGGACGCGGGGATCATTTTCTAGGATTACATGTTGTGTGTTTCTGCCATAAGACACATGTTCGATTCGAAGTCACTCTTTGGGTTGCGGGAGATGGCAAAGCGGAGGTGTACCCATCTGGACGTATGGATTGGGACGTGAACATCACTTACGGTGGCGTCAGGTAGGTGATCTTGGTCTCATGGAGCATTGCGAGGACAATTTTTGGAGTAAAGCAATATTTCGACTTCTTTAGCCGGAAGGAGATCGATGATATCCTCTCTGCTATCCCTGCCGCTCCTGGAAGACTGATGCACATTTTGAGAGAATTAGATCGGATGACCAGGACCGTGGCATCGAAATGGCATGTACCCATCTAATACAGTATATAGCAATATTTATGTACATAAGAGTTTCCAGTTGCTCATTGCTCATCATCGCTACTGCTGTCATTGGACTCGCACGTCTCTTCATCTTCGCTATCGTCTTCTTCCGTCCCGCTAGTATCTGCGTCGCTGTTGTCCTCCTCTTCGCTGTCCGATTCTTCTTCTGGAGAATTCTCGGCTTCCTCGCTGCTAGCGGCCTCTAACTGGGCTATACGTTCACGCAGGACAGGTTGATATTCTTTTATTAGAGCGTTCGTTGGATCAACAATGGCCACTTTATGGTATAATTCATGATCAGGGATATTCTACAGGTCTGGCAAGGCCCACCAAGACGTACATTGATTAGCTACCTCCAATGCTTGCACATAGGCCTTTGATGCGACATACGCCATAAACTTGCTAAGCAGTAGTACAATAAGTGATTCTTGCTATTTAGAAATGTACGGGATTAATATTGCTATAATAATGTGTAGATAACACAAAGCCGCTAACTTCTTCATTGGTTCTAATGGACGTAGGGGATATATCTTGTGAGAGCTCCTGTTTAATCGTTCCTGAAGGTGAGGTACGTCCTTCGCGCGTCTTTTGGGGAATAGTGCCAGGAGAGACTGAAGGTCCTTGTCTAACTAGTGGTTGATTCTTCAGAGGTAGGGGAGGTAGTTTGGTGGGTCTGGCGTTGAAGGCAGCCATCATCTTGGGCTTGCTGGCGCGAACCACGGCGGATGATGATTACTTGCTGCTAGCCTAAGCCCCACAGCCTGCTTACATTATAATCCCCAGCGAAGGTTGACGAGATCTCCAACAGGATCGCATGTCCGAACGAGCCAACCAAACCTTTACCATCCCAATTCCGGCGCCAACAGCCGAGGCTGCTATTGTTGGCGGAGCAGCGATAGCGAGCCTTTTCGTATTTTGCCAGAAAAATAAGCTTCCAGCACCCGAGTACACATTCTCGTCTGGGCCACCATTTTCGGTCAAACTACAGGTGTGTCGCGAGAATACGTAGACATGATATGTGGTCCTAATCTCCAGGTCAGGTGAACGATGCATTGTTCAAGGCGGACGGCTTTCAAAATAAGCAGGACGCAAAGCGTACGGTCGCAGCGGCGGCAGTACAGCATCTACAAGAGAGTGGGCACCCGTACTTCACCACGTCTAGCGAGGGTGGACTGAATTTCATTTCCTTGTTGTGTAACTGGTGTGCCGGTAAGCACTATCTTGTCGATGTACTTCTATTGTTGCCTACTAACAAGCTCTATCGAAAGCCAATATGAAAGAGCAACCAGAGTATTTCATATGGGCTGACGGACAGGGTTCTGCCAATGGGCCGTGGAAGTGTAGAGCGAGAGTTGCCGGGCAATATTTTCACGTATGACTGTCAATCGCTTTGGAAAGTTATGTTGCCAGACACATGATTCATCTTGCATTATAGAGTTACAAATCGTTCAGCAGGAAGCAAGATGCGAAGGAAAGCGCCGCAAGACACGCGTTTAAGGCCCTTGCTGAAGAAGCATCGCAAAAGTGTATGTGTTAATATTTTGCGCTATCGATTTTGGCTGCAGGAACCTAAGAAATCCATCGCAGCATCAGGAAGCCCTGCGGTAGTGCGAAATGATCCCCTCAATGACAACGCTTCGCGCATTTCGTCTGTATCGAATGGTAAAAATACCATGTGTGAAATGAACCTCACTGCCACTCGCCGTGAGTCTGAAAGCTTACGTCAGTATTTGCAGAGGGCGGATCGAGCATTAGAGCCCGACAATTGGAGACCACGAAAAGCTATTGTGAACGCTTGGCTGATTGGAGTGCGGCTACAAACGGTGCCACTAAGGTGGATTACCTTTCTCGACTATTACCTAGTGGACAGTGGATTGCTCAAGTAACTGTGGGTGGGCAGAAGTTCACATCCCTGCCAGGAAGTAAAACGGAAGCTCAAGCTAAAGAATCGGCAGCCGCAGTCGCTTGGGAAACAATAGAAGGTGATGTTGAAGAGCGGTCAGAATCGCCCGGTGTGCTCCGCCAATGGAGGAACACAGTTTTGGGTGCACTGTCCTCCTCATGGGGATTGGGTTCCAAAAGGCGCCGAGAAGAAGCTTCCGATCCGGATGACGTAATATACCAAAGCTCTGGAGAGGAAGGGAGCAACAATCCTACCTATTGTGAGCTGCTGCATGCTGAATGCTTGAAGCTGAGCCTTCCCCGCCCTACTTATAGCTATAGTAAAGATATAGTCCAAGGTGGCGTAAAATGCAAAGTAATGATCAGTGGGAAGACATTTGAGACGTTGCGAGCGCATAGCCGCAAGAGTACCGCAAAGGAAGATGCCTGTGGCGATGCTTACAAGTGGCTAAAAAGATGAATTTTCCTATAGCTAGCGCTTGACGTCTCTAAATGTATAATATTGCTTATGTAGTGATGTAAATATGTACAGCGTGCTGGATGTTCGTCGACTAAGGTTTGACAGGTTGAGTAAATCGCCACTTTAGCAGATCTTGCAGTATGTCCTTCTCAGGATATTCAGGATTATTGATAAGCCCCGCAAGTTCTTTCATGACTTGAGGTGGCCTGTCTTCTTCATCTCCGGCGAGCTGATCTGCTGCTGAAAGATATTTGAGCTACTGTGAGTTTGAAAACTAGAATTGCATGCCTTACATTCGTTGTCATTGAAGCACTCTGTGATTTCTGTTACGCCACGCTCGCCAAGCAGCTATAACACAGTTAGATTTGTCACTAGCATAAATGTATCTGATTGTGATCTGTACCTGCATCATTTTAATGGCCGCCACACGAACTTCGGAATCTGGGTCTTTCCAAAGCTGAACGAGCACGCGTATAAAGTTGAGTCTCAATCTTCGCTCCTTGACGTATGTCATCAGTTGCGCCATAACGCTAACCATATCGGCTTTCTAAGTTGATGTGAAAAGAGAAGGTTGGCGACGTGCGGGTTTTTCAGAGATTCTGAACAAGCAAAGAACGTAAACGTACTCTCCGATAAAGCGATGCACTATCGTCCACAGTTTGTAGCCTGGTCAGTAAATTTTGCATGATACCCTTAATTTTGTTAACAAATCCGGGTTTGATCGCTGCCTCAAGTTGGATCATGACAATCGTGACGAGCGCTTCGACTGCAGCTATGCGTATGCCCCTAATGTTCAGATGATTTAGAGTTGCGATCAACGTAAAGATGAATACTCAGAACCGGACCTGTGTTCATTCTCTAGCATGTCCGCCAGAAATTGGAAGGCGGACATGAGCCGTGATTCGGGGACCGCTATATGGATCAAAGAGAGATTCTTTAGCCCGTCCTCTTGGCGCTGAACTCAAGAAAGTGGTATTTACCAGTGGAAAGGGCATGGAAAAGGCCGTAGCCCGACGTGCCATGAAGGGCAATGACTGTCAACCTTCGGAGTTGTTCGCTCTGAAATATCTCGCATATGAGATAGGGTTCACTGGCCGCCTTGCATGGCACAACGGTGCCTTACCCTCGTGTCAACTAGATCATTAAGCTCATTTTTTCGGATCTCTAATGCTGAGAACTTGTCGGTCTTTCCAGTCTTGACAATTTCCAGAGTGGCTTCCTGATTTGCAGTTTTGAATTCCTCCAGCGCTTCGTATCTGTGTTCCGAGTTAATAAGAAGTGAAGAGGATACTACATCTTCTGAACTACTCACTGTTCATCGCTCACAATCGGTATATCAATATATTCGTTGAAGAAGAAAAAGCTGCTCTCCAAATTTGTGTACAAAGTTTCCCGAATGAGAGCTGCGTTACTGTTGCATGCGGCAATAAAGGCCTGCATTCGATCCATCCATCCGGGAACTTTATCTCCTATTCCATCGTGCGCAAACAAAAGATTTGAAAGCACGTCGATGAGGTGGGTTTCCGCTTCAATATCGACTTCGTCATCTTCTCCACCAGAAGAGGATGGCCTAGGGGTATCATCTTCTCCTCGTGGTCCACCGTCAGAACCGGGTCTCCTCGTCTCTGAACGGCCTCGCTCTCTTGGAGCGATTTCTGGTAAGCGTGGTCAGTTCTGGCTCCCAATGTCCTGCAAAATTCCTTCATGAGAGACTCACCATCCTCCACCTTCTCCAATGTGGACTCCACCAGATCCGAGGCCACTTGCGAGTATTTTCGGATACATTCACGAAGTATGGTTATACTGTCTATATTCATGAGCTGGATACACGTTCAATCATAAGGTTAGAAGTAGGACCCACGCTCGCTTCATAAACGAGTGCATACCCATTGATATTTAGCTAGGATTTCGGGAGTGGGCTTTTTTATCGCTGCCGACTTGTCCTCCACTAGCGTCATTATACTCTGAGGTAAGGGCAACATTGCTCGTGCAAAAGCAGACTCGGGCAAGCCATAACGCTCTGAGAATTTTCGTCGTCGATCCGAACTATACCAACGTACATTGTACGGATCTTCATCAGGAAATGGTACCCGAATGCGCGCCTAGACATATATGAAGCGATGAAGCATCAATAATATTCCGAAGACTAATAATTATTCGACTTACCTCGTCATTTTCCTTCGTATTGATTGCTAGCACAAGCTTATCAATGGAGGGCAGTTTACAACTTTCCAATATTATTGCTCTTTTGGAACCCGCATTAGGCTTGTAGGTTCGAAGAGCGGGAACGACGAAGTCTAGCATTCCCTCTACAATCAAGACATCTTTTGACTTGTTGCGCACCTGGATGAATATACCCGGAATGTGTTGGAATTTGCTTATCAGTACCAAGAAGATCTTGCAAAAAATTTAAAGTGGGCCCCTCACCTCCCGGTTTGAGTCAGCGAGATATAGGAAGCAAAACCATATTGCTTCTTCCGTTGACATGTACTTAGCCAAGATGCGAACAATGTCGAGAGATCGAAGCCGCACCTCTGGGTGCTTTGAGCGGATTTCCTATCAAAGCCGACGGATCTGTAAACTGTCTTCAAGGTGATATAGGTGCATAGAACTGACCTTCTTTGCATTATTCAACAAGCTCCGGAATAAAGAATGTTTTGGTCCTAAATGCCCTAATATTTTCCCAAGACATCCGTAAACTTTTCTTCGCGTATCGGCTTCATCGGTGGTGTCGAGGAGTATCTGAATCGCATCTAGTACTTTGGCCATCTCATCCTGACCGGAAATTAGAGCGAGCTCGACTGAAAGCAGCATGATGAGACTTGGAAGTTTGCAGCCTAATTGTCTTTGGCGATCGGCCACTTACCATTGAGGTACACGGCCAGCAGTCGTTTTCGGATAGCATGCCGCTGGCTGGTGATAATTGGCACATACTTGCGGAGCAGTTCGAGTGCTTTATTGGCGCAAATATCTTGAATCAAATCAGAGAGGTAAAATAATGCCATTAAATCTCCCTCGCTAATAACAGCTGGACTGGAGATCTTGACAAGGATTTGCTTAAAAGCCGATGGGGAGTACTCTAGCATTGTGCGTTGAAACATAGTGTACGCAAAAAACTAAATCATTGTTCCGTACCTGATATGTTCCTCAGTCCCAACATGCAGGCTTCAATTACGGTGGCTCTGTCTGGTGTAATTTCTTGACTCAAATGGTTGGTGAAGATCTCGATGACGTCGGCCACAGTCGTCTCATGTAAGCAGCAAAACTCGGACAGCACCATAATAGCCGGTCCCTAAAGTTGAGTTATGCTGAGTTCGTTACAGATAACACGTTGGTCGGCAGCGAAGAGCAACTAACCTGCATTTGTCGATTTCTCTGAAGTTCTTGGAGATAGTACATCACCTCGCTAATGTTAGCGGGTGGCACAGGGCCGCATACAGTCCTGACCAACTCTTTGAAGCGTCCCATGAGCTTCTGTGAGATGATAGGGAGACGGAATCCGTCGTCCTCCATCGGCTGCATCGAGATGTTTATGCTCAGTATGGTTCTCAATAGTGCACTCTGCATAAAACTCTAAACACATTGCATACCAGTACATCCGGGTCCGACGCGCCTCCAAGCGCATCCAATTCGAATAATATATCATTCATATTCTTCGCGTTCACCGTGAAGCTTGCATTATCCGCTAGGAGATCTTCCCAAGATCTGAGCACAATGTTATTAAGGAATTGTCTCTAAAAGCCTCGCAGCAGATTGACGTACGTTGTTGGCAGAACCAAGCTATCATCAGGGTGCGGTGGTAGACTTTTGCAGAGAGCGTCCTGTTTTGAAGGTACCCTTCGGAGATAACGCGAAAATATCAATCTGACGGACTCATTGGGATCTCCGTATAGGGGCAGAAGTGTCCATAATATGGTCATGCTTTGGACCCCGTCAAGATTAGGGACCTGAATATACGATGACAACATTAACCACTGTGCGTTACAACATGATTTCCTAGATTCGCACCTGCGATAACGCCGACGCCAAAGCTGCTGCTCGAAAAGACCATTGTTTGGTTCTTAGGAACGGCATCAATTCTAGCACGATAGCATATGCAATGGCAGGGTCATTGATCGCCCCCATCGCTTTGATGCTCAGTCGAACAACACCTGTCCGCCAAACATATTGCCCATTAATCGTCAATATGAACATATTGAAAAGTCGAGGCGGAACTTACGATCAGACTCTTCTGTCGTCAATCCGGCAACCATTGGGTCTCCGTTTGCCTGCGGACCACCCGTCTGTATTGTTGCAATCTCACTTTTGAGATACGCAAGAAAATCCGCTGATTGGGTAGTAGGGACGCAGCGAAATACGAGAGGAAACAGCCGCGACGCACTGTTGACAACGTCTGAATCCGTATCAACAATCAAAGCCCTAACCGACGATAGCATTAGCTCTGACAATGCAGATAAGAAGGATTTATGCTTACCGAACGACATCACGTATTTCTTGCAGCTTGGTGGCCACACCATGTGGAAAGACCAATAAGAACGTCTCAATCAAGTCCAGTGCACCAAGCTTTACAATGGACGAAGGCGTGTTGTAAGCCACATCCAGAGATAGATCAATATATTGTAGCAGAATAGATGGCGAAATGCCCGGCAATTTCAAGCGGGTAACAATTTTCAAGATATCCAGTGCAGACCTGAATGTGAAAAACGTACTCAATGGCTAGCAAACAAAGAAAATGTAAACGTAGGGCATAGTACTTACAATTGGAATGTCCACTGTTTATGGGCCATCATTTGCTGACTAACAAACTCCAACAGGCCGCGCATCATACCGGGATGCAAGGATTGACCACGGAAGCAGCATCGAACTATTGATATACATGCTGTCCTATGCAATTGTCAGCAGCTGCCAGCAAGCATCAATCAGCTCAAGAAAAGTACCTGCGCAGTACAGGATCGGGCATTCCGCACGTGGGAAGCAAGCAAAGCATGAAGCCACAAATGAATCGTCTTTTCCCTGCTGGAGTCGTTGGCATGACGTTCCGCGGAACGCCTTCCCCAACCTAGGCATACGGTCAGTGTACATATAAGCTAAATGCGTTGCAGCGGAAAACGCACCGATGGCGGAGGAACGCCCAACTTGGTCAAAAGTAGAGATATCCAAAAAGGAGTGTGGACAAAATTCCGTGCGTAGTTGTAATCATCGGGACGCACAAGCTGGTTGTCCGGCGCATCCTCCAAGTAGAAATTCCAAAACTCGTCAACATTGGCATCAAGTGTAATGGCATCGACGAGTTCCGTAATCTCGGTGCGATCCCGTGCTATCACATTTGCCAGCTCGTCGTACGCTTTTAGGAGGAGAGGGAAGGGTCCACCTTGGGCATCTCTAACAGCCCCAAGAGGTGTAACAATGCTCCCAAAATGTGTGTCTGACAAACGAAACAAATAGTCACTGGCTTTTTTGGCGCTTGGTGGCAGAAATTGGAGTGTTAAAGAACAGCCGGTTTAAAGTCCCGCCCGATCCCCAGGACATACCACTGTTCGTTATGATCACCGATGGCCAAGAACATGATACCAATGGCCGCGTTGAATAGTCCGCTCGCTTTCCAGAAATCTGTGTAACTCCCTATTATGTCGTATACCATTATCCGGACGTTTGGTTCGTGGTGGAAAACTAGTTTGAATAGGGTGTTGAGAAGCTAAATACCAAATCTCAAGGATGAGACCAAGGCAGTTTATTTCCCCATTCATATCTGCAGTTACCTCCTCTCTAGCATCGTCCACCAACTTATCCAGCGGAAATTGTTTGATGAGGGTTAGCACGGCTTGAAGGATTGACTATGATTAATCCGTGTGAGTTTTTGCTCAATGTACTGCACAGCGTTGCTCATATTCTTTCGCATACCGCTTTGATTTTCTGGTCCATTAATGCATGGAAGTATGCCCACGCAAAGGAGATATCGGCCGGCGAAGCCGTACGGAAACTGGGAATAAGCGAGAAAATAACCTTGAGTGCGGCCATTTGGATATCTTCATCCCCACTATTGCAATACGGCACGAGCGTTTGCATCAAAAAGGTGTCAAACTAAGATACTTTCAGTTAGAGCAATATTCTTGGTCCCATGCTAAATATTATTCTTTACCTTTTGACTCTTGCTGCCCCATAGGCGCACCAGTTCGAGTTGCCTTAGTTGCATTGGCTTTGTCAAGTATTCTAAGGAGTTGGCCATCTTTTGCAACAACTTTGGTGCCAATGGCGGGCTCGCCTTAATGGCGACGTCCAGGATATCACTCATCGTCAAGTCCCTTCCTTTGGCCTGAAGCGCCGTTGCGTACAACGTATCATAATCAGCTCCATTGCGCTCTTGATGTCTCAGCGACGCGAGCATATGTTTTAAGCCCTTTCCCTCTTCCGTTTTTAGAGCCTCTATCATTGAAACGTAAAGGAATGCGCTAAGATAGTCAGTGTCCAACACCCCGGTGATAATATGGACATATAGTTCTTTATTGTCCGCAACCATATTCGGATAGATGCTGAGGGACGTGTGGAGGGAAACACACGCCCCGTAACGGACAAGGGCAGGAGTAGCTCGGAAATGGTTTGCAAGGGATTTGACAAATTCAGTTAACGGTGGAAATTCAGCTACCGGAAACTTTTTCGCTTTCGCGCCGCCGATAGATGGAAGCAGACTTGCAGAGTAGCTTTCAAGCGCCCACGAAAGCAGGTCATATGCATACTCGTCATGAGGGTTGATGAGGTTAACAAATAAAGCAAAACCAGTACCTGAATGCAAGAACGTTCACAAGCGGTTTTTTAAACTTCAAACAAAACCATCTTACCAATAGGCTCCTGGTTATTGGGATCAACGCCCGATGGGTTGATAGAGCGCTCGGCAAGTTTCTCAAAAATCTTTCGCAAAGTGCTCTTAATAGCCTCAGTCTCTAGCGCAGTCTGTGAACGTGGGGAAAAAACAAAAAGCGTCAAGACGTGAAAATCATGTCGTATCCAAAAGAGCAACCTCGTAACAACCTTGTCTTGCAACCTTAACAAACTATCTACAATTCTATATGTGAGGGCAGAATCTGCGGGACTATAAAGTGGAGCAAGCAATCCGAGCGCCTGCAACAAGAATGTCATCAGTCAAACGTTCATGCTAAGTATCCGAAGCTGCCCTTAATCCACTCGCTCTCGCACCTTCACAATGACAATACGATCTGGGAAAACTTTTGAAATGATCGGTATAGAATGTAATGAGAAATATAGATTCCAAATCGCAGCCAACTGGTCCTCTTCCAGAAAGATTTTATCGTTTTCATACACAAGTCGCGCCAAGGCTGAGTTGCATACGCCACGAACGGTCCAATCGGGACAAGTGTAGAAACATTCGAGACCGGCCACGAGTGCTACAGCCATCCCCGATAGTGCTGGGCCAATGTAATGGAACAGTTCGTGAACCGCAGAGTAGTATCCTAGCAGGTGCATGATTGCATATCAATCAGTATGAGGAGCATCCGAGATTTAACCAGGCCGCTGAGAGTGACAAACCTTTATCATCCGTCTGGAATCCCACTGCCACCTTTTCGACCTTTTTGTTCAGCTCCTGGACTTTTTTGTCGAATATGACCGCCAACGAAAATAAAAGCCTCGCAGCTTCAATCCGTATATTTTCCAAAAAGTGCCCCAGTATAGAGGTGAGCTGGACAGCATAGTGCACCGTTATGCCCTCTAACACATCTTCCATCGCCATAAAATTCTGCTGTCCTATTCCAACAACTGGTCCGGCCAGTCCGACAGCGCTTGGTCCGGCACCACCCACATAGGCGAGAGCAGTAGCGTTCGAAGCTGCAGCGGCCGCTGATGGTGGAAGTGTACCCGGTGCACCTTTGGAAGGTGCTAGTGCAAAACTCTTGGATATATCTGCAGCTTGCGCGGCCGTCGTGGCAAAGAACGTTTTCACCTCGTTTAGCCATTTGGATACAATAGGACGGTCGGCAGGAGATATCGTAAATAAAATAGGATGAGATCGTAACGGGTCTAGTGCTGCTGTTGCGGCCATAGTTGCCCGCAAGCGTCCACGTCTGTTCGTCAAGGATGAGCTACAGAGACGCGATCTCGGACGCGTTGGGTCGCGATCACGCACAACCTTGTTTAATCACGTAATCAGACATGTTGTCCATACAAAAATGTGCTTTTGGGTTGTTGCCTTGAGGCTATGAGTGGGTTGAAATACTGCAGAATTTCCATTATCTATTTGTACAAGTTTGCCTCTATATAGAATCGATTCGGGGCGGGGTATCCTTCCAGCATTATTCACCACGCCGTTCATCCAGCGCAGGTCCCTTCACACTAGAATGGTCCTTTATACAAGTCTTTGTACAGTTAATGCGAACGATCGACCAAAAACTAAATCGCAGCATTTGTGTTTTGTTCCCCGTGTGTACATCCCTAAGTCCATCGCAGTGATGTAATCATTGCTGGGAGGCTCAAAAGGCAGGATTAGCGATTTTGCCCAATGTAGCTCTCCGAAATGCTACGTCCGAACTCGCGCTTGTGAATAGCCTTGTGTTCCTTTAGGTTTGCGAGGTAGCTGCGATCGCACATTTCAATATAACGTTGTGGAAAACACCGACTCTGGGGGACATGGCTTAGTCAGGCGTCCGATCCACGTGCCTCTGATTATGTAATAAGCCCACCTTGAACTCCGCATAGAAATTTTTATATCCTCCCTTAAGCACGTAAATCTCTGGATAGTGCAGTTTCGGGTATTCTTGAAGGTTCAGCTGTCTGTCCTGCGTGCGCATATAGGATGCCCTATAAATATAAGCCAGTTAAAGGTTGTACAAGTGATGTCTCCATCCTGCGTCATAACAATGGCAACCTACATTCGGGGAGCCCGGTGGGAAGAGAATTCACAGTGGAAAACAATAACCACTTTCTTGTCCGTAATCGGAGGAGTGAAAAAAAGCTTTTCAAGTTCTGCCTTTGTATTGATGTTGCGTGCAGAGTGAATGTGCCCGCCTTCATACTCGTAGGGAAAGCGACAGTCAATAATATAAAATTCGTCAATGGTGCTTGAGTAATGGCCGTCAAGGAGATTGACAAGCTGAGTAAAGAACAACAAAGCTGAGTTGGTAGGATTCCTCATAAGGAATAATAAATGAAAGCAATACCGTTTGTCCGTCAATGCGTTTATGCGAATCACTTTCGCCCGGAAACCAAGGGAGTAACGAATCTTCATGGCCATAGATCGCCGCATTGTTGGGCCGCTGTCCTTGCACGTGGATAGACAATTCCGATGGCGACTGAGCAGACGAGCAGCTCTGAGTGCGACGCATCTTGATTGGTGGCGCAACGCCAGCACGCTTCCACTCGCGATCTTGAACAGAATCAACATGCATTGGATGTTCTGCGTGAAAAGGATCATTGTCCAAGAAGAGTTTGGAGCTAGCAGGGGCCATCAGCTGGCGCTTTCTTTGAAGGAGAGTAGGTTCTGTCGACTGAAATGTCGCCATATGGTTAGAAGAAGTATTACGACAGTTGACTGCGAAACAGTACCCACCTGTCTGGGGAAGCTCGGTCGGGGAAATCTTGGAGAAGCAAGCTTGCTCCAATGGCATGCTTTGTCTTCAGTTTCGCCGTCACTAGCAGGATAAAAAGCACGAGTTAGGTACCTATTAATCATTTTCCACTTCAATGGTTGTCATTACCTGCTGAGAAGGTCATCGTCGTTAGTCATGGAGTCATCAGAAGCAGGGGAATGGGCCAAAAGCACGCCGTTGTCCCGTGTTGCAGACGTGCACTCATACTCACTGGGGATATGAGTGGAGATTAATGACAGGAAATAAATCAACAATCAGACGTCAGAATGATATTCACCTGAAAGGTATATCTACGTGATCCATCAGGGTGAAATCGTCAAGGGAGATTCCAGAGTCCCGCGTCGCAGATCTGTAAAGCTTGCGTCCGGCACGTCGTATCGGTTTCTTGAGATCGTCTGGGAAACGCGGGGGCTTGCAAAGGATACGATAATCAGAAAGAGTCGGGGAGCCCATGGGAGAGGGACACGGTGAATCTTGTGGAGAGTCAGCGCTTGCGCTAAGCAAGAGGTTTGTAAGGCAGCGACGAGGCGTCTTGGAGCTGGACAGCACACGGACGGAAGATTCATTTAGTACCAGGCATCAGATCTGACGAAAAGATGAGATCAAGTTCGGCGTATATGACACCTTCTTGCAACCTCAAAACGATGAAGCAAGACTATTGGAAGTGCGCTTTACCTGCTATTAAGAACGCTGAGATTAACGTTCAAGTCCGTTGCTAAAGCAGATATGGGTGACTTGAAGCCGAGAACGGCGTCCAAGTCCAACAACTCTGTGTCGGACACTGGAGATCTTCCAATTGTGGGCGATTCCGCTGGCGCAATGGGAAAAGGGCTTGTGACTGAGACAGGAACCATGGCGGTGGACATCCTTCTTGAAATAATGAGTTAGCTCAATATCTTCTACATGCAAAGGAACACTATGAGTTCGGTGTACGAGTGAGACGCGATGTCCGAGCCAAGATGGGCCAAGGACAATCCCACATAAGCAGATAAGGAACGCATATACGTCAGAGTTCATGCTACACACCTTGCTTGGACAGCGTTTTGCTGTGTAATAGGTGTTTTCAGCACACGTTTGGTCGTGTTCAAGACGTTCGTACCCGCGAATGACTCTGACCCAGATGGTTTGTCCAGCATGCACACACAGCTTGTAAAAGCAGTTGAGACGATATCCAAAGACAGGAATACTACTGCTATTACAAGCTTTGCGCTGTGTGTGTGTGCAAAAGGACAACCAGTTCACAAGGGAGATGGGGGGACGAGAACAAGTGTCGAAAAGCAAACGCGCAAGTCCGATTTCTAGTCATTGGGGGATGTCGGACTTTTTGCAGTTGAGCGCGACAAAAAGTTCGTCCGTCTTGAGCAGACACTCGTAGACAAGGACGTAACCAGCAGCATGCCCTTGTCCGAAACCACGATGTAAAACGACATAAATCTTTTTTCATTTCCTTCTATAAATTGTGTTTAGCAGCACTAAGCGTGAGTAGGAGTGACACTAAGCCCCCATATGGATGGGCTGTCAAGGCGATGAAAGAAGAAAGGAGGTCGGTAACTTGGAAGGTTGGGGTCACGTCGAGGGGCTGGAGGAAGAACAGGGTTTTAAAATGTCTCATTGAGGGGCATGAGTTCCCGACGCGGTGGTTTGGCAGTCCTCCGTTGGGTCCAAAAATGGTGGAGAATGCACCCTTGCGCTTCGATCTACGTATTCTGGACCTGAACGCTACAGACCCGCGCACAGGAACAAGAGTTCGTTGAACGCACAAGCCAATATCGCTCCAAGGAGCTCTAATCCCCGCTTTTTTGTTCTTGCATCTGGTCTTTTTCAGTTTTTTGCTTCTCTTTTTGATAACGACACACACATCTGCTGTACGATGATATCTCTTATTTATTCGTCAGTTAGGTCTCCGCTTGCCGACTTTTAATAAAAGTCAGGCCAGAACATGAACGTTTTTGATATTCTGGCGTTTCCCTACTGAAATGCACTCCAATGGGTTCCAGGGAACCACAAACGGCTCGCCCCAACATCTACCTGTCACAATTGTTGCTGTCACCAGAATCATTTCACGCTGAATTTGTCACTGCCATTTCTACAAGGAGAACTGCTACTGCCTTTTGCTAGTGTGCCTCCTGACAGCTACATGATTTCATCTCCACTGTAGTCACGGTGGGATGTTGACCCACAAGGAATTCGCGTCGCCACACTCCACCAGTGATGCTGACGCTAATGGACGCCCAGCGTCTCTTCCAGCCTCGCAACAACCAGCACAGCAGCAAGGACATTATCCTCCGGCGACAACAATGGCAACTTCTACTCATGATGTAGACGTGCCCACTGTTCTCTCGCCCCAAGATCCCGCTGGTCCGTCCCGGTTGTATGAATTCTACCAATACCTGCCTGAAGTTCATCCTACATTCCTTCACCTCCCCTCCACGGACTCAAATCATCCACGATTACTCCATCCAGGATTCCTCCCAGAAGCACCTCCAAATCGCCCGTCCAGAACATCCGATCCACACAAGAGCTCCTTTCCACCGCTTCTTTTCCCGGCCTGTAGTCATGAATTAAAACGACGGCATTCTGTAGGAACCATACCAAACTCCAAGCGTGCAAAACTTTCCATCGGCCCATCCGAACATGAAGTTATTGATCTCACTGCTTCCGTTGAACCATCGGGCTCTTCAGCTGAACCGTCAGGCTGCCATTCGGCGAATGGTGTAGTCGACCTTACAAGTCGGGAGGAGGTTCAAAACGATCAAGCATCGAAACGTCTCCTACTGCATTTGTCTTTGGATATCGACACTCTTCGCAAAAGTATTCACGAAAATAAGCAAGAGATTGGACATCTTCGGGCGGAAAGAACATATCTGGAAGAAACTGTCAAGCGGAAAGTCGACTCTCTTCAAAATGAATGTCGAAAGGCCTCACGTATGACTACCGACTCTGAGACACTGAAATTTGACCACAAATCTCTGGAGCAGTTAGTCAGGTCAATGCAAAATGCGTTAGCAAGATGTGCAGAAAGAGAAGGTGCTCTCAAAAATGAACAAGCACAGATGGCTGCAATGCGGGCAGAAATACACCACTTACGGACGCGTGTGGCAGAGTTCGAAGAGATGTCTGTCCGGCATTCGAAGAATGCGGACCGAGATGCTGGAAAGGCCGTGGCAGCGCAGGAGATCGTTGATAGGTTAGCTCAAAGGATAGTGGAGTTGGAGCAACGGGGTGCTACGACTGCAGCCGAGCTCACTCAGCTTCGGAAAGATTGCGATGCCTTAAAGGATGCCGGTTCGGAAGAAGCAGTGAAGTCACAAACGCCAGCAGAACATGTACCTTGCATTGATGAGGCTCTTCGCCTTCAAATCGAACGCTCGATGCTTGAAATGGCGGAATTGCGGGCAGATTTCGATCAGTTGAAAATGACCAATACCGAGTTGAAGACATTAGTTGCTTTGCAGGAAAAAGACTATGCTGCTGTCAAAACCGAACGAGACGACCTGCGGCACAAGGTGGAACGTGTTGACCAGGAAATATCAGCGCTGAAGGCAAACAACGATATTCTCAATCGCAAGATGGAAGAACTGAGGGCGGACCTGACTCTAGCGGCTCATGACAATTCCCCCAGGTCAAGATGCATATCTCCGCGTGAGCTCAAGTTTGAGAAACCTTCCAAATCAATGTCCCCTCCGGGTTCGTCTTCCCAACATACTTTATCGCCTCTTCCCCAACCTTCCGAATCAGAAGACGGCTTGACTCCCTGGACAGCTATCATCCGCCGCGAATATCCTGGCTCTGTGAACGCCCTAAGTAGTGCTGCCAAGCATCGATTCGAAGAAGCGCTAACCAGGTTCCTAACATCATCCCTGGGTCCTGAGAAAGCCGCGCAATGCCACCTTCCTAGTGCACGAGCGACCCGGACAGGCACTCTTCGAATGATACCCGCGATCCCCGGACATTTAGAAGAAGAGTTCTTGGACTGGTTTTACGAAGTGGTTGATCACGGGCTTTTGACCATGACCCCTAAGCAGTGGAAAGAAGTTGTGGATGGGGACGAGCCTTTACCTGTGGGGTGTCGGGAGCTGAAGGTGGAGGTACCGAGGAAACCTGCGGCGAAAGGAAGGCGGCAAAAAGCTCGATCAAGGCGTGCTTCTACTACCTCAAAGAAGAAGAAAGGAAATAATAATTCATCCAAGCGCAAGACCCGACGAGCAGTCCCCTCTCTAGTCCCAGCCCACAAGGACGATTCACGAGATGACGCAGGTCATCGTTCCAGTCGCAGCGCTACTCCCGATGGCTATTCGACAGTGACGGATACATCACCACTCATCAAACCGATGGTATTTGTGGAGGTGGATCTCGATGACATTTCTGATACGGATTCAGAGAACGGGGTCGGTTGCTGAAGGGTGAGTCTCGTATCTATTGCTCGCATTGGGACCATTCGT